CTTGCCTTACGCCAAACGGAGAGTAGCGCGTAGACATTACCCCTAGGGGCGCACTAAGGAGTCGCCTCCTGCTGTTCCCCGGGGCCCGGGGCTCAGGGCCGTGGGTCTCTACCCATGATCCATCGTAACAGACTAGACAGGATCCGGTAGGTATCAACCGTTATCCTTTTTTCTTCTGGATCTGGGGTGAAGGGGGCTGCGCGATCGAATCACAGCGCAGGGGGAAAAAGGAACGCAGACACTAAAATTTAGGGCCCTTTTTTGCCTCCCCGAAATGATCTGATCTGATTGATCGAGGAATGGAATCGTACAGTATCATAGCGCTAGACAATCGGCTTCTCTCCCAAAATCCCTTTCCCGAAAGATCTTCCATTGGCTCTGAAATCCCTAGCCAATGCTCCTGATGACGATGATGCACTTGCCCCCCCCCTCCCCTGTCTCCTCGTACCTCACGTCGATTCCCTTGTTCATTGGCTCCACTCTTGTTCTTTTTTATTTTTCCCTTTCTCCCTTTTTCTGATTTTATTTCTATCCCATTTTATTTTACTCACAGTAGCCTTGACCTTGCCTCGTCCTTCTTCCTCTCCTACCCTGTTAGGCTTTGTTCCCTCCGTAGGTAAAGGATTTTAGAATTTTCTATTTTCTATTTTCCTAAAATTGTTTCTTTAATTCAATTAGAATTTCCAAAATCGCCTGTAATCGGCCTGTAGAATACGGACAGATCAACTCTTCTCGGTGGCCAGGTGCCCAGTCGGATGGCCCCGATCCCGCCCTTTTTACTTTCGAATTACACAGAGCTCAATAATTAAAATAAAATTCTAAAAAAATAATCCTAAAAATTGAAACCCAAAAAAACCAACCAGACCCACACCCTGTCTTTATTCCTGATTCACAATGTTTGCTACCATCTGCATCCTGCGGCTTCTGGTACAGCTGTAACCGAAATTTCCAGCTGTGATGCTGAACGGTTGACGTTTTAGTTTCCTTTGGCGCCTGATCACATCGGACTCTATAGATTGAGCTATCCACTGTCGACACCCGTGGGTTTAATATAATAGCTCCCCTTTCCCCTCAGCATTTTTATGGAATGACTCCCTTCCCTCCTCCTTTGTGCTCATCGCAATCTATCCGCCTGTCTTGCTCTTGAACTCAGTCACGACTCCTTTCAACCATCCCAAGATTCTTCATAGATCCCTTCCCCATTCCATCTCCCTTCCTCTTTCTTCGACTTACCAGACCTCGACTACGCATTGGTTCTGATCCGGGATTTTCCTGCTTCTTTTTTTATTTTATTTTTTACTTTTTTTTTGTTATTTTATAATTAACTTCCGAGATCCTCTCAGAAGTGGTTGTGTCAAGCCTCCCTTGCAGGTGTCTCATAATCTCCTGGGACCCGAGGATCTTCCACCCTGCCTTATCGGATTCACGATAGAATTTCCAACCGCAGGGGGAGAAATGCTGAAGCTCTAAAAATCAAATCGCCTGCTCCTTGCTCTGTCACCAGCCCTTCCACACCAATTACATTCTCTCCCTTTCGACCCTGACGCATTAACCTGGGGTAATCAAAGGAGGTATCAAAAGCACCAACCTTTGGTACTTTTTTTCCCCTCGCTTTCATTTGGATCGCAATCAACATTATTGAGTGAAGCGGGGTCTTTTTGACGCCTTCTGTTCGCTCTCGACTTTTTTTTTCCCTCTTAGTCGGTTCTTTTCACACCATGTTCAAACGACCGGCTTGTCTACAAGGCCGTCAGCGCAATGGCGCTGGCGAGGACTGGTCTACATTTCCTATTCGGCAATTGTTTGTTTTAGGTAAGTGAGGTACTTTTGCTTATCACCTCGACGAACTATGCGCCTGTCCAAGAGTGAAGAGTTCAATATAGGACCAGAACTAACGGCAGCTTTCTAGCTCTCGTCCGCATTTGCGAGCCTATTGCTTTCATGTCGATTTTCCCATACGTGTACCACATGGTGGAATCATTCCATGTCACGGATAACGACCAGAAGATCGCGCTTTACGCCGGGATGATCACCTCGTCTTTCACCTTCGCCGAGTTCTCAGCGGGTATGTTCTGGGGTCGCATGAGTGACCGGATCGGCCGCAAGCCCGTGCTCATCATGGGCTTGATTGGAACGGCCATGAGCATGGTGGCTTTCGGATTTGCGCCCAACCTAGCCACAGCCATGGTCGCGCGCGCTTTGGGCGGCCTGTTGAACGGAAATATCGGGGTTCTCCAGACCACTGTGGCGGAGATCGTGACGGTCAAGGAACACCAACCGCGAGCGTACTCGATCATGCCCTTCGTGTGGTGCCTGGGTTCCATCATTGGACCGGCTATGGGCGGTGCTTTAGCCCAACCGTGCGAGAACTACCCGTGGCTATTCCAGCGTAACACGTTCTTCGACCGCTTCCCGTTCCTGCTGCCCAACCTGGTGTGCATCGTGGTGCTCTTGTGCGGCATTGTGGTCGGAACCCTGTTTCTGGAGGAAACGCATCCGGAGAAGAAGCACCGCCGTGACCCTGGCCGAGAGTTGGGCCACTGGCTCATTAGCCTCTGCTGGGGTTCGCGCGTGCAACTTCCGGACGAGTCCGACGTGGATGAGAAGTACTTCTACGGCGATATGCCACCCGAGTACGAAAGTGCCGAATCATCGCCCTGTCTTGGACCCGTGGGTGACGTCGTCTCTACGGAGTGCGACCTGGAGGGACAGAAATCCCCCGCGCCCAAGACATTCACTCGCCAGGTCATCTTGACCATTGTTGCTTACGGCATTTTGGCATAGTGAGTTTGATCCCCCGCCTCACTTTTCATGCATGGATGCATGTACATTTGCTGACCTCCCTTTCCTTAATAGTCATAGCGTATCTTTCGATCAGCTGATGCCCGTCTTCTTGAGTACCCCGAAGTCTGACGACAGCATCGTTCTTCCATTCAAGTTCACTGGAGGCCTCGGTCTCCAGACCAAGACCATTGGATTCATGTTGGCCGTCCAGGGTGTCTACTCCATGATTGCTCAGCTATGGCTATTCCCATTCGTTGTCAAGCATTTCGGTACCCTACGCACGTTCCGCTTCGTACTGCTCGCCTGGCCGCCGCTCTACCTGGCGGTGCCCTATCTTATTCTTCTGCCGGCTAAACTCCAGATGTCGGCCGTATACGTTGCTCTGATCAGCAAAATCACCTTCCACGTTATCGCCTTCCCCGCTACCGCAATCCTGCTTGCCAACGCTGCCCCCTCATCCAAGGTCCTTGGGGCTATTAACGGCGCTGCCGCATCTACCGCTAGTCTCAGCCGTGCCTTTGGCCCCACCGTGACTGGCCTGCTTCACTCCAAGGGTCTGGAGAGCGGTCACTCCGTTCTTGCCTGGTGGGCATGCGGTCTAGTCTGCGTCATTGGTGCCATCCAGAGCTTCTGGATGGAGGAAGCCTCCGAGCCCGAGCGATTCAAGAACGAAGTCAGTGAGGTGGAGATGAAGCGTGAAGCCATGTCAGATGGTTACGCTGCCCAAGAGTCTGACATTGAGGAGGAAGAGCAGCGTCTCCTCTCCTTGCGGTCTAGCATTGACCATGAATATGACATTACCAATCTGGACTTGAATGCCTCTCACGACTTCGCCCAACCCCAACCCGACAGCAATACGCCTGGTCCCCGTGTTTGAATGCGGGACTTGACACCACAAAAAGCATCCATCCTCTTCACTTCGAGTCCTTCTGGGAAGGACGTGACCGTTTTCCAGCGCTGCTGCATTTCGCCCACGGGCCCTTCATCTTCATTTCCATTTTCACTTCTCCCATGATACCTTTTTTTTTCCATCTCTTTTCATCTTCATTTATTATTCTCATTGAGAGGGGATACGGCGCAACTGACATAGAGCGGATGCATATGCGAAAAAAAGCATAAAACCTGGGGTCTCCTTCTGTCTATTTCTTTTTTTTGGGTCTGGAGCATTGAACAGGCTATATTATGATGATACTCATGCATCTGGGAGGTTTACTTGAAAATTCTGTTATGTTTATCGTCGTCGCACATTAACGCTATCTCGGAGACATCTCCAGATAGACTTACGGACTCAATTGAACGGCCGTCACCATCTATACTTTCCCGTCTCCACACCGGCGCCTACGTAGCATGTGCAGTCGTACCTTAGACTGCAGGCCAAGGATATTGTATACTACCTTGAATCTGACCGATCATATGACTTGGGCTATATAGAGAGTGCATATCCTCCCGGGTTCCCAGGCCCCTTCTTCCTCCCCCTTCTAAGATAATTGTAACCTTCGAAATCCCCAGAATCCACCTGACTCGTGCCTGTCACCACTCGTCTCCACCAATGGCAGCCAATTTATCCCGGGGAGATCCACTCGGTACTGGACTCCGCTTAGTATCACGCGAATGCAATGGCCATTATTTTAGCCTCGCACAGAGCCAATTGTCGTGCAATATATGCTGACACAGGATACGCCAATGTCGCCGTGACCTTCCCGATTCTCATAGCTCTAGCCGCCAAAGTCTGGGGTACCGAAAGTACCGAGAGTACCATTCCCGAGGGCAACTTAATTTTTGTCGCGGGTAGCACCTCTCTACTGAATCCCGATCTCCACCAGAGCCCTATCGTGCTGCAACTTCTCTTCTGCATCAGCTTTGCGCCTTTGCCCTTTCCGGGACCTTGGTCGATCGTGATTCCTAGCGTCCGAGTGCCTCGACGACTTTGCGCAAAGAGATACCGATTTTCCATCGCCATCCACTCTCGGAGGATAATCAACCTCCGCTTGCGCCGCGGAGAGCTCACTATACCAGTGCGGGCCGCCTCCTTTTCGCTCGTTGAGCATCGCAGGAACCGAATCCTTGCCTCGAGCCGGTCTTGCCACGCCTGTCTGGATCTATCATGAACGTTGATCCGCTAAGGGGAAGGATACCGCTGTTCCCGATCGCTATCTCCGCAGAAATCCACCATAAAGAGATGATCGCAGGTCTGCGGCTCTCGCCCCTCCTTCAACATGCCTAACCTCCCCTCCCCTCCGTCCACCTTGGGGAAGAAAAGACCCCATCCTTCCGCCGAAACCCCTCCTACGCAATCCGACCCCGCGACCTCAAATATCGGACCCAACCCTCCCGCCCCAACCGTGTCTGCGTCACCCGCTGTGTCCACCGCGCACTCGACTGCGACTGCCTCGAGCGCATCCTCCTCTTCCTTCCGTAACGTTTCTGCCTGCAATCGCTGTCGGTTACGCAAAAACCGATGCGACCAGCGTCTACCGAGGTGCCAGTCCTGTGAAAAGGCTGGAGTCCGCTGCGTTGGATACGACCCTATAACGAAGCGCGAGATCCCGCGCAGCTATGTGTATTTCCTGGAAACCCGGGTCGCCCATCTAGAAAAGCAGTTGGCAGAGCATAATATTGAGTTCAAAAAAGTCGTCGCATTCGATGAAGAAGAAGCGTTAAAAACAGAGACCGACGGCGATGCACCGGGCACATCCGGCGACGGCCAACCCGGTGAGAACCAGGATAAAACACAATGGAAAAATTCCGTGAAGGAAGAAACTGGGTCCGACCAGCGACATGACGGAGAGCAGCGCGATGCAGAAGGAAATGAAAACGAGGAGAACTGGCGCCTACACAATTTGGTGTCAAATATTGGCATGGTCTCGGTGCAAGGGACGTCTGATCCTCGCTATCTCGGGTCAACATCTGGTATCTCATTCGCTCGGGTTGTCTTTGCTGCAGTCAGAAGCTCGATTCCTGGAAATCCGGAGCGCGGGCCACTGCGCACTGGAGAACGATTGCCCCAGACAGCCACTGGCTCGGGTGCAGGAACCATGCGCGATTCGTTCTTTGGGCTTCAGACGAAACCAATGATGAAGCGCGCCTCATTCCCGGACCGTGAGCTCGCTGAGCGACTGGTTGATCTGTATTTCGAACACGCAAATCCTCAAATGCCTATTCTCCACCGTGGTGATTTCATGGAGCTCTTGGATCGAACGTACCAGTTAGAGGAGAAGAATCGCTCACCAAGAGCTCTTTATGTCCTCAACATTGTGTTTGCCATCGGTGCTGGAATTATCTTCGAGGATAAACCTCAAAGTTCGGATGATGAAAACCGCGCTGGCCGCGATCGATCCTCATCTACTTCTAAAAGGCCGAGATTGTCAAATCACCAGTATCAGCCGGAGGAATACCACGCATCTGCTATTGTTCACTTAGAATCGTTCCTCGGTTCTTCGTCCAGCGAAGGATTCGGTGGCTTGGAAGAACTTCAGGCGGTGCTTCTACTGGCTAGTTTCGCCTTGTTGCGGCCCGTGGCTCCAGGTCTTTGGTATATCGTCGGTGTGGCGATGCGCTTAGCTGTTGACCTGGGTCTTCACTACGAAGATGGCGTTGGCATTGACTCCGGATCGAAAGATGGAAACCAGGTCCAGTCACGCATTGATGCTCGCGAACGAGGGCGGCGAGAATGGATCCGAGACCTGCGTCGCCGTCTCTGGTGGTGCGTGTACAGCTTCGATCGTCTAGTTGCCACTTGTGTCGGACGACCATTTGGTATCAGCGATCAAGCAATTAGTACGGAACTTCCATCTATGATGGACGACAAATACATCACAAAATCCGGCCTCTTGACGCCTCCCGATGGAGCTCCTACCTATAAGCATGTTGCTTTCCACTACTTCAAACTCCGCCTTCTTCAGTCTGAGATCCACGACGTGCTTCAATATCAGCAGGCACGTGCCATCCGAAGACGCTCCCCGGAAAGTGCCGCCATCCTTCCTCATGCTGAGCTTACCTCCCCCTTCCTTCAAGGCTTTGATTCCTTCCGCTCCTGGCGTCACGATGTCCACCGGCGCCTTGTGGAATGGCATGAGACGGCTCCAAGTCGGGCTGATACTGGTGTCAGATTCTCTATCGAGCTTCTAGAGCTGAACTACTGGCAAGCCATTATACTGCTTTACCAGCAGAGTCTTACTGTGCCTGCTGAGTTGGCCGGAGAACTCACCCCAGCTGACGATGTCTCGAGTCCATCCTTTTCGAATGTCGATGAGGGTGATGAAGAAGATCACGTCTATTTAAACGTTGCCGAGGCTGGCCAGAAGGTTATTCGGATCTATCGCCAGCTCCACCGTGTGCGATTGGTCAACTACACATATCTTGCTACTCACCATATCTTCATGGCTGGTATCTCCTTCTTGTATGCCATCTGGCATTCACCTCTCGTTCGAAGTCGTTTGGTATGTATCTTCTTCGCATGTTTCCACTGCCAGCACTAACCTTCTATGTATCTAGACTCTCGATGAGGTAGATTTCACTGTTCTCGCTGCCACATCCGTTCTGGGTGACTTGATGCACAAGTGTCCCCCCGCCGAAGCCTGCCGAGATGCCTTTGAGCGAATGAGCAAGGCCACGGTTCAAATGTGTCTGTCTACTACCGGATTCGGGTCACAGGTCGATATGACGCGAGTGCATGCCGCCACACATAGTGCCGGCTCTTTGTACGCCGGCCGATCCCGCCAACAAATGGATCAAAGACGAGGACAAGGCCCGGCCCGACGATCCGCGCAAAGCCGCGCACAAAGACCTGTTCCAAAGTTCGATATGAACCTAGCAGATCTTTTCAACGATAATCCACTGGCCGATCGATCTCGGGCTGAGAACAGACCTTCTGGGCAACCTTATCCCGTCCGCCCAGAACAGGCCGAGTCGATGGCCTCGGGATTCTCTGCCGATCGAGGTGGTCGGTCATATGGGCAGCGTACTCCATCTATGGAGTATTACATGAAATATGAGAACCCGACGTCCCCCCAACCCCCGCCGCAATTCTACTATGGAAACTCGCCACAACACAGTGGTTCCCCAGGTAGTGTAGCTGCAAATGGACCTCAAGCCGTTGCATCGACAGACACAGAGGCGCAGCCGGGTATTAGCCTCGATTTCCTTGAATTTGGATCTGGCGATCCCGAAGCTCAAAACCATATGGAAACGGACCCTAACGCCGAGTATCTGGCTGGTATGCCTCCCCTCGGTCCTAATCTAGGCCAAAACGTGGGCATCGATCTCGGATTCGGCATGGCGATGGATTTCCAGCATGACTGGAGCGAAAACCCCAATTATGATCTTCTAGAGGGGTATTTCTTCGGCGGTTCAGGACCAGGCGCCTCCGGTGGTGATGCTTGAACGTGGATTTCCTTTCTTTTCTTGCTTTCTCGACCCTCTCTTTTTTTTTGTCCATTTCTCTTTTTCTCCTTGGATGCTCCTGCTCACTGCTCGTTCCCCTCACCTCATCCGCTTTCATATTTTGGGACATAGTCAAAGAGGACAAGGTGAACAGGACTGGCTTCAATGGACTAGGATGTGTGATTTTTCTTTTTTGATTTCATTGTTTGGGATACCATATTATATATCAGAACTATATCATAAACCAAAGATCGAGAATAATTACTAGACATCGGAGTTAGGTCCTTGCAGTGTACGTGAATATTGAAATATTGAATGCAGAAGTAAGACGTCGAGTGCCTTGGGCAGCAACCGACCCGCCAAAACAAACATTTGAATTGCCCGCTTTTTTTTCTTCCGCCAACACATCAACCTGTCCGGGGACTGCGGCGCTCACCGTGTATCCATTCGGCTGCGTCTTGTTGGCTGCTTCACGCAATTGGCGCGACGGACGCTTGGACCCAACTGCCTGACTTGAACCTCAGGTGCCCAGTGCCCGCGATCTGCGATTGATCGTAGCCCCGTCCCAGATTACTCTGGTCCCTCTTCGGTCCCACCTTCTTTTTTGTTTCCGGGGAATATGCCTATTCGTTGCGATCGCAAATACCAACCTCCCTGTTTCAAGTGAATCACGTACCGCTCAGCCTTGTCGAACCTTGTCGGAACGGAACCGTGCAGACGACCGACCCCCGACACCCGACCCTCGTCGCGCCCATACACGCTTGTTCTGGAACGTCACTGCCCAGGCAGCGATAGGCCCAACGAAGTTAGGCTTCTGGAACGTCACTCTCGTTTCCTTCGACTCTGAACACACCCTCCTGCGCGCCCCCCCCCGGCTCCGGCGCTCTCAGCCGCATACTTCGAACTTCGAAAGCGAACCCTCGAGACTGGTCATGTGCGCGACTGCTAACTGTTTACTGGACTATCGATTATGCACCTTGATCTACACGCGAATCTATAATCCCGTCGCAATCACGGGATCAACATGGTGAAGGCGGATGTCCGAAGGGACTACTATGCGGACCTGGGGCTGCAGCCTAGCGCGGAGACGGAAGATATCAAAAAACAATTCAGGAAACTAGGTATGCCGCGGACATACAAGAATACAGAACGTTGTGGGACGAGAGCAGTACTGACCTCGATATCTAGCCCTTAAGTTCCATCCTGACAGGAACCCGGGTAAGGAACAGGACTTCATTGCCAGATTCCAGGCTATTCAGGCAGCCAATGAAATTCTCAGTGATCCTCAGCAGCGGCTCAAGTACGACACCGATCGATTGCGTGCTGGCTACGGCAAGGTATATGGGCCCCCGAAGACCAACACCACGCGCAGGCCGGTGCCGACTTACGCCAATACACAACCACCCAAGCCACAGCCCCCGAAGCAGCCATATAGTTCTCGACCCCAAGCGACTTCCAAGGGGCCTTCAGCGGGTGCCAAGCGGTATGAAGCCCATGCACGCGCAGGGCCACAACAATGGAAGCCGCCGCAGGACGAGGCACAGACCAGAGCTGATGCCTTCCGGGCCTTCCACGGCATGAGAGGCAATGCATCAGGCTGGCGAGGCTTCGATCCCGAGACAGGACGCGCAACTGCCTCTCCAGGTTCCTCGGGAAGCGCGCCGAGGCAACAAAATGCGCCTTTCGGTGCCCAGCGCCCCCAGTCTGCGTATGAGTTCTTCAAAGACAGTGCGAGATCCCAGAAACCTGCAAGCCCCAATTCTCCTAAGAAGAGAAACGGGTTTGCGCCGGGGACTGCTGGGGGCGATGAGCCCATGGCTCGCAATACTTCGGCATATAACAGTTCCCGAAGCGAGCGGCCGAGCAGCATGTATTTCGATTCCGCGCCTCCGCCGACGGCGAAGAAACCTGCCGCTCCAGAACCGGCCCCTTCTTTCACCCAGCGAACTGGTAGTTCTTATGCCACCGCTGGAGGTGAGAAGACTTTCTTCTCGAGCTCTGGACTCGGGCATGCATCAACAGTGCGCACACCCTCGGGATCCTATCGAACGTCAAACTCGCGCACCAACCCATCTAGTCCTGTGAACGGCGAATCCGAAAGACATCGCAGCGCTAGTCCCAAGGCCAGACGGAACCGCAGTTACTCTGTATCTTCGACGACTTCTAGCGAACTTAATGATGATGACGATGACGAGATTCATGAAGTGCGACGATCGAACGCATTCAAACCCAAGGCCGTACCCAAGAGCCGACTCCGACCTAATCAGAAATTCACCGACTTCTACCGACACGAAAACTCTAGCTCCGGACATGGTGAGACCCTTCCCAGATTCTTTGTTCATCCCATCAGCCCATTCCAGCCAGGCCTAGGCATCCGACCGGGCACACCCCGGCCAGGTCAAAGTCAGCCTTTCATACCTCGAAAACCTTCCCGGCTGCACCGGGCCCCCAATATCGTGGACTCGACCGCTGACATATATGTACACAAAGGACACAACTCAGACAGTGCGGCATTCCCCAAGGGTTCGTATCGACCAGAACAGGCACAGTCTGTACACCCAAATTCCGCGTATGTGAAAGAAGTCTCTTGCGTAATGGCCTAAGCTCATAACCTCACAGATTCGATACACAAAATACGACAAAGCCACAGTCAACCACATTTGATGGAAACAGCTCCGGCCACAGCCTGCATAAGAAGTTCTCTGCGGATGACTGGAGGGAGCATCTGGAAAACTTCGACTTCCTTGGTGCTAATTCCACTGATCCAAAGTCACCTAATACGCAGAATCGACCGCGTGCATCAACTCGAACCGACTCCAAACCAAGTGGCGCGTCGACAGGATCGCCTGGCTTGAAGTCATTCAGCCCTGGACCTGGGCATAAGTCTCAGCGGCCGCTGCCGTCGCAGCAGCAAGTACCTACCCCATTTGCACAAGCAAAATTCTCTGCGGATCAGTGGTTTGAGAAGGTTAAGGATATTTCTTGGAATGCCCAAGAGGCCGACAAGGCGCGATCCTCCTCCAATACCCCGCCGCGAAGCCCGAAGAAGCAGGCAAGATCTGGCACGAAAGTTCGAAGTACACCGCAGGGACCTAGCGTCGCGTCGGAAGCCGATGAAGCTAAAGAGACAATCAATGGCACCACGCCTCCTGAGCCTAGCCGGTCAGCACCTGCTGATGTGGAGGCCATGGACATTGATGAGCCTGCCATGCCAGCAAGTGCCATGTCCGCCAAACCCCCTGTCGGCGATTCGAGGAGCTCGAGTTATCCGGATCTCGCTGCTCATGCTACTCAAGTCCCTTCTCCTGCGACGAGGAAGGCCCAGCCAACCTCTCAGACAGAGAGCACACCTAATACCGAAACCCGTACACCACTCTTCGACCTGGGGAATCTCCGAAACACAGCTCCTTTCACCAACACAAACAGCGGTGGAATCGAGAACCTAGAAGACGTGCACGCCAACCTCCCCTTCGACTCGAGAGCAAAACAAGCAACAACAACAAAGCGTGACATTAAACCCCGCGCCCTGAACCTCCCAAACCCCCCAAAACGCCCCTGGGCCCCGCAACCAACCCCCGCCTTCGCAGGTTCCCAGCACCTCACGCTTCCCCGCGACAAATGGAACTGGTACGTCTCAGCAATGAGCACCTACATGCACGACTGGAACAAATTCAACCAACGCATGCTCCTCCACTTTAACACACGCCAAGCAGCCATCGAAACAGGCCTCTCGCCGAAATGGATCAGCGCCGTTGGCGACACAGCCCGACTCCAGATCGACGGAGCCGATGACGACGAGAAGAGCGAGACTCGCGATGAACCCGATGAAGGCGACGACCTTGTTCCTGGTAGTGGAAAGGGCGGGTTCAGTGCCTACCTGCGCGGTATTGAGGAGGATGTCCAGGTGCGGAAGCACTGGGATGTAGCGTGTGAGTTACACCGCGAGTGTATTTTGGATCTTGGAAGGTTGAGGGAATGGATTCGGAACGGGGGCAAGGTTGTATAAGGTTGTTTATGATGATATGGGCGACATTGGCAATGCTGTTGGCATTCTAACATTTGAAGATACTGTTTGCTTTTTTTTTTTTTTTTTTTTTTTGCATGACGGGCATGGTGTCTGTTCGGTGAATACCCTGGATATTGCATTTGATCAATTAAATACGTTTCATCCATTTCCTTTTTTATTCCAAGTTTATTTGGGCTGGGGAGTGTCCTTGTGGGAACTGCGATCTGTGACACTGAGCTTCCGACATAGTCGCGTGCATGTTTTGAAAGGATCAATACTTACCCGGTCAACCTTTGAAGTCAGAAATACGAATGCCAAGTAACCCTGCTGAAGATTCACATGCAAGATCTCTTAGGCGCTCGGTTCTAAGCCCACAGTTGAGAAACCCAGAAGCCTTTATCCGTGATCTGACTATGATCAATTCAAAATCGGTGGTACACATGCTCTGGCTGATCAAATAACCATTTCGTCACAACTTGCAGTAAAGAACGACTATAAAAGTCGACGATGGATTCTAAATGGACAGGACCACGTTATACACAGTGCAGCTGTGGTACGGCGAATGACTGTATAATAATTTAGATCCTAAGTACGTGGTTCAGCCGGTTAATTGCGAAGATCAGACGTGGCGTTGGATGTTGCATACCGTACTGGAGCCAGAATCAGCTTCACAAGATAGAAAGAAATGAAATGGAAACAAAACCAGATGCAGATACCTGAATAGGATCCGGAACCAACATTGCTCTTCCACACGAGGTCTTAGCTCTGGCTCTGCTGAACTCCTCGCGAGGGCTTCCATAGACTTTCGAGGCTGCATCGTAGTTAGTACCAGGCCACCTGTGGTCCTTTGAAAGGCATGATCTGAAATTGAATGATCGACCTTCTTTCGGAATGCGTTGTAGTTCTAGTGCTCTTGGCATACCCACGTTTTCACCCGACTACTGTCTCCCTTTTTCACTTGTCCAGATGTCTACCCTGTCTTCTATATCCCTCTCCGCCGAAGCGTTTAACAAACTCCGATCCCTTCACTCGCCCCCACCCGTAACTCGGGGACGCCAGGTCTCTTAATCACGCCATTCTGTATTTAATCAACTGTAAATTACCACTTGAATACAATCGAATGGCAGAACCGTCAAATGCAAACGACTGGGGAAAACCCTTGCCCTAGATGCCTCAGGCAACAACCCGCGGCGGGTCTCGCCGGTGGTTACGTTACGAGGTTACGAAAAAAATACCCCATGAGTCACGGCATAAAAGAAGTCAATTCCTGCTTGACTTTTATTTTCACTGTGAGAATACCTCCAGTCAATGTAAGTCATTCGGGGCCGAGTGAACCCCAAGGCACTCACCGAGACTGACCCGAGCCCAGTGTGCCCCGCCATCCGAAGCCGGACGTGCTCTTCTTCCTTCAAATCCCCGCCACCGGCACTTGCGAATCCGATCGCAGTCAATTCAAAATCACAAGCCACCATGGTCTCTATCGTTCTGGGCAGTCAATGGGGAGATGAGGGTATGTTTCAATGTCTTGACTTGGAATTGGTATTGGGACGGGGAAGCTGATGGCGGGTCAGGCAAGGGAAAGATTACAGACATGCTGTCGCAGAAGGCGACGCTGTGCTGTCGTGCAGCTGGTGGTCACAGTGAGTTACGCCTCTCTATGCTTCATGATCTAGCGAAGTGTATCTAGCCCGGATGTCAATGATTAACCCCTGCGCCATTATTTAGACGCCGGCCACACCATCGTCCACGAGAACGTCACCTACGACTTCCACATCCTGCCCTCAGGTCTCGTTTCGCCCTCATGTATCAACCTGATCGGTGCCGGTACCGTGGTTCACGTTCCTAGCTTCTTCAAGGAGCTGGCCCAGCTCGAGACCAAGGGTCTCACCTCTGCCGGCTCGCGCATCTTCATCTCCGACCGCGCCCACGTCTGCTTCGATCTGCACTCCGTTGTTGACGGCCTCGAGGAGGCCGGTCTCGGTGGCCGCAAGGTCGGCACCACCGGTAAGGGCATTGGTCCCTGCTATAGTGACAAGGCTGCGCGCCGCGGTGTGCGCGTCGGTGAGATCCTCGACGAGGAGACCTTTGAGCGCAAGCTGCGTACTCTCAACACCTCTTACCGTGCGCGCTTCGGTGATCTGGCCTACGATGTCGAGGAGGAGATTGCCCGCTTCAAGGTAAGATTCTAAAAAAAAAAAAAAACCTTTGATCTGAAAATAGTAGAACATCTACTAATACAAAGCAGGAGTACCGCACCAAGCTGAAGCCGTACATCGTCGACCAGCTCGCTTTCCTGCAGGAGCACAAGAACTCCCCCAGCATTCTGGTCGAGGGCGCCAACGCCTTGATGCTGGACTTGGACCACGGCACATACCCCTTCGTGACCTCCTCATCAACAGGTCTCGGTGGAGCCGTGCAAGCCCTCGCCCTCAACCCAGCAAGCATCAAGTCCGTCATCGGCGTTCTGAAAGCCTACACCACCCGCGTCGGCTCCGGTCCCTTCCCAAGCGAACAGCTCAACGAAGACGGCGACAAGCTGCAGAAGGTCGGTCGCGAATTCGGCGTGACAACAGGCCGTCGTCGCCGCTGCGGCTGGCTCGATCTTGTGCTGGCTCGCTACTCCCACGCCATCAACCACTATACCGCTCTGAACCTGACCAAGCTTGATATTCTCGATGACTTTGATGAGATCAAGGTCGGAGTTGCGTACATCCTGCCCGATGGTACTCGTACCACTGGTTCGTTCCCTGCGGATCCCAAGGTTGTCGAGAAGCTCCAGGTTGAGTATATCACTCTGCCGGGCTGGAAGAGCAACACGATGGGTGTTTCCCGTTACGAGGACCTGCCTACTAACGCTAAGGCCTACATTGAGTTCATTGAGCGTGAGATCGGTGGTGTTCCTATCAAGTGGATCGGTACCGGTCCTAACCGTGAGCACATGATTGCACGCGAGTAGATGTCCTGCTGGTAAGTATCTACTTGCCCGCGGTAGATTTCTCCGATTTTTCTGGTGTTTCTTTTTTTTTAACAGTCCAGAATACTGGGATATGCGATTGAATTTTATACATACGGTTTCGACCTTCTCCTAACTCCATTGACGTGTTACTTATTCCCCCCTCAAAATGGACATGTTAGATGATGGATCGCATATTCTTACGATAGTAATAGGCTCAGGATGGGATTCATGGAGTTTGATAGTGTTTCACATAATATTGCCAAATTAGAAATTCAATATGTAAGACAAAGAAGTTCAGAATAAAACATGGGTAGAACTAAAGCTGAGAAGTTGAGAGATGGAGAAAAGTGAAGCACCCAGAGACAGACAAATGTATAGTACATGGCAACAACATTGAAGCCAAAGAGAAAAAGACGCCGCCAGATGCGAAAAGAATGGGGAATCTCTATCAATTTTCTTGTGTCGTCAAGTCGGATGCATGGCATGACCTAACAGCGGATATAGACCAATTTATCCGTCTTGCACAGCCGAGATCATAATCAGAAGGGGGAACGGCTGCCGAAGCCGGAGGAACGTTCACGGCCACCGGAGGAACGCTCACGACCACCGAAGGAACGTCCACGGCCGGAGGAGCGGTCGCCGCGATCGTTGTCACGGTCGAAGCTACGACGGGGCATTCCACCGCGGTCGTTGAACCCACGGCTGGAGCCGCGGTCAGAACGATCAGAACGGTCGGAGCGGTCAAAGCTGCGAGCCCAGCTACCGGAGGAACGGTCGGAGCTGCGATGGCCGCCAAACACACGGTCAGTGGATGAGGAGCCCTGGCCGAGGCCAACATGGCGCTGTTGCGAGTGCCCAATCACCAACTCGGGGATCTTGGAGATACCAAGGTTGCGGGCAATGTTGGGGCTGACGGCCGGGGGCTCAGAGAGGCCGTAGCCGTTGAGGGCGAGGTCGTTGAGGATGCGGATAGCGTGGCGCTTGCTGGCAAAGCTTTGCAGCAGGGTGCCGAGCTGGGAGCGGTATGTGCTCTCACGGGTCATGAGGGGGACCTCCTGCACAGCGGCCTTAATCTGGCTGATGGTCAAGGCAGTGGCAGGAGAGAGGTTGTCGAGGCCTTTGGACATATCCGCCATGGCGGTGGGAATAGACTGGCTGTCCTCGTGGATGGGGAGATCTCTCAGGCGGTCGCTGAAGTAATCGTTCTCGCCGTCATGGAGGAACATCCAGCCCTCACCGGTCTTGTTGGCACGGGCGGTACGACCAAGACGGTGGATGTAGGTCTCGCGGTCACGAGGAACACCAACCTGGATAACGTGGGTGACTTCGGGGAAGTCCATACCACGAGCGGTCACATCGGAAGAGAAGAGGATGGCCTCAGAGCTCTTGCGGAAGGTGTTGGCGCTGTTGGTGCGTTGGCTCTGGCTGAGACGGGCGTGGATCTCTAGCAGGCGCATGCGACCCAGGGGGTTCTGGCTCCGTTGCTCAGTAGGCTCAACCTTGAGATGATTGAAAGCCTCGGCCGCAAGGTTGACCTCGGCGGTCGAGTTGAAATAAACAATCGCCTTGAATGGGCGCAGGTCAGGGTTTGCTTGCTGCTTGACCTGGTAGTTCTTGGCGAGCTCAAGAATCGAGGGCAAAGCATTTTCATATCCACGCAGGAACACAGTCTTCTGGGGAACACGGAGGTGGGTGGGGACCTCATCATCACGGACAGTCTTCACGAACTTGAAGTCCGGCTTCATAGTACGCTTGACCATGTGCATAACCTCCTTGGGAACAGTGGCAGAGAACATGACAGTCTGGCGGCTCACCTTGAAGGGATCTGGGAGGAGATCCTGGATGAGCTTGACCTCAGGGGCGAAGCCCTGATCCAGAAGACGATCAGCCTCGTCCAAAATCAGGGTGTTCAGCCGGGGAGCAGAAACACCGCTGGAAGGGTCGGAGAAGATATCCTTGATACGGCCAGGAGTGCCGACCAGCAGGTGGCAGCCCATGCGCTGGATCCTCTGCAAGCCCAGTCTCTTCTGTGTACCACCAACTGCAGTCTGCACCTTCAGTCCGGTGCCGGCAGCAACCTTCATGGCCTCGGCGGCGATCTGCTCAGCGAGCTCTCGGGTAGGAGAAATGATGAGAGCACGGATATCGGCAGCACTAGGCTGCCCACGACGGCCGAGGTCTTGCTTGGTGTTGAGAGTAGGGTCACTAAGGATGTTTTGCATCGTCGGGAGGAGGAAAGCAAGCGTCTTGCCAGTTCCGGTCTTGGCCTGAGCCAGGCTAGGAATTGTTAATAGGCGGAACCAAAAGGAATGAAGCGGTTGAGACTTACACATCGCCACCTTGGAGCATATGGTGAAGAGACTGGCTCTGCACATCAGTCATAGTCTTCAAGCCCATGCGGTCAGGGCTGATGATGTTGCGAACAATCGAGGCATCAACGAACCCCTTTGTCTGCAAATCGGCAAACTCGGTGATCAATTCCTGATCCACAGCAGGGGCTTCAGAAGCCTCCGCGGACGCCGCGCTCAGCGCAGGGTAAGAAGTTTGAAAAGATCGGATCAGGACAGGGGAGCGAGTAGCCGGGGCCTGCCACTTGAGTAATTGAGGGGCCCATCGGGATGAAAGGGTACGCGGCGCAGAGGCGCGCAGTGCCTGGGAGACACCAAATCGACGAACAGCACCAAACATTTTGAAGGATGTTGATGGAAAGGGTGAGACCGGAATAATTCGTCGCGACAGAAATCGTAAAACCAAAATTTAGATCACGTGTCTCTTATCGATAGTGCCTGGAGACTAGGCCCGAGTAGGTGGCAAATTCAACACCGGGTTTAAACGACAGGTATTGGGCTTGATTGGAGCAGAAAAATCGGAAAAGAGAAGAGTAAAAGGAAAGAAACAATAAAAAACACGTGGGCAGCCAATGCACGGATTTTCGTATAGTCACTTGGACGGTCGGAGAAAAAAAGAAGAAGAGAAAAAAAGAATGCGTCGACGCCCGGATTCGAACCGAGGAACCCGAAGGAAACGGCTCTCCTATGTGAGAGATCAAACCTTAGTGAACTAAGGCGTTTGAATGGCTCTAGCAGGCCGCCGCGGTAACCACTGCGCCACGTCGACCTTGGATGAAAAAGTAGGCTTTTATTTAATACAAACCCAACATGCTGTATCCCCTATTTCATGAGTTACCTGGCTTCCACGCGTGAAATTTCAAGCTATATTTGTTATATTTGTTCACAATGGATTTTCTGAGCATTTTCTTTGTACCCAAATGCATCCATATTTCATCAAAGCTCTGCCACGCTAAAAAAAATCACAAACTTTCACCGTTCCCAGGGTTCTCACCATGAAAATAGGAGCATGACTCAGCGGGTCGGAGCTTGAAAACACCGAGAAGAAAGTAAGCTCCATTGTGGGATTGATAATCACCATTTATTTGGCAGTGTGGGCTGACAAACTACCTTAAATTCTCCCCGGAATCCATATATCTGTAGCTGATTGTCTGGGGCGTGGCTAGTTTGACAGGAGGGCTGGAATGCATTATAAGGGGCCGGGAGGGGGGTGTCATCACGTATAAGATGGTCCACCCCAACCTTGCCTTTTCCCTAGATCAATATTCTTCCCACTATCCATCATGGCGCCTGTCAACGTTGTGATTGTTGGAGCGTCCTACGCGGGGCTTAGCATCGCCCATTCCGTACTTGAGCTCCCTGAGGTTAAAGTGGTGTTGATCAACCCGGCCACTACTTTCTTCTGGAACATCGCCGCGCCCCGCATCGTCGCAAAGGCCAAGGCTTTCAAGCCGGAGCAGTATCTGCTTTCGATTGCCGATGCATTCAACAAATACCCGGCTGAAAATATCGAATTCATTCCGGGCACTGCGACTGCTGTCGACGTTGCTGCTAAGACTATTTCAGTGACTCCCAATGAGGGCGACGCCAGGTCAGTATCGTATGACCATCTCGTTATCGCTTCCGGAAGTACTACTACTTCGACCACTGGCGAGATCACCGGCTTCTCTATCCCATTCAAGCAGTCCAATCGCGATGATGTGAAGCAGCTGATTGAGGCGGCCCAACAGAAGATTGCCACTGCCAAAGAGATTGTTATTGGTGGTGCTGGCCCTATTGGTGTCGAACTAGCTGGTGAGCTGGCAGATGTGGTGGAGCAGAGTGGCAGCGCGCCAACGATTACCCTGGTCTCCGCGACGGATCGCGTGCTTCCGATGCTCAAATCCTCGGGCAGCTCCGCCGCGTCGAAGATGTTGAAGGAGAAAAATGTCAAGGTTGTTACATCTACACGAGTAACCGGCGCGGAGGCATCAGGCGACGCATGGACGGTTTCCCTGGACAACGGCGACAAGCTCTCTGCCGACCTGTACATCCCCACGACGGGTGTAATTCCCAACAACAGCTTCATTCCGGAGCAATTCCTGGATAAGGAAGGTTGGGTCAAGGTTGACAAGGAGATGCGCGTGGAGTCATCGAAGAACATCTATGCTGCCGGCGACATCACCAACAACTCGATGCGCCTGTCATTCAAGGCTGCTGAACAAGCCAGCGTGGCGGCCAACAATCTCAAAGCGGATATATTGGGCAAGGGCGAGCGCAAGAACTTTGACCAAGGCGAGAGCATCATGATGGTTGTCCCGATTGGCGCGTCGGGTGGTACTGGGCTGGTCTTCGGCTTCACGCCCTTCAGTTTCATGGTGAAGATGATCAAGGGCAAGGACTACTTCATCTCCAAGGCAGCATCTATGGTTGCCGGGAAGGCATAGACGATCTAATCAACCAGACTGGATAATAATAGCGGTCTAATGTTTAAAATGTTAATGGGACGACCTCCAGATTTCGGGATGCTGAACTTGTTGCCAATATTACGTATATCAAAGTTATACCTACTCTCCCATATATATCCTACGATCGATTTGTAAGGTTTCCAAGATTGTTTCAGATTTCCCCACCGCCCGATCGAACCCTGGCATTAGTGCTTACGGGGTATCGATTTTGGGCCTGCTTTATCTAGATGACTCTAGGAAGATCATATGCACATCACCCGTACATACAATGACCAGTTTGACCAGTTTATGGTGCAGCCCAACCTGCGATGAAACACGATCGCATCGACCCCTTCAAAAGGCCAAGCTTGCAGGGACTTCCCCGCCGCCTCTACCAGATCGGGTAAGTTGCTCCGTGCTTGGAAACTGCTGGCTGCGAATTCAGATTATTCAGATTATTCATGACTGGATCTCTTGAGTACACGGTTCTCCTACCCAGAATGGATGTCGCCCGTCGGCTTGAATCGTTTTCAGTTCCTCCGAGCTCCACCACGGCATTCAAGATGCCCCGCTCTGAAGTCTCCGTTCGTTGAAACTGCGCTTTGCAAGCTCATGCCGTGGCGAAGTTGAGACACTCGTTGCACACGGTTTTGGTTTCCTAGGGATTATGCAAATCCAACTTCACAGTGACGGAAAATGTGCAGGGAAGTGGAGCCCGGCAACGCTTCTCGATCGACTAACACCTCCTCGAGAAGCTTCTCCGGGACCCATCCGCAAGCTCCCGTTGCTTTATAATGATGCAATCCAATTATTGAAATCTGCCTCGGTCCCCTCTGTTGCCCCGCTTGACAGTAATAAAACCTTTCTGTTATAAAAACATTGCGCCTTCTGGTTCAAGCTCACATACCTCATCTCCCACCACACCTATATACCCTCCCATTGACATCATAAATCATACATCATACATCATGTCCAACAAGGCCCTTATCTTCAAGGCTATCCCCAAGGGATACCCCGTCCCGGGAGAGCACCTGACTATCGGCCAGGCTGCCTATGACGCCAACGTTGAGACTCCTGCCGACGGTGTCGTTCTGCGCTCCCTCTACACCAGCTTCGACCCCTACATGCGCGGCCGTATGCGCCCTACCGAGGTCAAGTCCTACGCCCCTGCCTTCGAACTTAACAAGCCCATTGAGAGCGCCAGCATCTGCAAGGTCCTCCGCTCCAAGTCCGCCAACTACAAGGAGGGTGACCTCGTCATTGGCCATGTTGCCGTCCAGGAGGTTGTTGCCCTTGATGCCCCCAACCTCGCCCGCATCCGCAAGCTCGAGAACCCCCTCGGCCTTGAGGACATCCGTGTCTTCCTGGGTGCTCTGGGCATGCCCGGCCTGACCGCCTACTCGTCCCTGTACGAGATCGGCAAGCCTAAGAAGGGCGAGACCATCTTCGTCTCCGCTGCTAGCGGTGCCGTCGGCCAGATTGTCGGCCAGCTGGCCAAGCACGAGGGCTTGAAGGTCATTGGATCCGTTGGCTCCGACGACAAGCTCGAGTACATCACCAAGACTCTCGGCTTCGACGGTGGCTTCAACTACAAGACCGAGAAGCCCGCTGATGCGCTGGCCCGCCTCGCCCCTCAGGGTATCGATATCTACTATGAGAATGTCGGTGGTGAGCACCTCGAGGCTGCGCTGGACGCGTTGAACAACTTCGGCCGTGTCGTCGTTTGCGGTCTGATCTCTCAGTACAACTCCGCCCCTTACCCCATCACCAACATCGCTCAGGTTCTCGTCAAGCGTATCACTATGCGCGGCTTCATCGTCGGCGACGAGGGCATGGGTAATGTCTACACCAAGGAGCACCAGGAGAACGTGCAGAAGTGGATCAAGGATGGTTCCTTCAAGGTTCTCATCCACGAGACCGAGGGCATTGACAACTCTGCCGAGGGTCTTGTTGGAATCTTCCACGGAAAGAACAAGGGCAAGGCTGTGCTCAAGTTCTAAATGTTAGAAATTGTTAAAATAGAAGATTGAAATGCCCGCCACGAAATTCTTGGATCTGACATGTTCGGGATGTCTCGGTTATGACGTTTTGGGGATGTAACCCAGTCAAATAATAGAGAGAATCAAACAAACCTATTCATTAAGCCATGAAGTCACCTAAACGTAAACCAAGGTAGTCAATAAGGCCCGAAACATCACAAACCAGAAGTATAGAAAAGTGTACATGTCTGGATAAATGTTTCTCGCGCGTTCATCGGCCAATCTCGGCTGGGCGGATTCCCGTCAGCCAATCACTTGCCGCAGAATTCGCTGACATACCGAGTCGGATTCCCGAGGTTGCCAACTTCATCCTTGTGCGACTCTTGCTCCCCCTCCCTCCATTATCTGCAACTATGGCTTCATTCGCGCGCCCGTCACTGCTCAGGCAGACCCTTGCGATCCGGTCGCCCCTCCTGCGCCAGAATGTCGGCGTGTCGCAGATGGTTGCTTTCCACGCCTCCGCTCGGAAGCAGATCCTGCCCCCGTTGCCTCGTACGTATACCCTGTGTTTGGAGATGAATTGAGGGCGTTGAGACCGCGGAATATGTTGGATCGTAATGAAAGATTGCTAACGTATTTTCCGGTCTACAGAGTCGATTGAAGGAACCAGTATGTGACGGCCCGAAACTTCCATGTCTTTTGTCTCGCTCTTCGAGCCTCAAACCCCGGATTGCCTTTACCCCATATCGATTCTGTGGATTTGGCTGGAATGGCGAGACAGGTGGCAGGGTCAGCAACTGCTTCGATCTTGTACTAATTCCCCACGACAGTGAACGACCCGGTCCCCGTTCCTAAGCCTCACCCCTCCGAGGGTAGCTACCACTGGACTTTCGAGAGGTTCGTCATATCCTAGCTTCGGGAAAATGATCGATGATGGCATAAGAACAAATCTGACCAATATTTGCAGAGCCGTCTGCGTCGGTCTCATCCCCCTCAGTGTTGCTCCCTTCGCCGCCGGCTCCCTCAACCCCGTCATGGACGCCATCCTCTGCTCCCTCCTGGTTGCCCACTCCCACATCGGATTCCAGTAAGCCTCGTGGCTATCGCATATCTTTCCATTTCTAACCCCATTCTAGGGCCGCCATCATCGACTACTTCCGTCCCCAGCGTGTCCCCAAGTTCTACTCGCTTTGCCAATGGCTTCTGCGTGCGTTCACTCTGACCACCGCGATCGGCTTGTACGAGTTCGAGACCAACGACGTGGGTGTCACCGAGGCCCTGCGCCGGATCTGGAACGCATAGAGCGGAGTTTGAAAAGGGTGTTGGTTTCTTTTATTCTGGTCAGGCGTTCCGCCTATGTATATGTCGTCGAAATTTCTCATTTGTCCCGCCCGACACAGCTCGGTGCCCCAATTGCCTACAAGAATTATATCCTCTGTACCCATTGATACCGACCCAGTAAAGTATATAATCATTGATCTATCCGAAAGCGCAAAGGGGGGTAACCTTGGAACAAAAGACCCGCTCAACATGAAGCACTTCAGGGCACCGCTCGTATATTTTATTGATACCAATTACTGCTCGTCCTCATCCTCAACGTCCACCAACGGATCATCATCCGGCAGCTCATGGTCGTCATCCGCCTTGGCCATCACGGTCTCGATAAGCTTCAGCGTTGCCTTCAACGGCATCCCGATAACGTTATCATAGCTGCCCTCAACTTTCGCCACAAGAATAGATCCCAAACCTTGTAACCCATAACCACCAGCCTTATCGGCGCCCTCGCGCGTGCGCACATAGGCCATAATCACCTCATCCGAAACATCCCCATCAAAGGTAACATCGGTCTCCTCAACATGCGACTCCATAGCATACCCAGGCAACCTTGCGCTCTCCAGCGGCGCCATAGCCACAAGCGCCGTGTAAACCTTATGCTTCCTCGCATCACGCAGCCCACGAAGCATAGAGAAATGGTGAGCCTCGGAAGTCGGCTTCTCAAGGATTGTACCAGTAACAATATTCACGACCACCGTATCCGCGGCTAGGATGAGAGCCGGCTCGCCCTTCTCCTCATTCGTAATCTCCTGCTCATAGACAGCGCGGGCCTTCTTCGTCGCGGTGCCGAGCACGTATTCGAACGGCGCTAGGTCTTTCGGTAGGTCCTCTTCTGCGTTGGAAGGGATCACTTCGACTGGGAGACCTAGGTAGCTGATGATTTGGCGGCGGCGGGGCGATTGGGAGGCTAGCACGACTCTTTTCGTGCGGAGGTCGTTTAGCACGGGGAGTGAGAGCGGTGGTGGGCGGGGGAGTGGTGCCCCGCGCGGCTTTGGGGGGTCATAGGCTGGCGGGGGGTCGACGTGGTCGAGGAGAGCTTCTTTAGAGTCGGACATGGTGGTATGTGCAGGTCGGAGGTTGTGGGAGCTTGAATTTGGTGCGATTGCGGGTGATTGACTTGGTCTCCACTGACGATGTTCCTGATTCGCGGGTGAACCAGGCACTTGCAATATGGCCGTTTTTGGTGTGGATCTTTGCTACTGTCCATAGAAGATTGAACTGTTTTGATAGGAGGTACTGTTAGTCGGATTTGTCGTGCCCTTCACATTCAATCTCCCCCAGTCTCCTTAGCTTCCATAAATGGCAAACGACCTTTCCAAGAAGCATCGGATCCACTCGTCGAAGCAAGTATCGCCATGTCGGTAGATTTTTGACAGAAGGCTTCTATTTAGATCAAAGAGACTCATCAGTTGAATGATATTTAGATGGAGCTTTTATACAGCTTTGAGGAGACGAGAACAACAGCCTTGAAAATAGCTGCCTGAGGCCCTCAGTATAAATCACATGCTAACTGTACCTAGACGATAATCTGCAGGGCCTTTACAATCGATTTGGCCTGAAAGTCCGTTCCTATGTACTCCAGGCCACGGCAGGAGTTGACGTATCTGTGCGCCGATGCTCACTCTCGCAAAATGGGATTCTTGGTATCGCCTGTCGAGACCGAGGATGTCGATTTGCTCGTTCGTAAAGTTGAATTCCTCGCACATCAAGATGGCCTCCTCTATCGCTTGATATTTTCGCAATAAAATCGTGCGAAAGGAAACGAAACAAATGAATCTTTTTCTTGTTTACAAAATAGTAGACGCATGATTGCTCAGGAAAAGTTAATCCACATCTTGATCAGTTTAGACGGTACCCTTAATCTCTGTTCAAGAGTCTTCGTTGCTATTAGGCTAATATGACTGACGTAGGATGGTTTCTAGATTGTCTGAGAACTCGCCTGGCCCATAGTATCTCAGACAGACCCAGAAGGCGACAATTTGTTCGCCGGCGAATAAGCAGCAAACTGAAATAGTTCGCTTCAAATTACCGAAACTCAAGATTATGCATATTGGCCATTGCTCGGCACGTCTATACTTATTAGGTGGCGTTGTAAGCGAAGGATTCCTGACGCAGGTGCAAGGGTCTCAAGGTTACTGTAGCGCACTGGTTCGAGGGCCTGAGTGTCTCTAACCTTAGAATATACTTGCCTAGGTAGTCACCGCCAGGGTAGGAAGCAATCATAAATCCCATGTACGCACCGAGCCTTGATCTTATGATCTCCCCGGCGCTGGGACTAGATCCGGAGGCATCCATTTCTTATGACGCCATATGATCGTACGTGTACTTCCAAGGCTCGTGCCCATGTGTTCTCTATCAGGATTTGCCGGAGATGAATCTATAGCTAGTAGATTAAACGGTGCTGCCTGGATATTCGCACGGGTTACCTTTCATCGCCGTACTTTTTATGTGGATGCCGACCGAGCCAATTGTACTAGAGTTATATTGATGAGCCACGAATAGACTAGACTCCGCCTTCTTACCTGCCCAGTGCCGTCAGCGAATCAAGACACGTAAGAGGTACCAGAACCAGTACATAGACGATTGAATGGAAGCGGATTATACATCTCGGACATAATTGCCTGTAGAACTTCCCCACTAGACCCATATTAGACTGCCAAGGTTTCGTTAGGAAGATACATGAGGAGACGTATTTGCCACTCACATAATCTCGGGGCAGATTTCGATTCAATGGGTAATACACTAGGGCTACCGGACGGGTTAAATAAGAGTTTAACCACTATATATGTAGGCTTTGCCATTCTGCTCATTATGATTTGACTTCTGAAAATGCTCTATTCCCGAAGTGTGCGACAGAGAAGCTTGGACTTGTGGGGAAATGACCTCACATAGAGTAGAAGACCCTCTATAGCATTCCACATCGTGAGATTTGCCACGGTACTAGGCCATAACACCATGAATAACTATCACACTGTGCAGTGTGCAAATTTCAGTACAAGCGAAGGCGGCGGTCAATTCCGGTTTTCCGGAGATAAGATCTTGGCACTATAACCAAGCGAGATGATCTGCAGGGGTCTTCACTCCTTCAGTCTTGATTAAATCCGACGTGGGGCAATCAGGCTTATCAAGATGAGATTGACAACAGCATGATCCATCCCACTAGCTGCATCGGGCCTTTTATCTGAATAAGGCGATGACGACCGAAATACCGCTTGGCAACACGTACATGTTGTTTGACCCTTGCGGAAATTGATCGACCAAATGCCCGTCGGAACTCCCATTGCCTTTCTAACTACTCCTTGATCCCTAAAAACACCCATTTAATGGCAGTAGTTCGGTGGCCATTTCTGGTCATTTCGGCTCATCCGAGTGCTCGGATTGCAGGATTCGGTGAAGAACCCACCAAGCCACTATGACAGCTAGCATAGCCCGCCCTTCGTGCCGGTTCAATGCCGCTACTGTGATGGGTCTCTACTGTTAGAAGGCGGGTCTTTCTGCTTGTTATGACCAGGCAAGGGCACTGGGGTCCCCGGGTAAGAAATTATCAGTATATAATATGGCCAATCGTCGCTATCTTCGGACCTGCAACGACACTTGTCTTTTCTTCTGCCATCGTTCGGGAAAGGGAAAACAGGATGCGACTTTCCTCTGCGATTACCTTTGCAGTCCTTGTGGTTGGCCCTGCTGCAGCTAGCTGCCCTTATGCTGAGCGTGCTACTGCTGCTCCCGTTGCTGCTGCCGGCGCAGGATGCCTTTATGCAAAGCGTGATGCTGTCACCGTGCCAAAGGAGAGGCCAACAGTGTCGCGCCGCGGGCCAATTGAGGGCAAGAAGGGCATCTTCTATAGCAAGTAGCCCTTAACTTCCTCCTCGAGGACTAGACAGACATACTAACGAGTCACAGTGAACCGAATTGGACCGTCGGGCTCGCAGCTTTGGATCTCCAACGCGGACGGTACCAATGCAACAAAGCTTATGGGCAATCAAACAGGGGCTTTCGACTACCACCCCTCATGGTCTCAAAATGGCGACTGGATAGTCTTCACTAGCGAACGCCGTTCGCCCGGGCAGTCTGACTTATATCGAGTGCGCCCTGACGGCACTGGACTCGAGGTGCTCGAGGATACAGACAGCGTCGAAGATGCGGGCACACTCTCACCAGACGGTACTAAGGTCGCGTATGTGTCGACATACGGCAATTACACGACCAACATATGGATCAAGGACCTGAAGACCGGCAGGGCACACAACCTGACCGACACTGCTTCCACCCGTAGCAGTGACATCTGGCCCTCTGGACACTTCCGTCCCGCATGGTCCCCCAATGGCCAATGGGTCGCCTTCAGCTCTGACCGCAACACGGACTGGACTGGACATAGCGAAGGTACCGGCTGGGAGCACACGCAAAGCTTGGGTATCTATGTGATTCGCGCTGATGGCCGCCACTTTCGCACCCTGCTCCACGAGCAAGGCTATGCGTATGGTACTCCTCAGTGGTCGCCAGATGGAAGTCGCATTATCTACAACAACATGACGACTGAGAATACCTACTATGCGCACTGCGTGGCCGAGCAACAGGAATTGATCTCTTCGCAAATCTGGAGCGTTGACTTCGCGACAGGCAAGAACCGCGTCAAGCACACCTCCAGTGACACCTTCAAGGTTGGACAACACTATATCGGCAACTCCACCAATATTGGCTACCTGGTCAAGGCTGGAGACCTGGAAGGTATCCACTACACCAAGCCTGATTCGACTCACAGGGCCTTCAACCTGACTTACCTGCGTGACCCCTCGTGGTCACCGGATGGAAAGAAGCTTGTGTACTGGATCCCGAACTGGGATCAGCAACCCGCCGAGCTGGAGCTGTTCAGCTACGACAATGAATGGCAGTACCGCTACGCTGATGTCTTCCCTATGCACAACACCGTCGTGAACCGCATGGCGACAACACAGAAGGTGCTGGGAGGTGCCAATGGCTCGGTTGTGCATTCAACCCCATTTTACAAGGACGTGGTCGACGCGCTTGACTCCTACGATATTTACTCAGCCGACAACACGACCGAAGTTTTGTGGCTCGAGGAGGGCCAAGCAGGTGGCTTCCAGCCCTCGTGGAACCCCGACGGCACTGAGCTGGTCGCCGGCTTCGGCGCCTGGTTCTTGACTCGTACCGAGTCCTCCGCTGCCATTTACCGCATGTTCGCCAACGGAACCGGCCACACCAACCTGACTGACTGGACTAACAATGCCGGTTACCCCTCCTGGTCCCCCGATGGTTCCGCCATTGTCTACCGCATTTTCAACAGGGAGAGCGGTGATCCCATGGGCCTGCACATCCTCAACTTCACTACCGGCGAGACAACCCAGCTCACTCTTGGCTGGGATAACACTCCCGGTTGGTCTCCTGATGGCGAGCGCATTGTGTTCACCCGTAACAACAACTGGACCGCATCCTACGGCTCTCGCTGGTACGCGGACCGCTTCGATATCTACACTATCCGCCCGGATGGCACTGAGCTGACCCAGGTGACGGATAGTCTATCCAACGATGCCCAGTAAGTCCCCGGTCCATTTCTTTACCATTGACAATATATGCTAACCTCCCTCAGTGCTGTCTGGTCCCAGGATGGCCATATCATGTGGAGCACCGGCATGTACGGCTTCAAGGACGAGAGCCAACTCTTCGACAAGACCTTCCAGCCCTACGGTCAAATCATGATCATGGACTACGATGGCTCCAACAAGAAGCTGCTCACAGATACCATTTGGGAGGACTCGATGCCTTTGTATCTGCCTAACGAGTATCTCGAGTAGACCTGTACAGGAGGATATTTCGACGAATGCAAATTTTGTTCATATACTTTTATCATTTCAAAGCCAAGTCACTTTGTAATTTGCAAAGACTTTCACAGCCCATCCTTAATGCGAACCTGCGTAGTCCGTAGAGGAGTATGTACTTTTGTCCCCTGCACGCTCGGCCCCATCAGCTCGGCTCCATCAGCTCGGCATAACTACACGTGACTGGCTCCAGTTGCGGTCCTCGGTAGTATAGTTCGTACCGACAGGCCCCTGAATATCTCCACATGATCCTGTTGCCTAGAAAAACCTGCGATAGCATGTAAAATATTGAATTGAAAGATTCAGCCCAGCAGTAAACGCCCCTAGTGGTCCTGTAGCCACGCCCATGTACACATTCTGGTTTTCAGCACCACGCCCAGTGGCAAGTTGTTATTGAATATGTACAAATAATGATATAGATAGATATAGCCTACAAGGATAAAGAAGTATTTGGTGAACGGAGAATCCACTGCCTGTGGTAGGGATGCGAACCAGCGCAAGCAGAGCACCCGAGTCTCGGATAGGAACGTGTCAGACAGGACTGGTTGCCGGTACAAAAGATGCGACCAGCGCTGATTCCTGTAGACTCAAAGGTGCAGCGATGATCCCGAGACGGTAGAATAGGTTTCGTGGTGGATGTATAGTTGATTTTTGTGTGGCCTGGGTGCCGGCCCCGCACCTCGGCACAGCTGTGTATAGAACCGCCGATGCGAACAGGGAAAGAACCCAAGAAACGATAATGCGAAGACAGCAGAGAACAAAACACAGCAGAGAGATGACCGGGGGTTATGTAGGCCGCAATGAATCATCTACCCGACCGCCCTTGTTCTCGACCTCGGCAATCATATTCTGTCGCTCTTGAAGCTTCAAATGCATGAACTCGACTGTCTTTTGCAGCACAATGCTTTCGCTGCGACCTTGGCCCTCGAGGCCAGGCACCAATTCCGTAAGTCGGTCGAAGCCATCGCGGATGGCTGCGCGGCGCTTTTGTTCGGAAGCGATGTGGTTGTTCTTCTTCTCTTGGTCGGTGAGGCGGGGCTTGTCTTTGTCTTGACCGGATACCGATTTTGATGTGGCTGTCGGGGTCGATGAAGACCGGTCATCGTCGTCAGGATTCATGTTGGAAAGAGGTTGCGACCGGATGCGTCGCGAGGAATTTGAAACAGGTCAAGTCGACCCTTGAGTACCACAGAGTGAAAGGAAGAGGAGAGGAGAAGGGAAAGTTGCGGAGGAAGGAAAGCGATAGCGATAAGGCCAATGCGGAGAATAAGAAGCTGATCCTTGGCACTCTTCACGTCATAGAGGTCCACCTCACACCACCCTGCCACTTTTTTCTCCTTCCTTCTTCTTGTGCAAGAGTTACGACTATCTCCATACAAGGGAAGACTCAATTGTAAGGTTGCGGTGCAGCTGATAGCTCTTGCCGACGTTACAGCTCTGTATCGATCCGATCCAGTCTGGCCCGCCGTTACTGGTACCACCGTACAACATGGCCCACGAGCCGCTGCATGGATCATGCTCATGTGGTCGTAATGAGTACAGCATTCAGATACCGGAGGATGTGACCGAGCATGCCGAAGTCTACTTTGACACTTCCCGAGACAACCGTATGTAGATCCCCGAGCTCTATTGAGTACTACTGAAAACGCGCTAGGTCGATCACATGGCACACCTATCACAGCCTGGCTTCGCGTACCTCTTGACTGGTATCAGTCGAGCACTCGATCTTTTTTCCCCGACGAGACACATTCTTCTATTCGCCGCATCTTCACACCGCGCCATGCACCTGACACCCGGCGCATCTTTTGCGGTTTCTGTGGAACGCCTCTGACATTTTGGACGGAGGAACCCCACGAGGAAGCCGAGTTTATGAATATCGCAATTGGAAGCCTATTCAGCGAGGACCAGCGTGTCCTGGAGGAACTCGACCTTCTCCCGGCAGACTCTGATGAGGAAGAATCAGTGGCTGAACCATCCAGCTCAGCCCTCGAACCGGCAATGGACACTGTATCCTCCATCATAGTGCCATCGTTTGGCAACCAGGGCCTCTCACGAAGCTTCCGGCACGGTACAGCTGGCGGAATTCCCTGGTTTGAGGAAATGGTTGAGGGCAGCCGCCTCGGCCGGCTGATGCAATCTCGGCGCGGCATGGGTGTTAGCGACGATCAATCTACTTCATTCGAATGGGAAATCAGTGAATGGCACGATGATGGAACTGGTGATATAGTACAGGAAGATGACCCGGATGCTCATTCTATTGGGAAGAGAAAGCGGGGCCAGCAGGTGGAGGCCAAGTCGAAGTCGAAACGGACCTGAGTTCAATGCTCATGTTCTAGGGGTGCTCTACCCATCTTAGCTAGGCGCTTAGTTGTTGGAGATTCATTTGAATCTACAATTATTTATTTGCTTCTTTTCTTTTTCGATATTGGCTGGCGTTCTTCTCAGGGATGCCTTAGTGCGTCAGAGGTAAAATAATATAGAGCCAGGAGGGTTAATGTAGCCAGAATTGAAGTTTTCCAAGCAAATTCTATCTAGGAGTAAACAAAAGGCACTATGACCTATCTGATACCGAAAGGAGGATAGCTAAAGAGTATGGCCTATTTGCGGAGCTCTATTGTGAAAAAATACTAGCCTACTCTATGGAGCTTTACTTTAGCTTCATTTTAGCTTTAGTTTACTAGAGCTATGTATCCCTACCTTGGCTTTGCTTCAAGTTTCTCCTCATGTTCCAACTTAAGTTTTACATTCAATAGACTTTTTCCCCTATACTTGTTTGATCCTTACTTTGCCATACTAATAAATCGTCGCTTCCGCCCTCCGGCCCACCCTCGCCGTCTCCCCTATGAACTCTCTACTTCTCCCACCTTCTTCCACGATCCCATTGTCATACACCATGATACCGCAGCCAAAGAAGCCAGCAAGTAAGGCCGTGCCTAAGAAGGGCTTAGTGCCAGATGCTCCCGACCTCGCGGCTTCCTCTATCGATATCCCAGCCACTACCAAAGCCACAAGAGCCTTACATATCCTACCAGGCCGTCATGATCTGCAGCAGTTGGAAGAGAATTTTTCCTAACTGGTTGAGCTCAATACTGGTTGTCTGTTGTCGCAAGATTTGCTATGGTATTATGAGCGGCAGTCAAGTGAATGCCAAGTGCAAGGGTTTTAAATGATGCCAAGCAGAATTTCAACACCTATCCGCATGCTAAAAACCACTTATACTATATTCCGAATCTGGGTATATAATATATATAATATAAGTGGCTCTGTTTTTCTTTGGATAGCTCTAGCAGGAATGAGTACCGATTATGGAACAAATAGATCGTAATAGAATGTAATCAATTCTAAACTCCAGGCTATGCAACCGATCTATCAAATCAAATCCATAGTTCAAAGACAAAAGAAACACACATATGTCCGAGCCATATGTGGACATTAATTATTTACTCGAAACAAGCCAGGCTCATCTAAGGCTTAGAAGTCCACTGCTGGGGATAAGCAGGCATAGCAGCCTCCTCGCCCCGGTTGACCTGCTTGCCACGAACACGCAGAGTCATACCAACACCAAGGCAAGTAATGACAACAGCAAACTCTTCGAGGACCGACATGACCAGGGCCACAGTCTCGCTACCGTTGAGAATACTGAAAGTCGAGTCATGCAAGAACCAGATGAGGAACGCGTAGATGACTCGGACCAGAATGAATGGCGAAGAAATAGCAACCGCCAACAAAGTCCGACCCTCGCCGCGCTCGAGAGAGCTGCGCTTCACGGCAATGACCAGAAGCATGAGGACCATAACCGCCCAACAGACGAGGTAGAGAATCATTCCAATCTTAGTCTTGATATCGGGGTGCGCGAGACCCTCGGCGGTCATATTAGACGCGATACCCGCGATAGCGATTGCCATCGCGACGACAGTGAGCAGTCTGAAAGCGCGAAAGATCATAGCAGGCAGAGCAGGACGGCTTGTTGTGTGTTCGATAGAGAGATTGGCTCGAGAAAGGAGACCGGTGCATGCGAGCATCAATGGGGACAATCCGACTGAACTACAGATTGCGGCTGCTGTGAAGAGGTTTGTAGATGGGTTGCTGATTGTTGCTAGCTCGCAGCAGGCGCCGACGATGCGAGCTAGAGCGAATGTTGTGAGGAAAATGTAGCCGCTATTTGTGCGGAAGCCATGGCGGTAGACGAGAAATGCGGATAAGATGAGAGAGGGGAAGTAGACTATCAGTTGGAGGATGGAGATGCCGTTGGCGTAGGAGACAGTCATTGTTGGGGGGGGGGGGGGGTTCGGCAAGGCTGTATAAGGTTGTATGAAACAATGGGTGATTGGTTTGACGTTGAGGTGAGATTGTATGACCGAATGGAGTGCGTTGGATTGATGTACTATGATCCTGAGGAATCTTGGATTATATAGTCCCGCATGACTTCTTGCATACCCTTTTTGGCAGATCCTTTTAAGGCGCAGTCGATAGGGCTCTCAAATTGAGCTCTATTGGGAACGTGGCAGCCATCTAGAAGTGTGGCTTGACCACGAACCTCCAGGCATCTATGAAAAAAGGCTTGTAAAAATTAAACAACAAGGGGGAAAACCATTAAATCAAGCCAGGCTTTTTCGCAATGGTCACCGTATTAGGTATAGTGCGTCCACTTCGCCGTTCAGCTTGGTTGCGCTATTCCTCTTTTGGTTGATTCGGCGAGGGCGGTGCAACCGACTGCTCGGCTGGTGCCGACTGTCCAGGAGGCTTATTATCATCTTGCCCCTCTTGAAGTGACTAGGAGATGGTCATAAATTTACATCATGGTGTATTGCGGCAAGCCGAGCAAAGGCTGCGGCCAGTGCAGGACAAGAAAGATCCGATGCGACCAGGCCCGCCCGGCATGCTCACAATGCGTGCGGGCTAAGCGGGACTGCCCCGGTTATCGGGATCAACTGTCCTTGATGTTTCGAGATGAGAGCAAATCAGTGGTGCGGAAAGCGGAGGCGGGCTCCTCTAGTTCTTCCACCTCTTCTGCACCGTCCGCCTCTAGACAGAAACGGTCACCAGCGCGGACGCCTCGCACTGCTTCCCCAGACGGGAGTACTGCGTCCGAGCTTACCGTTTCGGTGGATCCGGGCTTGGATAGCTTGCATGACTTGTTCGACTTCAACTCGGATCCACAATTCGATATGTACATGCCCGATCTATGGCAGATGCCTCTCGAAGTTCAGCCGACCGATGAAGCCTCGCAAATGGAGGCTGTCTGCTACTTCCTGCGGTCTAATGCCATCCCAGGCACGTTTTGGATGAGCGATTTTGTTACCAAGTTCTTGATGCACCCTGGGGGTACGGTTAGTCAACAGGCCATGCAGGCTAGTATCATTGCCGTTTCATCGGCAATGTTATCTCGTGTCAGGAGAACAAACTCGCTTAAAGTTGTGGCGCGAAAGGAATATGTATCGGCACTCAGTTTGCTAAACACTGCTCTTGCCGATGCGGAGGAGGCCAAGACTAATCAAGCACTGGGGGCCGTAGTGCTCCTCGCGATATATGAAGTAAGATGCTCGAATGAACTACCAAAAACAGCACTGACGCCACCCGCCACAGGTTGTCACTTCGAGAGCCCCGCAGGATATTGATCTCTGGACTAACCATATAAATGGAGCCACTGCTCTACTGGATCTGCGGGGTACCGATCAGCTTAAGACTGAAGCGGGTCTTCGCCTTTTCCTGCATTTACGGTATCAAATTGTGAGTAAAAAAAACCTATTCTTCCTTTTTTGAAATTAACACTGGCCAGATTATAAGCTGCATCCAAAGGGATACTCGAGTACCCGAGTCATTATTGGAGTGCTCAAAGTTCGCCATGTTCCTCCGACCTAGCGAGGCTCACAGCAACCGTTTGGTCATGGTCATTGGTAGATTGTCCAACCTCCGTGCAGAGATCCTTGCAAAGACTTTTAACCACGCGAGCGAGATCATCGCCGCCGCTTCAGCCATCGAAGCCGATCTCATTGCCTGGCTCGCAGCACTGCCACCCGACTTCAACTATGAGAATCTCACGAAACCACCATTTGACTTCCTATTTCAAGAACGATGTCGCGGGATTGCGCTGTACGACAACCAATACCATGTCTATCCAACCCTCTGGGTCTGCAGCACGTGGAACCAATATCGTTGCGCGCGAATCATTGTCAGTGAGATCATCCTGTCCCACATCAGGCAGATTTCCGACTCGTCGTCCCTGAGGTCCCTGTCAGATGAATTTAAGACTCAATGCAATACTCTCCGATCGACCATTCGGCGCCTGGCAGTTGACATTTGCCGCAGTGTGCCTTTCCATCTGGGCGCACATTTGAAATACGCCTCACCCAACTTTCCACCCCCAGAGAGCTACATTGGGGGGCTTATGCTCCTGTGGCCCCTGTTCCTGGCCGGCGTGGTCGAAAACCCGAGCCATAGCCTACGTCGGTGGGTGGTGTCTTGCTTGAGGATGATTGGAAATACTATGGGTCTAGACCAGGCTCTCGCACTTATGGACATTGTTGCATCCGACCCGGGCATTCTTCATCAGGTACTTGAAGAAGACGAAATTGTTGTCACTGGAGAGTCATCGTCTTCCCTTATCTCTTCTGTACCAAAGAAGACGCCCGTTTCACTGATCAACCTTCCCTATTCAACCATTCCTGCTTCGGAAGGAGAGCCCTGAAACGCCTCGCCTTTGCACAACTCTTTCATTGTCTACTTTTTCAAGACTGTAAAGATCTCCTTGCATTGCCTGTAAATTCTTCTTCTTGCATTGAGGCGCAGTCGCAAGAAGAGGGGCTCTCGACTTGAAGGCGTTGGAACGGCATTACGATAATGAAACTCACTACAAGCGTGTATTTCCCCCTCCCCGGGTTTATGAAATGATCTCATGTGACACTCCATACAAATTTTAATCGTTCATTTATTGGGCAATGCTCTTTTCGATTGCACAGGTTACCCTTTCAAATGTTGGAGGGTGGTCAGTGCTGCGCCATTAGTCTCATCTCATTCACGAGATGGGGCAGTGCAGACTCAGCCCTGCGGGTGTCACTCGTCGCATGCCAGCCCAACCATTCTGAGTCAAACCAACGTAAAAGAGCCCCTTTAGTGCCCCATTGTCGGCCCGGGTGATAGTTTAATTGATTAAGCGGGCTGTACGCGATCTATGTACCATGGAAAACTCGCATAGCCCGGGTAATTCCCGAACTATGGTTGTCAGCACGGCCCTTCTATTAAACACAAGTTTCAGCCTTGTGAGGGTTAGTTCTCCTGTAGGAACCCCGCACTAGTCATCCTTTGAGGTCCTTTGAGTCCTAAGCTGTTGTTTTATTGAGGTCCGCGTGAGGGGTCTGTCAGACTTGGCCTATCTTGAGCCGCGTCCAGCCGCGTGAATGCCTTGAATGAAGCCTTGATCACAGCCCTATTGCTTAGGCCCACATTACGACCCCCTGAGTATGAATGAGATACCGACACTGTAGTCAAAGACCCAAGATATAAGAGATGACGGTGTTCTACCCCCAAGTCCGGGTCATCATACTCAACAACCCTTGGAATAGCTGAACTCTACTCCATCCATTGCATACCAGTTGCATCATTTATAAATTCGAAATGTCTTTCTTTGAACGAAAAGCTCCTCCTCCGTTGTGGTCCTCATTTCCAGCAAGTCGACCAGGTCATCGCCATCGCAAACGTGCCGAGGCAATCACCCCAGACTTCACAATGGGGAACAACAAGTCCACACAGTCTCCGTCCCCAACCGGGTCCAAATCCAAGCCTAAGCGCAACAGCACATTTTTCTCAATATGTCGCGGGTCGAAAAAACCCACCAATGTATGGGATCCACCAGCCTACGATGACCAAGATTACAAAGCCCCCTCAGCCCAAGTCAAGACGTCCACAGACGCAGACTCAGACTCGCGATACTCATTCCTCAAAGACTTCGACACCATCTTCCTTGTCGACGATAGCTCTAGCATGAGCGGGCCTCGCTGGCGCGAAGCCGAAGAAGCAATCGCCGCTATCGCCCCAATCTGCACACAATACGACAGCGACGGGATTGACGTCCACTTCCTGAACCACCGCACCAGCGGCAAAGCAGGGTCCTACCACAACATCACTACTGCAGCAGATGTGCAAGAAATCTTCCACAGCGTGCGCCCGTGTGGCTCAACGCCCGTAGGTCGTCGCCTCCTCGAGATCCTAACGCCATACCTGCGGCGCGTGGAGCAGATGCAGAGCGGGAATGCGGTCTTCGTCAAGCCAATCAATATTATTACGATTACAGATGGCGAATTCACGGATGATGCAGAGAGTGTGATTGTGCAGGTCGCTAAGACGCTGGATAATCCACGAGTGAACGCGTTACCGTGGCAGGTTGGGATTCAGTTTTTCCAGATCGGGAATGATGCGAGTGTGCGGAGGTATTTGCAGGAGCTGGATGATGATTTGGGGAAGTCATGTCGGGACGGGAAGTTGAGAGATATCGTGGATACGGTGCCCTGGCGCGGGAAGCAGGGGCGGACGTTGGATGCGGACGGGATATTGAAGTGTGTGTTGGGGGCTGTGAATAAGAAGTTGGATCGACGACAGGCCTGATTTTCTTCTTCTTCTTCTTCTTAGAGTGCTAGGGTCATGGCGAGTACGAGTAACGAGTTTATGAGATCCAAAATACCGACGTACCTTTTTAATCTATGTAGATAGGCCTTGCCACATCCTGGGATAGACTAGGATCTACAGACCCGAAACGACGTGTCATCTGCATTGAAGGGCCACCTCAGGAACCGCCGAAGTGGAGATTCTGGGCCGAACGCGCTCAGGAACACCAATCGTATGGCTATGCCTTGTTTTGACCAGGGTTATCGGCGAATTATCCTTGCTAGATGGCGTTGACCGACATGTCATCACAGGTGATGTGTTTCATGGCTTTTCTGTTTCCAACTATAGTCCACTCGGGTAATATGTACCTTGCAGCGCGCGTCCGTGGAGATCTGCGAACCACGGTACGAGCGGAGAGCACTACGCCACCATTGAAGATGATAATCTGCCCCTTTTCCTATTTGCATATCTCCCTTGAGGGTTCCGATCGAACGCTATACGCTATACGCAATCTCCCGACTACCACATCCATAACTATCTGCCGATCCACCAAGCTTAGAACCTCGCTCATATCCCGCGATCGGCATCGCAGCACGGATTCCCCGCAGTGCCGATCTCGTCACCGAAATTTCCAGCTGTGCTCTCTCAACCTCCCGAATTAAACTTGATCCCCTCCAAGTCAACCTCGCCAACACATCCCTCAAACACCCTTGCACAACCCCGGTCTCGAGGCGCCGGAACTCTGACGCCGGAACATCCGTGTGTCGGCGCTACGCGTTCGCTCGTCCCTATTGGCGTGCCTGGAAATTGCGCGGTTCCTGAAGCACCCGCGACAGCCTGCTGTCAGGTCATGGCAATTGGCGTATCCATCTTCGGCCCTGTCCGATTCTAAAACTGCGACGCCACGACTTTATTCTCTGCGTGAAACGGCCGCGGTAATTATAGAAACATCTGGACCTCGGGGTTTTTGTTTACTTTATATTCTGCTTCGCTCATCGTTTCCCTTTCCTCGCTACCGTTTGACCTTTCTTTTTTCGTCATTGCATTTGGTGCTGTATAATACTGGGGGTGTTTACTTTTGTTTGATCTGTGATCTGTGATCTCTTGCATCGTTCTTTTCTTTTCTTTTCCTTTCTTTTCCTTTCTTTTCCTTTTCCATGAGTCTGCATTGCGCCGTTTGCATATTGTATACTATTGCATTGCTGGCCGCTTGATACTTGCTTTTTCTCGAACGATCGTTGCTTTGCCATGATATCGACCACCCTCATGACTTTCCTGCTGTGAGTGCCTCTCCTTAGATGTGAGTTTCGCGGGCTGATCTGGTTCAGGATCACCAACCCCGAAATCCGATCAGTCAAGCTGCTCGGATCATGGGACAATTTCTCGAAGCCTTATGCCATGGAAAGGGACAAGCGGATTGGGCCTGGACATTGGAAAGGATGCCATACCTTTACGGATATCATGGGCGATGGGCCCGGTGACACCCCCCAGTGGCGTACGGGAGGCCTGAAGATGGGTGCGACTTACTGGTACTACGTGAGTAACCCAGACGATGGTTGGGAGTGGCAGCGCTGACAAAAGGCAGTACTTGCTGGATGACGACGTGGAACACTTCAATGAAGTAGAGCCCGTCACAACCCAATGTCCCCTGCTCCCAGGACAACCACTCAATATACTCAATGTGCCCATCATGATGCCCGACAGTCGCTCTCATGGAAGGTCAAGCAGTAACAGCTCGCAAAAGTCCGATTTTCGAACTATGAACCCGAAAGACAAATTTATGAATCCGCGGAAGCCACCGAAGCCTTCGCCAACGCGTCTGCAGACCTCCGCGGCGAACCGCCAGCCCTTTATGGACCCCAATAGTGTCTCGCCCGGTGGCTCAATTCATCGTAGTGCTTCGCAGCCCATGAGTGCCAAGTACGGAAAGCACACGAAGAACGCACGCTCTGTCTCCCCCGCATTCCCTGAGATTCGCCATGCGTTCCGATCTCCCAATCGGTCTCCCAATCCAATGGAGATGGAAAGCCATAAACAGGCCTTGTCAAGATCGAAGACACACGCTGGAACTCCACGGAAAGAGCGGTTCTTCGAAGACCGCCGTGAAATTCCTGGCATTAAAGTCAATGCCGGCCCTGTATCGCCCGCAACTATCAAAGAGATTCCTGGTCCCTCGACTATTCAAAGTCGCCGGGCGATGAAAAGTGCTGGCAGCTCAGGACATGGCAAGGATCTTCTTACAGTGGATACTCGAACGCATCGTCGCCAGAACAGTGCTTCCAAGGGACACATCGAAACGCAAGCTACCAGGGACGCTATGTCCAGCGGAACGAACTCGAGTGATACACCGACGCCAACAGGCCCAGACCCCCAAGAAAAACGACTTCCTTCGCTTCCCAATACGCCATCATCCGTCATGGATGAGGCGGTTCGTGCTATTGACGAAAGGGATAAGGAGATGGACGCACAGGCCCTGCGCAGCCACTTCTCAAGTATTACGACGGTGGCCGACGAGTCGACCCATTCTCGCGTCCCAGAGCAAAGCCGTTTCTCGGAGTGGAGTACCGATACCGAGACAGAAGGCGAAGACAACTCACCCGAGTCGATGATCTCTACATTGACGTTCAATGGACCGAACGAGTCCTCAGCCTTGGAGGAATGGAAGACACCAGACCTGGCGCAACACGACACCGCCTATAACACCGACCCAAACACACCGCACCTCACTGTGCATTCTAAGCCATCATCCCCAAACTCCGCGTCTGGCGATGTTCCAGCGTGGAACCTGAATTCCCTCCCCCAACTCACCATCTCAATTTCCTCATCTCACGGCTCGGGCCTTGGAATCGAGCCAATGGAAATGGAAGAGGTAGAAAGCAACCCAAAGCGCCACGCCGCCCTATTCAGCGCCATCGAGTCCATGCAGGCACTCTCCCTATCACGCAGCCCAGACGGGTCACCAATCATCCTTCCAGAGATGCAAGGACCGGAGGGCGAACATGATGATACGGATAAGCAGAGGAAGAACGTGCGCTCGCAGCATAGTAATGCATCGCTTCGTGACAACTCGACCATGCGGGAGATGTTGGATGAAGTCAGTTACCTGAAAAACATGATCCAGGCTGAGATGGACGGAGAACCATTTTAATATGTACATTCGCTTATTTAGCTAGATGGGTGCTGGCCGCCCACGTATTTTGCTACCAATTATGATATAGAACAAGACAATGCAGTAGACATGCGTATGTGCAAATATCTGAGGCAGAAGAGTAAAAGAGTAAAAGGTACAGCCTGACAACGGGGAGAATCTAAACGAGCTTGAGTAGGCGGCGATGACTTATCCGTCCGGCCGTATTTCGAGTCGTTCGAAAAAGGGCATTGAAAAAAAAAAAAAAAGGAAAGAAAAGGGAAAGAAAAGAGGGCCAAGAAGATGTGGACAGGAATGTCCCGAAAGAGATACAGAAGGGCCAACGGAAAAAAATTGGAATTGTTTGAGCTCGATTACATTGTCTTCTTGGTTAGGCTGGATTTAGATGAGCTAGTTGAGCCCCTTTAGAGTATCTCTTTGTTGGCTGATCGTAAAACAAAGAATTGCAATATGCAAAAGTCCTGACATTGAATCAGACATCACACGGAAGGAATGCACTCGACGCCAAAACAACCACCAAATTACGCCGATCGAACGATCGCATATATGAGCAAACCGGCAGAAAGGGGACACACAAACAGGCCATGGTGCACCCGCGCCCAACCACGCGCCAAGAATCTCCACCCATCAACACTTCAAGACAACAAGCCGTGGCCCTCCCATTTCGTTGCAAAGAAGGATGGGCTGATCCAGCTCATCCGCCACAATTAAACATGGAGGCGCCCCAGCTCACCACGGTCGGAGAGAAGACCTTGCCGGCAAAATGTAAATACAGCGCCCTGGCGTACTGTCCCTCGATGGACCTAATCGCCCTCGCGACAGAGGATGATGAGCTGCGCGTCTTTCGCCTCAATGGACAGAATGTGTTTGGGGGCTCCTTTGGTGGCGATCCCTACCTGGGCGAGGACGAAGAGGATGGCGAGATCAGAGCTCTCGCGTGGAAGGGCAATGGTATGTTGTCTTGCGGCAATACTGAATGAAACTAACGATTTTCTAGGCCATTTCTTGGCTGTCGCGTGCGGTGATGGCTCAATTCGCATTATCAGCGCGTATAGTGGTAAGACTGTTCACCACTACACCGCGTACGAGGGGCCCAAAGACGACATCTCTACTTCTGGGCAGAAGTCTCCCAAGGTGACCTGTCTGGGCTGGGGTGTCAACTTCACAGATAGCAAAGCCGCGCAGAGAAATCTACTCGAGTCTGCGGGCCAGATCTCCATCGAGGACCTCTTGACACCTAGTGTCCATTCATCAAAAGCAGTCGCCCTACTCAAGGCGGACTTACCCAGGGAACTGTCCATGCTAGACATTGAAAGCTCTCTTCCTAAGCTGAGTACTCTCCCCGCCACTGGGGCTGAAGACGACCTGTTTAGCTCGCGGGCTTCAATCGACGCCATCTTCCACTCTTCTGCCAAGGATACCGGCGACTCCGTGGATGTCCTGTTCGTCGGATTCGACGATGGAAGCGTTCACCTACGCATCTTCGATTGTTTCGAGATCGGCTCACTCCCCGTTGGCGAGTCCACTGGACAAGCCAAATCGTGCCAGATCTTTCGTCATGCTTCGCACCCGCTAAGCTCAACACATGCCTTGCTAGCATCGCCCGACGCGGGCCAAGATCAAGGCCCTCTGACCCTTGTCACTCTAGACCTGCGCTTCATCACCAAGTCGGGCCGATATCTGTCTCTTCTCGCGTCGAAGACTACGCAGCTGCAGAATCTGCTTCGGTATATCGGACAGGTTCAGCGGCAGATTGAGCTTGAGTGGAAGAATGCACAGGAGTTGCCCTTCCGATTCCTTCGCAGTGTCAATATGGACCTGGAGGAGAAGTGCCAGTGTGACTTTACTACCGCTATTTATCATTTGGTCGCTACGGGACATGCTTTCGGGCCTATGAAAGAGTTTCTCGTTGACATTGTTGGAGAAAGAGTAAGTCCTTTCCCCATCCGTGAAAAAAAAAACAGTGCTAAATCCCCTGTACAGGGACACAAGCGATGGGACAAAGCCGTCGCAGGTGGCTATGAGAACATCCGACGATTGACTCACGAAAACCTCCTTCCAGCGCTGGAGCGCAGCCAAGTACTCATCAGTCGACTAGTCGGATTGTCCAAGTTCCACAAATTCAGTGACGTTCTCGGTCTGGACACCCCGAAGCTAAATGGAATCGTCGAGACGCTCGACTGTCTACAATTACTAGCCCACCGTATTCTCATCCACACGAACGAGGAGTTGGACCAGTTCACTGCGTTCTCTAGATGGCTCCGTCACGAAATCCTGATCCTCGGAAGTGAGCCTTTGTCCCAGACTGAGGAAGAACTCCTCGAGAAAAGGGATATATTCGATGTTCCTCCCACAACCAAGTACATCACCGGTGCACTGCAGAAGAGCGTGCTTCGCAACTTCATCCGCCAACTGCCTATGCTGGGAATGCCGCCTATCCCACAACCTCCTGCGGATAAGTGGCTTCCTGATGGCCATGACCGGTCGTTCTATGACAATTTCAAGTCGTTGCTTCAGCAGCAGCGTCAGGTTCAGGATAAGGGTGGTGATGGCACTTCGGTGGATGTTCCTAAACTTAATGACCTGACGAAGCGACTGGGAATCCAGTTCGAGAAGGTGTTTGCGGAAATTGCGCTGACCCAGCGTAGAGGTATTTTGCACCGGTCTCCCCTTACGCTTCATATGGATTGTGATCAGGGTGTTCTTGATCTGAAGATGTGTTACGAGGTAAATTTCTTAGCTAGTACTCTACCAGGGTTATGCTAATCAATCCTAGGATGCCGAGGAGGAGAAGCCCTGCTCCGTTTATGTCGCTGCAAGATCAGCCAGCTCAAAGTCATCGTGTTCGTCCTTTCCCCTCGTATGTGTTGACATAGAAACTGACATCTGCCTTGCAGTCTACATCTACCGTACGGTTCTCGATTCGGTAAACGGCGTCAGCTCGACAAGGGCTACATCCATCGCATCCATCACCCTGAAAGAAGGAGAGATTCGCCAATTACAATTCGTCCAAGATGATACCCTGATGGTCTTGTGGACAGATGGCAGTATGTTTATTGCTCTACGTTTGACTATTTCTGATTCCTGACTTCTGTATAGAAGGATCATCCTACCTACTGAACTTCCCCTTCCAGCCTGCCTCGGCGCAACAGACACTCGAGAAAGCTAGCGCACCAGCACTGGTGCCCGAGTACACAAATTGCGAGACCAAACCTACCAACCCGAAACCATCAGCCCCGGCAACATCGCTGGATGTTTCATCATTGATCGAGACCGGCGTGATTCGACACGCATTTACAGTGTCTGGGTCCAAGACTAAGCCCGTGCACCTAGATGTAAATGGACGCAAAAGTCGGCGGGCGGTATGTGTGCTGTATGGGGATGGTATGCGCTATGACGTTTTGGATCTGGACGCGGCTATGGAGAATGAAGAGGAGGATGAAGAGGAGGATGAAGAGGGGGATGAAGAGGAAGAAGAAGAGGTTTAGTCTTCAATTGATGCATGGGAGCAGAAGGTGTTTGCTGGTCATTTTCAAAGAATCTTCCACATGGCTATTTTTATCTTTATTCTTCTCCCAACTTTTTTTGACAGTTCTTTCGCAGTAAGCAGGGCCCCTTATGCATCGACGTGAACGCCTAGGTGCATCCTATTATCGATCTATATTTGCACGTCACCAGGGAGTGTATTTCCCCATCCCTTGCCTGTAACCACTGACATGGAGCCAAATTCTTTATGACACGTCCAGCCTCTACAGTAGCACCTTCTAGTCGGCTTAGTGGACTCCACTGCAAAAATGGTTGTGTGTGGACAGGGCTAAGGGATCGGTCGCTGGGGCCACACGGTGAACAGTGGAGGCTTCTTCAAGGAGGAAAACCAAAACAAGCAGACCTCAGAGAGGGGCTGACAGATTGTGACACCCACCCCTACGAGTAGAGTCGGGTAGAGTCGAGTAAATCAGAGTAAATATGGAGTATAGATGCTTTGCTAAACCTTGAGACCTATCTTGGGCTATTATAATCATATTGTGAAACCGCTGAAGGCAAAAAAAAAAGACAGAAACCGGTTCTGCCTGAGGCGGCGACTCACGTGCCACCCGCCGACCCCCGCCAATCAGGACCAGCAGCGCGATGAACCTCATCCCCCCAAAGGCTCGAATTCTGCCTTTGATCTCCTACCTGTCTAAATACCTTCAGACTCTCTCTACCCAGAGTCTTTTCACTTCAACTTTCCACTTCTCTCCTCTTTTCGCTAATAGTGTGTATCCAAGGCACCTTCTCCTCGTGATTCTCGCGGAAAGACCTGTGCATGCCTCGTCATATCCACAAAAACACCCCCGTCCTTTACCACCCACCTGCCACTCCTGGGACTCTACTTCCACCACGATCTAACGGTGGCCCGTGATTCGTGTTCCTGAAAAGTTATTACGTTGATTGCCTTGACGATCAGGAGTTGACTACTTTCCTTTTCGAGTTTCTTTTTTCCCTTTCCTCCCCCCACATCCTCCATCCGTTGCGTCCCCCTCCGACATCATGGATGCTCGTCAAGTATTGCAGAGCACTCTCTCAGCAGGTATGTCAGATGAATCTCCTCTGCCAAGGATCAAGTCGTCCCTGGTGCTCGAAAGCATACCGTGTGTGAGAGCCCCTCGCTGACCGTCTTTCTTGCGCAGATGCGGCGGAACGTTCCAATGCTGAGCAGCAGCTCGCCCGTGCCGCGGAGGTCGACTTCGTAAGTTCCCTGCATATATCTCGTCGTTCTGGCTCGGTACACGTTCAGGATACGTGGTTTGCGAACGAACGGGCCCCTCTTCCCCCCACGATGGTGCTAACGTGTTTTTTTCTCAGGCCGCCTATCTCACTACCCTCGGCCAGGAACTGGCCAACGAAGACAGCCCCCCTCACATCCGTGTCGCTGCCGGTATCGCTCTGAAGAACGCTTTCACCTTCCGAGAGCAGGCTAAGCTGCGCGAGGTGCAGCAGCGATGGGCTACACAAATCCCCCTGGACACCAAATCGCAGGTCAAGGAGCTCGCACTCAAGACTCTGCACTCCCCCAACACCCGCGCCGGAAATGCCGCCGCCACTCTGATCGTTTCGATTGCCTCCATCGAGCTGCCGCGCAACGAGTGGCCCGACCTGATGAACATTCTCGTCCAGAACGTGGCGAGCGGGACCGACGCTCTGAAACAGTCCTCCCTGACTACTATTGGTTTCGTTTGCGAGTCTCAGGATCCCGATCTCCGTGCTAGCTTGACTTCTCACTCCAACGCCATCTTGACCGCCGTCGTTCAGGGTGCCCGTCGCGAGGAGCCCAACATGGAGGTTCGCTTTGCTGCTATTGCTGCTCTCAGTGATGCCGTCGATTTCGTGCGCTCCAACATGGATAACGAGGGAGAGCGCAACTACATCATGCAGGTGGTCTGCGAGGCTACCCAGGCCGACGAGGTTCGCGTGCAGGCCGGTGCTTTCGGCTGCTTGAACCGTATCATGGGTGCCTACTACGAGAAGATGCGCTTCTACATGGAGAAGGCTTTGTTCGGCCTCAGCATTATGGGCATGAAGAGCGAGGAGGAGGATGTTGCTAAGCTGGCTATCGAGTTCTGGTGCACTGTGTGCGAGGAGGAGATTGCTATTGAGGACGACAACGCCGAGGCCCAGCAGGAAGGTGTCGAGGCTCGCCCATTCTTCGGCTTCGCCCGCGTTGCCACACGCGAGGTTGTTCCCGTTCTGCTGCAAGCCATGTGCCGCCAGGATGAGGATGCTGATGATAATGAGTACAATGTGTCGCGTGCTGCTTACCAGGCTCTGCAGCTGTACGCCCAGTGTGTGCAGGGTGATGTCATTCAGCCCGTCGTCACTTTTGTTGAGGAGAACATCCGTAACGAGGACTGGCGCCGCCGTGATGCCGCCGTTGCCGCCTTCGGTGCTATCATGGAGGGCCCCGAGCCCACCGTTTTGGAGCCTCTGATCAAGCAGGCTCTGTCTGTTCTCTTGGGCATGATGGAGGATTCCTCCATCTCCGTTCGCGACTCCACTGCTTACGCTCTTGGTCGTGTCTGTGACTGCTGCCCCGAGGTTTTGGACCCCGATGTGCACCTGCAGCCCCTTATCTCTTGCCTTTTCAACGGCCTTGCCAGCAGCCCCAAGATCGCCAGCTCCTGCTGCTGGGCTCTAATGAACGTTGCCGACCGTTTCGCCGGCGACGCTGGCTCCCAAACCAACCCTCTCTCCAAGCACTTTGAGGACAGTGTGAAGTCCCTGCTTGCCGTGACTGAGCGTCAGGACGCTGATAACCAGCTCCGTACCGCCGGTTACGAGGTTCTCAACTCCTTCGTTCTGAACTCGGCCAACGACAGCCTCGCCATGGTTGCTACCCTTTCGGATCTTATCCTCCAGCGTCTCGAGCAGACCGTCCCCATGCAGCAGCAGGTCGTCAGCACTGAGGACCGCATTCTATTGGAGGAGATGCAGACTAGCTTGATCAGTGTTATCCTGGCTATTGTCCAGCGCTTCGAGACTGACATCAAGCCCCAGGCTGACCGTATCATGCACGTTCTGCTCCAGGTCCTGCAGACTGTCGGTGCCAAGTCCAGTGTCCCCGATGTTGTTTTCGCCACTGTCGGTGCCGTTGCCAGTGCTCTCGAGGAGGACTTCATCAAGTACATGGAGTCCTTCAAGCCCTTCCTGTTCAACGCTCTCGGCAACCAGGAGGAGCCCGGTCTCTGCTCCATGGCCATCGGCCTGGTCAGCGACATTGCCCGTGCCCTCAACGAGAAGGTCCAGCCTTACTGTGATGACTTCATGAACCTGCTCCTCAGCATTCTCCGGACCTCCACCAACCAGCTGAAGCCCGCTATTCTGGAGACTTTCGGTGACATTGCCCAGGCGATCGGCACTGCCTTTAACACCTACCTGACTGTTGTCGGCCAGGTCCTCCAGCAGGCCTCCTCGGTCACCACCAGCTCTGACCTCCCTTACGACATGGTTGACTATATTGTCTCCCTGCGTGAGGGTATCATGGATGCCTGGGGTGGTATCCTCCTGTCCTACAAGGGCAGCCCTGATATCGCTCAGATCCAGCCCTTCGTCGAGTCCATCTTCCAACTCCTCCACATCATCTCCCAGGAGGGTAACCGCAGCGAGGGCCTGATGCGCTCCTCTATGGGTGTCATTGGGTAAGTTTCCTTCCATGACTCTTCGATTGACACACATTGCTAACTTTGCACAGTGATCTTGCCGATGCGTTCCCCAACGGTGAGCTTGCCGCTTACTTCCGCAATGACTGGGTCACCACCCTCGTTCGTGAGACCCGCACAACTCGCCAGTACAGCCCGCGAACCATCGAGACTGCTCGTTGGACTCGTGAGCAGGTCAAGCGCCAGATCAACATGAGCACTGGCATGGCCTAAATCAATTGCTGAAAGCTTTTCATCCCATCGATAACAAAGCCGGCTGCATCCCTCCTGCCTCCCAGCGATATTTCCGTTGGAGCCAGCGGGTGCCGGGCGGCAGTCTTTCATGTATCAATCCCACAAGTGAAGCTCCGGGGCAACCTGGGTTCCTTGCATTGACTTGGTATCTTTGATGGTCGGTGAGGATCTGTTTTGCACATCGCGAGCTTTCTCCAAATGCCCCCATCACCCTGCCCCCTTTCCAGCACGGACTTGGGTACTCCCTTCATCACCGTGCTCTTGAACCCGTCCCCTCCTGGCACTTGCTCTTTCCTGTGCTATTTCCTCATGATACGCCCGAACGAAACCCTCCCCTTCCCCTTATGGCCTTTGCGTTTTCTTCGTGATACAACCCTTTACCCTTTCTTCACCTGAATTTCCTACGTTGCTTTTTAATTAGACCAAGACCCCCTCGCATCCATATAGCATTGCACCTCATGTAGCCCAAGATTCATGTATCCTGTCCCCCCAACTCATGTACCCCCCCAATCATGTATCCCCATTATCATGTCAACCCTTTCCCAGAGAAGAGTCTCTTGCCATGAAAAAGCTGTTTCTTTCATCTTCTCCGCTGTGTAATCCACCTTTTAAGCCCATTCTATGCCCATCTGCACCGGACCCCCTAATGTATAGAGATATCCTGCCGGTGCCATTACGGATGAATCGTGTATTAGAACGTTGTTTTTGCGTAGTAGAACCTGGAACGCGAAAGGACCAAAATTTATGCCTGAGGCAAGGTGTACATCTTATCAATATCAGGTCACATGCCGATAAGGGCAAACAAGCAGCAAAACCCTACCCGCGCACAGTCAGCGAACACCCAAACTTCGCCGACCGCCGAGTTTTTCGAACCTTCAACCCGCTACAACCGACGGACCATTCCTCGAGGTATGTATGCCACCCTCCCCCCCCATCAGCCTCTCAGCTAGTCTGGGAGAGCAATCATCCTTCATCTGCAGAGTCTCGACTTGAATGCCGGGTCAAGACTAGCAGACGCATGGATGATACGCATCTCCCATCCGGCAACGGGCTGAAGAACTCCTTTTTCAAAGGAAGGGGCACTCTTTACGCTCAACGACTAGTTGTGGCTGACTCCCGGCACTGTAAACAGATACCTCATATCTACGTCCCTGATTTGAGAATCTCGATTCCACAACCGCCAAAATGGTCAAGACTTCCGTCCTCAACGATGCGCTCAACGCCATGAACAACGCCGAGAAGGCTGGCAAGCGTCAGGTTATGATCCGCCCTGCCTCCAAGGTCATCGTCAAGTTCCTGTCTGTCATGCAGAAGCACGGTACGTTTCGTCGATTTCGATTGTCGCGTTTTTCTGCTTGAATCTTTTTTTTTTTTTTTCATATCTTCACCTTTTGTTCCCCCCGTTCTTCGGGCTGATAACTAGGCGGATTGTTTCAATCACCCACGACGTTTGCCTTTTAAGTGTCCGATAGATTAACCGCGGAGATCTTACACGTTTCCGAAAGCGCTTTCATTTGCTATTCAGTAATCGGCGACTTTTAAATCTTCGCAACATGCTGACATCCATCTCTTTCAGGCTACATCGGCGAGTTCGAGGAGGTTGACGACCACCGCTCCGGCAAGATCGTCATCCAGCTTAACGGCCGCCTCAACAAGTGTGGTGTCATCAACCCCCGCTACCCCGTCCAGCTCCGTGACGTCGAGAAGTGGGCTACCCAGCTCCTTCCCTCCCGTCAGTTCGGCTACGTCGTTCTGACTACCTCCGCTGGTATCATGGACCACGAGGAGGCTCGCCGCAAGCACGTTGCTGGCAAGCTCCTCGGCTTCTTCTACTAGAGGATGTCGTTTTTAGAAACGAATTGAAAAAAGTTGTTGTTTTGACTGGTCTCGCATGTTCTGGGCTGGGCCCTGGGAATGTAATCTAAATAGCGGATACCCCGACGAGATAGCTTGCAGAGTACATGGTTCTCCAATGCACGGCGATTCTGGTCAGCCTATAATACTGTTGTAGTCGTACGAGTATTCTCCGAGTAAACGGCCCCTGGAGGTAAATGATCTTCTTTTCGCCCGTCCTGCTATGGTCTACTTCGGGCCTGGTAGTTGCATCTGTGATGGTAGACTTTAGTTGGGCCGAGGCACCGCTTGCCACCGCCCGTCGGGCCCCCGTTCTGCCCTATATGTCGTTCGTTCCCCGCAACATTTGAACTCTTGAATCACAAAGCTCACCATGCCGTTGGATACGATATACCTCACTCGCCACGGGGTAAGCCTCTCTATGCGCAAAAGTCATAACGCTGGTTTGTGGCAGTAGACTAACGTCATCACCAGCACCGTCTCAATTGGACGATTGACCTCCGCACCGGCACCTACAAGTCGCAGTTTCCAACTCCTACAGGCAACCCAGCAGACCCGGCCTTGACATCCCATGGCGTGCGCCAGTCTCACGAGCTTGCGGAACATATAGCGGGTCTGGGTTTTCACCCTAAGCCCTTTCGTATATACTCAAGTCCCTTCTACCGGTGCCTGCAAACCGTCCAGCCTTCCGTCGAGGAACTCAAGCGCAAACACCAAGAGAAGTCCAGCAATGGCCATGGCTCGATCGATGCAGCCGCGGATCTAGATGTGCGATTGGAGAATGGACTCGGGTATGTGAACCGCATATCGCAAACCTGAAACATCATCTATACAACACTAACCGCGCAATAGAGAATGGTTCGGCCCAACAACCTTCTTCGAACATCCCTCCCATCCAACCCCATCAACCATGCGCGGCCACTTCCCAACATTGATCCCAGATTCCCCTGAAACAAAATACACACCTCTACTTGTGCCCTCCTCGCGAGGCGAGACAATCGCAGAGCTACACAACCGCGTCGCCACGGCCCTTGAAGGCATAATCGCGGATGTGGACGCTGAAATAACCGCAGCCGAAGCCGATATTAAGCCCGAGCAACGCACGAGCAAATCAATCCTCATTTGCGCCCACGCGGCGCCTCTTATCGCCATGGGCCGAGCATTAACCGGCCTCATGCCAGAGGATAGTTCTATTGAAGATTTTCATGTCTTCACCGCTGGGCTGAGTACTTTCCAGCGACGGGGAACTGTGAAGTCTCCATCACAGGGTAGCGCTCAGTCCATCCTTGCGAAAGGCACGATACTTACCCGCGCCGAGTCTGTTCCTGAGTGGGAGTGTGGTCGTGGTGTTGGAGGTGGATGGGACTGTGTGTCGAACGGGGACTGTAGCTTTTTGAGCGGAGGGGCCGAGCGAGGATGGTAATATTGACTCTTATTCCTGTCTGTTGGTACGTATGGCTAACTTCATGATAGGCATTTCAGTGGCGAGGAAGGGTTTGATACGGGACCTATGGCGCCGGCGTCTGAGCCTCCTTCTGTACAGGTCGATAGGTCCGGGACTAAGTTGTAAGTAGATAAGATAGACATCACTGTCACCTCTAGTACTTGCATATTTTGGAGTATAGATACAACATTTGAAGCATTCCAATGACCAGATCTAGCATTCTGATCTCCCCATCAACCTCTAAACCTTGTGCATCCTCCAAATAACGAGTCAGCAAAGCTCATCCGATATCGCATGATTGAAATAGACAGCATCGCAATAAACCCCCACATCTCCATCCAGAAACGTGCAAACCGTGAATAGCCGCGATCACGTGCACGCCCTTTGACATTTTGATGAAACCCTAAATTGGTAATCCGATGGCAAAAAAGCCAAAGGTCTTAAGCTTATTTCAAGAATTCTCGACACAGGTCTTAGATCGCAACCTATCACACCATAAGCAGGGGTCATGGCGACAGCAACACAGACATTGCCCACAACGGCACTTGAACTACCCAATCTAAACCACAGCAATGAGCGCCAACGGAACTTGTCGTCCGGTCCAGAACCAGTTGAAGATGACGTTATGCGCGAATCATTAATTGCAGACTCGCAGGTTCCTGATGGGGGCTATGGTTGGGTTCTTATTTTCGCTTGTGCGGTCGTGACGTGGTGGTTTGTTGGCGCATCTTATACTTGGGGTGTGATGCAAGCTGAGCTTGTCCAGAAGAAGGGCTATTCGTCCTCGACGCTGGCCTTTGTGGGCTCACTTTGTCCAGCTTGTATTTCGCTCTTGGCTGTGCCGAACGCGACTGTTATTCGCAAGATTGGTGCGCGGGTGACTGCGCTTTTGGGAATATTCTTGCTTGGACTGGGGAGCATTCTCAGTGGATTTGCGGTAGATAGTATTGCCGGGTTATTTATGACTTGGGGGTTTGTTGGTGGGCTTGGAACTAGTTTGTGCTTTATGGTGTGTCCCGCTTTCCTTTTTGACGAGGTCATTGATCTTGCTCACATATACCTAGGTTGTTTCTGTTACTCCGGCGCAGTACTTCAAAGCTAAGCGCGGCATCGCCAATGGCATTGTCTATGCCGGTGGTGGCCTCGGTGGAACAGTGATCAGTTTCATTCTCAATGCTCTTCTCGAAAGTGTTGGCATCGCCTGGACCTTCCGCATTCTCGGGTTCCTGATTATAGGAACCGGTCTTCCAGCAGCCTACTTGATCAAAGAACGAGCCCCGATCAAGCAAACCAAAATGGTCGAATGGAGCCTCTTTAAGGATGTGCGCTTCGCCGTGCTCTTCGCAGTTGGTGCCATCGGGACCTTCCCGCTTTTTGTGCCGGCCTTCTTTCTACCTTTGTACACGAATTCGCTGGGTCTACCTTCTAGCGCTGGAGCCGGTCTGGTTGCTGCTTTTAATTTCTGCTCTGCCATTGGGCGTCTGTCATGCGGATTTGCGTGCGATAAGCTGGGCTCGTTGAATACCCTTTTCTTGTCGTTGCTGCTTAGTGCGTTGAGTATCTTCGTCCTGTGGCCAGTCTCGACTTCTATTGGACCCCTGGTTGCATTTGTCGTTATTAATGGCGCGGCAAATGGTGGATTCTTTTCTACTATGCCGACTGTTGTCGGAAATGTGTTTGGCTCCGCTAGGGTATCGGTTGCCGTTGGCATGATCGTGAGTGGGTGGTTGGGTGGTTATCTCTTGGTGAGTCACTTTCTTCGCAGGAGCTTACTCTATCCTTGATTCTAATGTCATGACAGGGGGCCCCGATCGCTGGTTATATTCTAAATGCATCTGGCGGGCAAGCAGGCGGCGTTGGCGCCTATCGACCGGCAATCTTCTATGCCGGATCCATGGCTACCGCTGCTACCATTTTGGCTGCGGTGGTGCGAATTAAGGTTGATCGCAGACTCAAAAAAACCGTTTGAATTAGGGAGATACATGTCATAGAATCATAAGGCCTTGGTTTTATGGTATTTGGGAAGCAAAAAAAGGCATCATTGACTACGGGAATGGTCTATGTACAGTGCTTGCATCCTCTTCATACTCTTGACGAGAGATGCGCATGTTATTAAATGCTAAAAGACCAGCAATCATGAACCTACCACTCCAGGCCAAATGCTTGCACTCGCGGGGAGCCACAATGTGAACATACACAAATGAGGGAGCAAGCGCAGCTATCTCTTTCTGCATTCGGTATGGAATCCCTCAGACATTGTGATACCTCCCTGCACAACATCCGTGGTCAGCATTAGGAAAGCGATTGACAATATTTAGTAATATCAAGAAAATAGTACATACCACAACAATCTTACTAGATAGGGCATTGTGGAGACTTGCGTCGCATTCTCTGATTGACTTGGTAGTGATCAAATGGATACCATTATTCCCCACACCAAGAATATCAGGTTGAAAGAGAGCCAAGTCTTAAGACCTCCTATGGAAGATCCTTTCTCCAACTCACGGACTTGAATTTCCTTTTCTTTTTGTTTTTATTTTATTTTCCCTTTCTAAGCTTGTGTCCGGTGACCCTGCTATTTGCTGAGTTTTATGAAGAATATCGAATTTTGTAATTGCTAAAACTATCTCAATCTCACCAGTCAGCAGGCACGGGCACAGGTGCCGGAGGCTGCTGCGGCCGTTGAACATTCTGGCTGTCCTGCGTATCTTCGACACGCACCTGTGCCTCTGGATCTTCCTGCGGCTGTTGTTGCGGCTGCTCCTGCTCGCGTGCCTCAGCCTCAGCAGCATTCCGAGCTTCCACTTCAGCCGCATTCCGAGCTTCCGCCTCAGCCGCATTGCGTGCTTCAACCTGACGCTCGCCAATACCAGGCACAAGACTAGCAAGAAGAAGCACAATAGACCTCTCGGCACGGCGGAAATAATCCGTAATCTCCCCTAAGATGTGGTTCTGAGGAGGATTATTCGCAGGCTGGCCCGGTCCACCCATATGCGCAAGTCTTTCAAGATGGCGTTGCAATGGCTGCACGATGATGCTATGCAGCACCTGGGGAACGTTCGTGTCGGATAAGGCGGAGATGAGTAGGGCCGCAATGACGAAGAAGATACGCGTCCAGGTCCCTGGTGCACTGATCACGTAGCAGAAGAAGTAGAGGCGTATGAAGAGCCAGACGCGGCTCATGAAACGTCCGATTGCGGCTGGGTTTGCAGCATTTCCATTTTGTCGAAGTTGTTGATTGTTAACCAGTGCCTGGCGGACGAGGTTTTCGGCCATTGCCCGATCAGCTGGGTTTGGATTGGCGCCGGCTGCAGCATTGACATTTGGTCCAGTTGTAGACGATGTCTGGTAACGGAATCGTATGGTTTGATGGGTTGTCCGCGGGGATGCTGGAATTATAATGGCGTTCTGACCATTGGGACCGACACTTTGGTAGATGGGATGGTCATTACTGCCAGTGGAAACAGCGCTCTGCGTGGTGCCTGGCGCGCTGCCAAAGCCTAGTCCTCGGAGAATTGCCTGATGCCTATCGAGAATAGCGCGTGGGTCGTGTAATCCATGAAGACGGCGAAGTTCCTGCGCAAGGTCCGGCTGTGCAGACAGGGCAGCAGCATTGGGAATATTTGATGAGGTTGGAGCCTGATGACCAAACGGTAAAGGATTCGGAGCCAACGATGCTTTCTCAGGTGCTGTGGTTGGTACAAAGGCTTGTGATGTAAAGTGGAGCGTATACTCGGATTGCTAGATTTCGGGTCAGCTTGTAAACAAGTGGGACTTGCAGGTCGACTTTTACATTAACAGGACCCAAGACCTCTTCCAAGGTGGCACTATCCACCGTAAGAGGTCTTCCTAAGAAGATCAAGCGTGACGTGGCAGGTACATGACCTAGAATGATTTGTGCAAGCCGGGTGTGTAGTTGGGCAACCGTTGTACCAAGAGGAACATTGTGGAAGGTAAAGCGGCTCGGCGGGGGACGAAAAGGACAGAGGATGTTAAGAGTAACAGCCCTAGGGCCCTTACAAGCGTCGTCTGGGGTAGCGGGCATGGCGGGTAGAGAGGACTGTATCTTCGCTCGGAAATGAAGGCTAAATGGGAGCTAAGTAAAAGCTAGAGGGCTGCTAGGTAAATTCGGGGTGCATCCGGAGTGGACAGTGGTATAAAATAGTAGTTGTAGCCCTTGAATGCACTAGGCGACGGTGGTGAAGTGATTGATGTCTTCGGGAGATGTGGCACGAAGCGAAGACCGCGGTTGATAAGGTGCAAGTTGCTAGACGGACAACTTCCGCAAGGTCAATCTCCAAGAGCAAGATTCAAAATAAAATTATAAGCATCGGTAGATCTGAAGTCCAGCAGACCACGGTAGTAAGAGAATACTAAAAAGAGACGAGTTCATTAGTGAGTATGGCATCACTCCACGTGTGATTCTGCCAGGCGGTCAATCGGCCTAAACGCATTGCCCGATTTAGCGCGAGAAAATCGTTCTCCGCAAAAGCTTCGAAGACGACTGGGTCTCGAAGCATTTATGGATTAAACAGCACTATGGCCAAGCGCCTTCTCAACCAATCTGCTCTACTTCACTGTCATCCCGCCGCTCTGGTGACGAGGGGCGTTGCGTCGATGGAGGTCTTCTCATTCCGGGCCACTGCCCGTCACAATACCAGCGTGCGCCATTTTTCGAAATCATGGAGACAGTACAACAAAGACAACAGCAACGAAAATAACACTAAAGGGGGCTTTGGGTCACGGCTCCGCTTCGCTCTGCGGAACACTAAGGTGGAATGGTACCCGATCCCTGTCGGACTCGGCATTGGCCTGCTAGGCGTGCTCCATTTCTACAAGTCGCAACGTGCTGAGCGTGACCGTATCGCTCAAGAGGAATCTGGAGAAGGGTGGGAAAATGGTGCGCGACCGCCACGTCGTCCACGCATCGTACCCACGGGCTCCTGGCAGGTTCAGTTCATGTCCACCCTGCCCCTGAAGGCCATGTCGCGCCTATGGGGTCGCTTCAACGAGATCGAACTTCCATACTACTTCCGCGTGCCCGGATTTAAACTCTACTCTTGGTTTTTCGGCGTCAACCTGAGCGAGGTTGCGGAACCTGACCTACACACCTACCCTAATCTGGCAGCCTTCTTCTATCGCAAGTTAAAACCCGGCGTTCGGCCGCTAGACCCCGACGTACACGCTCTCATCTCGCCTTCCGATGGCCGTGTCCTACAGTTTGGCATGATCGAGCGGGGTGAGGTGGAACAGGTTAAGGGCTCGACGTACAGTTTGGATGCTCTTCTGGGCTCTGCCACCCCCATGCACGCCGACCACAGCAACCGACTTATCGATTCGAAAACGGACGACACCGTTCAAGACGATGAGAATATGAAATCGGATGAAGAGTTTGCTCGTGTGAACGGCATTTCCTACACCCTTCCCACGCTGTTGTCAGGTGACAGCAACACCTCTGCCAAGAGGCGATCTTCGATGGATGCTTCCACCGCTTCCAAGGCTACTTCCGAAGCGCAGGTTCAAGAGGAGCTGGCGCTTGGAGAGGGTACACCGTGGTACGCGGCCAAGACAGCTACCAACCATGCCCTGTTCTACTGTGTGATTTACCTGGCCCCGGGTGATTACCACCGGTTCCACTCGCCGGCCCCGTGGGTTGTTGAGAGTCGCCGTCATTTTGCGGGTGAACTGTACTCTGTCTCTCCTTACCTGCAGCGCCATCTTCCCGGTCTGTTTACCCTCAACGAGCGTGTGGCACTTCTTGGCCGCTGGCGCTGGGGCTTCTTCAGTTACACACCGGTTGGCGCCACCAACGTGGGCTCGATCAAAATCAACTTCGATTCGGAGCTTCGCACAAACAGCCTGCTGACCGATACGGCGGCGGATTTGGCGGCGGCCTTGGCTGCTAAGCGGGGAGAGCAGGACCCCGGGTTTGCTGAGGCTACCTACCGCCACGCGAGCCGTACACTGGGAGGACATCCCTTGCAGCGTGGCGAGGAGATGGGTGGATTCCAGCTGGGCAGTACGATTGTGCTTGTGTTTGAAGCGCCCCTCGGGTCTCGCAAGTCCTTCGATGCTGGTTGGCCGGAGGATGAGAGACCGGATGGGTGGACGTGGAGTGTTGAAAAGGGCCAGCGCGTTAAAATGGGAGAAAAGCTCGGGTTTGTAGGCGGAGTATAGATGTGCTGGAGATGTGTTGGAGATGTGTCGGAGCTGTGTCCAATGGGGAGTGGACCTTGGAAGGTTGCGAGGTTACACAGCCCGGCAACACAGCATGCATCCTTCTTTTCTGTAGACATTGTTTGTAATATACCATTTTGCTTCAGCCTGAATTGACTTGTTCATGTCATTCCAAACAAAGAAAGCAGACAAGAAAGGCAACATTTGAAGGTTGACATAGAGAGGCACGGACCACTTGGCGCCGGAGTGTGCACGCGTCGAGCTTCTTGATTCGTCATTGATAGACGGCGAATCTTGCGTCATCAAAGTATTATACGCAGTACATGAACTGACCAATGTTTCCCAGCAAGGCACCATAATTCTCTGGTATTTCATGTTTGATGTTTAGATGTTAGACGAGTCGTACCTCCAGCTATCGGTATCCTTGCAGTTCCGCCACCCTGTAGGCGACGTATCAATCCAGAGTGGAAATCAGGGCAGAAACCTTGGAAGCCAAGATTCTTGCATGGGCCAAGGGAATGCGATCTTTATCTTTCCTCTTCAACTCTTCCTCCTTTGAGGCCATCACCCCTCTCCATCTTCATGGCCATTTTTACTCTGCCCCGGTCCATGCAAAATAATGCCTTCCAAGATCCTGTTGGTAGCCTAATCACGGCAGGCGCTAACGCGCATGCCAACCACCCGTCCTTCGGGCATCTCGTGCTGCTCGTCTTCGAGGCCGTGTTGGAGGTGGTGTGCGTGAGCTTGCCCGGTTACTTTGCTGCCCAACAGGGCATGTTCGATGCCGAAGCCCAGAAGTTTGTCGCCAACCTCAACGTGACTTTGTTCACCCCCTGTCTGAGTATGAACGCGCTTCCTACTGATTCTTATCGTACATCGCGCTGATAAGAAACAGTCTTCATCAAATTAGGCTCCCAACTAACAGCAGAGACCCTGTCCGATCTGGCGATTATCCCAGTCATCTTTGTGGTTCAGACGGCCGTCTCGTACTTGTGCGCATTCACCATTTCGCGATGTTGTCGCTTCAAGAAGCGCCAGTCCAACTTCGTGGCGGCGATGGCGGTACGTCAGTGTCTGATCCCACGCACGAATCATGCTGATGTTCATGAAATAGGTCTTTGGAAACTCCAATTCCCTCCCGATCTCCCTCGTCATGTCCCTGTCGCAGACCCTCAAGGGTCTTCACTGGGATCGCGTCCCGAATGATAACGACGACGAAGTAGCCGCCCGCGGCATCCTGTACCTACTGATCTTTCAGCAGCTGGGACAATTGGTTCGCTGGAGCTGGGGGTACCATGTCTTGTTGGCACCCAAAGAACGATATCTCGAGGATACCGAGAGCGACGACTCAAGGAGCCAGTCCCGTATTGAGCAGGGTCAGGCGCGTTACACCGATAATCCCGAGCAGACGGACCCGGATGAGCCACTACTGCGCACCCGTGACTCGGAGGATATGAGCCGCCCTCCCAATGCCCACGCACATGGCGAGTTCCAGTCCGGAGATCAGACCCCGGTCTCCACGTTGGAATACTCCTACACGAAGACGTCCTCCGTTGGTTCTCGTGATGGAACTGTTGTGGAAAATCATGACTCGGATGAACCGTCAGTTATTGGACCTCCGCCTAGCGGACCCTTCCTTCCCCGCCAGAGCTCTCGGGGTGATATACTCTCATTCCCCGATGTGGAGGCTACTGCACGGGAAGCGCACGCCGCGGACCAAACTTATATGCAACGCTGGAAAGCATCTATCCGCCGGAGACGCGATCGCATATATGGGTCCTGGGAGAAGAAATCGGATGCTCTGTACGGACGTCTCCCGCCGAAAGCTCAAAAGACGCTCTCTGCGACCACACGTGGAATCAGTCGGTTTATGCGTGGTGCATGGGATTTCATGAACCCGCCTCTTTGGGCCATGCTAATCGCCATCATTGTGGCTTCCGTTCCATCTCTCCAGAGCCTCTTCTTTGACGAGGGCACCTTCGTGCGCAACTCCGTCACTCGCGCCGTCGAACAGAACGCCCAAGTCGCCGTCCCATTGATCCTAGTCGTGCTGGGTGCGAACTTAGCCCGCAATACCCTCTCCGAAGAGGCATTGGCGGATATGGAACACCCAAGTGATGAGCGGAAGCTGATTATTGCATCTTTGGTTGCGCGTATGCTTCTTCCGAGTCTCATCATGGCACCGCTCCTTGCTTTGCTGGCCAAGTTTGTGCCCATTAGCATCCTCGATGACCCCATCTTTATCATCGTCTGCTTTCTACTCACCGGTGCGCCTTCGGCACTGCAATTGGCGCAGATCTGTCAGATCAACAATGTCTACGTCGGAGCTATGTCCAAACTTCTCTTCCAGAGTTACGTGGTTTGGTACGTCTACTTCCTTCATACTTTCCTCCGCTTGGAACTAAGCTAACAATTTCCAGGATCCTCCCATCCACCCTCTTCCTCGTTGTCTGTGCGCTGGAGGTTCTCGAGTGGGCATCCGCCTAGACCATTCCCTCCCTGTATGTTTAGCAAGTAGCCTCCGTCTTGCATTTTGTTGTTTATGACTCTTCTCGGTTGGCGTTCCTCGAGACTACCTCGGTGCTGGTTTGTATCTTGTCATTGTTTTTTGGCTTCCACTATTCGTATATCAGCATCCCTTATCATTATCCTTTATTCTTTACCCATTTGCCGCCGGAGACCCATTCTCCAAAAGTGAATACCATCAGTGATCACCTCTTCAAACGTGTAAAAGTCTTATGTTCGATATCACACCATGCCATGCTATGCCTACCGCAGTGAATAGCTCCATAGTCCGCCACTGCTTATATAGTCAGGGTCTGGACCGGCAGAAATTTAGTACACAAGATCATACACCCTGATTAGTCGATTTACATCTACTTTATCTACCTTGAAGACGATTCAATGACCTCTATATCTAGAGAATTAGTCGTCTGCGCTATGAGAAGCTATCGTACGCTTTTCGTATTATTATCATAATCACAGTCGTACTAACCCTTATCGTACTTTGCGATCCTTCCTAATTTCTCTAGCTTCGCTCAGAGATTTAAGGAGACTCGGACCAGAGGGGAGCAAATCATGTCGATGAAACTAATTTGGAGATTGCCAAAATCTTGGGTGTCCAATAACAAACATTTGAAAAGAGAATGGACATCTTTTAAAGTTGCGGAACTGTCTTTCTATAGTTAAGGCTCTATGCACTGTCAAAATCAAAGATACCAAATTCAAAGATCCCTGAATGATATTTTCTCCAAACTAATCAATACCAAAAACTTGTTACAGAGCCAGTCACAAAGACCATCACAAAGATAGCTTTCCCAAAAAGACCAGAATCTCCTTCCCAATATACTCAAAGTCCGTCTCGACAGCAAAATGCCCGGCATCAATAAACTTCACCTCAGCATCCGGATTGTCCCTCTTAAAGGCCTCGGCTCCAGGCGGGATGAAGAAAACGTCGTTCTTCCCCCAAAGAGCAAGAAGAGGAATCTTTGATTTCCGGAAATACGCCTGGAAGTCTTCATATAGAGGCATGTTGTTTTTGTAGTCCATAAATAGATCCAACTGGATTTCCTTATTCCCAGGACGTTCCATGAGAGTATAATCAAGATAATAAGACTCCGGCGCAACGCGACTGATATCCGGGGAACCGTTCTCATATTGGAATTTGGTCGTTTCCAGAGTGAGCATGGCCTGCGCGACTTTAGCGCGGTGTTCGGGGGCGTTGTTGCTGGCCCAGAGATCTTGAATTGGAGCCCAGACATCGCCGAAGCCTTCGACGTAGGCGTTTCCGTTTTGGGAAATTATGGCTTGGATTGAATCTGGGCGTTGGAGGGCGAGTCGGAGGCCGGTTGGGGCGCCGTAGTCGAAGATGTAAATTGAGAATTTCGTGATAGAGAGTTCGTCGAGGAACTCGGTCATTGTTATTGCTAGGTTGTCGAAGGTATATTTGTAGGTTGATGGTGTTTCGGTGAAGCCGAATCCTGGTAGATCGGGGGCTATCACGCGATATTTGGCTCCGAGGATAGGGATTAAGTTGCGGTATTGGTGTGACGATGATGGGAAGCCATGGAGTAGTAGGATTATCGGGGCATTGGGTACTTGGCTTTGTTCCCGATAGAAGATCTTGATGCCAGAAGGCAGGTGGATGGTCTTATTCAGTGTCACGGCCATGTTGGGTGTAGTGTACGTCAGCAAGGGGAATTGGAATATAGAATAGTGTCTGGATTGATGACTGGATGAGCAGGGTTATTATATACAGCTTCCTAGGGTTGAATAGCTACTGTGAGATTACCAATCTATGGGGATGCAAACGCCGGGTCTTTGGAGAGCATCATCACCATGCTTCCCTCGAACCTTCGTGATTCCAAATATGCCGCCGTTTCCGGGCGCCATCATAGGGCAAAATCCCTTTCAATACGAACGACCCGTCATTCGTAACTGCATTAAGTCTGGGGTGGTGAATGTGGTTGGTGGCTTGTGTTTGTCCCGTGGCTGTTTAGCTTCCGGCCAAACCAAGCAAACTAAACAAACGAGTCTAGAACGTCGCGTCATGAGTCCGGCGACGTGCAAAACCATATGCAAACAAGAATGTTTTATATGTTTCGTTTGCTCGTCTTCAAGACTATATAATTAGGCGTTAGCACACAGATGATGCATAGTTCAAAAGCCAAACTTTCTTTCTCGCTAGACGGAATTCCCAAACATCAGCAGAATCATGAAGGCCATAGTCATTGACAAATTCGGAGGACCAGAAACGCTCATCATCAAAGATGTACCAGCACCTGAGCCAAAGATGGGCGAAGTTGTGATTCAGGTTAAAGCCTTCGGCATCAACCACGCCGAGATGCACATGCGCAAGGGCGAATGGGCCGAGTGGATGCCTATCAGCGGCATCGAATGTGTTGGCATTGTAGCCAACTGTCCAGGCAACGAGTTCGAAAAGGGCACTCCGGTCGCCAGTCTCATGGGTGGTCTTGGACGTACCGTTGACGGCAGCTATGCCGAGTATACACGGGCCAAGGTCTCGAATGTTGTTCCTCTCGGACCGGGCGCGGCGGGCTTACCCTGGGACCAGCTTGCTGCCATCCCCGAATCATATGCCACGGCCTGGACATGCCTCTTTCGAAACCTGGAGGTTTCAAAGGGCCAGCGGCTGCTGGTTCGTGGTGGTACCTCTTCCTTTGGTAGGGCCGCTATCAATCTCGCAATTGAAGCTGGTGTTCATGTCACAGCAACCACTCGCAATGGATCTCGCATCGGGCAACTAGAGGCTTTAGGGGTGGAAAACGTGATCATTGAGGATCGCGAGCTTTCGCAGCGAAGCCCAGACAGATTCGATGCCGTGTTAGAACTCATCGGGAACAGCACCATTCTTGATTCCCTCAAAATGGTACACCGGGGCGGCAGGGTTTGTCTAGCCGGTTTCTTAGGTGGCCTTGATCCGGTCCCTGATTTCAATCCTCTCCTCCAGATGGCAAGTGGGGTGCACTTTAGCTTTTTCGGAAGTTTCGTGTTTGGGACGCCGGAATTCCCAGTTTCTGATGTCCCTCTGCAGGACATTGTCACGATGGCTGCAGGCGACCGGATCAATGCTAAGCCATGGAAGACATTCCAGTTTAAGGATATTCAAGAAGCGCATCGCTTGATGGAGAAAGGGGAAGCCCATGGAAAAATGGTCGTGGTTGTAGATTAATTTTGATACGAGCTCTCGTTTACTTCGAATGACTCTGTTCATGAGACCTGTATCTCCTTTATAGGAATCAAGCATCGGTGTTCAGTTCCCCCGGCAGATGTATCACATGGGCTCCAACTATCGAATTGTGCTGGTATTTATAGATGAGGCTAGATCCGCAGACTAAGTGGATCCATCGTTTCGAACACGCCTCTGGGTTTGTCGCTTCATCTGCGGGCTTGATTTCCACATCGGGTTGGATCCAGACCCAGGCCGAAACTGACGCGCCAGCACCTCCTTACTACTGATCGATTTTTACAGTCCATATGATTGTCCCCTTGAGTTCTTTGAGATCGTTAAAGATCCCTAAGATCCCTGCGAGGCCTCATGTCGCCCCTCAACATGCATCTCTCTCTCACTGCTGTGCTCTTCGCAGCATCTGTGCTCGCTCAAACACCACCGTCAAGCTCCCCCTTCACGAAAAATAATCTAGGGGCGTCGTATAAAAATGCAACAATTTTCCCTGGTGTCTGGGTAGACCCCAATTGTAAGCGTTCAGTGTCTGATGCCATGAACGTCCACTGACCACCTCACAGACATCTCTAGCCAACCCCATTTCTATGCGACAGACAATCAAAAACATGAGCCAGATGATCAAAGCAAGTACATGATCATGATGCTGGACTTGAACATCCCGGACTCCGACGTCACGACAGCTGCAGACTATGACACCTTGGTTCCAGGCTTGGCAGCAAACACGACCACCCGTCTGCATTGGTGGGGTGGAAACTATACCCTTGGCAGACACGGCCTTTACCTGAACTCCAGTGATGCCCTCGCCGAGTATACCGCGCCTCGACCTCGCGATGCCACCAACCACACCTACACTTTATACTTGTTCGATCAACCTGAGAGTTATGTACCTCCCAAGGCTGTACTAAACGGGACTTTATATTCTCAGACGAGCGAGGCGCGCTTCAACTTTACGCTGGCTCCGATTGTGAAGGAGGTGGGTCGGCCGCTTGCTGCTACTTATTTCTTGAGCAACAATGTGTAGTCTTGGAGGACTTCGAGCTATTCTTCAAATGCTGCAGCGCGCCTTGGAGGTACTTTTATATTGGTGTAAGACTTAGCAGTTTCCTAGAACCCTTTATAGAATTAAATGCATCTTCTGTTGCTGATCTCCTAATGGCCGATTGTCAAATGGGACGCATCACATATACTCTATCTAACTAGATTCGACGACATCGAAACCTTAGCTCGTATCAGAATACAAATCATTTTCTCAGGTATATTTCGCATCACATTCGTGGAGAAAAGCCGAATAGTATAGATCGAGAAAGCAAGAGCTACCTTAATGGAGAGCCACGCTAACCGAAAAAGGCAACCGAGCTCTCTGGTAAACATTCAACTTCCCCGAATTTAACCGCGCATCACATAAAGGGCGGAGTCTAATCATGCCTCACCTACGACGACAACCAAACCCCCACGATTTCCCGGCCCCTAATGGTCCCAGTGCCCCAGGCAGCCTCCGCGCGCAATTCCAAACCCCTCCCTCGCGACAAACCCCCTCCAACCCAACCCGCCTCCACGCATCTTCCACAGGCCCCCAAGAAATCACACCCGATCCCACTGCTGCTATAGCCCATCCCGCCGCGCAATCTGATTTCTTCTCTATTTTCAGTCGGCCGAGGCTTGAACAACAGCCCCCGCCGGTAGTGGACGAGGAGGACGTGCTCGACGACGACTTTGATCCGAATGCGCAAGACATGGAGCCGGACGAGGAGTTCGAGGAGGATTTGATTCCGGAGGATGAAGATCAACTCGAGCCGGAAGATGATATGGAGGACTCGGAGTTAGTAGATGAAGAAGAGCTCGACGAGGAAGTCGACGATGGACTTGAAGATGACCAGGACGAGGAAATGCACGATCGCGGTTCGTCTATCTCCAGCGCATTGCTCTGTCATTGACTAACAAAACACAGAGAAATCACCCTCGCCCCTCCCACCCAACCTCCGAGAGATCTCATCTCTCGCGTCCTGGACAGTCTCAACCTCGAAACCAGGCTGCGGCGTTGCTGCACTCCGACACCCGTCCCCTTCCCAATACTGGCAATCAGACGGTCCACAGCCTCATACCTTAACCCTCCACTTCTTCAAACTCGTCGCTGTCGTCCGCATCCGCGTATACCTCGACTTTGAGCTCGATGAAAGCTATACGCCCACAAAAATGATCTTCCTAGCCGGCATGGGCGGTAATGACCTCGTCGAGTTCGGCACCTGGGAAGGAGACGGTCCCTGTGGCTGGGTCGACGTACCGCTAGAAGGCGTTGGAGGCCGGAATGGTGGCTGGGTACGCGACGATGCAGTCCGACATGAACGAAAATCAAAGGGCGGTAGCAATGAGGAAGCAGAAGATGATGATGAAGAGCCAGCGGACGAAGACCCGTACGCGGGGAACGTGCTGAAGGCGATGGTGATCCAGATGCGGATCATGGAGAATCATCAGAATGGAAAGGATACGCATGTGCGCGGCTTCCAGGTGTTTGCGTGTGATGATAGTAGGCGGCGGATGGCTGGTGCGCCGTCTGCTTCTGCGGATGGGAGGAGGAGGCGGAGTATGAGGCAGTCTTTGAGGGGGAATGTGCTTGATGCGCTCAGTGGGAGGAGGGAGAATGAGAATGTCGATACGGGGAGGCTTGTTGAGACTTCTGGGTTGGAAGAGCCGGATTGGATGGGGGAGCCTGTTATTCGATGATATCTGCGTGGGATGAAGTGCATGATTTTGGCGTTGTGGGCATTCAACGATTGTTCATCGGTTTATTTCTTTCGGAGTTGAGGGCGAGAGATACCCTTTTCTTTTCATTCCTTTTCACTATGGGTTAGACTTGCATGAGTGGGTGCATCCAACTGGGCGATGCATGATTTATCTAAAGGAATGAGCTTATGTTATACCTCCACCTGTATTATTCCAAAGTTATCAGCTATTAGCGTCGACGTTGTATCGAACATCAGGATGGACAAAGCACTAAACTACATCGAAGCAGGAACGACAATGAATTGATACATGAAACTTGTAAAACTTCCGAAAGGGTATTCATTTTTGCAGTGTCGTTATAAATCTACTTAAGCAGCTTCTCCAGCTCAGCAACAACGGCATCACCAACCTCAACAGTGGTGTTCTTGCCGCCAATGTCGCCAGTACGCACACCAGCCTCAATGACGTTGCTAACAGCCTTCTCGATGATGCGGGCCTCATCGATCATGCCGAAGGAGTACTGCATCATCATAGCAATGGACAGAATAGCAGCAACGGGGTTAACAATACCCTGGCCAGCGATATCGGGAGCGGAACCTAAATCTATCAGTGAAAACCCCCCCCCCCGGTATCAAGAATATAGAAAACATACCGTGAATAGGCTCATAGATACCGTTAACACGGCTCTTGCCATCCGGAATACCGCTCAGACTGGCACTAGGCAACAGACCCAGCGAACCAGGAATAACACTAGCTTCATCGGAGATGATATCACCGAAAAGGTTGCTAGTAACAACAATACCATTCAGCTTGCGCGGGTCCTTAATCATGAGCATAGCAGCCGAGTCAATGAGATGGTGCCCGATTTGAACCTGAGGGAACTCCTTCGCCATAATCTCCGTAACAACCTTGCGCCACAGACGGCTGGTAGCGAGGACATTAGCCTTGTCCAGGGACCACACGGGCAGGGGCGGGTTGTGCTGCAGAGCGAGGTGCGCAGCGAGACGGATGATACGCTCGATCTCGGCGCGGGTGTAGGGCTCAGTGTCCATGGCGTAACCGGAGCCGTCATCTTCCTTGCGCTCGCCGAAGTAGATGCCGCCGGTGAGTTCGCGGATGATGTTGAAGTCGACACCGCGGCAGATCTCCTCCTTGAGGGGGAGCTCTTGACCAGGGAGGGAGCGGCGAAGTTGCAAGGACGCAGGTTACCGAATGTACCCATTTCCTTGCGGAGCTTGAGGATGCCCTGCTCGGGGCGGACGGCGCCAGTTCCCCATTTCTAAATTGGAATGAGTATGGGATTGGGATGGTGGGGACGGGTTGGACGTACCGGGCCACCGATGGCACCGAGGAGGACGGCGTCGGCGTTCTTAGCAGCAGTCAGGGCCTCGTCCGTCAGAGGGGTGCCGGTCGCGTCGATGGACGCCTGTAGAGGTTAGTGGGTTTACATCTTGTGCGCTGTTGCGGGGGTTCGACTCACGCCGCCGAGCAGGTGGTCCTGCAGGTTGAAGGTGACATCACGGTTCTTCTCGATGACGCGGAGGATCTAAAGGCGATGGGCGTCAGGATTGATCTCTTGCAGAATGATTCCTTCGCATCAATGGCTTACCTTGATAGCCTCGGTAGTAACCTATGTTTCGTGATGAGTTAGCCACGCGAATTGTCGTGTAGACCGTAGGTCTATGGCGGGGCACCTTGAGAGTGTAGTACATACCTCGGGACCACAGTGATCACCACCGAAGACAACGACGTTGTAGGAAGACATGTTGGGAGAGCAAAAGAAATGTGTCAATTGAAGGTAACTCAATTGGATCCTAAGGGAGCTTTAAAAAAGGTGGGATGCGGGTGAAGTCGACCCCGCCGCTCCGAGATCGGCGCCCACTCAACTGCGCCGCAAACACCATCCACGACTCGGCTTTATCAGTGTCTACGTCTTCTACAGCTTCCGACGGCTGCTGTCGGGTTTTTATAGAATTGCCTATAGTCTGTTTCTCTCGCATTCTTAGCCTCGCGCAATTGAACTTGGACAATTTTCAGACTCAAGGAGCTCCTCCCTACTACCGTTTCAAACACAAGGGCATGTATTAAATGATGTATAGCATTAAGAATATCACACTAGGCAAATGATGATGGGAAACGACAGGATCGAAGAAATAAAGAACAGAAAGAAAAGAAAAACCAGAAAACACAAACCCATGTGTACTGTACTGTACAAGGACCCAGAATTCCAAAGAACTCCTGAGGACCTTCCTATTCATGCCCAAGACTGACAGAGGATTTGCAAACCCGCCACCCCAACCTTCCAAGAAGCCCAGTAGCAATATGGATATTGTTGCTGGGGCCTCTAAATCACAAACCGAAGCTCCAAAAGATGCAAGATCAACGGATAGGGAGAAAGACAAATGAAATACCAGCTAGCAATGTGCTAGCTCGGTTGCATAGAAATGCAGATTACTTGCGGTTGGCACGACGGGCCTTCTTGTCATTCTCGGCGAGCAATTGGCTGGCATTGACCAGCTGGACGATGTTGACATACTGCTTGAACAGCATGACCGGGGCCGAGATGATGGTGATGATCCACGGGATCTGGCTGTCGATCTTGTTGGCGCGCGCCATCTCGAGAGCGCCGGCACTCCAGGGGCTGGCAAAGAGGCTGCTAGGAGGAGGGTTGGCGGGGTTACCAGGCTGTGCGGAGGAGGGCATCGCATCAGGAACGGGCTGGAGAAGCGAGGGCGACAGGATCGGCGAGGAGAAAGATAGCAGGTAGATGCCGATGAAGAACGCCTCATTGAGAGCGCAGCAGATGAACAGCACGGTCTGAAAGATGGGTCAGTCGAGATCAGACAGAGCAAAGTCTAGTTAACATACCTTGCTGTTATAGTACTTGTAGAGGGCCCAGTTGGCCTTGGGGTCGATCTTCTTGTGGCTCTGGTTGGATCCACCGACGCTCAGGGTGGCGTACATGTGCATATAGTGACTGGCCAAGTCCAGGCAAATGAGACCTTGGAACACAATAGCCCAACGAGGCCAGGCAGAGCTCAAGAAGACGAGCAGACACGAGGTGGTGCAGCGGTCAGTCACCATGTCCAAGACGGCGCCGAACGTGGTCGACTGGTTGTAGTACCGGGCGGCATAGCCATCCAATGCATCCAGCAAACAAGACACGCTATAGAGGATAGAGCAGGTGCGAGGGTGAAGAGGCATGTAGTAGAGGGACGCGATGGCAAGGACCACTCGGAAGTACCCTAGATTCTAGTAAGCACGAGGTCAAGGTAAGTATGAAGATGAGGATGCGACTCACCGATAAGATTCGGGGCAAAGAGGAAGATGTTCTCATCTGGCTCCTCGCGCAGAGCCGATCTTGACCTCTTCTTAGACGGTGTGCGCTTCGTCGAGGGTGTGGACACGCTCCCATTTCCACCGAGCGACTCTTCGCTCTCCGTGCCCTGGTCAGCAAGGGCCGCCTTTTGTCGTCGTGTCCGGGCACTCATTGTGAATCTGAAGGTGCTGTGGTGGGTTTCAATGACCGACAGATGGTTAGTCTGTCAGGAGCTCGTAGGTGTTGGTGGGGTAGAAAGTTCGACAAGGTATCGTGGCCGGAACGCGTCTGCGGCAGGATGGCTGATTAGCAACGGCGGGCAGGTAGGTCACAAGACAGATCACACATCTCAGTCCAGCAGTATTCCCAGATAAGAATGATAAGGAGAGAAAGCGCTCAGACGCAAGCGGAGCTGGTCGGAGAAGAAGGATAAGGAGGATAGGGGCAGGAGGCAAAATTTGTGTACCCGATAAGGAGATGATAAGCTCACGCGTCGATCTACTTACTTGGCCTCAAAGTAGGTCCAAGGTATATTCCGAGGAACGTATCGGGGAAGGTACCTAGGATGCAAATGGAATCCGTAGAGTGCAAGAGCAAAAGCGAGAAGCTAGAAGCTAGAGGCTAGAAGCTAGAAGCTAGAAGCTAGGGATGTGGAATGATGAAATGTTTTGAACGGGTCGCCCGGAACCTTGGAAGCTTTTCCCCACATCAAACTTGAGAGACTTTCGAGGACGTATAGTAGGGGGGAATATAGGAGGAAGATAGGAGGAATGTTATGGGATCTTTAATATTTCAACTTTCTCCTTCCAAGGTCGAATCTCGGCCTATTCAATTCCTCCGAAGTGACCTCCCAAGGGCTGCCTGCGCATAGCGACTGCATGTGGAGGGTATATAGTCAGCTCATTGGGCGTCGGCCAACAATCTGCCCGTTCCTTGTCTTGGCTTGGTTGTCAAAAGTTGAGTTGTCGTGATTTAGCTGCCTGATGACCACGGGTATAGGTGTCACTTTTATCCTCTTATACTGACTATTAGTTGACTCCAATACATTCAAAGTACTGCGTCTGAGCAGGTAGATACAATTGACCATGACATGCAAAATACTCATCGGCTAAAAACAAAAAAGAAAACCGGCTTTCAAGCTGAACAACGGCGAAATTATATGCAACTGATCCCTAGGATCAAAACTATGTACAAACGACAACCAGAAACTTTCTACAAAATTGGGAGACATCACGTCCGTGACCTGCGCGGATCGGTGGCATCCTGTCGCCGCCACTCGCGGGATTCCTTAGTTCCCAGACTACCCATACCACCCTCCTGCCGGCGCTCCCATCCACCAAGGCGAATGACCAGGCAGGTGGCATTATCACCCTCCTTGGTAACCTCGGTAGCGAAGCTAACCACGTCGCGAGCACCTTGTTCGGGTGTTCGGGCTTCCTTGATGATGTCGACGATTTCCTGGTCGAGAAGTGTGCCGCTGATACCGTCGGATACCATGACGAGGAATGAGTACTCGGCGGGGCCCATTTCGATGCGGCAGAGCTCGGGTTCCGCGGATACACCGATCCGCTTGGATTGGACGTCTCCGAAGGCGCGGGTATTTGCAAGTCCACTCATGCGCTCCTCACCGAAGGAGTCGGTGACAAAGGTCGCGGCGTATCGACGAAGTCGACCGGCCTCGATTGGAGAGGATGGGTGGTGGTTGGAAGTAACGGGGATAGCTTCGCCGCTCTCGGTAGAGCATAGTAATACCCTGGTGTCACCGACGTGTGCGATGAGTAGGCTCGAGGGGCCAGCTGGATGCCAGAAGGGAGTCGGACTGGGGGTTGAGATCATGGCGATGCTTCCAGTACTTCCGCCCTTGAATCGAGAACGACCGCCAATCTTCGGGGCTCGGGTTAAGCTGGGGCTGTGAAGAATCTCGTCATCGTTAAGCGGTCTCTCGGCTTGAACTAGATCGTCATCTCGCTTGGCAGCTTGCGCTTTGACGAAGTCTAGGTCGGCTCGCAGGAAAGCGTATTCCAAGATCTCCTCGACGGAGACATAGCCAGGGGAAGGGACCTCCCCGGATTCGGAACCATAGTACGCGAAGTGAGGCGGCTTGAATCTCTTGAAATAGCCACCGACAATCCGTCTCCAGTTCTGTACGAGGGTTTTCTCCAAATCTCCGACCCGGTGTCGGTTGCCCTCTTGCGTTACAGGTAGCGAGCCATTGGCAGCGGCCAGCTCGCCCCCGCTAATCTGTTGTTGTTTTGTGCGAAGGCTCGACCCGACTTCAAATATCGCGGCGGCATCCTGGATATATTCATGAAGAGTCTCTTTGAGGAACGTGCTGCACTCGGATCCGCCATGTCCGTCAAAGATGCCGAAATAGAAGACTTGCGGGTCCCCGCTAGCAGTATCCGCGGCTCGGGACTCGCGTGGTGCAGAGTTCCGTCGGATTCTAAGTGATGCAGGAGGTCGTTTCGCGAATGCTGGGATATCAATCACGCCAGCCTGGTATGTATCTTCATTATAGGGCCGAGTTCCACGGGCCGTGACAGCTCCGAAGTGGTGCTTAGCGTTGCGCAGCGGGATTCGGACAACGGTCGTCTCTCGGTCTACTAATGCTTGAAACGAGGTGGGCGACTGGGGAGTGTCTCCGGTGTGAGGTACTGAGGCCGAGCGCGGGAGTTTATGGAAAGGCGATGTCGGTCCCCGAGTGTCCGGATGTAGAGACGACGACGGGAGATGGGTGACGAAGTAGTCGCGGAACTGTGGGCGCTTCTTCACGCTCGGTGGTCCATCCTGATATTCAGCCTCGGAGCTGAAGTTCCGTAACCTTCGAGGTCGGATGAAACCTGCTCAAGGGGAAACACGGTTAGCCCGGGCGTTCTCAACATAACCAGGATCGGGGGTGTAGAGATCCCATACTATAACCGGTCGAGGTCCAAACCCCTACTCGCCTCGCTGAAGTGACGATCATGAATGGCCCATTGATAGAGTGACAAGGATGGTGGTGTAGGGAGAATGCAGAGACGAAGGCGTGGGGGGACACCTTGCCCTGGCCCGAGCGTCGGCAGATAAGAAGACGTTATCGGCAGATCTACAGTAGTTTTCGAATTCAGTTTGGCCCCATGCTCTTTAGACTTGATTGCCGGGAAATAGATGCTACATATGCGACTTCTGATCCGATATTACCTGAGTTTCAGACCATGGCTACAACCTTCAGCATTAGAAGAGCCCTTATCGCCAAGAATTGGCCTAAGAAGACTGCGCGGCATCGTGCTAAGGAGCAAAATGCCGATCTAACCCTGCATAATTTGTGGACTTTGAATCGTACCACCTAGTATATATCGATGAATCTGGATGTGACAAACGTTTTAGGTTCAGACGGACAGGTTGGGCATCACCTGGCATATCCCCTTTGCAAGTAACGCAATTCTTCGCGACCAAACACCAGCTGTTGCCCGCTATGCACAGAAGGGGATCGTTTTCTCGAGAGTATTTGGGTAGTTCTACGGATGCCACCGTATTTGAAGACTTTATAGCTCAGCTACTCCAGCACTATGGACGATGGCCAGAACCAAAATCTGTCCTAGTCATGGACAACGCATCATTTCACCGGTCAGGACGCCTTGCACGAATGTGCGCGGACGCAGGGGTGAAGCTGGTCTATTTGCCACCATATTCGCCGGACCTAAACCCAATTAAAGGGGGGTTTTGCCATTTCATCTATTCATAATGATCAGGTTAATGATAGTACAGTATTTGCAAGTTGATTAGTGATTGTTCGTGAATTCGCCTCAGCTGAGACCTGGCAACCTTAGACCTTATCGTCAGAACTGTCCGCCCCGCATGGTTCAACATCAGGCTCGTCAAGAAGCTGCTTGGTCTGTCTGTTGACTTCAAGTACAGGTACGTTACGGAAATCATCCTTACTGGCTGTATCTAAAGTATCGGTTGCCAAAGCTTTGCAAAGTTTGGTCATTTATCTGCTGACAGCCTTGTGCCTTTGATGAAGGCGTGGGAAGGACTTTTTGGGCATTCTTCAGTGCCGACCAGGGATCGCATCTCCGCCATAAGCTCTCTCTTCTCTCTTTGCAGCTCTGAGATTTCCGGATGTTACAAATAGCGCGCTTATGCGTATCAGTAAGCTCGGACGGTGTTAGTAGGTCTTTCCTCATTTATATATGGTCCATTTGTCTACGTAGTGCAAATATGGCTGAACGAGATCTAAAAGTAAACCATGGTTAAAATTACAGCGGGGCTGCTTGGAATTAAATGCGATACAGGCTCCTAAAGACAAGATCATTTCGAGTAATACGACTCCGCGCAATGGCAGACGAATGACGCGAGGTTGGCACCTACCAATAGCAGAATCATCAAGAGCCGAGAAAACAAGACGGGGAATCTGCTTGAAAGAAAACGTGCCATGTTAGAGAAAGGTCACAAGACCCACAGAATTGAATCGAGATATTATATGGCCCGGGTGCGCGAGAACAGACTGCTGTAGACGGCGTCCACAACGGGTTGGGCGGTGATCTGTCTGCCGCCGAAGAATCGTCCATTCAGGCCCTTGATGGCATTCTCGCCGCCTTGGACACGGTCGAACTTCAGGTAAATATCGCCTTGGGAGTTCGGATCTAGTGAGATGTGAACAACATGGCCGTACTTTTCTTCGCACTCTTGGCGAACGTCATCCTCCAACTCCTTGATCCAAGCTTCTCCTTCTTCCCTGTGGCAATTCGTTAGCATTTGGTCCTGGAATGAACAGATACAAAGATCAACTGACTCGCTAGCATCAAACATATTGCGCAGCATCACGCAGCGGCTTGCCTGGTTCACGGTGACAGGCAGCGGCTTCACGTCGGTCTTGGGCCGGAGCATCTTCTGTCGCTCGTGAATGGGAGGCTCGGGTTCATCTGTACGTGCGAGTTTCCTCATCAACGCGTCTCTACTGTAGTTGTTGAAGTTCACCCCTGAAACATCTGTGTCGTCAAGAGCACTAGCACCGGTAGACTTTTCGGTTTCTCTGCCGCCGCCGGCACGGTCAAAGTTGTTCGAGCCGCCGGCTTGGACGCCACGACCTCCGTGACCGGAGAATGAAGAGCCCTGGAAACTGGATTGATTTGCAGAAGGGCCCTGTGGACGAGTCGCGCTCGCATCGGGGGTAAACTTATCGTTGCCAAGACCCACTCGGATGGCTCGACCAGCAAGATCGAATCCGTTCATTTTCTCTAGAGCGTCACGAGCCTGGGTTGGATCACGGAACCTAGATGGACGGTTAGCGATGTAACTTGAAAGTGTTGAAGCTTGACTTACTGCACAAATGCGTATCCTTTACTCCGACCAGTCTCATCCTTCTGCAGCTGAACGAATTCGAGCTCGCCGAATGGTTCGAAGACGTTCTGGAGGTCGGTTTCAGTGATGCTGAAATGAACATTACCCACATAGAGTCTGTGAAATGGCGCGGAGTGCCCAGAGCTCGAGCTGGCCTCCGGGTTACGTGCCTGACGGTTCTTTTCGGCTTCGGTAAGCTGGACGATAACGGGAATGCCTACGAGCGTCTGGCCGGTAAGCTGGATCGCAGCGGGGACGGATTCTTCGCTTCGGAATTCGACGTAGCCAACACTATACGTATGTTAGGTTGGTGAATGAAAAAAAGTCAAGAATAGAAACTCACCCTTTTGATCGTCCACTAACACGGTCCTTGACGATTTGAGCCTCCTTGACGGGGCCGACCTTTTCGAAAAAGGCCATCAGCTCTTTAGTTCTCAGACGTGCAGCAAGCTGCTGCACGAAAACAGTTCGTTTGTCCCGCTCATCTTCATTGAGCTCAGGGGACTTGCTTGGACTCCGACGACGAGGGCTGCGACGCCGATCACGATCACGGCGAGGGCGTCGGTCATCGTCGCGCCCGCCACGACGGTTCGGGCGGTAGTGTCGGTCATCATTGGGTGAGCGCGAACGAGTACGAGCACGTCCTCCGCCACGGTAAAAGTCTCCGCTGGAGCGGAGGTCATCACCGTTTGCATCACGACGGCGACGTCGGTCACTCTCACGGCTACGGCTCCTCTTCCGGCTTCTCTGGCTTCCGTTAGCACTGCCATGTTCGCTTTTCATGTCCTCATCGCCATCGGCATCTCGGTCACGGCGACGGTCTCGGCTGCGGTCTCGGCGGCGGTTTCTATCACGGGAAAGGGAACGCTCCCGGCGTCCATTCTGGTCCGCGCGTTCATCGGGTTTGGTAGTCGCTTCGGTGGGAGCAGCCGTTGACTCGAGCAACGCTTCTACGTCGAGTCCGGACATTGTGGGGTTGTAGCTTGTCGCTGGTTGTGATTGGAACGATGGTCGGGGATAGGAAATCAAGTCACTAGGGGGCGATCAGAAAGTGCCTCGAAGGATATGATACGGAGGAGATTCGAACCCTTCTGCTCAGTAGTATAAGTCCAAAAGTTCGGAAAGCGCTCAGCGCGATCGAATATCTGTAATGCGAAATGAGGGTTGACTCAAAAGTGGGAACCCAAGTTGATGTCAAAGTGAAGTGGTATATAAACCCAAATGGTGGCGCCTGAGTTGCCGGTCAATCGCGGCAGAAAGGGCGGCAGGAGAACTGGCAGAAAAATCAAAGCGGTGACTCACAATCAGCGCCACTGTTGTCACGTGAGAGAATTAGTTATACTTCAGCCTGAGGCAAGATGCGACAAGCGACTCTACTCGTGAAGGTTGGTATTGGGAAAGCCTTGTGGTGACCATACAACGTAGTGTTTTTTTGATTAGGATTAATGAGTCTCATGTACACTAATAAGTGATGCTGGTAAAAGGAACGTAAAGTGAATCAACTTCTCATGGCTACGAGGCCGAAAAGTCACCTATGCATGAAACAGAACCATCCGAAACTCCTCAGTTGCCCATGTGCGAGGGGTCATGTACAAGCATCTGGCGGTCGCATCGCCAGTAACTAACTCCGTGAATTCATAATTAAAAGGGTAAGCTGTCGATGCGGACATGTGCGAAGAGACTCTACTGAGCCTTGGCACCCTTGGAAGAAGGAGCCTCCAGCTCAGTGCCGAAGACACGATCCCAGAATCGGCTGGTGACACCAAATCCATTCTCAAAGTCAGCGTAGTGGTGCTGAAGGTGGTACTTCTTGAGCTCCTTGTAGTGCAGGGGAAGGCTAGACAGTGTTAGTCGTGATCATCCGATCGATAGGATTGGGATACTTACTTGCGGTGGTGAAGGAAGTAGTGGGTCAGGTCATAGCAGATGTATCCGAAAACACCGCCGCAGAAGACCTGCACAGCCGCAAACCAGTTGTAGAAGAAGACGGCATGGGCCAGCTTCCAGAAAGGGGCAGCCAGTACGACAAACAGGGTCGGCGGCATGACAAGTCGGTATTTATCCATAGGGAGATAGTGATGAATACCATGGAGAAGGAAGTGTAGAGTCAGAGCAACTCGGTTATCGGGGAGCCAATTGTCAAGGTGGAAGAGGAAGCGATGCATGAGATACTCGATCAGGGACCAGAGGCAAAAACCAACAGCCCAATACGCGGCAGCGGCCAAGGGGTTATTCAGACCCCCAGCTCCGATCACGGTACCATATGCGACCATAGGCAGCCACAGAATAGGGACTATATACCACGAAGTCTTGCTGAGAGGCTCCAAGATATTGCCGAAGAGAGGGGCCGACTCGCCTCCCTTGTAGTGACGGGGCCGGTGAACTTGCTCCAAGTAAAATTCCTTGGAGAAAGTGCTGTACCAGAGTTGAGGGAACAGAGGCTTGTTGAGATCCAAAAACTTATGTGTTTTGAAGTCCTGCGAGAAGTCGGTCTCGACAGACAGATCCTCCTCCCGCGACATTCCGGTGGTTTCATAAACAGTTCCATCGCCTTTGCCAACGTTGATACCAGCGTCCTGGGACTTGCCGGATGCATCCGAGGAGAGGAATCCGACGTGGTAGTCTAAAAGGATCTCGTAGGCGGCCTCGGAGTGCTCGTGGGAGATTTCATCCTTCATGATCTCCGCCACGTCCTTGCCAGCATAGTCCAGAATCAGATCACCACCACCTGGATGATCTTCCACGAAGTCGGTAACATCGTAGACATTGCGACCGATGGTAATGAAGCAGGATTTGACACTGTTATGCGACTCCACCTCGGCGGGCGTGAATGTTGGTAGGACACGTCCAGGCATTTTGCCGGATATTTCTTGGGGAGAACAAAAAGAAGATGCGACACGCAAAACGACACGCAAAGTGTAAGATTGGCGACTGTCGATAAGGGAGGAGGGGGATCGGTGGTCAAAGTTCGCGGATGCTTCGGTTTTGATGGGGCAAATAAATTATTCAGGGGTGTGGCGTGACAATCCCTTTTCCCGCCCCGGTGACTGGGCAGTTTTCTGTTTGGTTGAAAAAGAGTCACAACCTCGGATGCTGGTATGATTCTGAGTTGATTGGTACCCAGGTAGAGAGCAGACTTGATCAGGCCATACGAGAGATTGAACAAAAAAAAACTGGCGTCCGCGTCCGATGGGCAGTGGGACAAGCATGTGACCCTTATCTAATCAAGTGCCAGGGCCTGGTCCTGGTCCCTCGGCCCGGCGTGAAAAGTCGTGTTGTGTCGTGGGCTTGGATATATCTCAAGGTTCTGATCTACTGTAGGAAGATGATGGTCGTAGAGGGCTTCTTATTAAAACATCAAGGCCTGTGGTGTGCCAACACTATAGTGAGCTATGCTCAGCCTATTTTGGTCTCCTTTGCTAACGCTTAGATACTGTCTTGAAAAGGCTTGAATGATGTAGGTGGCGTGAAGAATGACTGCTTGAACCGTTGTACAGAACTGCGTGGGTGTACCTTTTCGAGGAATTGAAAAGTTGAGCAGTTATGAATTGTAAAGACATCGTTATTATTCCCCGGGGAGAACCCTCCAAAGTTGCTCTGTTTATCCAAGATGCAAAACAGGTCTAGCCACGAGACCAAATTTTAGGTCATGGAGACTACCAGTAGGTGGTCAATACTCGTTGCTTCACCGTGTGGACGCAATATTCCTCCTAAGATACACTCGCGAGGAAGCTTGACTTTCTAACAGCATAGGCTGAATCTACGCAAGTGGCGGTGGGCATGACCCATGTCTCCGACAGTAGGAATCAAATCCATGCCATTGATTGAGTTTCGGACAACTTGCGTATATAGCTCTTACCGAGTGGAGTCCGTTGTGTATATCACTTCCGTATTGATGAGCTTAGACGAAGCCTCACCGATCACGCAGTAACCGGTTGGGCTCGAAGCTCAAGGTTGAGGTTGAGGAAAGCTAGTTCGCAAACTAGTAACTTAGTGCGAGCCTACAAGCTACCGCTCCCAATTATCTACAAGGACCTTCCCATTTCGCACTGTGCGGGACCGCCCGCATCAACCAAATCGGCAATGGAACCGTCTCCGTTGACGAGCCAGCTTGCAGTACCGCGATAGCGCCTATGTGATTCGATCTCGGTGGCCTCTCCCAGCCAGGCCCACCACCCGATCTCCACTTGGTTGAAGGGACGTACATGATACGCGCGCCCGCGTTTCTGTTGACCCTCATATTCGTCAGGGCAACGACAAGGCGACCTTTGGGCGATTTTAAATTGACAGGGATCAGACATGGCGCTAGCTCTCCGGGGTGGAGATTTCCAAGCCCCGCTGGCTTTCGGTTTAAGGACTCTCTTCGCCCAGTCTTCCGCCCAATTTTCCCTTCAATTCAATCATGTCGGTCACGGATATCTCCCCGGAGAATGAGATTCTGAATTACATCCAGCAATTGACCGAAACGAAGAAGGGCCTTCCCTCTGGTCAGCCCGTCTGTGTTTTGGCCTCTCACACCATCACAGACACCGAGGCCCTCGTACAATTCGCCGAGGAGGTCGGGCCGCATATTGCTATTCTGAAGGTTCAAGCCGACATCGTCGACGATTGGTCAAATCACACCATCGACCAACTGACCTACCTATCCAAGAAGCATGGCTTCATACTGTGGGAGGGGAGTAGAGTCTTGAACTCCCTCATCAATTTTATGGGCCGCGACAGCACCAATTGGGATCAACGAAAGGTCCAGGCCGATATGATCAAACGGAATTATACAAATGGACCCGTGAAAGTGGGCCGGTGGGCGGGGATGGCAACTGCATGGGCCCCTGGGGCCCCCGTCGACAAACAAGAGGAAGACGTCCTCATTCCTACCCTCCGAAAGGCCGCACGTGAGGCTGTCGCAAGCACATACAAGACTATCCAGACGGAGATTTCGGCCGCAGACAGCGAGGATGGTCCGGAGGAACACATATCGGAGCAAACGCCGACCACAAATGGCTGGCCCGAATTCAGTTCAAACAACGGCGTTTCAATGCGCAAGCAATCGACCATTTCTGTCACCGAGACCATCACTCTGCAACCTCATGTCCAGCCGGAGGATGGCGTCCCACCCCCACCATTACTCGCCCGAGGCTTGGTACTCAGCTTGCCAAATGCCGGCGGCACTGCGTTCAAACCCGAGTTCCGACAAAGCACGATAGCTGCCGCATGTTCGAACCGGGACTTTGTGGTCGGGTTCCTCACCAGCGAGCCGTATTTCACAGAATACCATGGAAACAACGTGATGGAGCTGGCCTTTTTGGACGAACCACAAGGTGCAAAGGGACGAAACCTGCTTGCGTCTTCACACTTACTGGAAATGCGAAACTCATTGGGTCTTTTCTCTCTCATCTCGGCCGAAATGGGTGCGAACTTCGACTCCGACCCGGTGCATATCCTCAATAGCGATCAGGATGCGCCAGAGGCACAGCCTGAAACTGTTATGAAACTAAACTATATCATCCGTCAGGCCTTGAGACTTCGTGATGCCAACCGGAAAGACAAAGAAGTCAACAAAGAGGAAACGAGTATTCCTCCCGGGCCGAATATCGTGCATTGCCCGATTGTTATCCTGCCATAATTCGAATCTCGGTAACCCCTAGGTTCTACGACTGTTGATGACCTCACCACCATGAACTTTACGTCCTTTGAAAGCTGTAGCACATATCCCTGTTTTTATTCCAATGTATAAGCACATGATTTCTTTAGGCTTAGATGGGAGTTTGTTGGAGCAAAGATGTCTGTTCTGGACACTTGCCATGCTTATGAAGACTGTTTGTATAAAAGACCTCTGTCAGCCCTACAAAATAGATTATTTAGTTCATTCCTTGATTGTTTCAAAGTCACAGATTCGTCTAGAGATGGAAGAAAAAACTTTAGTTGACTAGTTAACCAGATCTATATTCGTCGCCTTATCGATAAGGCGACGAGCTCACTCGCCACCTCGAATGGCGGGGCACGTGTCACGGTTAGCCACAGCATCGACCGACTGTTTCTGTCTGCACCGAGTGAAGCATCACCTCAAGAACCATATGACTTGCTGATAATCAAGAAAGAACTGCTCTGCTTCTCGCTTTCTGAATCTTGTTCATCTCTGTTTCCTGTGCAGCGCTTTTCCAGCGACATTCATACTGCAGCGGGTAGACTTGGCACACAACCTTCCAGGCCAAGGGAAACAACGGATTAAGATTAAAAAGCTACTCTTTTTTTTTTTTTTTTGGCTCAATGATTCAATTCATTAATTCATTCCCTACATCGACGTGAATCTTAAGAAGGCCTCGCCCGGTGAACCTGGGGAGGACTGCAGTCATGAACTCTGACTACCCTCCTCTAACCCGTCCAGGAGCTGAACCCATACCTCCCGCTGCTGAGGGGACCCAAAATTCCCCAGAAGAAATTGAACCAAACGAGAAGAAGAAGAAGAAGCTGCCTTATCTCAGCAAAGACTCTAAACGAGGTTCGCGGAACAGCTCAAGCAACCTGACAGTCATTTGTCCCGATGGAGACATGATTATTGAGTATGTCGAATCCTCGTCAACAGGCAATCGATACTGGCAATTATCCAGTCAAGACCTCATGCACAACAGCCCATACTTTCAGGCACTTTTGGATCCAAACAAGTTCGCCGAAGGAAGACTTGTCGCGGAATACAAACAAAGAAAAGCGCCAAATGGAGCTGATCTGACCTCCAGTGTCAACACGCATGGCAATTTTGACGCTCTTGGATTTGACCTGCCCATAGTCAAAATCTCTGAAACTCGTCTTACGAAATTATGTGGGGCAGGGGCCATCGAACTATTTCTGAAAATCCTCTGCGCAGAGGGCTTGGGCAAGGACAAACAGGTGATCTTCGACAGCGAGCTGAAAGTTATGCCTCCGTCCATTGTTGTAAGGACCATCGAGATAGCTGAGTCTTTCAGCTCACCCAATATTGTCAAGCAAACTCTTAAAAGAGCTTGGTATATGTTTGGCAAGACCAAGATCTCTTGGAATAAATTTGGCTCTCCTCTCTTGAAGCAAACCGAAGAGCGCGTCCGGCAGATAATAGTCATTGCTGAATTCATTGGAGATTACTCGATCGCAAAAGTTATGATGCACACGCTGTTAGTCATGGGATCGAAATATTGGGATGGCCGTCCAGAGCCACCTGCAACCGATCATCTTCGATGGCAATATCTCCCGGGGGGAGTAGAAGGTATATAGACCACCTTACCCGCTTGATCCACTTAAATGACATGGGAGTCAAGGTTACTAACTTTTATTTTCAGAAGAGCTGTATTACCGGCGGCAATGTGTCATGAACACCATCACCGACTTGCAAGCCCACTTCCTTCGCGTCTACGGGGGTCTTGAAGAGATCCCCAAGACCAATGACCTCATGGCTGCATCAACTCGACCCACGCTGGGCACGACATTCTCTACCTCAATACCCCATAGTGAATATCTAAGATACCAGTGTCGGGCCGGGTTTGGAAATGGAAGCCAGTGCGATCTGTTCCACTTGGGCCAAATGACTCGATTCTTTGCGCTCAAATCGAAGAGTATCTTCCTGGGGTCTACCCTGATCGATCCTGATTTCAGCATGGTTGAAGACGACGACGACAAGCAAAATGGAAACCCACAAACACCAGCTTATGCAACTCCACCTTCAGCTATCATTTCCCTCTTTGCATCCTTGAAGCAATACCCAGATTACCAAATCGACACAACCCACCATGGCTGCGGAGTACGACGTCGAATCCTCCCCGTGCTGAACGGTATTGAGAAATACATTCTAGACCCACGAGGCCTTCTCGGTATCGATTACAAGGAGTGGAAAGACTCCTCTAAACGTCCGCAAATTGAATGGTGCAGTAAGACCAGCCGCAAAGGACACACTGTGGACATCCGCTTTGAGAAAATTGTCGGCATACACATGTCGTCGCCCAAGTTTTCTTTCGTTACAGCTACTACCTCAGAGGACGAGGCGAGGCTATTGTTCACTGCCAAGAAACGGAATTGGGAATCTTACGAAGGTCTTATGCGTCCAGGAACCTAATCGCTCATCATGTCTCTGGTCTTCATCGACATCCACTACCATCCATTACTACACCTGTTTACGATCATGACGAGATTCTATTATTGCCCTTAGGAAGATTACACGCCATGACGACTGGAAGCCCGAGAAGAGCTGAGATGGACCCTCTACTTGGACCTTGGTCTCACACCAGGTGGCTGATTCATGCCACAATGTGATGGCTCTGATTTCCCATGGTTGTAAATATCCATCCCCCAACTCAAGCCCTAGGCTTCAAATATTGTATACATACATGTACACTGTGAATATCTGTTTAGAACTAGAGCCTGGCTTGATATTGAAAGATAATGACACATCGTTGAGATTAGACAAGAAAATAAGAGCTAAAAAAGGCATTACATACTTTTCTTTCAGTGTAACAAAACAAATACTATTATACTCCATAGAGATGCATCTTTTCATGTTTTGATCCAGCGCAAGCAAAAGATCTTGGAAACCTGCACAAATACAAACACAATCTGTGGTCTATTCGCATGCTTTTTTTAGTCCTTTTCTCTCATCTCGACTTTCTATCAATTTCATTGCACATTGTTTTAACACACGGCGTCGCCGTAGAAATAGCCCAGGTCGAGATCGATGTTGGGTCCGGGTGGGAAGAAGGACCCTGTGATCTGGCCTGTGGCCGGGTCGTAGGGGAAGTAATCATCGTAAGATGGCTTCTCTTGTTTTATGAAGGGGTCCAGCATATCTGGAGGGTCAAAGCTGCAGGGCACTGGAATGCCGAGAGGGGAAGTTCCTGACTGCTCCATCGGTGAGCAGACAATTGAGTCCATCTCTGCCGTGATGGTATCCATCTCGGCTGCGTTTATGGGTAGGATCTCCGAGGCTCCGAAGCCGAAGTCGTCCACGGCTTGGTCATTGGACATTACGTTTAGCTTGGAAATTTCAGGTCCGGTAATATCGGACTCGGCCATCTCAGGCTCGTCTAGCAGAGAGCCCGCGGAGGATTCTTGCTCGGCGACCTCGTTAACGTCGGTCCCAAGGTCTGGGGGAAGACGACGAAGGAATCCATCGCAGAGCTTCCAGGCTTTCTTAGAAGCATTATTCATCTTTGATAGTGTCGAGAGCCAATCAATAGCTTTCTTGGCGGCTTTGGAGATCATTCTTGCTTTCTCTGGGACATGCTGTGCTCGGAACGAGAGCTCTAGGAGAAGAACGGTAGAAGCTTGCATGAGGTAGTGGAGGGTACACCACCAGGGTGTGATTCGGTGGAGGAGAGCTGCGTCTGGAGTATCCGGGAATAGAGTCAGCATATGACAGGCTGACTCGACACACTCTGCTGCAGTCTTGCTGCAGAACTCATGTGCCCTTTCACCCTCTTGTGATGAAGCCTCCAGTCGGCGCAAGCAAGGTCTAGTAATGCCGATCTTGGTACTATAGAACAGGAAAGCGAGTCCCATCCGCTGACCCAAAGGACATTGCGTCTGCGTCGAGGTAAAGTCATAGGCGGAGGGTAGATTCATGAACCAAGTGTCAATATCCAGCATCAAGCTTTGGATCGTAAACTCCGTACTCGCCCAGGGAGACTGTAGTGCCTCCGGACTGTATAGCTTGCTTGTCGTGCGCTTGGCGACGGTTGTCAAGGAGGTTAGCTGCAAGAAATATAGTGACATGCATGGCGGAAGACTCTTCAGATATTCGGCTCTGGTCATCTTTGTCTCGCACTCTACAGGACTGTCGCAGGTGTCATCGTCCGTGTTCGAGTCCAGATTGGCTGCACTGTTGTTGAATGGCACTCGATCCAGACTATCAGACGCGGCTCGCCCAGCAGCACTGATCATATGTGCCACTTCTTCCTTTTGAAAATCGCTTTCATCGAATGGGACAGGCAAAGGCGTGGTGCACGAGCTGTCTATGATGCAGGATGGACGTCCAGTGATGACAGTGAGGAGATGTTCAACCGTGTACAATGACCACCAGACGCGATATCGTATTTCCTTGGAATTGTCCGAAGTACAGGATCCCAAGTTGCGCAGGTGTAGGCCAAGAGCCAATGCTCCACGGACAGCACTCCCACACAGCTTCCAGGCTCTGTATAGTCTGTTAGAGGAGTTTTCAACAATCCATGACGTAACCAACCTACCGGTTTATATGACCAGATGCAATCATGTAGAAACAGGCAAGACCTTCAACTTGCAATTGCTGCAAATCAGGATGCTGCAAGAGCTGATCCTCCATGCTGAGAATCCTCGCTCGCGCAAAATACAACTGGTGGCCATCTTCTCCCTCTTCTTCTTCATCCCCCCAATCCATCTCCGTCAACTGGCCATGCTTGGCCGCAATTGCAAAGATCAAGTTGAGGATGGCCAGCCACTTATTTCCAGGCTTCAAAGATGGCTGGCCGAAGAACACCTGAAACTGCGAGACGAATGTGAGAATTCCAATAATCGGGAATGACGGATGCACCGAGGTCAGATATGTGTTAAGCAATTTGGTTGCTGTTTCCCTTGGTGGTACTTCATAGGTGTCAACTTGCTCCGTGATTGATACATCCGAGTCATCGAGATAGTAGTTGGTAGATGCTACCCCTAATTCACTTGGATCGTCGGGCCGAGGAGTCAAAGTGGGTGATGGCAGACCATTCTCATCATCCTTGGTGGAGATAGTGGAAGGCCATCCGTCACACTCGCTGTTGACTTCTTTGCTAAGCTTCTGAAGCCATGCAATCTCGGAGCTTCTTCCAATGAATCCGGTGGCTCGAGTGGTCTCGTCTTTGTTGAAGTCCTCCTCTGTGTGGTCGATGAACTCGAGAGGATCGCCGACTGTAGGCTGATCCGGTGGTTTTTCCGATCCAGAGCCACGAGCGGTCTGGCGTTCTCCTGTCAAAGCGGAACCAGAATCGGGATTGAGAGTTAGCTCAGAAGCCGAATCCTAGCAGATGTCAGGACAAGTTCTTGTATGTCAATATGAATGGCCTGGTTTTCTTACCACTGCTAGAGCGATGTTCACGAGCTGTTCATCCGATACGCCAAATCGGCTGCTCAGCTTTTTGATGACATCTTCATACGCCTGCACCTTTGATGATAGGCTCGCTAGTTGACTGTTCGGAGAGCCAGATTTATTAACTCCCATCACCTCGAGGTCATCACCATAGATTGAGATGTCTTACCGTTTCGACTTCTCTCTTTTTCCGTCAGTGTAGCAGCAGATGATGCCGGCCTCTCGACAATTGCGACAGCCAGACTTATCACCGGTGCATTTGGTCTTTCTCTGTCGACAGGACTCGCATGCTCGACGAACATGCCGACGGTGGAATCTACCAGGTGAGGTGAATGCCGATTCCGTACCTTCGGCAAGGCGCGGAATGGCCATTTTCTTTGTGCCGAGCTCGGACTCGGACCTTTGTAGAGAAGGAAGTGGATTGTCCTGAGCGTTTCAAATCGACATGTTAGACTAAGGTAGATCCAGATTCAATATACTCTAGTGGAGCTAAGACATACCACGCTTGATAATTGACTGCAGGTTTCCGCATCAGCACAAGATAAGTTGAATAGAGTCTCTTGCTCGGCCCATGATAGGAATTGAATATTGCTCATGGTGGTCTTGAAAAGACGTCTACTAAGAAGCTTTCTTGACGGCAGCAAAGGGCAATCGGCAAGCCGGCCAGCTATGTCCTTTTAGTTCTGAATAGGATTATCTTGATCGTTTTTTTTTGTCAAGATCTGAAGCTCGAGCATCAGGTCGACAAAACCATAAGACAGCAGGCATCAAGAAAATGCAAAATCCAGGGGGACTTAGGCCTATTAAAGAAGGAGCCACAATTGCGTGCTGCGCTATCCTATTCAGGCTTGTCCGGTTCTGATACGCGCAAAGTCTATCTGGTTGGTATTCAACAATGACGACGTTAGACTAAGAGAACGACGTCTCTGCACAAATGGCCACCGAGTAGTTGAGTATTATGAATAGTATAGATTTGCCTCATGTAGCCACAGTAGGAATGATGAGGCGGTTTTGAGGTCTTTTTAATGAGCGGCTTTGCTCCTTCGTTGGTTAATTGATCGTAGTTTTTGCCTTCAGCCGAAACAATGGTTCACTTGCATCAGAATTCCGATCGCCCTGTTTCAGAGCATTGGCTAAACCACTTCGTCTCTTCCCCGGGCATCTCCACTCACTGCATATTTTGTCGGTTGTTGGGACCGACAGACTCTCAATATCGCTGTCCTAGGAACGGGATCGGTACCTAGAAAGGACCTGGATACACTGGAACTCCCTCTGCAGGAAATGGCTCGGTGGGCGAAGCAAAGGCCTCGTCGATCTTGTTGCGGTCGTCATAGCTTCTGTAAATGGTACAGTGCTGAACCCTCGTTGTTACTGGGAGAATGCCTACACCAAGTCTGTTGCATATAGTGGCTCAAGCTTCCACGGCTCACTTCCAATGACCGAGTCGGAAGGCCTAGACCCGAGGAACAGAGTCAATCTGACGTTAGAAAATGGTGGCGCCAATTTCATCTGGTGTCCCCTGGTTGTTAATCAGAGTAACACAGTTTGATAGGATAGCAGGTAAACAAGTCCATGGACAGCGAACGAGGCACTAGGAGCTCGACGACACGTGAGTCAGGGCCCAGAGGGATCTGATTCAGGTTATTCTGTTGGGACTTGACTCGACCAGCTTCTGAGATTTCAAATATCCATAATCCTGACGTAGACTATTACATGTGAATGATCGAGGATGATCGAGGTAAACATCACCACGCATGTAGCTGCCACGAGGGCATACGACACCTGCGCAAACTGAGGGGGGTTACAGCCATCCTTCCAAGGTTGATGAGAGTCTATAGTAAGGTGTGTCAATTTTTTGGGTAAACCTAAGACACGGTCCCGGTAGGAGAACGTCTTGTTAAGAACAGTCAAAATTCAAGGGCTTAGAACACGATCTTCGAAGCAAAATGCCAGCATAGGCCACAATCCGAACGTCATTAGTATCCGACTCTATACAACTCAAATCCAAATCACTCGATGAGGAAGTTCTCCGCAACGCTGCGAACGTCCTTGGAGAAGGCAGTGCTCTCACCGTCCATCTCCAGTAGCGAGGCGCTCAGAACATCGACATCAACGAAAGGTTGAGCCTTAGTGAAGCGCACGTTCATCGGGAAGAACTGGTCCTCGTCGCCGTCGGTTGACTCAAACTCGAAGCTGCCAGATGGGTTCGACTCATCAACCGCGCCCAGTGTCCAGTCAATGCTGTCGCCAGACACCTCGTACATAGCATCAAAGCTGGACACCGCAGGTTCTTCTGAGCCATAAGGAATAGTGACAACGACATCGCGCAGGCTGTCTGAACCGGTGAGCTCGTACTCCACTGTGACAGTCGTCGAGTCGGAGCCCTTGTTCACCCAGACGGTGAAAGTAATGGGGAGAATGTCGGCATTATCAGCTGAGCTAACAACACGCCACCGCAGGACACCGATGGAGTTGTTTGCGGGGAAGCGCTTGGAGGTGTCCTTGAGCTGAATGGCCGAGGTGCTGGTAAAAAGAGCTTTGTCGACATTGGGGTGAGTGCGGAACTGGGCACCGTGGGTAGGAACGGCCTGGAGGTCGAGGCGCAGCTTGGTGAAGGCAGGGTCGGTAATGCGGAGCTGAAGGTCGCCCTTGACTTCGAACGATTTCAAGGCACCCTCGCGTGTAAGTGTGGCGGAGATCGTTTCGGCGATAGTAATCTGGACGGGGTCGCGGTCTGCGGTTAGAGATTCCCGGGCAGAGGCGATCTCTTGCACAGGGGTCGAGGCCTCTGTGACCAGCGGGCTGGACTCCTCGACTTCGGGACCCAAATCGCCTCGGACCTTCTCGTAGATATCGGTTGCCTTTGACTTCTTGCCGAGTTGCATACCCTTGCCGCGAGTAGGGATGGGCCTATAATAATTGATCTCGTTAATACCGCACCCCATATTCCAGGCTCTAGGGAAAACATACTTGGAAAATGCCTTTTTCTTCTCCGCTTCGTAGGAATCGTAGGTATCGGGGACCGAAGGGCGCGCGGGAGGTGTGTAGACGGGGTAGGATGGTGTGCGAGGAGCAGCAACGCGGCCGCTTCGAGCAGCTTCCTTGCGCTGCATCTCCAGTTGCTTCGCCTTCCTCTTGCGCTCTTCGCTGGCCTCCAACTCTTTGTTCTATAGACGAATGTTAGCGTAGAAGCAGCCCTCCAATTGAAGCCATAGCATACCCGCTCAATGATCTCTTGGATTCTCTCCTCGTGACTCTCCATCTCCAGGAAAGTCTTGATCTGAGATAGGGACAGGTTCTCCCGGTATCCCAAAGTCACCAACTCGTCGAATGCGCTCAGCAGCTCGAAGGCATTGCGAGTAATCTCGCGCTCGTCCAGGCTCTTGCAGATGCTGGCGGTCACCTGGGCAAACAGGTGCAAGCTGTCGATGTCTTGGAGAATATTGGATTGGCGGTTGGTGATCAGAACGATGTACAATTCGTCCAATGGCTGGTACACGAAGCGGACGTTGTCTTGCTCGACAGTGGTGTGTTGGGTTCCGGAATCCGCAAGCTTGGGGAATGAGGCGAGCAAGGCCTCAATGCGCGACCGGGCAATTTCGTGGAACTGGCGCGAGAGGACCGCTTTGCCTCCACGAGTGCATATCGACGCTGCGAGGACGACCTGATTGTGGGGAGGCTCCGTTAGTCTAGAAGCTCACAGGGGCAATGAACTCGGGAGAGAGATGCATACCATGACGAGCGAAGATTTAGCCGGAAGTCTTCAAATGAGCAAAAGAAGGCGTGTGATTCCAGGAGAGAGCAGTTGTAAAGCGTTAGGCAGAGCCCCTTGTGGTGTTGTTGATGGGACACATCGCCGCCCGCTACTCTGTTCTCTTCGGACTTGGCCCGTGCACGCCCACCCCCTTCGCTTAGTCCGGCGTCAACTCTCTTTTTTCCCTGTCTTTTCTCAACTCCTGCTCATTTCCTGTATCACTCTCTTGACAAACTGGATTTGAGCGTATTTCGACAACTTACCTTTTTGCCTTTCTTTACCTCCTTGAACGTCTTCGACTTACCACTACGGAGAAACCGCTAGACACGAACTTGTGGCTCCAACCTCTTTGACGCGTCTATGCTATGACATCGGCTTCACTGCCATTTCCCACCATGGAGGTTCCTGCTGTTGAGGACTCTATGGAGATGGCCTCTCCCTACCAGGCCAATAATGATGACTTTGATATCGATCTGGATCTTATGGAGGACCAAGTCTCCAACATGGATAGCGACATGATGGGCGCAGATGACTATCCTACATCTCAGCCCTCTCTTTTCAATAACGATGCAATCAACGATGCCGACATGGTCGACGAGCCCTCCGAAGGATCTATGGTCGATGCCGACGACATTGTTGACGAGGATCATGATATTGAAGTCCAGGACGAAGAAGTGACATACGAGGCTGAAATGCAAGAGGGGGACCAGCCCGTAGCGGGGGATGCACCAGTCTTGCCTACCATCCAAATTGACGACCCGGCGAATATGGAGGACCAGACGAATCCCCCCATCCAAAATGTCCTGGAACCGGTCCCGCAACAAGTGACCCAGGAAGGCTTTGGTGGCCATGCTGAAATATCCCCTCTCGAAAATAAACCCCAAGATCCTGTTCAGGGTTCGCAGTCGACCGCATCTGAACAAGCCCAGTCCGAGAAACCCCAGAAGCAAAATGCCGAACTCGATGCCGATCACAAGGTCGAGTTGCTTGAAGAAACTAATGAAGACACGGAAAGTAAAGCTCCGACCGCCGAGGAAACTATTTCGCAGGCTGAGCCTCCCGCGGAGACTCTTGAGGCTCCACCAGCGCAAGCTCCATCTACGGAAGCAAATCGCGAAACTGTTGGACATTCTGAGACTGAAAACTTGCTTGAGAATGAGCATCAGAGTGCCCACGATCACGACGACGAGTCCCTGCATCCGGTGAAGGTTCTCTATCAAGGAAATGAGATTTCTCTCTTCCCGCCTCTTGAAGGCGACTCAGCAGAAACATTCTTCCTTCATGACGAAGACGTTGCCTACGACAATGTCGGTAGATTGTTCAGCTCTCTTCGTGAGATCCTATTGGATAATGTTGCCGAGCATGAGGTACTTGTTATTGATATCGACTCTCTTGGTATTCAAATAGCAGAGGTAAGCAACTCCTTGCGATGTTTATGATGGTTTTTTTTTTCATGGACTAAAAAGCTAATTCCACACAGGACTCCTCGCACACATCCAATATGACCTTGCACCAGATTCTGAACGTCTACCTTCGACTGTGTCATAATGACGGTACTGATGAGCCGGACGCCCTGTACCTCTCCTTGACATCTAAGCCGACTTGTCAATCGGAGTTGGCCGCCCTTGTTGCTGCTGCTGATGGTGGCAAGGGCCTGTCGCAAATCCATGAGTGGTATGGTTATGACGAGGCTGAAGAGGGCGGTCATGCTGAAGATAAAACTGTAAATGCCGAGGAGACTGACCAGCCTCATGATACTATGAAGGCCGATAAAAGTGGACAGGAAACGGCCCATGAACTAGATGAAGCTACTCAAGACAACGGGCCCTTTGGCTCTGAATCTCACCATGAGGTGCACGAAGCAAATGGCTCGGAGGAAAAGCATGCTGAAGCCGGTCATGAATCGGCTGCTGCTGATCAGAAGGCCGAGGCAGAGACCGATGGTCCTGAAGAAGCCCAAGATGGAAAGGAAGAAGTCTTTGCGGAAGAGGCCCCTGGTGGCCAAGATGAGAATGAGGAAGAGCGGCATTATGATTCAGAAGCTCAACATACCGATTCATCTGCGACCGTCGCCTCGATTTCCCATCGAAACGAGCCTACTGAAATTGGTGCTCCGGCTGACGTTGAATCAAATAATTTGGATCAACAAGTCGAGGAAAGCGCCGATGCCAATAGTTTTGAGCATGCAGATGCTTCTCAGCAAGCTGAAACCTATGATGTCGAGAATCCCGAGGATTTCCAGGATACACATGGCGATGACCACGCCACCGAAGAAACCGAGGACCATGCCGGAACGAAACCCAATGACCCAGATGCCGTCCATGAAGACGAGGAATATCCGGCTGGTGCTGGTGATGTTGATGATGGCTCTTACGAGCAATCTGAATCCACTCTGGAACCTGTACCAAGGGAGGACGCCGCCAACCACGAGCAGACACCTGAGCCCGAGGACGATTTACTTGGTATCGCCGAAGAGGTGATGCAGAGTCCTGCCAAAAATCGCCAGAGCGGCCAACTTGAGCCAACCGAAAGCTTTGAGCAAGAGCATTCCGAGGACGACCTTGCCACCCCTACCCCTCCCGTCCATGATGGCGCCGAAGACGACGACACCGGCAACCAACAGTCCGGTAACGGTGACGGCGATGATGATGACTTTGACGACTACTATCCTCCACCTGACTTGGAGGTCACGGAGGTTACGGAGGCCATTGAGCTGGGTGAAGAAGATCCTTCCCTTACTGACTCCCACACCCTTGACAATGTGTCAACCAAACGGTCCCGTGAGGAGGAAGATGATTGGGACATTGCCGAGGCCACGACCCCCGAACTTAAGCGTCGCCGCTCGTAAACAACATACTTTTGTCTCGGTGCCCATGCTTATCACTTGGACAACCTCTAAAAAGGATCATGTCTTTGATTCCCGTGGGTCACCGCTGGCTTTGGTTCAACAACTCCACCTCGACCCCCTTTTCTACTAACCCTGAATACCAGCAATGGCTTCGGTCCGTGATCACGGTTTTCGCTTGATAACGATAATCAGGTATGTGATGTCTTTCTTATTCCTTTCCTGAGGCCCCCAGGGTTCAAGTTTTCATTGTTCAATTCACTGAAAACAATTGACCCGGCTCCTGGTGCGTAATCAACACACCTACTTGCCCCTTTCCATCCTGCTTCGCATATTCCCCCTTTATATTTGTGTACGTCTATTTGCATGTTTACGGCGAGATACCATACTTTGGGGGGTTCAAAAAGTTGTGGCGCCATGGGAGTTCGGGGTTGCATTCTAGTATCTCATATAGCGTTCGACTCGGCGTATCGGGGCTAGTTCAGATATTCTTAGGCTAGGATAATCTGGAACATGAGAATTCACTTTTTTAAATGGCACCTGTGAATCGTAGTCTCTGTATTGCAGGCGCACTATTGGTGTTGCCTAAAGCTGCAACTTGTGCCGAATGCGCGGGGAAGTATTGGTCCAAGTGTCGGACCAAGCTTCTTAGCTTCTCCAGTTACCCACCGTGCTTAGGCTATAACCGATGAAACCAGTTCGCAGAGATTCGTGCTAAGTAAACGCGTGGTTGTAGAAGCTTGACCCCCTGACTAGAGGGTCATACATAGCACGGCACCTGTTTACCATCAAGGTCGATCATTGTACATAACTATGTACCAATTACCTAGTCCGGGACCTGGATTAGCCCCCCCACTGGCCCCAAATCTGAGTAACACCTCGGTTTCCTAGGTGGATAATCTAATCAAAGGCGCCCTGGAAGGCCCATGTGGAGCCCACGCTCTAAGTATAGACAGGCCGAATGCGGTTGGACGACGAGATCGATGTGAAACGACGATCGCCGCCACTGGGAACACTCAGGGTTCAAGACCGATGAAACATCTGCATTCCTCGCCTATATTTCTGTTCCCGGTCTCGACAGGTTGACCCTCTGCAGATACACTGCATCTTCGAAGATTTAACCTCACCGTCTGCCACTCATATTACAGTAAGGACCGACAAAGTCCGTGCTCCGACCCTGCAGAGCCGGCGCCGACCACTTCGCTCAGCCGTTGCCTCTTACGCGTCCCGATCGGCCCAGTCTCGAAACGGAACCCCACCGCACGCAGGCACCAAACGCTGCTTCTCACCACCTTGCGACTCGACCACTTTTAGCGACTTTTCATCACACCTTGAATCTCACGGGCTGGCTCGGACTTTTGCGCTTCTCCGCCTCGCCTCGCCTCTCCGCTGTCACCCTCCTTGAACCTACTCCGCCTCCCCTTCCCTTCGTTTACCCAGTCGTCTCCTTCATCCTTCCATTGCTGGCACTGGATCTATATCGCAGTTGGGAGCAGTGCGCTCCTAGAGAGACTACATCAAGATGGTTCCGGACAAGTATGGCCCATTGCTACGTATTCGAGTCTTGTGGACAAGGTGGTCAGATGCTAACCTCGGCGTTGCGCATTAGATATGTCGGGCTCATAATGGCCATCATGTCAACAATGGCAATTGGTAAGAACTCTGTTCTCCAGTCTATCGGGCTGACAGCTAACTGAATCGCCCAGGCACGAGTTTTGTAATTACAAAAAAGGTTTGTTTGCCTCCGCCTCAGCCCCAGCCTCGAGCGTCGATTGCCGACCGAAGAACGAGTCCCTTAATCGGACGCGAACCGATTGCCGAGTCGCAGATACATTAGGAGCAGGGATACTGATGGGTTCTAGGGTCTGTTGCATGCTTCAGAGCGACACGGTTTCGAGGGTGAAGGATTCTCATATCTGAAGAGCCCAATTTGGTGGGCAGGCGTCATCACACGTAGGGAATCTCCATCAGGCCTAACGAAACTCGCAACTGACGAATACTTGAACAGTGGGAATTGGCGAAGTTGCCAACTTCGCCGCGTATGCCTTTGCGCCCGCGATTCTCGTCACACCTCTCGGTGCACTGAGTGTGCTGATCGGGTACGCACCCGCCCTCCTTGCAATGACCGGCGACATTGCTAACAGCCTCACAGCGCGGTCCTCGGTTCATACTTCCTTGACGAGCGGTTAGGTACATTGGGGAAATTGGGATGCGCCATGTGCCTCCTTGGTTCGGTCGTCATTGTCCTCCACGCGCCCCCTGACAAGCCGGTGGACAGAATCGATGTTCTTTTGGGATATGCCGTGAAAGCGCGTATGTGGCATGATTTCCAGGGTGGATGATATGGTTAGGCTGACTCTCTCCGCAGCTTTCCTGTTGTACTGTTTCTTCGTGGCCACCTTCTCGACCGTGATGATTTATCGGATCGCGCCGCGATATGGCAAGAAGAACCCGCTCGTGTTCATCTCAATTTGCTCTACAGTTGGCTCGGTCTCGGTCATGTCCGTCAAGGCCTTCGGTATTGCCGTGAAGCTCACTTTCCAGGGCAACAACCAATTTGTCCATGCGTCAACCTATGTGTTCGCCATTGTGACTGGCTTCTGCATTCTTACACAGATGAATTACTTCAACAAAGCATTGAACTCATTTTCGACCTCGATGTGAGTGCAATCTTGGACGGTCAACTTCGAATCAGTGCTAACAGGACCAGTGTGAACCCCCTCTACTATGTTACTTTCACGACCTTCACGCTTTGCGCCTCCTTCATTCTCTTCCAGGGATTCAACACTACCGATGCAGTTAACACCATTTCTCTGCTCTGCGGATTCCTTATCATCTTTACCGGTGTCTACCTACTTAACCTCTCCCGACACGACCCCGACGGAACAAAACTGTCCAATTCCAGGTTCGATGAAGATGGTGTGCCAACAGATGGCATCGCCAGCTTCCAGACCCGGCGCTCAATGCAGTCCCGCCGAAGCTCTTCCAGCGCCTACCTCAATGGCCACGGCGATCGCGAGGGCCTCATCCATTCCTACGACGTCGAGAGCCACTCGGGGATCGGGTTGCATCAGCTGGGAGAAGATAGCGACGGAGAGCCCGGGCCAACGTTCTCTAGCAACGAACCGCAACGCACAGCTATCCACACCAAGCAGAATAGCCAGATCTGATCTGCAAGTCTGGAGTGTGAAGTATAGCACACCCTCTCACGAGATTACTGCCGCAACGCTATTTCCCGCCACGCACTGCTTCGAGCCACGGGCTCTTCTCCTGAGCATCCTGTATTATTATTGTTTCCTCCCAAAAGCCCGAGACCTGATACTCGGGCGATCTCATACTAGGCACTGGACATTGCCGTATGAAATGATTGGATATGACTGGGTTCTCTATGGTTGAATTTCTTTTTTCCTGTTTTTGATTTGTGGGGCGAGGCATCATTGTATATACCGAGTTTTTATTGGATTTCCTTGTGCAATTAGAGACGAATCTTCAAGTATCAAGTATCAAGCATCAAGCATCAAGCATCGGAAGTATCTTACATAGATTGTAGAGAAGTGGGGCAAGCGATCCGATGATGTAGGTGCCGAGTCAGCTGTTATGGAAAACTTGCATCCGACAGCCCTGTGCTTTGCGGGGATGCGAACACCTGCGAAGTTCACCCTTGAATTTCCAGATCCTTCGCCATGCCCGTGCTGCGCAAGCTGATTGTCGTCGCTGCGGTCGATGGCCTAGTTCTACACGCGAATGGCGGTCCACGGTTTAACGGCAGCAACAATGAAGCCTCCTCCATCCGCATAGACTACAAAACGAACAAGATCACTGCCCTGCCCACTTCGGCTCCGGAAGCCTTCGAGGGACGCGATGTCTTGGAGTCATACGGTCTAGTCGGTACGTCCGCCCTGGACTCAATAGCCCCACGCAATGTTTAACCTGCATTATCAGGCTTATTGTCCGTTGCGTCATACTCGTTCCTCGTCTCCGTCACCCAGCGCGAACAAGTCGCCCAGATACAAGGCTATCCAGTTTACTCCGTAACGAACGTCGCAATTATCCCCACATCGTCCCAAGAAGACGCGACCCGCGCAATCACACAAGCCCGAAAGGAAGTCTCACAGGGCGATCCAGACCTCGACCCCTCATCCGACGAAGAAGACGTCCCAGACAATGTCACAGATGGTGCAGCAACAGAGATCGGCAGCGTGCCGACCTCACCTACCCGCGAGACCTTCCACTCGCGCGGAGTCAGCGTTAGCAGCATAGCCGAAGATGTCATTGGTAAACGGCTCCGATTTGGACGGTTCGCAGCGAACTGGCTATCGCGCAAGAATCTAGGCTTACCGAGGCCTGGAGCGCTGGAGCCGGAAGTGCTGGAGCCGCCGTTTGACGACACGCCTCGGATGTCGACTGAAGGGTCTGAGGTTGGGGATTCTAGTACTGAGGCGATTGTGCCGCAGGAATTTGGTTCCCAGAGTGATTCTAACCAGCCAGGGGCTGGGCAAGCGGCTGAGTTGTTGCCAAAATTGTTGAGGTATACGAAGCTGCTTTTTGCGTCGCATAATTTCTTTTTTGCATATGATTATGATCTTACGAGGTCGTATCATGCGCAGGGGCCGAGGAGTGGGCATTTGCCACTTCATAAGACTATTGATCCATTGGTATGTTACATCTTTACTTCCGGGTTGATGGATGGCTGATTGCTAATATGGGGTTCGTAGTATTTCTGGAACAAGCATCTTATGACTGCATTCATAGATAGCGATGCTCATGGATTTGTCTTGCCCCTGCTGCAAGGGTTTGTTGGCCAGCGAAAGTTTACAGTCGCTGTTCCTGAGAAGAAGGTATCGGACGGGAATCCCAGAGAGGAATCCGCTGAAGCTCGTATCATTGGCGATAGCCAAGATGCAGAGAGTGTTGAGACCGAAGCTCCTAAGCAGAACTTCCTTTTGACTTTGATATCGAGGCGTTCTGTCAATCGGCCGGGTGTTCGGTACCTTCGTCGCGGTGTTGATGATGAGGGCAATACTGCAAACACGGTGGAGACGGAGCAGATACTTTCGGGCCCCGATTGGGATCCGTCGCATAATGTTCACTCCTATCTGCAGGTGCGAGGGTCTATTCCGCTTTACTTCTCACAGTCGCCGTATGCCTTCAAGCCGATCCCAGTGTTGCATCATTCTGCCGAGACCAATCAGCTCGCTTTTGGGAGACACTTTCGAGAACTTAGTCGGAGGTATGGCAAGATACAGGCAGTGTCGTTGATTGACAAACATGCCGGAGAATTGAAAGTGGGCGAGCAGTACGAGAGATATGCCGATGTCTTTAACAAAGCCGGGGGCATTGATGGTTCGCCGCTGCGTCTAGAGTGGTTTGACTTCCACAATGAGTGTCGCGGTATGAAGTTCGAAAATGTCAGCCGGTTGGTCGATCGTGTGAAAGAAACCCTCGACGAGTTTGGTTACACTACCGTCAAAGATGGTGCTGCCTTGCACAAACAAGTTGGTATTGTGAGGACCAACTGCATGGATTGTCTCGACCGCACAGGTGTTGCACAGTGTGCCCTTGGCCAATGGGCGCTCGAGCGCCAGCTGAAGGAGGAAGGAATTCAAATCGACTTTGGCGGAGATTCTTCAACTCAATGGTTTAATACGCTCTGGGCAGACAATGGAGATGCGATCTCAAAGCAATACTCGTCGACTGCAGCTCTGAAGGGTGATTACACTCGCACTCGCAAGCGGGATTACCGAGGCGCCCTGAATGATTTTGGCCTGACGCTCTCTCGATACTACAACAACATTGTCAACGACTATTTCTCCCAAGCCTGTATCGACTACCTCCTTGGCAATGTATCAACGCACGTCTTCGACGAATTTGCCATGGAACTACAAACCACCGACCCAGGAATTTCGGTGCAAAAGATCCGCCAGAACGCAATTGACACGAGCTGTAAAATCGTAATCAGCAGTCCCTCCGAAGAATTTCTTGGCGGTTGGACTATGCTGACACCACGACAACCGAACACTCTCCGCACACTCCCATTCGAAGAATCCGTTCTCTTGTTGACAGATGCAGCGGTCTACAGCTGCCGCTTTGACTGGGAAACAGATAAAGTGCTCTCATTTGAACGCATTGATCTGCGCAGCATCTCTCGCATTCACTACGGCACATACATCACTTCCATTCTGACAGACACTCAGGCCAATGAGAGAAGTAATGTTGGACTGGTCGTCGTATACCGAGATGGTGATACAAATGCTCTGCGCGTCAACACGCGCTCTCTGCAGACAAACGTGCGCCCCGCTGCTCTTGAGACCACAAGCAGTAACGGTGAATGGGACCTTGTATCCTGGCTCCGGGGCACTAAGCGAGCAACGACTCGCTTCGTTGCGTTCAAATCGATGCCTATGTCTAATCCCGTGCCTAGTCCTCGTCCTCGTCTTGGTCCCAACGCTGGCATTGTTACCGTCAAAGAACTTGATCGGGTGCGGGGGATTTGCCAGGAAATTGAACGCGCGATGCTGGCCGGCGATAGTCAGAATGTTGATTCGACGTCTGTGGTTGAGCAGTCGGATATCATATCCCTGGCCGATGCCAAGAAACGGACTGGGATTTTGGAGTATCTCGTATATGATATCAAGAAGATGGTGTGGGCTTGAGCGTTTGAGACCACGAGTTATTTGATTTCAACCGGTAATACACGATGTTTATAGTCATTTGCCAAAGAGGAGCTTGGTTTTGATAAAGACAATTAGGGGTCTGCATTACATTCACTGTTTCTTACTACTGTGAGGCTCATGGACTATAGTGTAGCATACCTATATTCTTCGTATTCCTCCCGAACAGCGGTTTGATGTGGGCAGTGACACTCCTCACTTGAGACTCACGTCTGTCACGTTTCGTCCACTGCGCTCTCAATTGCGCTTTCCTATGATAACGCATTCGCGGCATATTCGTAACATTGAATGCATCGGCAGCGCTCGCTCCATGTTAGGCGCACGGTTAGGATGTCATTTGTGCCTAGTTGCAACCTAGATGGGAATCAGATAGGACAGTCCTACCTTAAAAGCGCTATCAGGATGTGCAGTTATCACCATCTTCCACCGAGGTTCATTGTTAGAACCACCTTGTTACGGATTAAGTAGCTTATACGTTTCATGTATTCGGAATCATAGAAAATGTAGAAAATAGCGCGTCTTAGTCACTGTCCACGTTTGACAAACGATGTATTCGCTACATTCCAAAGCGTTCTTTCAAATAATAACGTTGTCGCGAAGTATTCGCGAAGCTCGTTCCGTTTTTATGTGCCAGCTTAAGCATTTGAGAGGTCACAAATGACTAGGTGGAGCCCACGTGGAGATCATATAGCGCACACCTGTGCAGGAGACCTTGAGTTGACACTCCTAGGCTTCATCGTATACCTCTGTCGCAGTGTAGTTAGTTACATAGGCACCGACGACGGGTATACCTCCAAGGACACCGACTATGTCGCCCTATCACTGATGAGCTTTTAGGCGCCTAGGAGAATCCAGCATATCCATATTCACCCAAGTAGCAGACTCTTAGATTCATGACCTTACCTACCTCATCGACCGTGGGCAACTTGACTTGTCTTACAAACCGCCTTGACTGCATTCGAGGGACGTTGAAGTCTACCGCCTTTGCCTTCGGAGATCATTTTTCTGCCAGCACCACGTACCTCATCGGTCCCTTCACTTGGAAGCTCCTTTTTTCATTTGAGATTTCTTTCTGTAGTAACTCTTGGCTATATCCAGTGATATTCTCTAAAATTTAAACATTTCAATTTCTGTTCGGACGATCCGAACTCGTTGCTGTTGTGCTTCAAAATCTGGGGGACCAGCGAAGGGGGCCCGTTCCCACATTCTTAGCGGGGCTCCTTGTACCACACGCACTTTTGCGCCTCACACCGCAGTCGACTTTTGACACTGCTTCAACATGGATTGGAAACCTCAGGACGAGCCATTGAGGCAGCTATCATGCTGCCTCAGAGACTCCCTCAATGGCCAGGATGCGGCCATGCGGAAGCAAGCTGAAGAGGTACCTTGATTTTTTTCCCCTGCCGCATTTTACCCCCTCTTCTCAAGATCTTGAATTTGAAGACTGACTGAATACCTCGCCATGATAGATGCTGGCTCAGGCTACATCTTCTCCGGACTATGTCAACTACATTACCTATCTCTTCTCCACCGCGGAGGTTCCTGCCTGCGTCGGCATGGACGCAACCACCTACAACTTTGTCCGATTCGCTGCTGCCATGAATATCAAGACCAAGATCGCCTGGGGCTACCACACCCTTCCCCAGCAGAGCCTGATCTTCATTCGATCTGCCGCACTCGTTGCGCTCCGCGACAATGATCGTCAGGTTCAGAGAGGTGCCGGCAGCATCATTACGGAGCTTGTGCAACGGGGTGGCCTTTTGGCCTGGCCCGAGATCCTCCACGAGCTTCTGTCTCTCGTTGGAAACTCCCCGGGAAATGTGTCCGTTCCTGCTCAGGAGGCCGCAATGAATGCCCTGTTCAAGGTCTGCGAGGACAACCGCAAGATCCTCGATCGCGACTACCAGGGACAGCGCCCACTCGACGTGATCATCCCCAAGCTGCTTGAATTCACCACCCGCGAAAGTTCTCGTGTTCGCTCCCTCGCCCTGAACAGTCTCCATGTCTTCCTCCCGCACCAGCCCCAGGCCTTGATGGCTTCGCTCGACCTGTTCCTTTCTCAGCTGTTCAACCTATCATCTGACAATGACACCGAGGTCCGGAAGATGGTGTGCCAGTCCTTCTCCCAGCTTGTCGAGTTTGCGCCAGACAAGCTTATCCCGCATTTGGATGGCCTCGTCAACTACATTCTCATTCAGCAGCGAAACCAAGAGGACCCGGAACTTGCTCTTGACGCGGCAGAGTTCTGGATTGTTGCTGGCGAACAGGATAAGTTGCAGCAGGCTTTGGCGCCCTTCATGCCAAAGGTTATCCCAGTTCTGCTCCAGAACATGATTTACGAGGAAGACGAAGTTGAACGCCTGATGAATGAAGCGGATGATGCCGATGCCGAGGATCGTGTCGAAGATTTGAAGCCGCAATTTGCCAAGGCCCAGGGTGCTCGTGGTGACAAGAAGCAGGGTGAACAGGCCAACGGTGCTCAGAAGCAGCCCCAGGAGGAAGACGAAGACGATCTCAGCGAGGGTGAAATCGAGGACTCCGAGTTCGGTGACCCCGAGGATGAATGGACCCTGCGGAAGTGCTCTGCTGCCGCTCTGGATGTGTTCTCGAATGTATACCATGACCCGATCTTCGAGATTATTCTTCCCTACCTGATGGAGACCCTGCGCCATGAGCAGTGGCCTAACCGCGAAGCTGCGGTTCTTACTCTGGGAGCCGTTGCGGATGGTTGCATGGATGCGGTTACCCCCCACCTTCCCGAGCTTGTGCCCTATCTGATTTCTTTGTTGAACGATGCTCAACCCGTTGTGCGCCAAATTACTTGCTGGTGCTTAGGACGGTACTCCGAATGGGCCTCTCATCTTCAGGACCCCGCACAGAAGGCTCAGTTCTTTGAGCCAATGATGGAAGGTATCCTTCATCGGATGCTTGACAACAACAAGAAGGTACAGGAAGCTGCCGCGTCTGCATTCGCCAGCTTGGAAGAGAAGTCAGATGACAACCTGGTGCCCTACTGTGAGCCCATTCTCCGTCAGTTCGTTCAATGTTTCGGCAAGTACAAGGATCGCAACATGTACATTCTCTATGACTGCATCCAAACGCTCGCTGAGTGCGTCATGGAAGAGCTGGCTAAGCCTCAGTTGGTCGACATCCTCATGCCTGCCCTCATCGCCCGGTACAACATTGTTGTGGATGATTCGCGTGAGATCTTCCCGCTACTCGAGTGTCTTGGCTACGTTGCTGCTGCATATGGAGATGCCTTTGCACCATTTGCGCCAAACCTTTTCCAGCGCTGCACTGGCATCATCTATAAGAACCTTGAAATATCCCACGCCGCGACGAGTAACGAGACTGTCGATGAGCCGGACAAGGATTTCCTCGTGACCAGCCTTGATCTTCTCAGTGCTATCATCCAGGCTATCGATCCTCAAAAGAGTGGCGAGCTGGTGGCCAATTCGAACCCACATTTCTTTGATCTGCTCTGCTACTGCATGCAGGATGCTAATTACGAGGTGCGCCAGTCTTCATATGCCCTGCTGGGCGACTGTGCCATCAGCATCTTTCCTCATATGGAATCCTTCATCCCCACGATCATGCCTACCATCATTCAACAACTCGACTTGGACCTTATCCGTGATGACGACCGCCAGACTGGTTTCAGTGTGTTGAACAACGCCTGCTGGTCATGTGGTGAGATTGCTGTGAATGAGAACGCCCCTCTGTCGCCTTATGTCGAGAAACTGTACCGTGGACTCTTAGTCATCATTAACAGCCCGGATATCATTGACTCTGTCAATGAGAACGCTGCCATGGCCCTTGGACGCCTTGGCCTCTGCTGCCCCGACGCGATGGCACCTCAACTGGGCGAGTGCGCCGGCCCGTTCCTGAGCTCGATGGCCAAGATCGATTTCACTCGCGAGAAGGCCTCTGCGTTCCTTGGCTTCAACCAGGTAGTTATGAAGAATCCTCAGGCAATGGAATCCAGCCTGGCGGAATATTTCCGGGCCATTGCCTCTTTCCCGAGCAAGTCGCTCTCCCAAGAGGAATACCGAGACATTAAGAGCTCCTTCCAGCAGGTTTGTTTTATCGCCCAATCATTAATAGACCATTTTTAACAAATATTCCCAGGTTCTACAAGGCTATAAAAACATGATACCCGACTTCGGTTCTTTCCTCGAGCAGCAACTTCCGGCTCAAGCGGCCCAGAAGCTGCGTTCCAATTATCAGGTTTGAGCCTGGCAGCACGTCACATCCACCTTCCCTGACGTGAATGCCGTGAGGCGATGAGGTCTTCTTCTATGCATCGCTTCCTGTCATGCGTCTCTCTCCCCATGTTCTGATTTAAGCGCCTTCCATATCCTCACCGTGTTCTCATCCGTTTATCACTAGTCGGCTTTGTAATAGGAGGAGTGAATGCAACGAGAGGAACAAAAGCAAATGGGTTGTTAGCACAGCGAGAAGGGGCATTGATGAGTCGTTTTTGCTATTTTTTACCTTATTCTCTGCATATCTTACCATTGCGGGACAGAGCAGGGGAGCGGAGGAATCCAGGGAACAGGGGATATGATTTGACTGTTTATCTACGTTATATCTGACGATTGCAATGGGCATGGCTATCTGATGACCTCGCTTTCTTCTTCCATTTCTGCATGTCGTCTATCAGGGCCGGTTCCTTTTTTTTTTTTTTTTTTTTTTTGGGTAGTTCATAGTTTCAGCGCCGACCTTTTCATTTCATTCACATAGATAGATTAGATAGATACACCAACAACTTAGGTAGCATTCCGAATTTCCGAATTTCCCTATCCATACATGCCCAAGTGGTCAGGTAATGTAACGATCGGCTATAGCGAAACTTTCCCTTTGTAGCATGGCACGAAAGCAAATCCCTAAACCCCACTACGACGTCGGCTAAGATGCAGCAATCTCAATATTACACTCGTAGCCGTCCATGCACACCATACCCACAGACCCTCTCAAAGCGACCTCCCTAATGGAGCAAAAAGCAATCTACCAAATGCAGGTACCTAAAAGAGAACCTAAATGATTAATCAAAGACCCAAAACCAAGACTATCCCAGTCGGAGCGCCCGTCTCGCTTAATTGGCGCCTCAGAGCCTGAGCTTAACTCCAGAGCTAGGCGATTGGCCACGCGTGTTGGGGCATACCAAGACGCGAGCCTTTCCCGATCGCGCTTCTTTTCACGAAAGTGTCCACCGTTCGGCTGTTGCAATTCTCCCGTTGGTTCACAACCTATCCCCGTGCCGGAGACAGCTGTCAGTCTTTCCTGTTTCTGGTATGAGCCGTTTTGAGGCTATCGTGGACTTGGACGTGCACATCCGACCGCCATGCGTCTATGTCCTGTGTCATTGCGCATGGGATGCTATACTCCAAACACCGGCTTTTTAGAGCTGAGTTGTCTTATCTGAGCACATTTGATAAACTTGGGGGTAACGACGATTTTCGAGACAGGTGTAATTCATTCTCAGCCTCAGCCGTAGTGACACTGTCACATAGTGACCACGTATAAGCCGACCCGACAGAGCGATTTACCTCTGTTTCACCATCTCATCTCATCTCGCTTAATTGACAAGGGTCCAAGACAAGTATAAGCAATTCCAAGATTTTCGAATTTTCTGTGGAAACCTCCACTCTAGAAACAATCCATGTACTTTAATTTCCCATCTTCATTCTTAATGCAATCTGCCAGATTCACCACATCCTCCTGGGGCCCATTCCCGCTGTCCAATCGCGCACGCAGGATAGGGTTATGCTCCGGGCCATCCTGTTCGAGGGTGACATCTGACGCCGAGCCGGAGAAGTTTTCGGCGCTCCATTTGAATTTTCCTGATGCTTTAGCTTGTCTTGGTTGAGATTGGTGGCCCCTGCAGGCTCTTGCAGGGACCACGGGCTCGAGTCTTACCTTTCACAGCCCCAAGGATGGAGTCCAAGTCCAGCTCGGAGTATGTGGCTTCTCCTGAGGGGCGCTTGCAGTAGGCGCAGAGGACGTGCCTGTCCTTGAGGTGGATGTCCATGGATGATTTGTGGAAGCCCATGTTGGTACTGGGTTGGGGATTATGTCAAAAGTGATTGTACAGGAGTCATAGATGATACTCCCGTGGTCGGTTTGATCATGCGAGTTTACAGAATGGGGCAAGTGGTCTACTCGATGATATACAGGTGATAGGCAGGTTGCCTCCCATGACATCGGTATTGTGTCGCCGACCAACCCATCGGGCGTGCCATATGCATAGGAGGCGATGGCTCTCCTGGGCATGCATCATGCTGGCCTCATTGTGATTCAGAAGAACTGTTTGGTCTGTGAAGGTTATAGGACGACTTGAGCCTGGCGCGGCGCCAAGGTCATCATGACCTCAGTGTGAGATGGCATCGGGCACTGCAGGGCACTGCAGGGCACTGCAGGGCTCTGGGGCTGTGGAAACCCCTTGTATAGACCACGGGATTCAGCCTCAGGGCTGCCTTGTCCTTATTCTACCGCCGGCCTAACGGACGATAGACTGCAGAAGTGGCTTGCTGAACAAGGTTAAAGCTAGCCGACTTTGTTTAACTTCCGGAGGCTTGGGCTTCGCCAGCAATCGACTTCCACGGCTGCCCATACGACTGATCTATTTCCTTAATTACTACGATCGAGGGAGTCAACTCCGTGACTGGTGTTGGATACAGTCCGTGAGTTATCTAGTGGTCGGTTTTTGATAAGGTCCAAAGTCCGTTCTAATTTCCTCCAGAGACGTAGTGTAGTTGACGGTTGGATCTCTCGAGATCGACGGAGGCAAAGAGGCAGCGCCGGGCCCGGCAGCTTGGTACTGGTGATCCCAACTGATCGACAGTTGCGCTGTACAGTGTAAGCGTAGTGTAGTTAGGTGTACATAATTGTATGTAAGACCAAGTGTGCTCCCATGTACATAGTGCCCCACCGTCCAGGATGACACACCGCTTGGTGTCTTGGCGCCTTTTTAAGTTAGTTAGCGTCGACCGCCCATGGGTCCATGGGCCGTGCAGTCCTTTTGCTCTATGCGGCCACTTTCATGATCCTTTCACTTGGACCTATCTACACAATCCATGTGTCGTGCACACATTATGGATCCGGGGAACAGTAAGATTCTGGGGTCATCTAGCCGATGTCGATTCGCTACTTTGCTACATATCCGGCCGAACCTAGAGTACCCAGTGGATCACAGCATCAGTACTCCATGGTGTTTCAATGGTCGAGAGTGGAGCGAGGCTTCCCACCCCGAACTATCTCCGTAGCAGGCAATAATCATCCCAGAGAGACGTTGGTATTTGGCCCCCAAATTGACAAGAGCGATGCAGCACACGCTAGCCCCATTTGGTGCCATGTAGCGAGAAGCGAGAGCCACTTATGTTGGGGCGGGAGGGATCCCAATCACTCCAGAACTCACCGAATAGCACCGCCGGTTTTGGTTCACGGGATTCTCCGAACCAGCCTGAATAGGCAACTGGCATTTGCTCGAGACTGAAACCAAGGGGAATCGACGATGATCGTTTTACGGTGCGATCGTGGAGCCACGTGTAGCGACAGTTCCCAGAGCTCCCTCAGAACAGGCCACACCTGTGGGACACACCGACATCTGACATAGGCTTCATCCCCAGAAAACGTGGTGACTGGGGTGCAACTGGCGGTCGAGAGAGCTGCAGATGACTCTTGGACAGCTCTGAACTCCCTAGAGCAAGTTAGGCTTCGGCCCCGAATCAACGGGACCCAAGGCCCCGGACCCTGCAGGGAGAGTCGGTCAGCTCCCTGAATCGCGGCAGAGCCACCCTGGTTCATTTTCCCTTTTGAGCTCCCCGATGTAAGCCTCGATTTCCTATGGTTCCAGCGTAGCGGTAACTTGGGGGAAGGGGGAAAGAGATCTCCGGGGGTGCCACGATCCATGAGACCACGATCCGACAAGACAGGGGAGGGTGAAGTGGTCATCCCGAGCGACTGGTCTGTACTGCCCCTGGCTGTTCATCTGTAGCAAATGGGTTACCCGATCTCCAGAACTGTCACACCTGAGACTTTGCACTTCTGCACACTCGGTTGTCTTGACCGAATCCAGTTCGTCCCGTCTGACTCAAATTTCGCACGGGTAGAAACGGCGCCTGTCAGGCTGACCCACGAGGGCGAACCTAGGTTGGCGCCGTGATTGACTCCCCCTTTACCTAACTGGGTTAACGGTCCTCTTGCCTCGACGTTTCGATCCACCTTTTATTTCCTGGGTCCAAAAGATCGAGCCTTGTCAGGCCGTGGGAGATCGGTGGCATTCCCCGTGCCCAATCATATACTCGCCAGGTTTTCTTTTTGGCTCTAGATTTTCCCTGTGGCCCCTGCATCTCGCCCTCATGGAGTTGCAGGGATGAAACCGAACCAGAGAAAATAAATCAAACAATAAATCGCGTGGAAAGGGTGAAAAAAACAAAAAAGAGTAAAGAGAAAAAGCAAGCACTCGAAGGAACCACCCATAGCCACCTTGTTATTCAATCCATTCAACAATCAACCCCCTTTCAATGAACCCTCTGGTTAGTGACGGCTTATTCGTCAGGGCTGCAGAGAAAACGCCAATTTTTCTTAGCCCACTCCCTGGTGAACTGTCCAGATGCGGCCGACGCCGTCGGCTTGGCGGACCCAGACGCCCCGCGCCCCGGCCCCCCATTGCCCCGGTCTCCTGTCTCCCCCAGGGAGGTTGTTATAGATCTTCCTGGATCGAAGATCCCTCTAGCCCTCTTTCTCAGAGGCGAGAGCTCACATCTTGTGGATCCAGTCAAACCCTAATATGGTGCTAATCCCTCACGGGCAGCTGGATAAGCGTCAAATTAGACTACGCATGTATCTGACCATGACCCGGGCCCCCCGTTCGACGCGCCATGTGGTCCCCGGTTTGACCTAGAATAACCCCTTCGAGCTGAAGGGTGCTAGCCTGGTCCGCTTTACTGCAGAGGCTCAAAATCTTGGGGAAGGGTCTTGCTAATTATAATCATAATCCGTAAGATTAATCATATCGCACCTGACCGTCGGGTCTGCGATATTAACGGGCGATCCAAGCTCGACGCCATTCCCTTTTCCCTTTTCCCTTAATTACACTTCCTCCCCCTAACGACCCGCCTTTTCAACATTCTTACTTCAATTTGGCTCGGAAAACCTGACGCTTCGTATTTCCCACGTGCAGAGCATTCCTGAGGGTGTATTCTTAGACCCTAGGGTGATCGTCTCTTATAAACTATCTCTCCAGCTTATTGTTTTATTATTTTGTTTGTTTCGTCCTGGTCTACGTTATCCCCCCCCCCCTCCCCACTCTGTCAACTCCACAACAACCGGGCAAAACTTGCCCTCTACTCGACCTACCCTTAAAACTTCCTATCGCGACCCCCTCCACACCACTCTCCATCCTCAATCGACAGGATGGCTGGTCCAGGTGGTGGTCCTCCGCGCAAGAGCCATACCAAGTCACGGAATGGCTGCAAGACCTGCAAGAGAAGACACATTCGATGCGACGAGACATTCCCGCAATGGTAAGCCCCAGAGCCCCCGCGACCCGAGCTGCGAGTGGCACATCTAATTTAGATCTTCAGTCGCAATTGCACCAAACACAACTGTCGCTGTGACTATCAAGATATGTCCTCGGCGCAGGGCAGTCCCCCCACCTCACGGCGGGGTCCCGATCTGCTCATGTCGCCGGAGATTGAGTTGGAGATTGAGAACTGGCACCAAACTGGCGTCCCTCCATACCCAGAGCTTATGCAGTGCCCGCAATCCGGCTGGTCAAAGCTATCTCGTTCGGATCTGCGCTTGATTCACCACATAATCGGCCTGTCAATCGACCTACATCGCCGCCAGTTGAGCAACTGTACCGTGTGGGCGCAGAAGATGCCTAAGTGAGTCTAGCAATACCTGCGCACTACATTCCTGGCTAATAGTGTTTTTTTTTTTCATAGTTTCCTCGCTATTGCGCTTTCGAACGACTTCGTTATGAACTCCATTCTGGCCTTGTCGTCATTCCACTTGGCATTCCTCACGCGCGACCAGGAGACAAAGCAGCTGGCGTATCAACATAAAGTCACCGCTCTTCGGGGCCTTCAGACAGCACTCGGAGCTTTTTCAAAAGATAATTGTGAGGCTATTCTGGCAGCATCTATCTTGCTCTCCTGGCAAGCGACTGAGCGGTACGTTTTGATGTCCTCAGATCGATATCCAATCACTAATTCCCTACAGTCAAAGCTGGGTTTCTCTGCAACAGGGTATCTCAAGCGTTCTCGAGTCGATGCACCCCTATTGGAAGCAAGAGTCCGAACTGGCTCAGCTTGTCGAGAATCACCGTGCTTTGAGCGCTGCGGACTATTCGTTGACTAATGAGGAGGACTATGCACAGCTGGATCGGACTGTCCGCGCGCTGAAAGCCGTGCAGAAAGGAGTGTCACACAACCAAGAGCACTCTCAACGCCTAGGAGAGTTGATCGACTTCGTGCAACAGTTCCGCCAAGATTTCCCCACTCTGACGTCCGAACAGTCCTTCGAGCGGATTCAAGGCTTGCGCCGCTGGCTCTTCTGGTTGCCGGCCTCGATGCTTCGCGGTAGTGACTCTGATCTTGGTGCTCTCGCCATTCTATCCCAGTTCTTCGCCGTCGGTGTCGCGCTTGATCGCTTCTATCCCGAAATGGGAGGCGCATATTTGGGCGCTCTATCCATCGGTCCCATTGAGGAAATGTACCGTATTCTGGCGACAAACAGCGCGACTGATCCTTTTAACCTCGAGCTGCGTCAGGCTATGAGTCTGATGGACTTGCCGCGTCATACTGTCGCGAGATATCGCAGCCGTCTTGGCTGGTCTCCCAGCTCCTCTGTCGAGCACTACTCCCCCGGCCCGCCAAGTCCATATCACGCTCTACCCGAGTATCCTCTTGCATCTTCCTCATCGCCCGCATCTGCCTCTCCCTCATATGCCGCATATACTCCCCCTCTCCAATCTCCTCCCGCCGTTACTGTTGCCGGCTCTCCCTTCCACCTCGACGGCTACGTTGCTGCCGCTCCTTCACACGCGCTATACCCTCCTTCACCACAACTTCTTGATACCCATGACCCGCAACTTCGTCTCTCCAATATGAGCCACACAGCCATTCCACACTCTTCAGCATATACCCCTCCTTATGGCAGCGATGTCCTCTGCGCTGACATGCCTCGTGCAGGCAGCACGCTAGGCCTGAACATGGAGGTCTACGCCCAAACACATTCATTCGAAATGCCAGGAATGGTAGCCCCCGAAGCATGCTGGACGTGACCATCAAACACCGACCCCCCCCCCCCAAAAGAAACATAATGTCTGCTGTTCAAACTACAGAGTGTGACTTGGGATTTGGGACCTGGGATCTCTTCTTCTCTCAATCTACCATTTGACTCTGTCTTTTGGCTGATATTAATGTGATTCGAGCATGAGCGTTGGTGGCTTCTCAATTCTGTTTTGAAGGAAATGACTCTTGAGTGATATATACCCGGTTTTTATCAAACCCTTTTGTTGGCATGGAAGCGTCTGTATGCTACTTTTTTCCCTATAAGATCTTGATCTTGATTATTTTTACGTCTACTTCTGAAGAATAGAATTTGGCGTCGAGCCATGAAATAGACACAGCTTCAAAAATCCACCTAGTCCCAAATGAAATCTAAAATTTCACCTCAGTATGTATGCACTTCGCCCCTTCAATGGACTCCGACGCACAGCGCGTGAAAACGCCCAGGCCAACCCCAGATCGTCAGGAACGCAGCCCAAACTCCGCCAAGCGGGTGAACCTACTAATAATAAAGCGGAGACAAAATAAACTACCAGTCTAGTAGATCCACTATTCCCATTAGGCTCTCCCCAGCATATCTCGTATTCGGCTATGCCCACTCCACACCCAGATCGAACGGTATACCCCAGCGTACTACCTCAAGGCATGTCGAACACTACCATGTCTCTGGTTAGTATCTGAAGTTCATTCCGCGCCTCTCTGGCCATTTGATCACTAACGTTTTGTTTGTGATGTGACATCAATTGCTCAGAACAGACCAGAGGTCGCAGGTTATACTTACGTTCGACACTAGATTCTTTGTAAGGATACTACAGTCATATCATTGGGAAGGCCACTAGACCTGTGACCTTTTTATTTCTCCTCTCCTTTCTTTAGCTCCTGGGCTTCATCACTTTATAACGGGACACCTGAGATCCATCACTCAAATTGATGGTAACCGGTTGAAGCTTATATCCAAATGCCCAAGGAGATAGTATAAAGCGACCGACGTAGTATATGATACCTAGTGCCAAAATAGCGAGTGAAACCATAGGCGAAAGCCAATATGGTAAGCTGGTGCTTCCCTTGCCGTTGGATGGTGGAACAAAGGGCATGACGAGAAGGAACTGCAAAACGTATAAGGATTTAGCGGAATGAGACACAATAAAGACTTACAGTGTTTCCTGCCATATAGAAAGCGAGAAAGCCCCATGGCACAGTGAAGCTAGAGGAGAAGTCACTGCCTTTTGTCAAACGTATTTTGATCAGTCCAACCGTGACAGCGGTCAGAAGAACGACAGTTGGATACGTGTTGAGTCCGACGACAAAGTTGAATGCATCGCCTGCTGGAGGGGCACATATGAAAAGGATGGTAATGCCAAGGTGAATGAGGAGGGCCCAAATAGGAGTCTTGAAAGGTCGATTATACATTACCAAGCTTGGGAATGGCGTGACGCCGTCTTTCGCCAACTCTTGGATAACTCGGGCTGTCATTCCAGTTCAGTACTGGACACCCAGTAGGATAAATTTAAGCCAAGACTTACGGACAGTAAAGGCCACACCCAGAAGATGACCAATAGCAGACAGGGCGACTAGAGCTGGGAGGGCTTTTGTCGAGGCCGACTCGCCAAAGACATTTTTGAAAAGAGTGGCAGCAATGGTCAAATCAGATTTGGTGAATTCTTCTCTTGAAACTCCCGCAAACTAGCGATAGTCAGATGTGTTATGTTACGAGGCGTTAAAGGAATAGAACCATACGTAAGCAATGTTCGCCAAAACGTAAAGAACAGTTACACTCCCCATAGCGGTAGGTAGTGCAATTCGGAGAGTTCTCTGTGGGTTCTTCACTTCTGATAGAACCTGATTGTGTCATTAGACATGAAACTCCACGAGGACTTGTAGAGATACCCACCATGTTCATATTGTCATATCCCTGGAAGGAAAATATTGCATTCAAAAGTGCAGTGCCGATGTTGTAGCCATTGTTCGAGGTTCCTTTGAAAGACGTTGAAACATCAAAATTATGAGGATTGGGTACTTTGAGATGTCCACCTAATGCAGCAAACCCGGTGCAAACAATGAACAAGAGAATGAAGAGCTTTACTGCGCCCAATAAGTCTTGTAACCACCTGCCAATTCGGGGGGTTACAGTATGGACGCCAACAGCGAATCCAACAGCAGCAATAGCTAATCCACGTAGCTTCCATGTGGTTGATTCCACACCAGCAGCTTCTAGTAGATATGAGGAAGCTGTGATAGCATTGCTTGCAGAAACCTCTGGACTTGGTGAGCGTGATTATTGACAATGTGAGAAGGGAACTTATGCTTACGAAGGAACACGCAATAGAAAAGGTAGATGCAAGTCTGTAACAGCTTGGGCGAGAATGACCGTTCGAGATAGACTTTCATGCCCCCAGATCTTGGAATGCAAGATCCAAATTCCAGCATGACCATGGCTCCGCATGTTGAGATAGCACCGGCAATGACCCAAAGAATGAGGGACATCCCAGGGCTGCCTGCCAATTTGAAGATCGTAGAAGGGGTAGAGAAGATACTGCACTGTTTAGTATGTTTATGTCGATAATATTTCAAAGGTTTGCGTACCCAGCACCAATGATTTTATTTACAATCAAAGAGATTGCGCCGAAGATGCCTATTTTGCGCTCTTGCAAGATATGCGACTCGTTGACCGGAGAGCAGCCATTTGAAACATTTTCGTCGCTGGAAGCGTCCGTCATGTAGGGCGCTGAGAAGTTAGACGGACAAGTTGAGAACTGTAGGTGCTCTTACTCGTTTTCATTGGTTCCTGGACCTGAGACAAGGCCATTGTGTCAGCCGAAATTTAACCGATGTGTTGACTGATTTCGCTTCCTTTTCCAATGATCATGATTGAGGCTGAAATGATTCAATTTGAGTCCGAAGGTAAAAATAAAAACACCATTGGAGTTCTGCCAAGATGGCGAGCACCTCGCATTGATGGTGCAATCGCAGCTAGTCGATGGATTCGGAATGCGCCCGACGCGACTTTCCATTCCTGACATTCGCGCAGCCATGACTGGTGATCTCGCGCTTTGCGGGGTTGATGTCGTGATGTTGAACTCATTTGGAGTACTTCTGTTATGTAAATCGACGCTGTTGCGCGATCGTAAGCTATGAAATCTCAGGACTGCTTATCAATCTTACGCTATCTAAATGGACCTGAACGTCTTCTCTACTTGGCGTACCTAGTTTTATTCCTAACTTCTGCCTAGCTCAAACTGTGTACTCATCTTCAAACCAACATGTCCGCTGTTCAGAGCATCACCGTGCCCGCTCAGCCCGACATTCAGTACCATCCTGAATTTGAGAGATACAAAGAGCGCACTCGTCGTCGCAAGGAGACTGAGACTCTCCAGGATACCGTGCCGGTAGGGTTTCCACAAAAGTTGACTTCCCCGCTCGTCTGGGAAGGAAAAGAGATTGAGAAGCGGGATGACTGGGTCTATCAGTTGAGTGATGCTCAACTCGATGAGATTGACAAGGGCCTACAGATTTTCAAAGGTGCGTTCACGAGAACATCTACGATTCTTAATAACGAGCGTACTAAAAATATCAGCCCGCAACCTTTCCCTGGGTCACATCAACGACTCCACATTCCCTCTACCCACTCTTCGCCCGGTCCTTCGAGATCTTTCCAAGGAGATTCATACTGGCCAAGGCTTCGTCGTTCTTCGGGGACTACGTGTCGATAGCTACTCTGCGGAGGACAACATCATCATTTATGCCGGTGTTTCCTCCCACATTGGCAATATCAGAGGACGTCAGCAGGATACCCGCCTGGCAAATGGCACTTCTCCCGTGATCTCGCATATCAAGGACCTGACTAGCACTGTTGACAAAGACAAGATTGGTGCACCCTCCAATACGGCGGATAAGCAGGTATTTCACACCGATGCCGGAGATATTGTTTCTCTACTGTGTCTGAGCCCTGCCGCAGAGGCAGGAGAAAGCTATCTATCAAGCAGTGGGCATGTCTATAACATCTTGGCTGAGAAGAGACCAGATCTCATCCACACATTATCCCAAGATTGGCCAGTTGATGGGTAGGTCTTTCAAGGCAGCCGTGAAAGACATACCAATACTAACAACCACAGATTTAATAACCCCCAGAAGCCATACACCCTTCGCCCTCTCCTCTATCACCAGCCTGCCACCACCACTACCCCTGAGCGTGTTCTAATTCAGTATGCGCGACGGTACTTCACTGGATTCAAGGCCCAGCCACGATCTAAGGATATTCCTCCCATCACTGAGGCGCAAGCCGAGGCACTCGACGCGCTGCACTTTTTGGCAGAGGAGCACTCCGCCGCACTGGATTTCCAGAAAGGCGATGTGCAATATGTGAACAATCTCAGCATTTTCCACGCCCGTAACGGGTTCCGCGATGAGCCCGGAAAGCAGTATGTGTGCATCAAATATCCTATATCTGAGATCTCATCGTACTAACTATGTTAGGCGGCACTTGCTGAGACTTTGGCTCCGAGACCCGGAAAACGCCTGGGAGACACCCAAGCCACTCCAGCACCGGTGGGATACGGTGTACAAGGATGTTGCTCCGGAGGAGCAGACGTTCCCGCTGGAGCCGGCTCTCCGTAAGACTATGGGCTCGTAGACCATCGTTAAATAATGTTGGTCTAAGAAATTGCTGTCTTCCCAGTGGACTTTAATTGATGAAAATGGCAAGATCACCTACCCGTATCATATTCAAGGCCATTCGCAATGCCTAGTAACATTAGGTTTGAACGCTATAGGGCTTCAAAAAGTAATCAAAACTATGGTGGCATTCAAGCCCGAACTAGCTAGAGATAAAATTCCATTTGTGATTACCCATGGCTTTCTGTCCGTGTCTACACATTAAGCTCAGCCGCCTGCACATTCACGGGTGCATCCACTGGCTTGCCTGGCTCGTCTCCCCCGCAGCCGATCAGTTTCATCGCCAATCGACTCGTCGACTTCAATCCTCCCAATGACGCCCCTTGCTCTGTCCCTCTGTTCAAGATAGGCGATCAAGCCAATGAATGGCAGGGTCAAGGCCCCCGTCACTAAACTTGCAACATAGCCTTTATGGAAATTCGGAGCCGCCGTGGCAGGGTAGAAGACCAGGGGCCACCAGGTAACAAAAGCGAAGTCGAATGAGTTCATAAATCCAGTCGTAATGGCGCGAAGCTGGAAATCATGGCCTGTCACATCCGCCATCCACGAGTACCAAACCGCCTGGGGCGCGAAGGTAGTTCCGAGCAGATAAAACGCGAAGAAATAGCCCGTATCTGTGGATGGACTTGAGACCAGGATGGATGAACCAATGATGAAGGTCAGGCCGATGGCAATGGAAACTTCCCAGCGAGACTGCAGCTTGTCGGATATAATGGCATAGACAACAGTACCGAAAATCGCAGTCGCATAGATGCCTGTTGGGTAATTGTTCTGCTGGATAGTTGTGTACCCTCGCGATGCCATCCAGTATGCCATTACGTTGTTCTGCAGCATCTGCACACAAAGAGAATACACTAAGAACCGTGAGTATGGTATGATTGACAAGATCATTACGAGGACTCACGCATGAAGATAAAAGGCAAAAGCCAGAATTGCCAGCTGAGTAGGACACGTTTGAACACTGTCACGTCCCACGACTGCTTTCGGAGCGCACCTAGTCGAGTCGCTGCGTGCTCCTTCTCCTCATGGCTTAAATACCACGCGGCACGATGTGCGGGAAGATCGGGAATGAATACCCAACCTATGGAATACCCTCTCCGTTAGTGTTTCCCTCCTGTTAATACAGAGTCTTGCGAACTTACCGAATAAGGCGACCGGAATTGTCATCACAGACACGATAATGAAGATCCATTTCCAGGCAGGAAGGCCGCCCCTCTCCGCTAGTGTGGCCAGCAAGCCTGCTTGAATCCAACCGCCCGCCATCGTTCCCATTTGGCCGAAAACACAGAACACGGCAGCTCGAATGCCCAACTCGGACCTTTTATACCAGGAGCCAAGAATAAACTGGGCTCCCACGCTAGTTGCGGTCAGGGTCTAGACTCCACGAATCCTCCAACTGTGTTTGAAGACTTACTATGCAATGGCGGAAAATCCTCCCTCGATTGCATTCAACAGAATGACTTGCCAAGCATGGGTCATCTTATATGTGATCAATGTCAAGACACTCCAGGCCACATTCGCTGTAACGAAGACATATTTGGGCCGCACGATTGTCAAGAGACTGGTACCCGGCATTTGGCAGACAGCGTAAACAACCAGGTACGCGGTACTCATATAGTTGTACTCCTTGCCTTGGAAACCTAGCGCCTCCTTCATACCGCTGATATAGGCAGAGGAATAGCTCGCCCGAGTGACGCCAAACAGAAACCAGATCAAAGAGAAATATGGAAGGAGGGTCACATCGAGTTTGGCGAGAAGGGCACGATCTTTGGCATCTGATCCCCAGAGCCAGATTGCAAGTTTTGTCGTAGCTGATCCCATTTTGCGAGACGTGTCTCTGCCAGAAGACGGCGGGAACTAGGGGCTGCGAGTGATGTAGCTGCTAGGTGGGATCTTTTTGTGTCGCACTTCCCATCGGGGAATCCTAACGGGCTGGGTTCAGGATCAGGTTTGGAAACTTAGTAGAATACACCCGAAGAAGGCTGCCACATGCCATAACACACACTAGGCGACAAAGACTTCACGAGTCAGGCAATCTGCCCTATGCGCCCCGCGGAGAATAGTCCACCGGATAGGACAGTGTTTCTAAGAAGCACTCCCAGCTGGCGGGAACACCCTACCTATATGGCGGAATCATGATGGAAGACCATGTCACTGGTGACTGGTGACTGATGTCGCGATGGGGAGAAAAGGACCGCAAATCACATGCGCCATGTAGATCACTGAGGGGGTGTTCTAGAATCACGATCCTGGTCATAACACACTACTCTTATCCCTTGAATTCTCGAATTAGAATGGGTGGACGAGATAGGCCCAAGAAAGGACTGGCTGCAGGGGATTGATTCACTTTCCGACATTAAACACCCGACCTCGTCATTTTCCTTCGTATCTTCTGCCCTTTTTTCTCCGTCCTTTCTGTCTTGCACTTATCGCTGCACCCCTGCAGTTTCGTCCAGCCACGCATCCCGCCATCCCGTCTTATCTTCCCGATCGCAAACTGCAGTTGCGTGTCGGTTGCCTCTACTCTGCAGCGCTTGGATCAGGCTTACCTGGCCTCTACGCACGTAGCATCTTCAGGAGAATGGCCGGGCTTTGGAAGAGTTTGTTTTCAAGCGACATGATGCATCAATCTCACAGAAAGTCCACTTGACCTATTAGTCTCGTTCCAAATATTGTCCTACCCGTTCTACTTAGAGACTTAAGTTGATCCTGAGTGAGTTAATCTACTCGTTCGCCTGTGTTTGTTCTAGTGCCTCGTCTGTGGGACATTTTACCTTCGCCTATCCTTAAGATTCTTCTTGTTGTGTTCTGTCGCGGCTTGGTTGTCTAGTGACTGCAGGCAAGTGGAGGAGGTTCCACGACGGATCGCGATATGAACAGATGGGAGGTCATCTGTTACGTGATATGTATTGGGACTGGCCCATTGCACAGGACTACCTACACTCGGGGAATGCTAGACAGTGCTCGGCATCCAGCAACCTAGGCACCCATCACGTTTGCACTCACCCAACATGGCCAGTTAGCAACACGCCACACTAGATGGGAATTGATCCAGCAAGCGTAGTAGGATCGTGGTTTAACAAATTCTAGACAGAGAATCCTTCAGGATCAGCATCAATCCAAGGCCACAGTAAAGGATCTGGAAGTCTAGCGAATGGAGGCATTCCGCAGGAGAACCTTAACAGCCGCCAAGGCTATGATCGGAATGTATACTTTGATGCGGGGCCAGCTAGGAGGATCTCCCGCGAGGAAGATTTCGCTACTTTTCGTATCCCTGGTAGTGGTTTGTATCATGCTCTGAGAAATTCAGGCTCAAGTCTAGCTAATGACTATCGCAAAGTCGGGTCTCGTGGAATGGCTTGGAATGATACAGAACTCTGATTTGAATCTCGAGGGAGGGGGGGGGGGGGGGGGGGGGGATAATAAACTAAGTTGCATAGGACCTGCAGCTACTGTGGAAACTATTAGTGCATCATAATACTCGAGGCAATAGAGCCGATGTTTGATACTTATCCTGTGTGCGATACTTTAGAGAAAAAATATTTTCGCGGTGGCCTTGAAAGCCGGAGGTTTCAATTAAGCACTTGCATTTCAAGTCAAAGATAGGCGCTAAAGTAAAGAATCATTGTAGATAGGTCCCATCATGCGTGTTTTGGAATGCGAGATATAGTAAACCTTCTAGGAAATGAGACAATTGGCCATACTTTAAGGCTTAGCGTCACGGACGCGATATACCGTGATGCTAATCGGAGAAATCATACTAGATGCGGTCCAAGGCTTTGATCGCCTTGCATAGAAGATGGCTTCATGTTGTGGCGCAAGGTGCTTCAAAGTAATAAATATCCATGGGCTATGCTAGTGTCTATAGATTTGGTGGAAAAAACTCCGCTTGTGACCATGGTAATAGCTATGCAATACGCCCTGTGAATTACCCAAAGCACTTCCACGTCACAATTTGCGTTCTGCATTCTAAATTGCCTCATGTCCGACGTTCTCACAATTCGTGTCCTACTTTTGCCAGCTGAGCACCTGTAGCGGAGTGACAGGGCCGACATACACCTGGTTTGGATGGTGCATAGCCAGCGGCCACAGGTCGTCTAATTCCGTCGATTGGGATTTCAGTTGGGCGTACAAGTCACCCCAGACCAGACCTCCAAGAATACGCATATGGCCATTATAATCGGGCGACTCATCCGGTCTACTGATGCCATTGACCGGGTCGAACGCAGGGTCGACAGCGAGAACAAAGCCGGTGGAGTCGCCTGGAAGCATGCCAGATGAGGTGGGGTCTTCGGCTTTGGTGGTGTATGATGCAAAGGACGCAGAGTCAATGACAAGAAACGTGTTGAGTTGTAGCACCAGAGGGATTTTGCTCTCATTCTCGGCTGAATTGTCGTTAAATGTCTCGTTGAAATGCCTAGGTTGGCTGTTAGCTTGGGCTCTTTGCGACGAGATGAGAATAGAAAGGTGCGAACCTTTTGGCTGCTTCAGTGTCACCCTCTGCAAAACCAAGTTCCTTTCCGTCTATCCAGTGGAGTTTCAAATATGGCTTGATAGTGTCACTGCCTGTCTGGCCTGCTCCCCAAGCAAATATGCTTGTTTCCAGATTCTGGACAAATTCCTTCCACTCTTGCTCGGATTGCCCATAAGTCAGACGATAAATAGCCAGTCCACAGACTTTGAACGAGCCAATCTCTTTCAAATACTCCATACGAGCCAACGTGGCAACGATCCATGGCTCCTGCAGAGTAGCATCGATCGAATCTCCACGCATCTCTCTCCTGGCTTGTTCCTGGGCAATTAGTTGATCCATTGCTGAATCGTGATAGCTTTCACCGGAAGTTTGCTTGGATTTGTCACCGCAGGAAAATTTTTCAATGATTCTCTTAGCCATGATCTGGTGACTGACATGCTTTACGCGTTGGGAGTATACTGGGCCTCGCTCAGTAACATCTTTGGTGTACAACTCTGGTGGCCCGCTTGAATTTCCTGGAGGGACGTACCCTTTGTAGCCTTCCATCGGTATCATGATGTTATAGTCAGCTCGAACGGAGATTTCCAGTAACACATGGAGCGCATCCATAAGCTGCCACTGCCTTGAATCTGGAATACCAATTCCCTCAAACGAAGACTGATAGGATAACAGCTCTTGCATCAATGGAGCTCTCAAGGAGTCGACATGCTGTGTGACCCATTTATGCGCCCGTTGGGTCACCACCTCTAGATGGGCGGTCATGTACATGGTCCAGAGACTGGCGACACTGACAAGCTCCACGCCAGTCTCGGTCCTCCGCTTATTGATAACCTTTTCTAGCTCTTCGCAGAGATCGTAAATGAGGTTGAAAGTCACGCGAAGATTCTCTTGCACTCGTTGGGTATTGAGATACTCAAACACCGCGAGCACGGCTGATAGATGTTGACAGGCCTGGTCAAAGTTCTCTTGGAGGTGGAGTTCTTTCTCCTGCCATCTTTGATCGCTTAAGGGAGTAATGCCTTCCCATAAACGAGACTTGAGAGACTGGATATTCTTGCCGACACCGCAGAGTCGGCCACTGTCTTCATCTGAGCCGATACGAGCCATGATACGATCCATGATAGACTTTCCATTGGAGTCTGGTGGGTAGCTGCCGTATAAGATGGCAAGTTCTTCCTCGACCAGAGTAGGGATGGAGGGCCGGGTGCCATTCGGAAGCGGATTTCCAAAGGCAAATCCAAAGAACTTTGCGGCGGTTTGGGGCTCTAGAATGCGATCGACTGAGCCATGGAAATATCTTGACAATTAGCTGATTTTTGTATGTTTTGATGATTGAACCTAGAATGGGAACGAACCGACGAGCAGATCTTGTGCCTGAACGTGGACAGCAGTTACCGGTTTTCTAGCAGCCTCCAGATGGAGGTATGGGCCCGACATTTCGCAGCTTTCACTTGCCAGACTGTCCTTGAGTGCAAGATAACTACTTCGGAACCAAGATCTGTTGGGTATGAAGACCGCATTTATATTTTTTTTTGGAGGGGGCCAACGCGCCCGTACCAGGGGTCCAAACATCGGGAGCCGCATGGCGAGGTTGGAAAGGATGGTGGTGTTCCGGCGCTCGGCGGGAGTGTTTATTATCGAGCTAATTTAATCTAAACTACCTCTTATAGGTTTGGTCTGGGTTGTTGCCTGTGGCTCGACCTGAACTTCGGGGTGGCGTTCAGGGGGCCTTGGTCAACTAACCCCTAAGGGAAATGCAAGGTGAGACATTGGGTGTCAAAGGGACTAAGTCCTAAAGTCCACGGAAAATGTCCATAGGCACTGGAAATATCTTTCTATGAATCAGAGCCATGCCATACTGAGATTGTAGCTCTCGAAGTTGGTGCCTAGCCTGTTGAGCGATGTTTAATCATAAAGGTCATATGGCGTCAGGCGAATTATCCCTACCGACTCTTCGTATTCAAAGTCACAACCCTAAGTTAAAAGCAGATCTGTAATTTACGGATGCAAATGTTAAATCTAATGTTCCCTTAGCACTTTTAGGTAGAAATAAGGACGTAAAAAGCTTCTTCGTAGCTATCATTGATTTATTTTACAGCGTGTCTTTCAAGATGCCCTACAAAATTTCCAACTCTTGAATGTATACAGTGACGCAGCCAAAGTATCAGCTGTCCCTTTTTATTATTACCTAATAATGTACATACGTACAAAGCACGTGATCTATGACATAAGGTCCATATGCCGGTATCAACAGAGCCGTCAAGCTTCACTACCTTTCGGAGTTGGTCATTATTGCTATCACCAGCAATTTCTTCCATTTGAGCCCACCTGCACAAGCTCCAAAACATATGATATGGCTGAGTCAGGCGGCTGGACCACTATTGAGTCCGATGAGGTACCTTTGATCCCCACCGCAGTCTGGACGATCAGCAACTAACAACCAACAGGGCCTATTCACCTCTCTCATCGAGACCCTAGGCGTGAAAGACACCCAATTCGAAGAACTGATCTCTCTCGACGCCGACACAATACGCTCACTAGGGTATGTCCCTTCCCAACCCACACCTCCCAATCAAGCTAACACCACGCAGCTCTGTCTACGGCGTAATCTTCCTCTTCAAATGGACTCACGAAGCAGCCGGCGCCCGCGCCGAAGCCCCCCTTGACGGAACCTACGATCCAACTGCAACAGACAACAACGTATTCTTCGCCGCCCAAACAATTCAAAACGCCTGCGGCACGCAAGCCATCCTCTCCGTGATCCTAAACCACGACAACCCGCCCGCTCCCCTCCCACCGATTCAACTTGGCGACGAACTCCGCTCCTTCAAAGACTTCACAGCTGGGTTCCCACCTGAACTTCGCGGTGAAGCGCTCTCGAACTCCGAAGCTATTCGTACAGCGCACAATACGTTTGCGCGCGCGAGTCCCTTCGCCGATGAGACGGCCCGGCCGCAGGACGAAGAGAATGCAGCGGATGTGTACCACTTCATTGCGTATACGCCTGTGAACGGGGTACTGTATGAGTTGGATGGATTGCAGCCTCATCCTATTAGCCATGGGCCGTGTGATACTGCTTCGTTCCCGGAGAAGGTTATTGAGGTTTTGCAGCGACGGATTGCGCGGTATCCGCCCGAAGAAACGCATTTCAACCTTATGGCGGTTGTGCAAGATCCTAGGGGACGGGCGAGGGAGATTGGGGACGTGGAGACACTTGAGAGGGAGGAGAGGAAGAGGGCGGCATGGCAGTGGGAGAATACATTGCGGAGGTGGAACTTCGTTGGATTTATTGGGGAGATGATGAAGGGGGTCGTGGGCATGAAGGAGAAAGATGCGTCTGGACAGGCATATGCGGATTGGGTTGAGGGAGCGAAGAAGGAAACGAGGAAGAAGTTGGAGATGCGGAGGGGATAGAGATCTAGGAGGGGCTTCTTTTTTTACGATATGTTGCTCTGACAAGGGCGTTGATGACTACATCTACGAATCTCAAATCTTAGATACCCTGGTGATAGATGCAGGAACAGTTGAATATTAGCTATGTACTGGCATCCAACATCGTAAATCGTCATGTAATGTCTCATACATCCAATCAATAATCAAGAGCTCGTGCCCGTAAATGTTCAACCATGGGCCGAGGCAGCTCGTCTGGGTTGACCAGATTCATCGCCAAAAGATCAGACCAGAAGAATAGGGCTCGGTCCTGCGCATAAGCAAGGTAGTCGAAGTCTTCCTCATCGACATCAGCGTCCACAAGGTGTTCCTTGTTCTCCCCGTTACCATCCTCATCGTGTCCATTCTTCGAATCTCTGTTGTTAGCAGCAGTCACGTCGGCAAGTCCTTCTTCCATGCCTGGTGCCTTTGCCTGCACGATACCCCAAGCGACCCATTGCGCGGAATTCATAACTCGCCACAGCCGGATCTGGTGCATGAGATCATGCACTTTAGCCTCTAGTTCTTCTTCATTGGACTGCACCTGCTGCGAGCTGAACCCGTCAGGTGTGTCATCGAGGCTCAGAGGCGTGATGGCAGTTGCGTGGCGGCCGTGAATGGCTGGCGAGGCGGATCCGCCACCGGCTACGCCAGGGCGATGAGTAAGATAGGTCAAGACGGAGCGGCGCTGCTCCTCGGGGGTCGGATAGAGGCGGTTGTTACAGGCCCATGAGCGCTCTTCGTCATGATAGTTATAACACCACTCGGTCTGCAGGAGTTAGAAAAGCTCGCCAGGCGGCATATCTATAGACTTACAAAGTGGTTGGCAAATTCAACACCAGGAGTGTTTGCCGAAGAATACTCAAAGTCAATAACAACGAGCTGCTTGTGCTCGTTTGCTGGAAGAAGAAGCGGCGATTCCGAGGCAGGTTCCATCCGGAGAAGATTGCCATATTGAGTCTAATAAAGTCAGAATGAGAGCATACCAGAATCCAGAGAAGAAACATACATCGTTGTGAGCAAACACAAGCAGACGCTTGATCTCATCCATACCACCGCAACTAGCGATGAGCCAAAGCCGATAGTTCTCTACCGCCTTGCGGAACATGGCCCAGGGCACACCGCAGACGAAGCCGCGTCGGCGCCACGGTTCAGTAGCTGCCTTGATCTCATTTTGCGGGGACTCTAGTTCTTTATCAAGCCAAGTGGTGACTTGCTCGCAACGGTCCACCCATTTGTCCCAATTCTTAAAAATCATAGGACCTCCCTCTCGCTCTTCTTCGAGAAGTTCAATGCCATCGTGAAGCTCCCTCATTCGCTTGGCAATCTGCTTTGCGGTCTCGGGGAGACGAAGCTCTTTAGGTGTCAAGGGACGGGCATCGAAGTATTCTTCAAAGCGGCCGTTCAGGAAAGTTCCCAACACGCGAGGACCGATGTTCTTGCGGCCCAGACGACGCAAAATTTGCAGTTCTTTCTCACGATCGATCAAATGATCCACCTGGGGGCCATAGATACGCAGCAAAAGCTTCCTGTTGGGCATTTTAGCGTAATCCTTTCAAACACGTTCAGTACTGAAGGACTTACGGCGGAGGCTTCCTTGAGACTGGCGGGCCACCTCGGTTCTCAGTCTTTAGAGCAGGCAAATTCTTCGGCGGCCGCACAACATACACGGCGTTAGTCAAAGCACCACTGAGCCGGATAACTTCAATTTCATCGGCGCTTTCCATTGGCACCTTGCGCCAGCCCCTGAGCTGCAGCGTGTGCGCAAGACGCACGATCTCAGTCCTAAATGTGGTCCAGGCCTCGCGGTCTTTGCTACGCTTCAAAGAAGCGGTGCTAGCAGTAATTTCCTCATCTGCGACATCGTTCGTCATGTAGGCAAGGGTCTTCGAATTATCGAGATAAGCTTCCACGCCCGGGACGGGCGCTTCAACATCTGTATAATCAGATTCCGAAGCAGATCCCCGTCGCAACCCCTTTGGACGGCGGCGAGATGCCCGCTTTAACGAATGTAGGGCCCCAAGCGCATCCACATTTCCGGGACCCGCAAACTGAAGGAGGATCTTCTCCAACTTATCCAGAGAGAAGGTGCTCTCGGAGCAAGGGTGGGGATCCTCCGATTGTTCATCCTCGACCGGAGCGCTGGAGCTAGTGCCCTCAGCGGTCGCAGAGACAGCCTCAGCTCGTCGTGCCTTGCGTGCCTGTCTCCTAGTCTTCTCGTGCTGCAGCCAGTCAAATACCTGGTGGAATAGGCCCAACTGAGGATCTTCCGCCGGCTTGGTGGATTGCTCGGTTTCATCGATCGCCGAGGAGTCGGCTTTGACGCTCGACTGGTTGCTTAGGGCTGAAGGCATGGTGGGATTGATGGGGGGTCGTGCGGTGACTTTGGCAACAGGTGCGCGGTACTGCTTGAGGGAGGATGCGTCAGGTGGGGAGGCAGGAGTGGTCCCACGTGCGTGCAAGGACTTGCGCAACGAGGGGATATCCAGGCCCGTTCCCAAAATAGGCGGCGAGTCTACCGGGTGTCAGTAAGTCTATGTCCAGGTTCGAGAGAAAGAGAGTTGCGTTGGGAAGATGCCGACGTCACAATCGGGCCGTGCCCGAAATGACGGCGGGTACAAGCAAGGGGCGATTGATACTGATAACAGGGGAATGTCGCGAGGGCAGTTTGTTCTTAAATATACAAAGTCGACGTCGCAGAGGGAGGGGCAAGGGCCTACCTGCTACTTCGGTTCCAGGGCCAGCATTGCCTTCGGTGAAGGAGGGCATGTGCTCTAAGCGTGATTGCCCCAGACGCCACCAAGGAGTCGGGCAAAACGCGCGCTTAAAGAGTCACGAGACCAGGTACAAAAGCGTGTCGTGAGCAGATCAAGAGCTCTAACACAGTCGCAAGAAGTCTTGAGAAGCCGAAGAGGTAAACGTGGAGGTGGGAGGTTATTTTTTGGGCCCCAGAAAAAAAGCGGGCAAGCGAACGGAAACGGTCCAGCGGTCAAGTTCAGGGTCCTTGGTTGCACCCAAACTCAGTCAAAGAATTGGGAGTGTATCCACAATAATTGATGATTTGAACAACACAAGAATTGGGAAGTATCTGCATTGTGGGAAAGGAGCACACGAGCAAAAGAAAAAAAAGTGGCAAAATGGCGCTTATCGTACTCAGGTGACTCGTAGCCTAATCGATCTGGCATTCATGGTCCCTGCACCATAGATGCGGTCTACTATCGAGTCGAAGTAGCCGGAAAGGCCTTAGCTGGCTCCGACTGGCCCCGTAGGTACCGTACGTACGCTCCGAGATAAGAGTCTCCAGCGGCATTGGGGCAGTCACTCGATAAATGCCACGCAGAGCATAGATTGTCCCGGACCGAGAGGTGTTTTTTCAAATGACGCGGAAGGCTCCCGTGGTTTCAGTCGCATATGGGTGGTCAGATTGCTCGTGGTGGCGCCATGGGCAATTCGAAGGGTTCTGGGAGTCTATTGGGAGATTGCGGGCCTGCTCAGGGGGGGACCCATCCTGCACCGGGTCGAAAGGTGGAGCCGAGTCTCAAAGTGCCGAGATGAGAATCAAAGAGACAGAATGCCATTGCCAGAACATTGAGAGGGGTGGAAACTGCAGCTGTAGGGGAGGTGAATGCAGGAGAGAATGGGGGGTCAAATTGCACGAGGGGCTTCAAAATTACCGTACGAGGGCGTGTGGTATCATGACGTACACCTGATCTCTCATGCAGTACGGATGCGATCGTCAGATTGTATTCATTATTGTGGGTATCGTTATGTTGATAATCTATGCCGAGACTGGCAATGGTATCGTCCTTTCCACAAACTTGAATCTTCCCTCTGAATCAAAGTGGTGGAGTGTATAGTGCAACCAACTCCGCAGCTTCCCCTCTTCATCTAGCCCCGACGACACGCTAAAATCACAGGTGCGGTTTTCAGGTGCTGGAATATGCCCCGGCTTGGCCAGCAGGTCATTAATATCGGAGGTCTGTTGGGGTATGACGGTGGGATTCTCCTCCAGCCCGACGATAATGGACATGATGTGGCTAGCGGGGACGCACATGAACATGCCCTGGGCTGGCGGAGATTCCCTCAGGTATTGTATTGCCAGGCGGCGTAGTTGAGGGAAGGGACATTTGAGACCTGTAATAAAGAGAGGGAGAAAGACTCCCATCTCAAACATGAAAGGTGGTTGTTTGCCATCTGAGCTGCGAGTCCATGCCACCGCAATCGGCGCCCACTCAACAATTCGGGCGAATTCGAGTTCATAGGAATCAAACTTAGATTGGTCAGGATTGAGACAGGCTTCTGATTCGATCAAGACGCCTGTGTATGTCATCAGAAGCAGTGCAGTGGCGCCATCAATGCTGGTGTCCTGGACGGGCTCCAAGCAAGTGAAGAGACGATACCATTGATTGAGCCGACTTTTCAGGCGCTGTTGTCTGGTAGCCAGATCAGGTACCTCGTGAAGGCGAGAGTCGCCGGTCAGTCGTAGATAGGCTTTGCAGTCAACATTAAGGAACTTCATCTCTGTCACAATCCCGCAGAGCACGTTCCTTGCTTCGTCGATTGAAACAAAGGACTCATCTGGCATGGCCAAATTGAGATCCCAGCATCCATCCGATACTCCGTCCATTATGAATATCCACGTTCCTATGCGGCGAAAAATGGGTTCAAGGGCAGCAATGGTAGGCGTCGGCGTTGACAAAGCACTGACCATCATTTGAGCCCCCTGTTTGTATAGTGCTTGGGCGGCCTTTCGGTTTCCCTGTAGGAGCTCGATGGCAATGAACAAAACGCAGCTAATCAAGGAGACTGTCAGATCTGCCACGCCCTGGTTGATTCGCTGCTGTAGACGAGATAAAGAGCGCGAGTACCAGACTAGCGCTTCGTGGTGGTAGCAATGTTTGACCGCCGCTGGGTCGTTGATAAGCCGCTCGGGCGTGGCTTCGTGAACTGGAGGCCGCTCGTAGAGCGCACTAAGAGAAATGATTGCATCCCAGACTACTGGCTCTAGCCGACAGAATTGCAAGACCGAACCTCTCCAAAAAGCACGATCGAGGACTCCCGAGATTGACGGGCCTGCTTGGTGAAAGTAGTACTCGAATGCGCGTCGCTCTCGCGATCCTTGATTTGAGAAGGGCACCAGTTGAAGCTGCAGACGGTCTGTCGCTCTTGGAGGAGATGCAGTGTCATAACAGCATCGCCGGCCAGTGCTGGTGCATCTCAGGCAGTGCGGCTTCTCCTCTCCACATCTAACGCGACGAATCCTGCGAGAATGTCAGACAAGGCATGGCACGGAGACCCTGGCAAAACTGACTTGCACGTGTTGCATCCGTTTTTAGATTTGGTACCGCCGAGGCGACCAGGGCGTTTTGTGGTCATTATGGAATGCAAAGTCCATAGACTCGACTTTGGCCAAGAGATGAATTCAGGGACGAAAGTGGGGGCAGAATCTTAAGTCCGAAACCCTCCTGATTGGCTGGAAATATCTATCTATTGCCGTCAATTCTTTTGATCAACCTGCGGCTTTTGCTTTGATTTATCTACATATCCGCCGTGTTCAAATGTTCGAGGGGATCAATAAGTCTGTGAGCTATACCAATACCTCCTTCTCCCTCCGCCGAATACTTTTCTCGACTAAATCACACCCAACAAACCCCTCATATACCAATGCCAAATCAAACATTCATACCATCGTTTAAAATGAAAAGCATTAGTTTCTCTACATGAATTGGAATACCAGCTGCAACTTGTATACAAATAGAAGTTCATGAGCAACGACTGCAAAGCCTCCATGAAAGACAAGCTCAATACCATGGCCAGCCGTTTCAGCTCCATTCCTCCAACTGAAGAGTTGATCGCGCTCTTTAGCGAAGGACTCCCACGGCGCTGATGAGATGTCAAAAGTGAGTTTGACGATGCCAAGAGACCTACCAGAAACGGTGCTGAGAACTGGGAATATGTTATGTCCCTAGATGCGATTACAGAAGATGGCATTGACACTTGGCATGGCTATCTGCACTTGCCAAAGTGCATCAGTGAAAGGCCAAAAGAATGGGCGGCGTAAAGCCTGCTGGATGACCAGAAAGGACGGGAAGGTATGCCGGCATTCACCTCATTTTCTTTTTCTTTTTCTTTTTCTTTTTCTTTTCTTTCGTTGTATGGAGACCTCTTCAGACCCCACAATATGGTAATTGCTCATACAATGAGATTCGCGGGATCACAGCATATCCTAACCCACACCTCAACGCAGAGTCCCCAACGACCTCACTACAGCCTGGACCAATTTGCCAATACTCAGCACCGATGATCATGCCATCATACAGCCTGGTGCCAAGCAAAGCTGGAGCCAACCGCGTCCATGTGGAGAAGGCAACTGAAACATCGTCAGTCGGGCCCTGCAGAACAAGGGTCTGAACCCGACGCTATTATTAGGGGTACGACTCAATTTCAAGTAGATGCAGCTTTCTGCAAACCTGGGCATATAAGACGACCGCTCTCCTCCCGTATCCCCCACTCAAATTCTGATTCCCAAGTTCAGTCGGCTATAATAACCACCCGAAACTCCACCATGAAGTTCACCGCCGCCATTATCACCTCGCTTCTGGCTACGAGCGCAGTGGCTTTTGACAAGTGGCAGCGTACGTCTTTTAACTATTCAAATTTGTTGGAAGCACCCAAACTAATTTTAAATTAGCTTGGGGCAAGCGTGATTACTCTTGCGTGAACGTCTACCAGGGCATTCCCGACTACTCGACCGTGACCGCTGGTCAGACCGTCCACCTGCGCTTCAACCGCAAGCCTACCTCTCACTGCGCCGACCCTTTGAACAAGTACCCCGCGGACAAGTACAGCGTGTGGCTGTACAACAACCCCGTCCGTAACCTGGACACTATCAACTTCGACAAGCGGATCCAGATCGCCAGTGGTATTTCCGGATCCACTGGTGTTGTCGATGTGACTATCCCCAAGAATCTGCCCCAGGTCAAGGATGGTTCGGTCTGGTACTTGAGAATTGACACTTCGCTTTCGACTGCTCCCCAGGTATGTTCCTTCCTTTTGATTTGACGGGACTGATTCGTCCTAACTGCTGTTGTCTTAGATGCCTAGCATCTACAACGCTGCTGGACCGTTTACAATTACCGCTTAGATGACTCTGTATGGGATTGTGATCCCGACCGAATAGCAATTCAAAGTTGACGCGATTGATTCTAAACTCTACTCGCCTCTAATTCTACCCGAGGTCGTATTCGCTTATAAGGGCATGCATCTCTGCTTTGTCTCAGCCTTCGAGTCTTGGCATTACTCGTCACGGTTCCCCCTTCAACGATGCCCAGAAAGAGATCCTTAGGAAGTAATGTGAATAGAGTAGGGTATAGATAACCAAATGCTCATCTAGCACCATCATTCATCCCTATTTGACTCTTTGCTAGAACAAGTTGAGTCAGACAAGCGTTCGTATCACAATTAATGCCTAGTTCCTTGCCACGCCTTAGGATCCAGCCATTGATATACTCAATCTCAGTAGCTCGACCCTTTCGCATATCTTCACGCATGCTGCTGGAGTTCTGTGCCGTCTTCTCAACCATGTCCGATACAACAGATTTGAGTGAAGGAACCGAAAAAAGGTTCCGGTCGATCGGCAAGCTCTGAAGCTCGGGCAAGTTTTGAAAGACTGTGGATATCTCTTGAAGAAGACGGTCGTGCAGAGGCCAGAGGTTCGAGTTCTCACCGATACACCCATTTCGCACATCAAGTATCGCTGTCAAGGGGTTAAGCACGCAGTTTACTGCTAGCTTGAATAATTGTACCTTGAATAGGTCTGCCCACTGCAAACGTTCACAGTTGAGAGAAGGCGCCCGGAGCAGGACATCCATGAGGAACTCAGCCTGCGACCTCCTTGACTCCTGATCATTACTGTCCACAATTCCAAGAGAAGCGGAGCCATTAGCTCCGGCCAGGATAGCCTCTGCCAGAGACCTCAAGTAAACACCATGGCGCATGATGCCAAACATGTACGTTGGCCTCGTCGAAGCATCGGGGAAAATGCGCTCATTCAGGTCATCAATCTGGCCCATGCCATTTTGAAACAAGCAAATGGTGGAATGCCGACCGAGGCGATGCTTGATGGGCTCAAGGGCGGACACCGTGGCAGACGCTTTCACAGCAACGATCAGATTATGAATCGGGTTTGTGGATGGCGTCTTCCCCAGCAGCTCGCCATTGAAATCTCCCCTTTCTTGCAAGGGTCCATCTTCTGTAAGTCGCAACCCTAGTTTCCAGCCTCGTGACGCAAATTCCTGATACAGAGCTGGCCGATGAGCGAGCAGCGTCACAGGCGGCGGAGAAGGTAGGGACCTGATGGAATGGGCCACAAAGGTGCCGATACTGCCTAGCCCAAGAATATGAATTGATTGGGTGGGACTAGGCATGGTGAGTGGCAATTAGAAGGGGCATGGAAGCAGGGACCCCGGGTTGTTTGATATCGAGTTGACCGGGTATTTGCCTTGAAGCCTCAGGTGTCAATTACAGGCGGGTGCATTGTCCGCCGGACTAGGAATGTTCTCAACCCCGACGAGTCTCAACACTACTATTTCTTGTCTGTCGCCAAATGCTAGTTTAGAGACCGATCAGTTGATCAACTGCAACGTTTGTTTAGCGTGGAGACCGCATATAATGAGCTAGATGTACTGGAGTCATTGAACCGCCGATTTTAGTTTCCGGCCCGACGGAGAATCGAGCTTCTATTATAGGTTGGTACAAACGGTATCTAGCTATCCAGAATCACTGGAGGATTCAACTAGCCTGACGGTTCCCCCACATGCACAGCTCGCCTGTTGGCTTGCCTTCTGACAGGAGTCCGATTCTCCAATCAAGGCGGGCCGGATATGCACATCCGTTCCCGTCGTTGATTACTCTTTGATCATCGATAACCTTGGAACTCCCAACCCTAGACCTGCACGCTTGAATTGAAGCCTTCCTATCAATGGCCTAGTCTGGAATGTGCTAGATCATCCAAGATACATAGGTTAAACCCCGATCCGAGTCCGATCCGCTGTGCATTGAAAGATCAAACTCCGTCGACAGCTCCAGCTCCAGCTCCAGCGGTCTCGGCTCCCGTGTTCTCGGACTCGAGTGAACCGCGGCTCTGGGTCAACAAACTCTTGTACCCACAGTGCTACCGATGCATTCCCCGGGACCGAGAGGCTCAACGATAGTTTACGGGGTTGTGACAGCCGATGTGCCTGGCATACGGAGCAGGTACGATTCCGCGTCCCGAGAGCAAAGCGACAGGTCTCGTGCTGTCAATGGCGCACCGTCTTTCACATAAACTGCCCGGGATAGATACGTAGGTAGTAGAGTAGCTGTATCTACATACGTGGGTCCATACATCATGACTGCAAACTCTACCATAGTGGTTGACAACTCACAGGCATCCATTGGTGCACAAGGACCAAGGATAGCCAGACGGCTCAAACGATATGGTGGAAGAGCCCGGACGCAAGGTAGAATCTGAGTGGACCTGTCTCGAGGCCGAGCGCGAACAAAACGCCCCGGAACGTTGTGTGGCGGGGCCCGAGGGAGCCGGATTTCCCAGGTCAAAAAGCTCCAACGCGTTCCACCCCGACAGGGATACGGTAGCTTCAGGCTAGCGAATGGATTCTCGGCACGTTCCGGGGACATTGCAGCCATCAGCCATCAGCCATCAGCCATCAGCCATCAGCCACTGAACGAAGGACGGCAGAGGTGAGCAATGTACAACTCGGCGGGAAAACCTGCTTTGCTGCGGAGTGGGCCCTCTGATTGGCTGGACCATCAGCCCGTCCGGATATGAGACTCTAAGCTGGAGCGTTGATAACAAGGCCTGTACCTGTGACGCAGTGGTGCAACAAATCAAGCTAGAATTCGGTGGAGGTTATGTGGTGGGGAGCCGAACTTGGGACTTGAGAATTTGGGAACTTCGAAACTTATACTGTGGAAAAAAAAAAGTACGCTGCCTTGGAGGGTTCAAAGCGGGTGACCTCACATCCAATCTTAGAATTTCTGCCCCTCCCCCATTTTCTTCCCCCCCCTTCCCCCTCCTTCCCTCCGCATCTTTGTTCAGCTTTTGGATTTCGCGCCGATTTCACGGTGCAGCCGAATTCCAAGACGGCGGCACTTTCACACCAATTGCACCGGCCCTTGTCGTCGGTTCGACTGCGTCCTCCCTAGTCATGGCTGACGAACGCGATTTCGCTTTGCCCCCCGGGTCCAACGAGGCCAGTTCCTCTGTGGACGCTGTTCCTCCCTCCGGAGTCCCTCACCATGCCTCAACCCCTACCCTCCGTTCTACTCCTCGCGATCGCGATCCATCCACCGGCATGTCCGCCTCATCCACACACCTGGGTCAGATCAACGCGGCGCGGCGTGCTCCTAGCACCCCGCCCCGCCCACAACCCTCTATGAGCGGGCAACCAGTGGGCGGACTGAACCAGGATATCATGGCCAAAATGAAGGCATTTTCCCTCTCCCGACAAGGCGCCAAGTTGCCACATACTTCCTCGACCGGAACGATACCCACCTCCCAAGAGACCGGCGCGGGAGGTGCGATCGCCGGCCGCATGCCACCCACTACCCGAGATTGGGCCTCTTCACCCGCGATCGCGCCGGTGGCCAATACAGCATCTCCGCGACCGAGTGGTTTGGCTGCCAAGCGTATGAAACCTGGCCTCAAGCTATCGGATGTCACCGGACCCTCTCCCTCGACGCCGAACGCGAATGCGAACGGTGCGGAGGAAAAGCCCGTAGAGCAGAACGGCGGAGAATCAGCTTTCAGCAAATACGCGGAGTTTATTGATACCAAAGCCGGCACCTTGAACTTCAAGAACAAAGCCCTCCTGCACGGCGGCGGTGTCGAGTTCTCCTCCGGTCATAGTTTCAAGATATCTCTGGATGAAGTCGACCGCATAGATGAGTTGGGCAAAGGCAACTATGGTACAGTTTACAAGGTCCGACATAGTCGACCGAAACTGCGGAAACCGGGCATGGGTTTAGGCGGTATCGTCAGTCGACCATCCGGCGACGACTCCAGCCCAGACAACCTTACCAGCGATCTGTCTGGTGTGATCATGGCAATGAAAGAAATTCGGCTGGAGTTGGACGAGGCCAAATTCGCACAAATTATCATGGAGTTAGACATCTTGCATCGTTGCGTCTCCCCATTTATCATTGATTTCTACGGCGCTTTCTTCCAAGAAGGCGCGGTCTACATGTGTGTCGAATTCATGGACGGTGGTTCGATCGACAAAATCTACGAAGGTGGTGTGCCTGAGAATATTCTCCGCAAGGTTACACTGTCCACCATCATGGGCTTGAAGGCGCTCAAGGAAGAACATAATATCATTCATCGCGATGTCAAGCCGACCAACATCTTGGTCAACAGCAAGGGTCAAGTCAAGATTTGCGACTTCGGAGTCAGTGGAAACCTGGTTGCCAGTATCGCCAAGACCAATATTGGATGCCAGAGCTACATGGCACCGGAGCGAATTGCGGGCGGTGGTATGCAACAATCGGGAGCACCTAGTGCTGGGACGTATAGCGTGCAGAGCGATATTTGGAGTCTGGGATTGTCGATTATTGAATGCGCCATGGGACGTTATCCCTACCCGCCGGAGACGTTTACCAACATTTTCAGCCAGCTTCACGTGAGTACCATTAAAGATTTCCAACCGCGAGCCAGGATCTAACATTTCAAAGGCAATCGTTCACGGTGACCCTCCCACTCTTCCGGAACCCGGCTTTTCAGAGGATGCCCACGCATTTGTTCGAGCTTGTCTCGACAAGGTCCCGAAAAACCGCCCATCTTACAACATGTTACTTCGACACCCATGGCTCGCACCTCTCATGCAGCCCCCGACCGAAGCTGAAGACCAGGAGGCACCCCAGCCGTCTGAGAACGCGGCTGGAGGGATTTCATCCTCATATATGACCGAAGACAAGGAAGTCGCTGAATGGGTCCACAAGCAACTCAAACTCCGCGAGAGCGGCCATTTGCAATCGGCAGATAAGCCCGCTCTTCACGCCGTGGCCCTGGATAAGGTTGCCACGAGCCCGGTTGCCAACGATCCCAATACTTCGGCACAGACAGACTGAACTTCTGGATCTCCCTCTGTTCTACATTCTGCATTTTCCCCGGTCATTACCACTTGATTTAGCAGGGGTACTACGAACGGCGCAGGCGCCGCCTCAGGAAAGATGGATTGTTTCCAGCATACTATCTCTGATCCATGCTCGACGCCCACGGATGGTACGAGCTCCCAGTCGCGATGTACGACCATGGACCTGTGGCTTTTTTCGCGATCGCGTTGGACTGAGAACGAAGACTGATGGCTGTCAGTGAGATCTATCTCCTTGGATCTATACATACGCCATCGAGCCCGGACAGGGCATTGCATGATTCTATACAATGTCTCCGAATACAATGTTGACACGAGTAATTCCGCAGAAGAAGACCAGTAGCTCAAGCCCTAGATCAGCCCCCACTTGGCTCTCTTAGACCCCTGTCCGCCGAAGCGCCTTTGGCGCGCTAGTGATGCAGCGAAGATGTAGATTCGACTGTCCTTGCCTTGGCTGCATTAGTACTTGTTTTCCCGTACAGAAGAACTATATAACTCTAAATCGCAACATTTACCACCTGGTAAAGCCAGGAGGTCAGGAAGGGGCGGCTATTTTTAGCAAACAGGATCACGCTAAAGCTGTTCCTGATGCGATGAGCGCGGTGACCGCCGACCCTTCCCCGAGTGCTCCCCGAGTGCTCCCCGCGCCTGTGCTATCCAACTATTTCCCTTTTTGGCGATCGACCCAACATCAATGCATCTCCTTTTCTCTCTCATTACATCCATCCATCGTATCCCCCTCTAACCCCTACACAGCGCCCGGAAGCTGGACCTCGGCTCGGCAGCTCCCCACCAGGCGCGCACCCGTCAGCATGGGCCAGCAAGCATCCCTCCCGCAGCCGGGGACAAGCATCCAAGTGATCGGAGCAGGCCTCTCACGAACAGGGACAGCATCGTTCAGCCGAGCCCTAGAGATCCTCCTAAGAGGACCAATCTATCACTGCGGCACGCAAAGCACCCTGGGCGCACCCTATCAGGTCCAGTTATGGATCCAGATCCTCCGCCACTGGCTATCTGGTTCTGATACAGACCGACCAACCATGCTCCGTCTGCTCGGTGAGCAAATGGACGGCTACGCTGCTATCACCGATGCCCCGGGCACGCAGTTCGTTCCCGAATTGATGGAGCTGTACCCGGACGCCAAGGTGATTTGTACCATCCGCGACCCGATCTCGTGGGAGAAGAGCTTTGCACAGGTGATGAACATCACAGGCTTATGGTTCCTTCCATGGGCTCTTCTCCCCGTGCCGGGGATGATCAACTATTTCAGATATTTGACTCTGCTCGGCCAGCAGTGGAGCAGACTGTATGGGGAGTCTCGGCCTACGCGCCAGACCTATTCACGACATATCGAGTGGTTGAAGGAAGTTGTTCCGGAAGATCGATTGGTGTTTTTTGATGTTAAAGAGGGCTGGGAGCCACTGTGTAAAGCGTTGGGTAAAGATATCCCGATGGACCAGCCGTTTCCGCATGTCAACGATTCTGAAGCTATTGATCGGATTGCGAGGTACCATGTTCGCCGTGGGTTGATAAGGTGGGCTATTATTTTTGCCGTTGGGGCTGTTGGAGTGGCATTCTTTTGGCGGAGGTAGAAAGAAGGTGGCGGGTTGTTGTACAGTATGATATTTTAACTTTTGTTTTGGATAGAGCATTTGCATTTGATCATTAAGGTGATCTGATTATTACAGTTTGCATGATATTCATGATTCTGAGCCATATGACTGCTCTATTGAAGTAACTATGAGCCTAAAGCCGGTCGTTTCATTTCATAGTCGGCATGTCGGCAAATGTGCCAGGCGGACATGACACTGACTCATGGCATTTTCATAGAGAATCAGAGAGAACTAGAGTAGAATTCTGTACAAAATAAATCGTTTCTTGTTCTTGTTCTTTCATATTCCAGAATGTTCCAACCGCATCTATACAAAGACACACGGAGTAGATCTGAATAGGAAGTTGAAGAGGCTGAACGGGGCCCACACCTTTCAACTTCCTATTTGGATCAAGCGCCACCGAGGTTCGGACAGCCTTGACTGTATAGAACGACTTTCAGAATGACATTCAGATTCTTTCTTTTATCAAAATGGCCCCACACAACTTTTTCTATTAAATGTTTTGCATTTCCTCCGACCTAAATTTTTCATTTCAATCTACTTTCACTCCCTTGGCCTGATTGTCCCAGCTTTATATCTGAACAAGTCGCATATTATTCTTGTTGTGAGCGCCCTAGGACCGGTCATGAACGCAACGAACTTCGCTCAGAGCTTGCTCCAATCGGCACGTGTAGCTCCAGAAATCTTTGAGCTACGCCCAGACTACCGCGCCCTCTTGATGGTCGTCGAAGGATTCCCACCAGGCCCAAGCGACGAGCGCAGCGAAATCCTCCTACAGAAGGCCGAAAGTGCCGTCAAAGATCTTCTATCCAAGCAACCCGTCACTGAGCTCCCTCATATCGCCGCATGGAGAGAGACATATAAATCCTTCGGGGCCAAACCCCAGAAAACGCGCAACAGTCTGGAAGCTCTAACACGTCGCGCGGAGAATGGTCTTCCTCGAGTCAATCGTTTGACAGATATCTACAATGCGATCTCAGTCAAGTATCAGATTCCACTAGGGGGCGAAGACCTCGACAAATACGATGGGTCGCCGTTCCTGATTCGGGCGACCGGCAAGGAACAGTTCGTGACTTTCTCTAGTGGAGAGCAGAGTGTCGAGTTTGCGGCGCCAGGTGAACCTATTTGGTGCGATGATTCGGGGATTACCTGTCGTCGGTGGAATTGGCGACAAGGCCCGCGGACTGCTCTGACTGATGAAACTACTCGTGTGCTCTTTATTCTGGACGCGCTTGAGCCGCTTTCGCCTGATGCTTTGATGCAGGCTGCGGATGAGCTTGCATCAACGCTAGAAAGCCTTTCGTCAGAAGTCCGAATTTCACGCCGGATAATCGGTGCTGAGAAGACAGCGTAAGGCTGTTGAATGGAGATGGTAGAAGAGCGGTTGTTGAAATGACTTGTTTTGTACTGCAGGAGAATGGTGTTAGTGATAACTACTGTTTATGGTTTAATTCTTTCGCTATATCTCTCTATATTAGGAGATCTAACGCGTGTAATCTTTAAAACAAATACACTGGATTCTAATAATCGTCACCTGTGGACCCATATAGATGTACCCCTCGTTCAAGAACTTCGATCTCGTCACCGACAGCAACGTATAATCCTACTTCCTGCTCCTTGGCTTCCTTCAAGCTCCGATCCTCAGGAACGCAATGCATTCCAATATATCCAAGCGCTGCTTTGTTCCCAGTCTCGATAGTACGGTACTGCACTAGCGTTGTGCTTGGTTGTGGTCTGCCCTTTTTCTTTTCCGGAGGCGGGGTGTCCGCGTCAAATTTGCCCGTCTCCAGGTTGACGTTAGGCATCGTGCATCGAGATGTGCGACAGACAACAGACAATGCCGGAGCCACACTAGCTCGTGGCTCTGTATTATCACTACTTGGCAGAATGCGGTAGCGTTTCCACGTCTCTTCTTCATAAGCAGGAATATTCGTGATCCATATATTTGCACGGAAGCGGAGCGCGTCCAGAGGCTGATTTTCAGATGGAAGCAGAGCTGACACAGCGTGGACCGAAGACAAACTGTTGATGTTGACTGGCTGTTGGTCTGTGTAGCCGTGCACAGCAGGTGAACCAATGTGTTTGAGCGGCGCGAGATTTCTATCCGTACGTACCAAAGTATCGGGTGTACATCTCAAGAGTGTGAGGCTTTGATCTTGAGGAATATTCAAGAATTTCTTCAGCCTAGGTAAAGATGCGGCAATAGAGGGTGTTTTGCCCATATCAAGGCCTTTCGCCTCCCTGCCATGGATACCAAACGTTTTCATCTCAATCTGACACTCGTCTCTCTGGGCGGCAGTAACATCAAGAGGCGCAATGAAGGATACTTGTGGTACCGCTGATAGATCCCCTGCCGCAAAAATGGCTTCAAGTCGATCGACCCAGCTTGGTGCGTCGGGATTCTGGAATGTCACGACTACACATCCGCCTGCCTGAACCAGTGAGTCCTGGGGGTTGCTATCCTTGTGTGGGAGCCATAACTCCGTCTCAATTTTGGACATGATGGGCTTTGTACGCTGGCTGATGAATCGCCACTGAGGAGCAGTATCGGCGTCTTCCGTCCCAATTTCTGATGCAAGCGCAAAACATCTGTCGTACATGAAACCAGCCTTGGTAAGCAAGGCCCGATTCACCTCGATAGAGCCGCATGACTTGATGGGATGAAGATACATCGCCTTGATGCGCGCTGGTCCATCGAGTGCTGTTCCTTCTGGATCGGCAAATTTTGGATCGTACTGGTCTGCCATGTTGCTGGTGGATAAGCCAAGTTTTTGCAAATGTCTCAACCTCCGGCGCGTTAGATGAGTATTTCCAGACCGTATGGCAATAACAATGGCAATGCTTAGAAGAAATACGAGAGCCATGGCACCCCGAGTGACGATAGGGTCATTCAGGGTACTCAGGCCATGTTGCAACAATTGAAGCAGCATTGTTCAAAATGGACACCCGTCGAGGGTTTTCAAGAGAGGCCTCTGAATGACTGGTGTAATAAGAGATGGGATTAATAGACGATGTTGATTCGGTGAGAATTATATCGGTTCCATGGCAAGTGAAGTCAAAAAGGGAACTTTGAACATAAGCGCTGAAAATGTGTCAATTCATCGGCTAGGTACGGGCAGACGATGACTCTTCAAAATTAGGAAGTTAAGCGGAGTGGGTCTAATCGGACGCCTAACGCTGGGCCCTCCACTAACGCGTCGCGTTTTGGTTTGCGACACCGCCGGTGGGGGCAAGTACGAGAAACGTTTTTAATTTAATTTATTTTATTTTATCTTCCTTACCTCTACTTGAAAGAGCTTTCTATATACAGCCCTCCTGGAGAGACAAATCCCAGCGGTCTCTGTTTCTAATTCTGTACTTCTTTTAAATATCCCTTTAAAAAGCCTTAAATACCTCTGATTAGATTAGTTACAGACGCCTATCCAGGACTGTTCATATCTTATATGGAATACTAAGAACTATAGTTTATTTCCATAAGGTTGAGAGAAATCCCGGTAGGCGGTAGAGCTATATTTTAGCCAATAACTGATTCTTCGTACTTGTCCCTAATCACTGCCATAGCCGACCTTCGCGTTGGGGACGGAGATATATTGATGAGAAGGCGTCGAATATTTAATTCTGTCTCTGTGAGACCCATTGCGTTGCACGCAAATATACAGCCTTAGTTGCCTGCAGAATGACCCGATACGGTTTAGTTGCTAATGGACATGGTTTGATACGGAGTGGGACAGCATAAGTTTTAACTGACACGATCCTTCAGGCTGCATCAATCTATGGTTACAACGCAAGGAATGTGTAAACTCAAACATCTTGAGCCTTCCCAATCACAGAAAGCCTTGAACCAACTGAGTCAACATGCGAGGCGGCATGAAAGTACTTTCGAAGTAGAGCGGCAAGAGCCCGGGATCTGGCTCACTGGGAAGATACGTGCGTCATGGCATCGTGCGGCCGGCGGCCCTTCCATCTTCATTATAAGGGAGACATGAGATGAACTTACTGTTCATGACTCAACCTCCCGGGCATGTTTGAATAAGCGCACTATTGCCATGCAAGGACGCCTATAGTTCAATCTCAGAGAAGATCTTTCCCATGAGAAGTAAGTCATTTATCCGATCAGTCCAACAGTCAAAATAAAGTGGGCGACCTTAGAAATCTGATATCCGAAACGTAACGGGCCGATTTGTGGCTTAAGCCTCAAATGACGTCACGGTATGGGTTCATAATGCTAGGCACAACCTTCGATCCGCTATGCACTTGCCGAGACGGGCATGCAAGGATTAATATAAAGCAGGCCTTGGTCTCCAAATTTGAGTTGGTAGATTTCTCTGCCTCACACACCACTGACACCCGTTGATACCCTGCAGGGTGGGGTTCACATTCAAAGCCCCGACCCACGAGTCATCACAACTGTCAGACTTTGACAACCTAAATGGTATGATTCATCTTGATCTTCCATTGAGCAGTATGATGATGTTCAAAGGCATCGACCTGCCATGTCGTCGACTTGTACAAAAGGCACTTCAACGTCCATTGTGTTGACGTCCGCGCCAACACCAGTTGTCCGTGACGATAAGTCTGCACAGCCTTTTCACTTCGACTTCTGTGACAATTGTCAAGAGGAAGGTATACGACAGACGGAAGAAATACAAATTCGAGACGCAGCAATTACCGAGCTGAGGGACGAAATTGCAAGGTTGCACAAAGTCATCTCTCTTCTCCAGCATACCTCGAAAACATAGCGACCGCAATGTTCAAATTATTTCTCAACCACCTGACACAAGATTGAAGTATCTATGGTAGTCACTGCAGTGTCTCGATGTCTGATGTTTTATGCCCATGCTGCACGGGCGAATCTGACGGAGGCACCTACAAATTCCAAATCCCGCAATGTGGGGCCCTGGTCTTCGAAATGAGGCAAGCTATTGATTTTATGGAGTTACGGAGTTATGGACATAATGGAATTATGTATCGATGATGGATATTGGCGATCAAATAATTGTGTTTTGATGAGGTCAGACTAGCTTGACCCGGGCTACCCCAAATAATATGTACCCAGGAGAATCTTAGACTTTACGCTTGCCAGGTCCCGATCAGATCCCAAGTCCTGGTTGTGCCATAAGTACCCACAGTCAGATCCTGACTTTTGAATCTTGAGTTATGTAACAATAATAGGACAAAGTCAGTACAAAGCAAGAATGGCTACCCACGTATTTTCAGGGGGTTTAGTAGACGGCAGGACAGGCCAAGACATCACAATCTCGGCGGCGTAAGCAATAGACGTGACTTTGAGCTCAAGAGAGATGGCAGTGAGTGGTGTATACCGAAGACACGGTGACCTTGTAAGCTGTCGTTGCTGTAGAGGTAGTCATGGTGGTTTTATGGGATTTTCTCTCGGACAGGGAACAGTCGGTAATTGTAGTAGGGCATTGGTAGATAGTTGGGTAGTTTGGTCGCTGATGTTGTAAAGTATTACAACTGGAGGGCATGGCGTTGGTGGTTCCTGCTGAGCCCAAGATAGGAGTTTCGGCGGTGGATAGAGTACCTACAGGGATGTTGATAATATAGTCTAGGGGGGATTCTAGTAACGTAATTTACTTCATTACTAGTAAGGGTAAGTCTAAAAAGATGGTTAGGTGGCTATAGTTCTGCTATGTTCCAGCAATGCTTCTATGACACATCTTACCCTGGGAAAGCTGAGCCGATTAACGGCCATCCGATGGATCTTCGAGAGTCAGAGCCACGAGTCTATTCTAATATGACTTATATAGTACATTGGATAATAGATTCTGCCCTAGGGAAGAATCCGAAGCCACCTCGGTAAAATCTATGCAAAGAATGCTAAATCACGACGCAGAGTCCACTTCTTGAACCTGCAAACGCCTTCTAAAGATTGACGCGAGCTCATTTCGCTTTCAATTTTTCTTTCAGAATCTCCAAGGAGACAGGTTTGACGAGGTAGTCATCCAATCCTGCCATTCGCGCCTGCTGTTGTATTTCAGAGGAAGCGACTCCGGTGACAGCCATAATGCAAGATGCAGATAGACCATTGTCCTTTTCGAATTCTCGAATTTTTCTTGTGGAAACTAGGCCATCCATGACAGGCATAGAGAGGTCTGGAGATGGCGGGTTAGATGAATATTTTCTAGAAACCCTAATAAGGACTTACCCATAAGAACATATGTGAAGGGTCTATCGGACTCTTTGAATAAATTCAATGCATTCAATCCATTAGTAGCCGTTTCATAGGTGCAGCCTAGTTTATGCACGAATGTAGCTAGGATCTGCGGGCGATGTCGTTAGCATACAGTATGATTGAAGAAGAGAAGGAAGAGATATGAATGAGATACCTTCACGTTGATTTTATTGTCATCCACAATCAACACGTGCATTTGGTCTGGTTTAGTCGAAAGCTCTGGTGTGGAGGCGTATCCATTTCGTGCTGATATTAAATGTTCAATATGGGTATCTTCGTCGTAGTTCGCATTGAAGGCTTCTGCCGAGTAACTCCCAGGCTTGGGAAGCACAATTGAGACACTATTCTCCATCAAAGCGAGATTGATAGCTTTGATCACTTTGTGCGGGCCATATCTGTTGCAAGTTAGCCTTTAGCTAGAAGAAAAAGGTCGGAAAATACACACGGCTGAGAGACATATACATATTTGTGCTTCCACTGGTCTTCCGCGATTGACTTCCTCTCACCCAGCACAATGAAGGACTTGGCAGTGGATTGTGCCAAATACCCAGGATGATCCTGCATTAGTTGCTGCAATTTTGTGTCTTCGATGACTAAAACATCTCCATGCGCCTTTTCTACAGACTCTGCAAACGAAACACTCCAAGCAGGTTGTCCCAAAAAGACGTTGCTGAGAGAGCTCTGGATTGACAGTTTGCGTTTGGCCTCTGTGTTCAAGATTCCGGTAGGCATCTCGTTCAAATCTGGGCAATCGTTGAAGCCGATCAGGCAAGCTCGGATGGCTGGGATCGAGTCCGGAATTTCGCCGTAAGGACCGACTGGTCCCTGGCTATCGATGTCGCAGCGATGTACAGGAATGTAGGCATCTACCTGAGTGCCCACACCCACCTCACTCTTGACATCGATGTGACCTCCAAGGAGTGTGACAAGCTTGCGCACAAGACTTAGTCCAAGTCCAACACCCTCCGAAAGGGAGTCTTCCTGAGTAAACGGAGAGAAGACTGAGTGGCGTAGGTAATCAGAGGAGATACCACTACCCGTATCTGTCACTGACAGATGGGCCAGGAAAGGTTCGGAATCAATGCCTGTACTGACACTGGACAGAGATATTTCAATGAGACCTTGATGGGTCCATTTCAGGGAGTTGCCAACAAGACTCATGACGATTCTTCTCCATGCACCAGCCACTGAGCGCACTTTCCATGAGTTATGTCCGTCAACTCGTACGACAACAGAGACTTGGTCTGTATACCTGCGGCTAGTGGGGTAAGCCGGAGAGCTAAGCCAGCCTCGGGCTTCAGACTGAGGATCCTTCCCCTCTGGTGTCTGTGAGATGCAGAGGATCTCAGTCACTTCCTCTATTAAAACGTCTAGCTCGAAATCACTGATCAAGTTTTTCAAGTTGTCTTCGGTGTTTTCGCTGCCTTGAGGATTATTTGTTGTCAAAGTATTGATTTTTGTGAAGTCCAGACTAGCAGACGTCAGATTTGATAAGAACATTCGAACAGGATCGGGCATAACTTACAGATGATTCACAACATCCAACAGCGTCATACCACATGATTCAATCATTTTAACCATATCACTCTGAGCCGGCTCAAGAGTAGTCGCCCGCAACAGCTCAGTGTTTCCAAGGATTCCATGCAGAGGAGAACGAAACTCATGACTAATGGAAGATATGAAATCTGATTTGGATTTCTCCAGGCTATCCCAATTGACCCTAGCAACTTCTGAGATCACTGAATTGCTGAAGGCTCGGAAAAAGCCAAGCTCATCCATGCCCAGGGCACGATGCATATTTCCTGTCCAAAGAAGGGTCCCAGCAAGCCATCGTGATTTGTTCCAATCCCATAGCGGGGAGAAAAGGGCCGAATCTGCCTTGGGGAGGTACTTGGCTAACTCGCTCGTTATTTCTTGAAGGTTCTTCAGCTCGGTGACGGAGTCATCACCTCCACTCTGGTAGGAAAGATAATGGCTGTCGTCGAGCCGATCATTCAAATTGAAAACTTGACCTTGAGGGAAAGCCGTGATCATCCTCTCCAATAGTTCTTCGGTCAAAGCGACCTCATCCCCATTATCGCAGCCCGCTTTCGACGAGTTCCTAAGAGCATGCCCGAGGATCTCGCAAGATGCTTTGGATTCATGTGATGGGATGATATCGTGCTTGGGACCGAACCGAATCGATGCTAAGCTGTTATCCAAACTAGAGTGTAAGTGTTTCGGGGAAGGCTCCCAGACACCCGGTGGACCCGGGGATTGGCTGACTATGTTAATACTAGTATCAAGAAAAAGATAGATGATACTAACAATCCAGAGTTACTTTTATATGCGTCCGCGAAGAGCACCCCGTCGAGCTCCATGGAGTCTCTCAAGATAATACTGGCGCGAGAAAAAATGGATGCGATGGACCGGGAAATGATGTGGCTGGAAGGTGTGTTTGACGCTTGCGATTTGATATCGTTTTCATCGGGTGAATTAATTTCTTCAGGGTTCCAGAACTCGTTCTGTGGCTTTTCAAACAAGGGAGTCAACCCCGCAGACGAACCACCAATGTTCGAGTGAACAGACGTGGGCTCAGTAGAACGAGACATATCTCTACCAAACGACAACGATGATAGTTCAGAGGTAATCAGTGATGATCCCTGATCTTCAGTTTGCGTGGATGATGTCGCAACATGCGCACTTCCGGCATCCGGGTCAGGATCATGAATGTCAATATCCGCGAGGGGACTTGATCTTTTGAGCACAGCTTCGGGTTCTGGGTGGTTGGTGACAAGGTCGGTCACTCCTTTCACCAGTTTCTCTGCCCGTCGATGGAAATGAACAATCCGAGTTTTCTCCAGGTACTCTGCGACCGAATCTGCAATCTCCTGTAACAAGGCAATTTCTGAATCCCCGAAAACCGGCCGCGACTTGTCATCCACGATGCAATAGGAGCCCAATACATGACCGGAGGCACTGAGAAGGGGCACTTCCGCGTAGAAACGCATATGGGGCCAATCTACCACGTACGGTCGATCATTAAACGCCTTCTCGTCTGCGAAGTTGCGAATGATGTATCGGGAGCGGTTGGCGGACACATTTTCAGTCTCTACCTCGAACGATGTGTCCTGTGCTGTGAACAATTTGATTGTATGGGGACACACACCCCAGGAGAGATTTAAGGTCCTATAACCAAGATATAAGCCATCGTCGGGCAAATGTTGACCCCCATGTCGCAGAGAGATGGATGACGTCGTTTCGGCAATAATGTGCTGGTTCTCGCCATCAATGATAGAAATGAAGGATCGATTGCATCCAAAGCGAAGGACTCCTAGTTGCGCTAGGGCGTTGAGTGTGATATCAGGCGATAGATAGGCTGCTCCGGGCTGCTCGTTCCCTGACGGTGCAGCCCGACCGTCCGATACGCCGTCGTCATTGGGATGGGTAAAAGCGCAGTAGTATCTAGTCGTGAAGCATATGTCAGCACCAGTCGTGCAGGAGGGAAGCCATGGAACGCGAGACCCTATATTTGAATCGTTATTTGAATCGTTGTACACACTTTGCTAATTCTCGAATGCGATCTCGCTCTGTCTGGGGTTTGTTGGGCAGGCCTGGCCCACGAGCCGTCAAGGGAACCATCGTGACTATGTAAATGGCGGAGGCAGAGGGGTTAAAGAGACCGTATTCCCAGATTGCTGCATTGAATTGCAGCAGTTACTCGCAAAAGTTGATGATTGATATGACGTCACGTAGTGTGCTGCATGGAATTGAATGGACTCAGGTGAAGAAGGGGGGATGGTGGGGTTCAATCGTCTCGCTTTCCACCCGATGTATGGCCGGGCGGGTACATGATTGGCCGGCTCTTGTTGCCGGGGAAAACTGCCACTTTCATAACTTTAAATATATACCTAGGCCTCAGCTATGGGGACCCTACATTGGCCATAGCGTATCGATGGAATAATAATCCAATCGGACATGTAAATCCGCCTTTCTCTCCATCCCCCTCGCCCCGCATTTCTCAATTTGATCAAGTCTCTTGCCTATCTGAGAATAAGTGAACGGCGATGAACGCCTCGAGGTAGTCTCTTACGGTCTCGAACACCGCACCCAGCACGTTGCAATCCAGACGCCATGCCGGTGGGGTGCCGTTTCAATGTAGGGCACGTCGGTGGAAAAACAACAAGCCCACCACGCACTATAATCAATTGGACGCGGACAGTGACCTAGCGACCCTAGGCTCTAGGCCGACGGGAACGAACGTCAAAGCGAACAAGACTACAGAGACCTTCCAAGAGCTCCAGGGTCTGCAAGAGATCCACAATTCGCAGATTCCTCGCGCGTTGATCGGAATGCACAACGCTGCTTTCGGCCGTTGGCCCCGCCAAGCCTTGTGGATGATGTCATAGTCTGGCCTGATCCGCACTATCTATAGCGGAGGCTTCGGAAAGCTACGCGGCCCGAGAGAATCTTCCAATTAAAGGGGACCCTCCGTGCTCGTGAGGTCGGAAAAGACTTTGAAGCATTGCAGAAAGAGAGAGAGAGAAAGAAAGAGAGAGAGAAAGAGAAAGAGAAAGAGAGAAAGAGAGAAAGAGAGAGAGAGAGAGAGAGAGACGAGCGGGAAGAATACGCTCATCAGCCTCAGGCGACCTGGATACTATAAAGGGTATCACCATGTTCTCTCGACGGTATGTTCCGACATAAACCTTTTGAATGAGTCCGTTAGTTTGCAAGTCACTGATTTGGCAATTGTTGTGTAGAAATGCTCATAAGCCCGACCAGATTTTTATTAGTCGCTTCCGAAATGAATTTGGGGACCTGGTGTCGAAGCAAAGTATCAATGTGAACCAGGGCGCACACAATTTAATGCCTCAAATCGTCCCGGATGAGGCAAATTTCGACACTAACGTGAGAGGAAGGACTCATGAGCAGAGCCTCGACGCCGAGCGTGTCCCCTGGGCATCACGGGCATCAGGCTCACCATTCTCGTGCCTGGATCCGGAGGCACTTTCTCTGCAATATGAATTTGGTCAGCACCAAACCCCCCATCACCATGGCTTCTCAGAAAGAGGCAATATCTTCCACAACCCGGCTGGAGAGTTCGAGCTTCTGGATCCGTATCAAATATCGAGCAATGGCCCATTTGCCCAACAGGAGTTCCCTACATTCCCCAAACCACCCCACCGCGATTCTGGCTATGAGACAATGGATAGTTCCTCTGAAGATTTGTCTATGAACCTCAGCACGAAGACCGACTCCGTTGGGATGGACGACTCTCTGGAAATGTCCTCTGGCGAACAGTAAGGCTTGTCCGATTGACCTACACGCTGCAAGTTGCTCCCAGGCGCTAACGGATTCGCACTTTAGATTTCGATACAAAGTCTCACTGCTGGCTGCAACGGCAATGTTTAATCCAGCCAAGGAGGATCCAGTCACATACCTCAACAAAAGTCAAACATATTCACTCATTATAAAAGATTCCCATTCACCACCGATGGGTTCTGGTCAGGTCAGATACCGCACATACGTCCGTGTATCTTTCGATGATCAAGAGCAACGATCAAGGCCGGCCGCTTACTGGCAATTATGGAATGACGGTCGGGCCAAGACTGAGGCTCCTCGTCACGGCGGAAGGCTACACGCGGTGGAATACGCGAATGTGGCTCGATCTCACATCGTAAACTTCGATCAAAGACAAATTCGCCTGGAAGCCGCTTCGTTTGATGGATTCTGTGTTACTTGGTCCGGAGGTCCAGACACTGGTTCCTCCGAGTGTGCTCTTGGTGTACGGTTCAATTTCCTGTCGACCGATTTCAGTCACTCAAAAGGTGTGAAAGGGGCGTCGGTCAGACTATGCGTGAAGACGGAAATGATACAACCGGATGACCGCACGTTAGAGTATAAGCCGGAGGTATGCTTCTGCAAAGTGAAACTATTTCGGGACCATGGTGCCGAGCGTAAGCTCTCCAATGATGCCGCGCATATCAACAAGACAATCGAGAAGCTCAGAAAGCAAGTGTTTGAAGCGGGAACAAGTGGTGGATTGAAATTTGAGAAACAGGGAAACCTTCCCATGAAGATTGCGAAACGTTACCGCAAGTCAAGGCGCGGATCTTCAGAAAAACAAATAACGGGAGGTCTTCATGCCGAGATAGATGCGCTGCAGCGCATGTTCTCTTCGGTACGTCGAGTGAGCAAGCTTGATTTGCGGGGTCATGAATATGATGACCCTGATCTCTACCCCGTTCAGCTTGGCGCTGATTCTCGCTCGAGTCCCAACAATGAATCCCCCATGAAAACAGTGGCGGGAGTGGCAGGTCATCTTCAAAGAAATGATAGCGTTGCTTCAGCACTGGCGGGTATGCAGCTTGCTCAACCTGACGAGCTGAACAAGTCTGTCAGTCTGGATACTGCCAGACGAGCTTCGGAGGGGGACTTGTGTGCAGTCGCCAGTATCATGAAGGCCATTGATGTCGACGTGAATTACAGGCCACCAAAGATCGCACCCAGATCGGGTAAGTCTCATGCTAGCCCTAGTAAAGCCGTTTTTGCAGTCACTAATCTTATCATAGTTGCCTGCTTTTATGTCCGGTTTATCAGAAACGGAAAGAATGTCTCAGACTACTACCATGCCATCTATCTCGCGGAGCGCACAGCCTGGAATCTGATGGAAAAAATATCAATGAAGCAACAGATCGACCCATCGAGCATTGTTCATGTTTTTCACGTGAAAAGAAACGGGCTGAGGATCGTTGTGGACGATGACGTTGTGCGAGAGCTCCCTGAGGGACAGGACATGGTAGTCGAAATATGCGAAGGATCGAGGGGGAATGAAAATGACGGAGGCGTGGAATTCACAGGCACAGAAGTCAAATTAATCTTCTAGGTGCCTTACTTGGTGCCGAGGATGTTCAACATGGAAGCAACCCCCAACTTGCTCTACCTTGGAATCTTGGGGAATGCAGATGCATTCTCTCCAATTACATCACTAATCCCAATTAAAAAATGATGCTAATTCAAACCGCTATGACCATAGAACACCCGCGATTACGTACCTCTACAGTAATACAGCAAGTTCAATCTGCTACACCGGAAAGACTACCTATACCTACCCGGTCACGTGCTGAAGTCGAACACGTTCTACTCCGGTAGGCCCAAGCGCATGCGTGCACCGTGTCTCTTGCCCAGGTGAGGAGCTCATGTCGTAATGAATCCTACTGACCCTCCTTCCCGCACTGTTTTCGTGCCAAGTTCCCATCTCGAATAGACCCAATCTCTGCCCGTTACATGTAGTCAATGATGTATTTCACGCGATATCACTGTGCAGGGCTTCTCAAATCCCGAGGCTAGACTTCACAACAAACCCCGTCAGTACGACTCTGTACTCGACGGGATGTGACGCGCCAATCGGCCATTTCTCGGCTATGTTGCATAACTTATCAAACTAGGAAACCTGGACACTCGCCACATCGTAGCTATAGCTGGCAAGGGCAAAGCCACACACCGCATAGAATCTCCAGGAAAGCCACCAACAATGACAGCATTGTGAGTGGCGTGACATGCGGGCGAATCAAATCCATGTCACAATACAGCCTCGGACCAATCTGCACATGTAGAGGCGTCTCAAGAAACCTGGTTTTAGGCTTCCGGGGGCACTAATAATCCGGCCTTGCCTTGTTTTGCTTGCATTAGTTGCGGGCGAAACCCACTTACAATCAAGTTCCCGGGGGTCGCAATGCCAAGACTGGCCCTCGGCTGGAGGCTGAGAGTCCGATGACGTCAATCAACTACCCCAAGCAGTTCCCACTATGCTCCCCAAGAACAAATGACGTGAGGGGAGATACCCCTCCATTACCAGACTTCAGCGTCTAGATCAATGACGCTATATGGTAACATGATCTGTCGTGCAGGACATAAATAGTCCCCCTTGCCCCAAGCTTTTTACCTTCATCAACTCAGTCAATACAACCTTTTGAAACCTTCCAAACTTTCAATAACAACTCATTCACAATGGAGACCGTCAAGGTTCGTCAAGCACCGTCTCATCTCCCTTGTCAACGTATCCTGACTAACACCTCCCAGAACGCCGCCAACTACGTCGCCGAGACCGTCCAGGGCACCGGTGCCGAGGCTTCCAAGGAGGCCAACAAGAACGTCGCCAAGGACAACGACGCCAACGTCAGCACCCGCGCCAGCGCTGCCAAGGATGCCCTCTTCGACAAGAAGGATGAGGTGTCCCACGACTCCAAGGCCGATGTCCACAAGGGTGAGTGATTCCTGCATGTGCGGCGCACATGTATCATCAGACGCTAACTACAGCTTTACAGAGGCTGCTAAGCACTAAGTGCACCTTGCACACACGTGCCCAATGCTCATCGCTATATGATACCCATGCCTATGTGATGGAGTGATTGATGAACGGTCGATGTGATACTTGGACAATTATGTTGATTCATGTAAACTATATACCACGAATTCACTTTACGTTTCCGAAATATTTGCTATCCCCGTAAATATGTCTAAAATATTAGAATGCACAAGATTATTCTATGTAGACAGTCTATGATGCATATTGTTCTTAGCACCTAAAATCATTGACGATTCATGATCTTTGCCAATCGAGTACATTGATACTTCTGTTTCCCAGAGTTGTCTGTACAGACCTTACCACAGCCGAGTGGACTTGCGTCCGTGGGATTCTCAAACAGTTGAAGCTCAAAACTCAACATGAATAGTCATATTTTCTATCAGATGATAATGTACTTTACCGCATGGTAACAAGCTCCTCGGAGGCAGTAGGATGAATAGCAACACAGCTATCAAAGTCGGCCTTAGTAGCACCCATCTTGACAGCAACACCGAAGCCTTGCAACATCTCGCCAACGCCGAGACCAAGAATGTGCAAACCAACAACCTTCTCCGAAGGGCCGGCGCAGATGATCTTCATCTCGGTGGGGTTCTTGGCCTTCTCCTCGGGGGACAGACCGACGTCGTAGAACATGTTGGTGAACTTGGTGTGGTAGACCTTGATCTTGTCGTCGCCGTAGCGCTGGCGGGCTTCGGGCTCGGTGAGACCGATTGAGCCAACCTCGGGGTGGGAGAAGACGACCGTGGGGATGTTTTCGTAGGAGATCTTGGAGGACTTCAGCTCAGGAGGACCGAAGATACGGTTGCCGAGTTGGCGACCGGCAGCAATTGCGACTGTATTCGTGCATTAGCGGGGTTCCATATGAGGGCTAAGATTCTAAGACATACCAGGAGTAAGCTCGGCCTGGCCGGTCACATCACCAAGAGCGTAAACGCCCTCGACAGAGGTGTTCTGGTACTCGTCAACGACGATGTGGCCGCTGGGGCTCAGCTTGATACCGGGAATATCGATAGCCAGCTCCTCGACCTCGGGAGCACGACCAACAGCCCAGAGAAGCTCGTTTACCTCGAGCTCGGAGCCGTCGTGATTGATCAGCTTGATCAAACGATCCTTGCCCTTGCCGTCGCGAATAAGCTGGATATCCTTGAAACCAGTGTGGTGACGGTGCATGTGGACACCAGCAGCCTCGTAGCGATCGGTCATAGTCTTCTGGACCATGGGGTCGAACTTGCGTAGGAAGTTGTCACCACGAATGAACATGTGGGTTTCCACGTTGACGGCGTTCATAACACCAGCCAACTCAACGGCGATGTAGCCAGCGCCAACGACGGCCATTTTGGGCGGCAACTCCTCCATCTCGAAGAAGCCATCGCTGGTGATACCGTGCTCGACGCCGGGGACCTTGGGCAGGCTGGGACGGCCACCGGTAGCGATCAAAATGTGGGGAGCAGTGTAGCGGGCGACACTACCATCCTCCTGATTAACCTCAATAACCTTGGGCTCGACAAAGTGGGCACGGCCATGCACCAGGTCAATGCCCTCATTGCCCCAGTTGCGCTCGTAGGCGCCGTTCAAGCGCTTGATCACAGCATCACGGGTGGTCTTGAACTTGTTGTAGTCGATCTTGATACCTTCGGGGATATCGTAACCGTAGTGTTTGCCAATGTCCATCGTCTCCTGGATAGTCGCAAAGTTCCAGGTCATCTTCTTGGGAACACATCTGGGATTCCGGTTAGCGCCGAACTTGATTTTTGCATCAGAATGTAACTATCAAGTGCAAATACTTACCCAACATTGACGCAGGTGCCACCGGACCGGCCGCTCTCGACAATCAGAGTCTTTGCGCCGTACCAGCCAGCGGCGCGACGGGCACTTCCACTACCACCGCTACCACCGCCAAGGACGATGTAGTCATACTGCTTAACATCGATAGGGGCCATTGTGGACGAAGTCTTGCTCTCTGAGACCGGGAAAGAGGAGGAAAAGTGACGGGAGATGGAGGAGAGTCGAGAAGTAGGCGCAATTGTGGTAGAGGGCTTGCTGTTGATGGTCGCCAGGGTTCGATTCGCGGTCGGTTGACCGGAGTGAATTCGTCTGCGAGCGGAAGACCGGGTCAGGAGGCTGCGAAAGCTGATCCGGGAAGGTTGAATAGGGAGGGAGCGGGAGAGCATGAATATGATGGAGGGGTATGTACAAGAAGAGGGGAAGCAGTTAGAGCTGACAAAAAAGTGGTGACGATAACCGGCCTTTGATACGCGGCGAGCTTTGCGGGCCGGGGAACATGCTTGATTTCTCAGCTCGGGCCCAGCCCACGTGATTACAAATCTATTATGTGCGATACACGTCTAGGCTAGTATAGTTCGGTAATATTCGACTATTTTCAATCTGGTGCAAGGGTATAAAGCTGACGATAAAAAAACATATATATATATATATATATATGAGAGAAAAAAAAGAGTGGAACGGCTCGGCTGGGTGTAAGTTCAGCCCATCCGATATCCGTGAGTATGAAAACTCGAATATGCACGACTCAAAGCAGAGCATTGTGTGCGGAATGAATCAAAGCCAAAAATATGGAAATTTGAAAGATTGATTGAGTAAATCAAGATATGTCCAAAATAAACCTTCGGACCTAGCCGAGGCTTAAGATAGAGTGGGTCACGGCGATGTATATTGCGCAGAAAAGACCTGTCGTAATAGCAAAGGTGGAAATGAAAAGAATCAGGGGGTATGCGAGCACGCTACAATGGTTCAAAGCCATGTATAGCCATGTATCCATGCAAGCCGTACCCAAGAAAGTATGAGATATGCGAGTATCGGGAGATCAGAGAAACGGCGGAGGGTTCAGTGAAGAAGGCCGTTTCTCTGGATCAAAGGTCGAAAGGGAGAGATAGCACTCTGTCAAGTCCACTGTTGTGACTGCATCCTGATGCATCGGCGTTGAGGGCGATGCAAAGGGAGACGAGGGGGCGCAACGAGTTTTCGAGGAGTATCTTTGGGTATTCGAAGGCATGAAGGGTCTTTAAAGATAGTTCTGAGAACTAGTGAGACTTTCCCAGCCGTGTTGTTCGCCCTCGATCAGTTGCCTAGAGCGAGTCTGACAGGGGGGCAAGTGTATGGTGGTTCGGGTCGGATGTCTGGGAGTATCTGTATCTTGATGGTGTAGGATGCGAAGCGGTTCGATATGATGTTCCGGACAAGACGCTCATAGTTATTCGCAAGCATGATTGTCCCGGTCGACTCTGCGATCTCTTATCTAGTGATTCGGTGTCTACCTAAGTAGTATAGACATCACAACCGAATGACTAGTGAGAATACGCAATAACCGCAAAAGAGATGACGCAGATGCACAGCGGGATAAAGACACTGCGTTCCATATCGGCGGGGTTCTCAGAGTGCTTCATGGTCTGGGGGGGGAGGGGGAAGATGATGATGTGGCTATACAGAGGGGGATCGCAGATGGGAGGGGGTGCTGTTTATGGGGCGGAGAAGCCGTTCTCCAATCCCCACGCTTGAATTGCTGAGGTAATCGTTGGGGCCTCAACAAATGACCCGTCACATGATGCCGATTGGACGTTTTCGTTCATCTACGCCATGTGGACCTTTCATCTTGGGCACAGAGACACACCGCACAAAAGAAACGGATAAGATGGGCCGGTTCAAAGCCACTGCAGAGAATCATGAGCCCCACGTGACTGTGTTGGTACCTGCAGTAGAGGGCTCCAGTATGGGGCTCGGGCCACCGTAGACCCAGACCGGTGGCCAAAAGTCAGCGCCTATTCTTTTTAGATTAAACGGATCAAAATGTTCTATAGACGCAATGGCCATCCAATCTTCCAAACATTCAAGGAACCTTCCTGAATGGTGGCTAGGCTCCTTGCCAACAGCTGAAACGCCTCGGATGATCCTCTAGGAATTTTAGATCTCAGAAACCACGACAGTCCAACTCATGGCCTCAGGTATGAGGGAGGTTTGACCGAGTCCTGGAATCCACGAGTACCTTGATTCTGCCACACGTCCTGCTGGCCCTTGTTTACCTGCCCACATTCACGAAGTGCAAGAATGCAAGGGGATGACCCAAGCACCAGGAACATGCCAATCAGGACGAGCAACAACGGCCTCCATACCGACGTAGAAACCAGGAGATGGCCTTGCTAGCCAAGGGAGCAAGGAATTCGCGCCCCCAGGCTCCCCTGCGCGACTTGACCTTGCTCTTTAGAGTCATTCGAGTATACATCAACGGACCACCCCCTAGTCCAACGCCTAATATTTCGACTATCGGCACCCGCAATCCGAAATCCGTCCATTCAACGCCAATATGCGTGTCTCCGCCGTCGTTCTCACTTTCGCCTCCATCATGTCTCTGGGTGCGGCCCAGAGTGCCATCGTGAAGGATGACAGAATTAACATGTCCTGCGACTTCGCTCAGGACAAGACTGGCATGCTGCAGTACCCGTACTGCTGCCGCGACCTGCAGCCTCTGAGATCAAACTCCAAAAGCAACCAGGCCGAGGACTGTACGTTTCAAACTATTTGAATGGATAAGGCACTCAAATCGCTAATGTTGGGACCAGGCGACCTGTTGCAAAAACCCCAGCTGTGTGAGGACCAATCTCGACCCGCTTGCTGCTACACTATCGTACGTTGCTCCATTTTAATAATTGCGGAAGGAAGGCTAACCTTGTTTGTTTGCAATCAGGGCCCGAAGAAGATCTGTACCTCGCACGTCGTTTTCCAGAGCGCGGAGGATGTCTAAGGTGGCGAAGGGAATCATGTTCATAGCGGCGTATGATCGGCTTTCGGAAATCATACACGCGACCTTGTTCGATGTCAATATTCAATCGACATCGAGAATACATACCAGATTGCCAATACAACCCACTACGATATCCATGGATGTAGTCGATTATGAATAAATTGGATAATGATATTATAAGAGGGCCATGAAAAGGCAACCCAAGGATATATGATAATGCTCAGTAAATCAAACGCTCCGCCAATGCTAGAAAAATGCTATATACAGCTCAACTTCTTGGAAGAGCAGGGTGTGTCACCACTAGTCAGACTTCACGTCCAACATCCGCTCGGTGTTCCTGCGGAACAGCTTCTCTGCGAGTTCAGGCTCGTGAGCGCAAAGATCCAGGCACCATTCTGTGAAAGGGCTGATGTCGACACCGGTAAAGCGAGTATGAGGCCAGTCGGTGGCGTAAATGACTCGGTCCGGCGCCGCAGAGAGAAACTCGCGGGCCATGGCCTTGAGATCACGCATGTGTCTGTCTTTGGTGAGGCGGTAAGGGGCGGACACTTTAATGTAGGTGCTTCCTTGGCGGATCAAGGAAATCAGGGAGTCGAACCCGGGAAGGCTGTAGGGGTCGAAGGGCTGAGGTTCCTTTGTCCATGAGATAGAAGAGAGTTCAGGGCTTCCGAAGTGGTCGATGCAGACGGTGACGCCGAGACGAGGCACGATGGATTCGAGCATGGGGACCATCTTCAAAGGAACGTATGTTTCGATGATCCAGTTCCGAGGCCGGGCAACGTCGGCGTGTCGAAGCAAATCCTGTTCCAACTCGGCCTGGTCCATGACCTTTCCCACGGACTGGAGGTTCACTCGGAGACCACGGACACCCAGAGCATGCCACGCATCGAGCGTTTCTTGTTGGATAGTGTCGGGGTCAACCACCACGACTCCACGACCACGGGAAGGGCCGACTTTAGCCAGGGCGGCTAGAAGGCAGGAGTTATCCGTTCCATAGATGGAGGGCTGCACAAAGACGAGGTTCTCCACCCCTAGTGTAGACTCGAAGTAAAGAGCATCTTCCAGCGTATGGGTTGTAGGCTGGTATACTGCTTTTGGAGAGATAGGGAACTGCTTGGGTTCCACGACGTGCATGTGGCTGTCCCATGATCCTGGAGGAATTCTGTGCTCCAGGGGCACGCTCACGCGTGTTGCCGCTGCATGAAAAGAACGTTGGACCAGACGGGACGCCGGAGCTGTCGTTAGCAGTATGCGCGCTGGGCCTCCCAAGATCTCGGGATAAGGCTGAGTCGAAGAAGTAAGCATCGTGAAAAGGGATGGTGATATTGAGTGATGTCGACCACCACAGCAGCAGGGGAGTAGACAGAAGAAAGAAAGGATGCAGCTTTACGGAGTACAACTCACCGATGAGCAGGTCCTGACGCTGTGGATTGCCCTGAGGGCCCTGACCGGTATCATGCCACCGTGCTGGGTCAATCGGCCAACGTCCGTCACAGTCAGACGTAGGTCTAGGTGGGCAGAAAAGCAAGGAAATTGACCATCTAAAAAAATCTGCCGTGTGCCGTGTTCTCAGTTGCGGTATTGAGATCTGACCCACCCTCGGCTTCAATATTTACCCAGAAGGAGAGCACAGGCGAGGAGGTTAGTCGAGGGGGAGCCGAAGGGCGACGCGGAAGTCGTCCGTGAGGCAGGCGGCAGTGACACTACCCACTTGCACCGGCAAAATGCAGACGGCAGGACGTGCTCTTCATAATTTCCATAATTTTTTTGCAGTGCTACCACTCAAAGGAGAGGTTTTCCGTCAAGCGGAGCCACGAACCACCGAGTGGGCTCCGCGGAGCGACCCGACTGCCGACTGCAGAAGTATGGAGTTTCGGAAAGGCTGGAGCGTGCGAGTGCAGACGGAGAGAGGCGAAGATACCATTGAACCCCCGGAGATTAATCGCTGAACCGGTATCCTCGTGCATGAGGTTCAAGGTTGCAGACGGAAAGGAGGTTCATGCGCCAGAGAAGGTCGGAAGTTGACCGAGCATACAAAAAAAAACCTTAATGCTACGGGATGCCGAGAACGCCCTGATCCCCCCTCCCCTCCACTCGCTCCTTTTGTCTCTCTGCCCACTCTCTGCCGATATTCCGTGTTCCTTTCCCCAGATTTCCGAATCGCCTCCACAGCAGCTCTTCTTGGGGAGAGCCATCATGAGCGCCTTTTCAGCATGGCTAGAACCATCGCGTTGGACCACTAGTTCATACTATGTACTAGTCGTCTGCGTGATAGCGTGCGGCAGTATTCCGAAAGGTAATTGGGTCCCCCCTAGCTGATGCATCGGTATCACCCTGGAAAGAATAGAGTGCTTACGATCACAAGGGTACGATGAGGGTGGCTACAGTGCTAGCGTCAAGCTCGAGTCATTCATGATCGATTTCAACCTCCTGAAATCTCACTGGATGAACGATCCAACAGGCTTGACTAACCGAAGTGCAAACATCACCTCCTTCAATGTGCTGGGTGCGGCATTTGGCGCCCTGACTGGTCTCGATCTCAATGATCGCCTGGGTCGTCTGTGGTCGTGGCGATTGGCCATGGTCGTCTACATGGTCGGCACCTTTATTCAGGTCTTCTCATCCGGGATTTATGGCTTGCTGCTGTTCGCTCGCATTTTCTCCGGACTGGGCGCTGGTCTATTAACCGTCACATCGCCCCTTTATCTGTCAGAGGTGGCGCCCAAGGCGACGCGCGGTCTGTCTGTCGGCTTGTACATGGTCGCTCTACTGACGGTACTTTCCATGGGTAGGTCTTTCAATCTAATATCCGGCGCTAGTCAGGAACCCCATCTAACTCCACTGTTTGATAGGCTTCTTTATCAACTATGGCGCCAAAATCCACATGGCCGCCACGCGTACCCAATATCGCCTAGTTCAAGCCATCCCTCTGATCCCTGCAGGGATCACCCTGATTCTTTCGTGGTGGTGCCCGGAGACACCGCGATACCTCGCCTCGAAGCAGCGCCACAAGGAAGCGAAGGAGGTACTCGCACGTCTGCGTGGAAAGCCCATCGACGATGAAAGTGTTGTGGCCGAATTCGAGGAGATTGACCACCAGGCCAAGGAGCGGGCCGACTTGAAGTCCATCTCGCACTGGGCAGCTTTCAAGGAGTCCCAGACCAATCCCAACTACCGCCAGCGATTCTGGCTGCTCATGACCATGCAAACCATTGCGCAGTGGACAGGTGGAAACGGTATTACATATTACATTTCGACGATCTTTACCTACGCCGGTGTCGCCGATTCCACCTCCCTCATTTCCTCCGGCGCGTACGGAATCGTCAAGCTGGTCTTCACCATGGCATTCACCTGGGGCCTGATCGATCTCTTCGGCCGACGCCGCTGCGCTTTGACCGGACTGTCCTTGCAATTGGCCGCACACATCTACATGGGCATATACATGGGGCTGCAGCCGGGCTCTTCCGACAACAAATCCGCCTCCGACGCAGCCATCGCCTCGGTCTTCATCTACGCCGTCGGCTGGTCTGTAGGTCTTTGCACAATCCCCTACCTGTACGGCACGGAAATTTTCCCAAGCCACATCCGGAATGTGAGCTACGCTCTCAGCATGGGTCTTCACTGGTTCTTCCAGTTTGCCGTTGTCCGCGTCACCCCCAACATGCTCACCAACCTGCACGTATGGGGTGCTTACCTCTTCTGGGCTATCATTTGTACCCTCGGTATCATCATTCTGGGTATTTGGATGCCCGAAACCAAGGGTGTGCCCATCGAGCGTATGGATGACCTCTTCTCTGGGCCATGGTACCTCCGCTGGCGCGCTAAGGTCTCTACCGCCGATGAATACTCTGACTCTGGGGACACCCTTGCGTCGCACGAGCAGCACCATGATACCTTCAAGACTGATTAATCGGCACCTTGGAGTTCATATTCTTGTTCACTTGTGAACACTTTCTACATGGCCATGCCTGACTCCGCTTACATATTCCATTTTTTCTGGAGCAGCTAGCACGCGCAATATCTTGTGCATTTCCAGGCGATTGCTCGGTATATAATTTTGATAACCCTATACCCTCTGTATTTAACTGTTTGCATTCTGGGCTTAGCTCCTATGTATATATGATATCCTTTAGGTTTTGGGAAAAAGCCTATTGAAACCAAGCACTCAAGATCCAGGTATATACTTACTAAAATTTGAATATTCCACACGCTCAACTTTTCTACCTCAAAATATCTCTACCGGGGAATCATCAAGCACAAAAACAGAAAAAGAATCGCTTTTCATTATCGCCCCCCACTCCAATTCGTATCAAAAGACGCCATATTCGCCGTGATGGGCTGCGCATATGAGAATGCCTCAAATACCTCAGGCGTAATCTCGTACGAGCCTGGGTCATCTACCGTCATCACGGCGTTGGGCATGCCGCCTAGGAGGTGTGTTGGTGGCATCTGCGGTACATCGTTCATTTGAGAGAGGTCAAAGTTGCTGACAGGTTGTTGGAAGAGGTAGCCTGGTAGCATGGAGGCTGATGGGTTTGGCGCCGGTGTTCCCTGGGTGCTCATTGCTGCTCTGCTTTGTTGGCGTTGGTGAAGAGTACCTGGGGAGGCGTGGCGGGACGGGTTGCTTGCCGGGGATTGGCTTGAGTGGGGTGGACGGGAAAGTTGGGGTTGGGGTTGAGGTTGAGGGTTTTCGGGCCGGACCCCCGTGGGGGTGTGAATGTCGATTTGGAGTTTCTGGAGCTCTTGGTAGACGAGGTTGAGGGCTGTTGTGATGACTGGGTTGGAGACCTTGACTCGTTCTAGGGCGAGGATGCAGAATTTGAGCTTGTCCAGGGTTCCTGGTGCGGCGTATTTCAAGGCCTGAATTTCGAGGAGGAAGATCGAGGCTGCCGTGTAGATGCTGTACGCGAGGGAGAGGACGACGTGGTTGTCGCCGAAGGTACGACGGTAAAGGTCGAATAGTGATAGGATGGTCGTGGCCGATGCCATACACTGGACGAGATGGCTCTTGTCATAAGCATCTTGCCGGGCCTTGAACAGACCGCGAGAACAGAGGACGGGACGGTGGAGCAGAATATTGACAGTGTGATATAAACAGCTGGAATCTGGTCAGCAAGAATTTGACAAGTGCTGGCATAATAGGCAAGACATACTTAAGAGTCATGATATGACTTGGCGGGGAGTACGGTGGCAGGTCTGTTGCCACGAGCCTCAAGTAGTCGGGGAGCTCATCCCACCACTCGCCTAGGTTTCTGGCTTGTTCTTGAACACAGTCGAAGAACTCGGCCTCGGTACTTTGACGCATCGGATCATAAACATGAACCAGGATCTGATTTAGAATCTCGGCCAGCCCGCACATCTGAATGAAGCAAGTGGTTGAGTGTGCCTGTGTGGGTGGGTAGTGTGCGCCATCGGGGAAGGTCACGCCGTGCGGAGTCCAAATTTCGATCTCAGATGTATCATCGACTAGAATAATGTCAATATGTATAGAAAACAGTATGGGAAAGAAGAAACATACGGATCATGCGCGGTGGGCTGACACGAGAGTGCTGCATAGTCGGTGCGCGGCCAAAGTATAGGGAAATAATCTTATCCCAGAAATAACAACTCCAGAAGAGTCGGTTGCGGATCTCAATATCTTCATCGCTCAGATGTGCCGATCCGGGATATTTCCGGCTGTCGATCGATATTCCAAGATCGTCTAGTATACGGAAGGCCATCCCACTGTACAGCCATGCCTGTGTACGGTTGCCACGGCCACATTCCTGCGCACTGAGTAGCAACAGGATCTGTATCGTTGGGATACCTGCATATCCCGTTTTAAGCGATTCGAAGAGCCCCGTCACGGCCCGTTGGTAGAATAGCGCTCCACCATCATACGAGTCCAGGAGCGGACCGACTTGAGGCTCCGCTTTGCACCACCGTACAGAGTGAGACAACACGGCGTTCATTAAGACATCTGAATAATAAGGTCCGTTGATTTTCATATCACCTGCGCGTGGGTCAATAGATAGACATGGCAACTCCACCGAGGCGAAACATACGTGTAAATGCAGGACGATAGACGAAGTTGAACAGTGGCTGGATCCAACACCAATGGGAATCGAGGAGGTATTGGAAAGGTTCCTGCAGATCCAATTAGTCCGGGGTTATACAAAGGTTCGAGCTGAGTATATCATATATCATACCGGCATCATAGCCATCTGCTCAAAGGCCCGCTCCCGCCAGGCACTATTGATTAGTCGCTCCTTGCGGGCCTCGATTTCCTGGGCGTAATGCGACGTCGACGCGGTCTCGCTAGCCACTCCGCTAGGAAGCTGGAACAAACTAGTTGGACCGTGGAAAGAGATGCGACCGTCATTTTCGACATTCAATCCATCAAATTCCCTCGCGAGATCCTGCGCGTCGTCGATTTCCGTCTTGATTCGACGGCCAGCACTCGAGCTAGACTCGGCCACCGAAGCAGGAGAGCTACCCTTGCGAGCCTCCATTTCGGTCTGTTGACCACGCAGCTTAGACAAAGCATCTTCGAGCTGAGCAACTCTTGCTTCCAGTTGTTTGGTATAGGATAAGGTCGGCGCCCTATAAGTGGGGGGGAGGGATGTCAGCCACCGGTCGCGACCGGGATCCCAAACGCTCGTACTCACAAGCTATACACGCACGCCTCGCCCCTCGCAGCGCAGCGCGAACATGACGGACTAGCTCCGTTACACTTGACCTGTCAGAGGGTCAGCTTCAGCTTATTGGCACATGGGCACACCCATCTCGGAATTTGCCCGACTCGTACCTTGCGCTTGCGACAAGCCTCGCAGGAGAAAGCACTTTTCCGGGGAAGTGCCGGCTTAAAAGGCACGTCGGCCATATCGGAGGGACCCTCTACCACCATCGGAGATTCACGGGGTAATACTCTTCCCCCATTGAGGAATCAGTTCAGGTAGGAGAAAAGGAAAGGAGGAAATTTTGGCCCCATGAACGTGGGGCTTTGATCGCGGGGAGGTTTTTTAACCTTTTTTCGCCCGGTGGACCACTTTTGGAGTCTTTTTGGAGATCTCTTGGGTCTTTTGGGTCTTTTGGGCGTCAGGTCTTGGCTTAGTGAGATAGTGTACTGTAGGCTTGACGGATCACTTCACTCGTCGAGCTTAGCCAATGTACAGGGAGCTCCGCTTGGGCAATCTCGACGACCAGCCAATTGTGGAGTGTGCTCGGCGATGCTTCGGTCAATTAGCCGCATGCAGTCAGAGGTGAGATTTGTTGAATTCGCACGATTGTTGTGATAGGATAGGATTAGATGGTTAGATGATTCGAGAAAGAGGAGCGGGTCCCTGGAAGTGGAGTGGATCATCGGTCGATCCTGTCATGGGAACTCGCCGTGATGTAAATTGTACGTGGGCCGACTGTATGTGGGATCGAATGTGGAAGGTTTGTCGAGTTGGTCAAGTTTGAAGATATTGAAAATATTGAAAGATATTGAAAGATATTGAGAAATATGCAGGTATTGACGTTATGTCCAGGTTATTACACAATCATTTGCTTCCCTTCTTGAACTTGCTTTTGTCTTTGCCCTTGCCCTTGCCCTTGCCTTTGCCCTTGTCCTTACCGAACATCTTCGGAGCATCACGCTCGTCCTTGCCCTTCTTCCACCCAACATTGCCCTCGTGGCGCATCTTAGCATCGTCCAGGCGCTTCTTGTCCTTGTTGCTAAGCTTAGCCTTATCCTTCTTAACCTTACCCGCGTTGGGTCCGTTCAACTCCTCCGCACCAATCTTACGGGCTGCAAGCTTCTGCTGCTCCGTCTCGAACCATGTCCGCTTGGGTCGTGCCATGATCTCTGCACCGTGCTTCATGATGTTCTCGGTCTTGTTGACCTGCATCTCGGCTTGTGACATTTGCTTCTCCGTCTTCTCCTCCTGCAGGACCTCTTGCACCTCGTCGGCAAGATCCTCTGCTTTCTGGCTCCAGTCATCAGCCACCGCGGTCTCAACCACACGGCTGACAATCTTGGCGCCCTGGGCCTTGCCGGCCTTCACAGCGGCCTTGACAACCTTGCGGTCCGGTTCAGCAGCGATAGTGCATGCCCGACCGGAGCGACCGGCACGGGCTGTACGACCAACACGATGCAGGTAGATCTCATGGCTCTGTGGGGCTTCGTAGTTGATAACAGTCTCCACTCCTTTAATATCTAGACCACGAGAAGCAACGTCTGTACAAAGAAGGAAAGCGACCTTGCCATCGCGGAAGTTCTCCACACTTTTGATACGCTAGAAAGAGAAGTCAGTAAAAAGATCTGTAGTTGGAAACATCGCGAAGCATACCTGTTCTTGGCTCAAACTACCGTGCAACTCAGCAGCCTTCATGCCCAGCAGACCGAACATAATGCGGACACGATGCGCTTCCTTCTTTTGTCGGAAGAAAATGATGACTCTTCCTGTGTAAATCTCCTTGCACAAGTGAAGGAGACATCCGAGACGCTTGTCCTCGCGACCTGGACGCAGACGGACGAATTCTTGAGTCAGGGTACCGACAGTCTGCTTCTTGGCATCCACCATCAAACGCATCGGACGGTTCATACCAACACGAATAAGTTTGTCGACTGATTCTGTCATGGTGGCAGAGAAGAGCATAGTCTGGCGTGACTTGGGAATAGTCGTCAAAATCTCGTTCAACTCGTCCGCGAATCCGTCCTCAAGCATACGATCGGCTTCGTCGAGAACCAGAATTTCCAGGGTATCAACAGTGAAACTGGGAGAGTTGCGCATGTGATCAATGAAACGACCGGGAGTGGCAATGATGACATCGGGGCGCTTCTTCAAGATATTTTCCTGTTCGCGAAGGCTGAAACCACCGATAAGTTGACAGAAAGTGACATCGGTGAAAGTGGCAAGCTTCACGGCAACATTGTAACATTGCACCGCCAATTCACGAGTAGGCATTAGGATAGTGACACGACTCGTAGGAACCTTGCGAGGACGGAAGAGCAGACGCTCCAGAATGGGGACGATGAAAGCACCTGTCTTTCCTGAACCAGTCACGGCACTACCGACAATATCTTTGCCCAGAAGTGCCACGGGAATGGCCTTGCGCTGGATAGGAGTGGGGTCGATGAATCCGACGGAGGCCAAGCCCCGCAGGATAGGACGAGAAAGGTTGAAATCTTGGAATGTGCTCTTCGCAGCGGCGGCTTTCTCGTCAATCTTCTCTTCGGGAGCGAAGAAGGCTTTGCGCTTCTCTTGTTCCTCGGCATCAACCTCGCTCTCGACATCGGTTTCGCGATCGGAGCCAATGTCATCGGGGTGACCAACGGGGGTCGCAACGGAGTCATTATCGGATGCGGCGTCATCGTCATCTTCTTCCTCTTCCTCGTCCGATCCTTCTTCCTCGTCGTCTTCCGCCCCAGATCCGGCTTCAGGACCTTCGGCATCACTCTCCTCTTCAGCACTATCGGCGCCCATGCCGAAACCGTCCTCAGCCATCAACTCATCGTCACCGAAATCGACCTCCATGCCGGCGTCAGACTCGTCTTCAGCATCGGAAGCACTTTCTTCCACCTTGGGCTGCTTCTTCTGCTTCTTCTGAGCAGCAGCATCCTTCTTTGCTTGCCTCCGCTCAATGATGTCGTCGATATCAACAGCCTTTCTGTCGGAGTGGGGACCGGTCTGCTTAGGCTCGTCCAGACCCCAACCATCAAAGCCTTCGGTGACGCCCTGGTTGGCCGCGCCAGCCACATCAAACTCGAAGTCGGGATTCAAGGCTCCGTCATCATCGGCAACACCAATTTTCTCATCATCTTCCTCATCCTCTGACTCGGCCTCGGCGACAGGCTCTGCCTTGTCTTTCTTGTTCTTCCCATTCTTAGCTTGCTGCTTTTGCTTCTTGTTCTTTTCCTTGGTGGTTTCAACATCGCGCTTGCGCTTTTTCGTATCGGCAGATTGCGCATTGTCATCTTCCTCCGCGAACTCGTTCTCGTTCTCGTCGTCGTCAAAACGGGGAACGTCCTCCTCGTCGGACAGCGTCAGGACAAAGTCGTCGTCCTTAGCGGCGCTCCGCTTGCTGTTGGGTGCCATTGTGGAGGCAGCACAATTCGAACCGGAGTCAATTAAGGACCTGAAAACCCTTCGCGACTTCACAAAAAAATCGAGCTGTAGTAGAATCCCCAGTCTCCTCGCCGCAAAAAAGAAATCAACAGCAGAAAAAAAAAGTTCCCTGGGCGGTGAGCAGAAATTTAGATGACTAAAACCAGAGCCGCCCCGGCCAGATTGGGATTGTCCCGCTTCAACTACAGCCCAATCGAGAAGTTAATCTAAACGAGGTTACCCGTATGATTCTTTGTTCTTTCTGGCCATTTTCTGGCGTATTTATTAAGTATCTCCAGGGAACTAGGGCAGCTTCCTAAATACCTTCCTAGGTATCTTCCTAGGTATCTTTCCGAATATCTTCGGGCTAGCTCTTTCTATAACTAATCTTGTCCCTTTTCCAGGATCTCCTTTTGAATAATTTTGAACACGCCTGACCTTAGTGACCTTCTTCGACAGGGACCGGGCAAATCGATGGCATTGCAATCGCGTCTACGAACATCTATCTAAGGGTAATCTTGGCCTCCTTATACAAGGACACAGACAAAAACGGCCGTATGTCAATCGCGTCTCAGGCTGCTAATAATATTCTTCGCCGTCGACATGAAAAGAACGGCATCATCCCTAAAATCCCACGCCAAGCTAAAACCGTCTCTGCTCCTTGGGCACCTTCTCCTGTATGTAGTTATACATTAGGCCCGCGGCATACTTATGCCAGTGGAGACGAGTACATTCATCCAGTGAGTCACGCAGGGTCGGGAAGTAGTAATTTTCCGTCATCATTTGGCCTTCCCCGTCATTGCTCGCAGTACCATCGAAGAAAGCCTCATGGTTGATATCGACGGCTCCTGTGAACACCGTCTCCTCTAGCCAGTTTTCGAACGAGTCGCAGTCGCATTGGTTCTCCCAGCATGGCCACACACTGTACTCACAGTGATGTTCCCAACGGGCGAAGGGCATGGATTCCCAGGCTGCACCGTAGGCTGTGTCCTTGGGTCCCTTGTAGAACTCGTAGTTCTTGTTGACGCTTGTGCACAATGAGAGCTCGGAACGCTTGAGCCTGGGATTCTCCGATAATGCTAGCTGTGGTGTGCAGCGTTTCATCCCGGTGTCAATCTTCTGAGCAGCTGTATACGCCTCCCAGATCTTCTCGGACGCTACAACCGCCTCCCACTGGCGGCGATACTGCGGATCCAGCTCTGGACGCATAATACCGAACCCCTTTGGAGATATCAGGCGAGGAGCCTTGAGCCTGGACCTGACAAGGTAGAAGGCTCGATGCTCTAAATATGGTTAGATGACCCGAGACTTTGCATACGCATCGTACTAGCGACGGCGCAGGTCCTCCATGAGTATGGCGCGTTCGGTCGAGTTCAGACCATTTCGGAAGTTCATTTCGGAACCCCCACATGTCTGGAATAATAGTCGGCCGGTCACACTCCGCTTTGGACGCTTCTCGACCGGCTTGGCGAGAAGAGGCTGGCAGGTTGTCTGGTATATCGCAGAATTGGTTTCAGTGCCGGGTCCAGATCGCAACAGAGACTTAAACTCTTCAGCGAGCTTGTCGCGCGAAATCCCTTCCGGACTGAAGTGATCTGAAGATCGCGGTACTTGGTGGGGTTCCATCGGCTGGCGTACCATATTGTACCATTGTCAGCTTATTTCTGGCCCTGCGCCCGGATGTAAGTAGTCCCCCTCGATGGCGTCGGTGACCCTGTGGCATATCCTCCAAAGCTTTTCGACCCTCCAAGCCATCTCGTCGTCACTTTCGAACCCGAGTGCAACTTATGCATCGCTATAATCCCACTTTTGGGAAGAAGTGGAGGGGAGCTTCACGTCGGAGCCAATGTACTCGTACTTCTCGGAGTCGCCAGGTCAGAGTACATCTTGGCTGGGAAGATGAACGGTTCGTCGGAACTTGATTCTGACATGTCGAGCAGGAAGAGCCAGAAGATTGAGAGAAGGTCGGTGGTCCGCGAGTCTGCACGAGAGCTGGTGGAAATATCAGATGAAATACCAAATCGCAGGGATCATATCAACGTACAGGTGTTGCGGTTCGTGAGCATGAAGTTCCAAGTCATGTCGGAACTGAAATTAGGGCACCAAAAAATGAGTCTGTATCATCTAGATGATGTAGGACAGTCCGAAAGAACCCGTTGGTCCAAAGAAAGCTGAACTCGTCGATGGAGCTTGGGGGACGAAGTCCAGAGCCTACGACACCTCGCCCTTTCAGACAGTGAGCAAACAATGCCTCAGCAGATTGGTCAATGGAATGTAAATGATCTTTACTCGAGCGGCTGTCGCAGTGCCACGACGGTGGGGTTTCACAATGCTCCGCCATTGATTGTTTTCGAGCGAGATCCGCCAGCTGAATTTCATGAATGTGGAGTTCAGATACCCATTGCTGCTGATTCCCCTGCTGCAGACCAGTCACAGTAGAAAGCTGCCCTTGTCCGCAGAACAGAGCTTTGATGACGCCTCGGATGAGTTCCATCATGATACCTGGGATGAATGCCATGATAGGCTTGGTGATCGAGGTGTCGTTTGGGAAGGGTCAGGATGACGATGGGATAAGATACAAGAGGGGCTCTGCGCTTAGTCGTCATGGCCGCGTGGTCACGGAGCAGGCTTGTGACGCTGTAAAAAAACACCCCTTTTATAGATCGATTTGGCGCGAGTGATATCCCACTCGGAGATGACCGACCCAACGGAAATAGCATGTATAATTCAAACCACAGATAGAGCTAAATTCAATAAGTCGTAACGTCTAATTGGCTCCATTTCTTTCGGGCGCAAATTGTCGAACGTGCAAAGGGAGGGCAAAATGCAGGTGAGAGCGTAGTATGCGTGCCCCAGCCGCGGCGGTAAGCCATTTTCTCACCTCGTCAACCCTCCCACAGAACCGTATCAACCAGGGTAGTTCGGGAACCATGTTGTCAATACTTCGGAAAGCACGCTTAAAGGATAAGGAAATGCGCATCTTGATGCTGTACGGACAATACCCAGGCTTATGGGATCTCTACTGATGGGTATCGCAGGGGTCTGGATAACGCTGGCAAAACGACCATCGTCAAGCGCATTATGAACGAGGATGTCACGACAGTGAGCCCAACCCTAGGATTCATTATCAAGACAATTGATTTCATGGGGTGAGTATCCCAAGTAAATGTACCCGATGGGGCTCTAACGGACTTCACAGATATAAGCTCAACATCTGTGAGCAGAGTAACCCCTCCGGTTTGCGACAGGACTAACTGTACCAGGGGACGTGGGTGGCCAAAGAACGCTACGTTCCTACTGGAAAAACTATTTTGAAAAGACAGATACGCTTGTTTGGGTAGTTGATGCAACAGACCGTCTACGCGTGGACGATTGCCGTCAGGAGCTGCTCGGGCTCCTTCTGGAAGAAGTTCGTTCCCCACTCTGAATCCAATCTCGGAATCCCGATCTAATAACCACCAGCGGCTCATGGGAGCTAGTCTTCTGGTGTTCTTGAACAAGACAGATGTGGAGCAATGCATGTCGGAGCAGGAAGTACGCGAGGTACGTATGCATCTTTTGTCTTACGCGAGCCTGTGTCGACGAAAACCAGGACTGACAAACGCTGCAGCGCCTGGGCTTGGATTTAATCAAAACTCACAAGTGGACTATTCTACCATGCAGTGCTATGACAGGAAAGAACCTCCATGAAGGGTTGGAATGGGTGGTACAAGATGCGAAAGATCGACTTTTCCTTTACTAGCCTTGTTCGGTTCCGACGGTGGGAGGACTTCAGCTACTTAGCGCATCAATGAAGGTAGTTAATGCCATATGCTCGCTCAGATCTACCTAGTCCTCTACGGTTACCTTGGCAATACCATTTCTACCTTTTGAATGAATACCACGAGGCTTTGCCAAACTTGGAGGTTGATCATTCCTATTATTGGCCCGTTAGGCTGTCGGGTACACAAAGTCTATCGGCTTTCGGACTAGAGCATTTGGGCAGGTCAGTTGGGGCTAAAGAATGATAGCAACCATATGCAAGTTGCTGTAGTGTAGCTTCGCGGGTGCAGGTTCTGTTGGGGTTCAAGATTCTTCAATGGATGCTTGAGGTCTTCTTTGAGCTACGGACGCTCGTTCCGATCGCGGGAAGCCGCATAATGTCCGAGAATATACATTGCTCAGAATGAACATGTGCTTCTATCGGAGTATCAAGAGAATATTGTTTAAGCTCACGAGACACTACCCAACTGCATGCCCAACTAGTCACCAAGGCTTTAGTTATCATTCCCAATAAAAAGAATCATCGTGATATCCAATTCGGATACCTATTGCCGGCCCAGGGTAGCATGCAAGGTACCAAGTGATAGATCACTTCCTTCACGGGAGGCAAAGTCTGATATATGTAGCCTGTGGCAAAGAGACCCCCCGGAGCCCTAGATGCCCCTTAAACCCCTGGAAGTGAAAAAAATCGTCATTGCGGCCAGACCCATGGGTCCAGCGTGGAAAGCCGAAAACCTGCGGGGCAGAACTTGGAAGCGATCCCGCTTCACCAATTTTGTAAACAAACATGCCGTTTCAGCGAGGAAAATGCCGTATCACGTTAGTGCGTTGTACTCTGGACTGCTAAAATCTAAACCGAAAGTAGTAACAAAGTCTACCTGTGCAGAAGATAGATAGAGAAAAAAAAAAAAAGGTGAAATGAAGATCAGAGGAGCCAATGGCCATGGATCGCGTCCATCCCCATTTAATTTAAGCAGGGCGGAGAACACCTCAGCCCTTGAGTCCCCCAACTTCCCACTTCTCCTCCAACCCACTCCCGTCCCTTCAGGTGTCTACGTTCTCCCTGAAGAGCTTGCCTGTTTGTGGCAACGTGCGACGGGATCATGGCGACTACAACAAACCCTGACGGGTCTGAAGACGTGAATGATTTCCTGCTGCGCATCCGAGAACTCGGTGAGCAGCGCGACAAGGAAGATCAAGAGCGCACCAAGAAACTGGAAGATGAGATCTTACAGGGTCGCGCAGAAAGACAGGCCCGCCGAGCTGGTATATTTTAGCCCCTCCACTGAGCCCTGAATCAGCCTGGGGTCTGTTTCGAGCTAGTCGTAATGACAGCCCCGCGCTACTATGGGATCCCGAATGACCCCCCCATCGGATGGTGTGCTAACATACTTGTTTGCAGAACGAGCACGATCGATCGCCGGCTCACCATCCCTAAATCCCTCAAGGCTGAGTGCATCATCCCTCCCCCAGCCTTCCATCGAGCCTCCGGAGCACCTCGAGCCGACGGTGCAGACACAAGATCCTGAAACAGCGACTGCGGAATCAACCTATACTCTCGAAAGCGACAAGAGACGCGGGTCGGTGCAGGACCCGGGAATGGAATCTCCACGAGCGATGCCCACCTTGCAGCGAAGCCGAACGGGAACCCTGTCATGGCAGCAACGCCCGCCATCACGGGATTCGCGTGATTTTGGAAACAGGTCGCCTGGCTCCACATCACCCACTCGTTCCAGTCACCTGCGGAATGCGTCAACAGCATCGGATGAGAACTCGCTGTCGCGTGCCCAGATTACGAACTCGCTTGGTTCAAAGGATCCTTCCTGGTTCCGCCAGACCCCAGACCGAGGACTGGGCTCGCCAGCATTCCGAAAGCCAGAGGAGCGGCGAGGTAGTCAGGTAGAATTGGGCATGAGTCGGCAATTACCAGGCATGAGCCGCGAATCGACGATGGAACCGGAAAAAACAGACGTGGCAGAGGAAACACCTGTGTCGCCGCCGCGAACTGCTTCCACGATTGGCGAGAGCAGCAGCAATCGATACTCAAGTGTGTCGTCGGCCTCTCCGCCAAGTGGAATAGGCTCGCCGCCGACCTTGACAGACGCCCCAAAACTCGATCCGACCCATACTGAGTCTCCCTCCGAGGAGTCGGTGCCACCGTCCCCCACACAACGACGAATGTCTCCGGATCGGTCTCGCTCGACTTCCCCCACCAAGGGCCTCGGTGGATTTGTACAAAGTGCTATGATGAGGCGATCAGACAGTGTCTCCAAACGATGGAGCGCTCAACTCCCACAGGGACTTAGCAGGTCCAACTCCATTATCAGCAACCGTAATAGTGTTGCGGCACCGAGCCTGACCGGTAGTATAAGTGACCTAGCTCCTGTCACTTCCGCCTCGCAGTTGAACCGGGAAACTTCGCAGCTGCCTACCCAGCGTCCTGGGTCGAGCCACAGCGAGGCAACAGTCCACCCTTCGGAGTCCATTGATAGACCCAAGACACCCACCGGAAATGCCAGTACTTTGCGCTCCGAGGGCAGCCCGAGCAGACCGGTCCGTTATGGTCACTCCAGAACTGCGAGCACGGCCACTGTCGACAGCCAAAGCGGAGAAACGTCAAGTCCATTCACCTCGAGAACGATGGATCCCAGACGTTGGAGCCCGAACAAAGCCAGTTGGCTGGAGAGCGCTCTGAATCGACCCAATCCCGAATCTCCACGACAGGCGACGCCCCAACAGCCTGCCTGGGCCAGAGATCGTCAGTCAAGGGGTAGTGTTGACCTGGGACGGGTGAGAAACTTCAAGGAAGTTACCCCGGCTGGTTTGATGCGAACGCCCCCGCCAGGCAGTCATTTCAAGAAGCCTAGCCTTTCTGCTGCCCCATCAGTATTTGACACTCCTAATGCTAGCAAGGCCAAGGAGACTGTGGCGGATTTCCCCTTTCCTGTCATGGACACCGAAAAACCGTCCACGAAGCTTGAATCAGCTGAGGAGAAGCCAACCGAGGAGATCCCCGAAAAGATTCTTGAAGAAACATCCGGAGAGAAAGTCGAGGCGAATCATGAGCCTGTGCCTGAACCCGCGGAAGAAGAGACAGAGCACTTCTCTCCAATTGTACCAGAGGCTGAACCTTCCCAGACCGAGGCGGAGCTTGAGAAGGTCTCAACCCCAGAAACGACTCGGAAGCTGCCACCTCTCAATTTGAGCCCGAAGCCAAACTTCTCGCTCCCTTCTCGAGCGCCCTTATCGCCAAAACCCAAGCCAGAATCTCCCGTTGTTGATTTCAGAGCAAATCTGCGCAAGCGAGAAGTTGTGAAGGATAGCGGACCGGAGAAGGAGCCTGAATTCAAGAATGTCTTTGGCAAGCTCAAGAAGACCGAAACTCGCAACTACAAGGCACCGGACGAACTCAAGGGTAATATCTTACGAGGCAAGGCTGCTTTGAATATCACCGGGGGTCCTAAGAAGACCGAACGAGTTGATGAATTTAGACACAGTCTAGTTATGACGAAAGAGGCGATGAAGGCCGGAGGAGGCTCAATTAGGCGAAACACCATCGAGGAAAAAGATGCACCGACCGATATGATCCCAGAAGCTATTGTGAAGCGTCACACCATGACCAAGTCGAGTAGCTTCAAGCGCACCAGTACCGACGAGCCAATGTCACCCGCCACTAACGATCCTGGCTCCACACCTACGTCGCCACATAAGCTGGCTAGTCCTGCGCGCACTGCTGTAGAGGCCGTTGAAATGGAAGCGCCACGAGAACTCTCTCCAACTGCAAGTGAGCCCAAGGCGGCTGATATGAATTCGCTTCCCAGCCCAATCACTAGCCCGAGTCATGAAGAATCTCCCAATGATGTGGTGGAGACCATTGAACCGATCATGGATAAGGAACGAAAGGGCTCCACCGAATCGGCCAGCTCGATGCGTGGCCTGCCATCGGCTAGGAGAGCCGCCGCAGCTGCGGCTGCGAGGGCTGCTTCCCCAGGTATGCCTATGACTGGACAAGGGAAACTTGCAGGCCGAATCAATCCTGCTTTAGCAGGCCTGTTGTCTCGTGGTCCCCCGGCAGCTGAAGGGCCGAAGAAGGAGGCAGTCGTTTCTCCCTCGTGGGAGAGCGACTCTTCCTCGCCCTCGGCGCCTCTGAACCACATTACGAAAGGCCGCGCCAGGGGTCCCAAGAGACGGTTGCCCAAGGGAGAAGCTGCTCCTGCAGTTTCATCTGCTCAGGATACCGAGGTGGGTGCTATTTCGTCTCCTGAACTCAGCCCTCAGACAAGTCCCGAGCCTGTGATTCCTTCGGGAACCCAGTCGGAGAGTGTGTCAAGGGAAAGCTTGGTCATCGATACTGAACATGCTCAAATAGAGAGCCCCGTTGCCAAGCCCCTTCCGCCAGTAAACACCACCACCACCACCACCACCTTCCAGGACGTTCTCAACAGCGGACTGCAGAGGCTGAGAAACATCTCTCCGATCTCCTCGAGCTTTCCGAAATCCGTCAGTACTCGTTCCTCCGAAGAGAGTGTGACCCGTGATATCGAATCACCGAGGCCCGACAGCCCATCGACCAGGCCTCCTGTTCCGCCGAAGCTCAGTTCTTCACCTTCACATTCGTCATCTCCCGTTTCTCCTGCACCCAGAAATCAATGGAGCCAGCGATCGCGGTACGCTTCAGCCTCGCCATCTCCTCTCAGGACGAGCTTCCGAGAGAACCAGATCAACCCCCTGGGAACACTACGACAATCGATTCCAGCTGTCATGGTTGCAACCTCATCTCCTCAAGAGAAGAAACTGCCTTCTCCGCCAGAGTCTTCTAAGCCGCTTGAGTTTTCCCTTGGCAAGCCTGCTGAACATAGACTGTCGCGAAAGATGTCTGCACCGTCACTCGTTGCACAGGCGGCAGATGCTCGAGAGGTGATTGGGACTTTCTTCAAAACATTCCCTAGCTCTCGGGATCGCATGGACATTGATCCGCAGTTGATGCTCACTAGCCAAGCTGATGCTGCGAAGATCCGAACTCTGAAGCGTCAGATCTGGGAATTCACTGGTGATGGCAAGCGACAGGAGGTGCCCGTCAACCAGGAGTACGTTCTGTATGAGGGCAGCATGTACCTTTGTGTGCATTTGTTCGAGGCGCAAAACAACAATAATTCCGAGGTATACCTTTGGTGTGGAGATGATGTCTCTGAGGCAGCCCTGGAGGATGCGCAGTTGTTCGCTCGCAAGGTTGCCCGTGAGAATGGCTGCAAACTAGAGCCCATCAGGCAAGGAAAGGAGCCGGTGCGGTTCATTCAAGCCCTCGGTGGTATCATCATCACTCGTCGCGGACAAAACTCTCGCCATACCTCGTCGTCCCTATACATGCTTTGCGGACGGAAGCATCTAGGCCAAATGGCCTTTGATGAAGTCGACTACTCATTACGAAACCTTTGCTCCGGCTTCCCCTTCGTGATCTCCGCTCCCTTCGGCAAGCTCTATTTGTGGAAGGGTAAGGGCAGTGGTCCCGAAGAGACTGGCGCAGCTCGCTTGATCAGCATGGACCTAGGCCTAACGGGCGAGTTTGAGGAGGTCGACGAGGGGCAAGAACCCGAATGCTTTTTTGATGACTTCGCGGGATCCAATGAGACGAACCCACTGATGACGCCGGAATACTGGAAATTGAAGCCGAAGGATGACCACTATCGCACTCGACTTCTTCGCGTCGATCACCAACTCGGCCAGCCAACCCGATTCTGGGGCATGCGCCGTCCCGGCTCGGGCTCACCAGTCGTTCGTCCGAACGACTGTGTCCAGGAAATTGAGCCGTTTTGCTTTAAAGATCTAACTGAACGTGACGTCTATGTGCTTGATACATTCTTTGAGATCTACGTGTAAGTTTTCCTTGCAATCACTCTGATGGACTTTGTCTAACTCTTATCTCAGCATCGTGGGCGATCACGCATCACAAAAGTCGGCCGACTTTGCATCGGCCGTGGTGTTCGCACACGAGTACGGCATTCTAGCAGCTTCACTCCAGGACCGACCCTTCATCCCGAAGAGCTTTGTCGCACTGGGCGGGATTCCAGAGCGGTGTCAAAGTGCCTTCCGCAAATGGGATCGGCTATCACTGCACGCGCCCTGCGTGTTCCCTCTCGATGTGGCGATCGAGGCAATCCGCTCTCAGGAGCGCGGAGAGTAACTTTCTCGTCTTGTATTTCTTGCATGTGTATTTCCTTTCTCTGTGCATATTTCGGTTTGTAAAGAGAGCATTCGCGGGAGGAGTCTTGTCTACAACGGTGTACTGTCCCCTAGAGGAGCATGGTGGGAGCATCTGGCATGTACATCTAATGCTTACGGTTATTTCAATTTATTCGTTTTCGCGTACAGGAAGTGGCTGCTGAGAAAGATAGAGTAGATCTGTCAGGAAAAACAAAATGAGCTTCAATATGAAACGATCGGCCCACCTGGATACGGTCTGGTAAACTCCGAGCTCCGACTGCCAAGGTCGGCTTATCGCCATCATGTCCTTTTTATACTTCTCAGGTGCAGGAAATATAAATATAATGATTGAGCAGGCATCTAGGGCGAGGAACCATTAGAATAAGATAGAAAAGACCCGCTGTCTAGATCGAGTGTACCTTCTCGATGGCCTGCCGGAGATCGACGGATCGGGGATTCAAAGGACGGGAATCAAGGTGGGCCTTTGGTTTTTTATTATCGCATGGCGACATTTCTAGTGTCCGGTTTTTCTCTCGTTAGCCCCTCTTTCAACTCCCCCTACTACCCGATCTCCATTATATACAACATGAGGAGGATATCGTGACCTACTTGAGCAACTATGGATCCCTCAATTGCCCATGAGCTGTCGAAGCTCGATCCTGCGCTTCCATTCCGCGCATCCACCGATCACCTGCACCACACCTGGGCCAAGACGTTCTTCTCCCGACCTGAGCTATATATTCGCCCCCAGTCTATCCCCGAAATCCAGCAGTTGGTGACTCTTGCCCGTCGTTGTCGCCGCCGTCTCGTCACTGTCGGCAGTGGGCACTCTCCCTCCGACCTTACCTGCACGTCCTCATGGCTCGTCAACCTCGATGACTTCCATCGCATTTTACAGATCGATACCGATACCGGCTTGGTCACCGTCGAGGCGGGCATTCGGTTGAGTGAACTGGGAACACGGTTGGAGGAACAAGGATGGACTCTCAAGAACCTAGGCAGCATTGACAGCCAGTCAATAGCGGGAGTTATTGCGACGGGTACACATGGCAGTTCGCTGCGCCATGGACTGCTCTCGGAGTGCATAGAGGCTCTGAGCCTGGTGCTGCCGAATGGTCAGCTAGTCCGCTGCAGTGCCACCAACAACCCGTCTCTCTTCCGCGCGGCCCTCGTTTCCTTAGGCGCACTGGGAATCATCGTCGAGGTAACTTTCAAGGCGCGACGATCATTCAACATCGCATGGCGCCAGGAACGATACACGCTGGGGAAGGTACTCGAAGAGTGGACCACCGATCTGTGGACATCACACGAGTTCGTCCGTGTCTGGTGGTTGCCCTATGAGAAGGGCGCGATTGTTTGGCGCGCGGATGCAACGGACCTCCCGCTACGTGCGCCGCCAAGGAACTTTTACGGCGACTGGATTGGATACCACATCTACCATAATCTGCTTGCGCTGTCTTATTACGTGCCGCGCATTCTACCATGGGTGGAGTGGTTTGTGTTTGGCATGCAGTACGGCTTCAAGGCGGGATCCACGGTAACTGAGGCTGTTGAGCCAGCCCGCGCGGGTCTGCTGATGAACTGTCTGTACTCGCAGTTCGTGAACGAATGGGCGCTGCCTTTAGAAAAGGGACCCGAGGCGATTAGCCGCCTCTCTGCATGGCTGCACGGCGACCTCAAGGCTTCGGGAATTCCGTTCCCCACTAAGGGACTGTGGGTGCACTGCCCCGTTGAAGTGCGAGTGTCAGACTCGACTGGCAACACCAACCCGCGGCCTTTCCTCGACCCAACCTGTCGTGATGGACCCACTCTGTACCTGAATGCGACTCTCTATCGGCCGTATCTCCGCGACCCGCCTTGTAGGCAGCGGTACTACGAAGCATTCGAATGGCTCATGCGGGACATGGGCGCCAAACCTCACTGGGCCAAGAACTTCAAGACTCTCGGCCCCACAGAACTGGAAAATCTATACCGCGACGACATGGACGAATGGCTGAAGGTGCGACAAGAAGTTGACCCGGAGGGCATGTTCCTGGGTGAATGGCACCTCCGCAATCTGCCCCTGCTCGAGTCGAAGAAACACAGATCACCCGACGCAGAGCAGCTGCCTCTCCTCGAGCGGGAGAGTGAGCGCCGCACGCCTAACATAAGCGGCGCGGGCGACGGGGTCGAATGGGTTGGAGATCGCCGATGGCAAGGTCACGACGCACACCGGGTCTGGCACGAAAGGAGGTACGAAGAGTCTGATCACTCAGCACCGAGTCCACCGATGACAGCAACCAGCGAGGAAAGTTTCGACATGCTTGCGAAAGGTGAAGCTAGTATTTTGCTCCCCAAGAACCCCGAATGAACCCCCGAAACGGACAAACAGCATGTTGTTGGGTGAATGGCCGTACCTGGGAGTCCTGCTGATCTGACTCGAGGACCTGGACATGCCTTTGGCTTGACGCAGGGTGAATCACCCACCTATTTAGGGGGGTTTTTTTTTTGTTCAGGGCAAATCTGACAGGTTGGGTCTCTAAAGGGGCTACCGACATAAAGCGGTCTCCCGGCTCGTTTGCCCTCTTACTTTACGCTCTTTTCGGTCGTAGATAGCACCCCTGCACATAACAGAATTCTTTCAGAGACCTTGTGGTCACGCTTGAGATGGACCTGCTTTGAAAATTCAGTAAACTGCAGATCGGTGCATGGAAAGCAGAGTGTGAAGTACGCAAGTACCTGCTTAGGTCTGCAAGTATTTGGAGTATGCGGCAACAGCATCGTAGCCTGAATCCTACTCCCACGCCATCCGTGGTCAATACTAGTATTCTCCCGAATTTCTCCTTCCCCTTCCCAAGGCTCCTTGAAGGCTCCAATCCCAGCCCAACGCCTCCAAACACCGAGCAGACACAGATGCAAAAGCCGACTCGCTCGAACAACCTGGGCACTTGCGCACCTGGACCATCCCCGGTGATCCCCCCCTCGTAGGAAACTGGCGGTCACACACCTGTCGCAGCTTGTGCAGCCAAGCTACAGCTACAGCTACAGCTACGAGGGCTCTGAGATCAATGAAGATCTGGTCGTTTTGATTAGGACTGCGTCTTGAGTGATGTTGCCCTCCAATACCAGCGCGAGATCTGATCTTTGACCGTTTTCTCGTGCTTGACTGTCTTGATTCCTTCTTCAGAAACAGAAACAAAATCAAATCAAATCAAATCAACCGAGGCTGGGGCATGTCCAGCACAGCCAGCACCCAGGCCGAGCTCACCCCAGACGCCCGATGGTGCCAACGGAGGAGTTCCCCTGAAAGCGGGTGACTCTGGGAGGGCAACAATCAACTGCAGAGTGCAGGCCGAATAGCAACCCGGTCAATCTTCCCGGGATTACCCATGGAGCTGGGCATATCAACTCGTACCACGTTTCCACTGGCAAGGATGTCAGGTGATATCGAGGGCCCAAGTGCTCAGGCCTTTTCTTTCCCTGTCAATAGTGAAGAGAATGGCACTTGACCGGGGCTCAGTTGTTGGGCCATTGTTTCTGCACGTGCTAGGCCGTGTGACAAGACGTGACCCTCGTTGCTATACCCTACTTGACCCCCCGATTGTCATTGCCGCACGGACTAATCTTCGGGGCACTCGCTGCCCAAATATGGGAACATGCCGTGGAGTCCGATCCACCGGCGGCTCGGACCGTGTCCATCTAGTGCTCACTCCCAAGTGCGTGCGTTCAGAATCCTTCTGGTGTCCTGATTTCCCTTGTCTTGCCTGTCCTCCCTCGGTTCCACTTGACGCGCGGGGATCCCTGCCTCGTACCAACCACAGCCACAAAATGTCGCGAGACACTTGAACGGCTGCACCGGTTGATATTCTGACAGACCGCTCCACGTCACCCTCTGGTACCTCTGGTATCTATACCGTCTCCCTCTGTCGTGGGGTATGATCATCCAACGGTGCTGATGCGGGGCGAGGAGGGGGGTTGGCCCCGGTCCTCTGCAACACACGTTGATAATCAATGATATCAACCCTAGCGGCTGAACTCTCTTGAGGTTCCATATCACTCACCCCACCTGCTCGATTTGATTCTTTTTGCTGGCACAAGCTTCAACTTTCGTTTTCTTCCCTCGTCTCCACCTGCCCATTATTCTTTGCACTTACTCGAGCGCCTGCGCTACGCGGGGATTGACTGCAGATACCATGTCGTGGCAACCTAAGCTTCGCCCCAAGGGCTATTCTCATACGATTGATGACTTTGCTGTGGCTTCATTATCAGAGTTGGAGCATCGCCCGCGGACGGGCGAGGATAAACGAGACCAACGCGTGTTTCGGGTCAAGCGCAAGCATGTCCTGAAAGCGTGTGACCGGTGCCGCGTTAAGAAGACAAAGGTTTGCTTTGCGCTATATACGTTCTCGAGACATAGCGACTGATTGTTGCAGTGTGATGGGAAACAACCCTGTAACCGCTGCTCAGTATACAATCACCCATGCCTTTTTCGCGAGAGAAAGGCTACGCAGACCAAGGTGTACTCCCGAGGGTGAGCTGAGCTATTCCTAATCTTGAGATCCAGCCGGAATGCTGACTGTAATATATGGCCTGCAGATTTGTTGAGATGCTTGAATCGCACCACTCGCTAGTAGTCAAAGCCTTGCAGAAAGTATACGGACTCTGTGTCAACAAAGAAGGCTTCCCGGGCGAAACGCTAGCGGAAGCACCGGACGGCCACCCTCTGACACATGCCATTCTTGACCGACTAGGGCTGATCAAGCAAGCCGAGGAGAACGCAGACGAGCCCGACGAAGACTCCGAGGATCTGAGATACCTCCGGTTACTGTCCACGTCCACCGAATGTAGCGCCACAGCAGACCCATCCCCTGAGCCTGCTACGCCTCCAGAGCCGTCTCTAATGACGATGTCCCGACCATCCGTCTGCAACCCAATGTCAACTCCTATGACCGCGCGCAGTGACTCTAGCTGGCAGTGGGATATGCAGTCTGTTCAGCAGGCCCCATATAACTATGCAGATGCTGGATACCAAGAGATAATCGCCATGCCACGATCCTCTATCAGTGCCCCGGATCTAGCATCGAATGAGAACTCGCCCCATGTTGACGTGACTACTAAATCCGCTGTCTCCCACGGACAACCACATAATCAGTCGTTCGCCTATTTCCTTGACGGAAGTTGCAACGCGCAAGATCATCAAGAATCCAAGTCTGCCGTTCGAATGCACACTGGTATCATGCTGGAGACACATAGTCATCCTATAAGCAATATGTCTAATGACATCCTTGGCGACTTCCAATTTCAACCCCAAGAGTCCCCCTTCTACCCTGGCTTCACTCCAGGCTGGAACTTCCCCTCGGGATAGATGCCGACATGGGAGTTCCTGGTTTGTTTGGACTTGACTGCTGAGCAGCATTTCTTCATTTCACTTCCCTTCCATTCCCTTCTTACTCATAATTCTCACTTTCCATCTCTTCTTTATATTCCACACAGAATCCTATCCCGGATACCACCCTTTCTGTAAGGGTATTCATATTGGAGCAGGAGATTGAGATTAGAATTTTTACCCAATACCTATGCCCATATGTTCAGGGTGTCACCCAGACGACAAAGCAGGTCATGCATTGGAAAATGCCAGGCACATGCTCTAGACATGCCCTTGACCATATCGATATTCTTTCTTGTTTTTCCTATCTCAAATCTAGCGGAGATACTCAATACGTCGTAATTTAGGCCCTTCAATCCCAGCGCAGGTAGATCCTTCTTCCATGTTTATAGACTTGCTTTTACTTTGGTCACAACCTGGAAAGCTAGAGGGGTGTTATAGATAAATTTTAGTCCCAGTACATATGACGAGCATCAATGAAACTTGGATTGATGAAACCCCATTCGGAGAATATCCAAACCTGGGACCCCCGGTACGCGCACTCCATACCCAATCTAGCATAACGCTCCAGCTACATGCCGTAAGAAGAAAGAACCCAGCCAAGGGAATATCCAGCACGGAAGTCCTCAGCTCCACCGAATCCCAGCATCGCCCCAGAGAGCCGATCGAGAAAACCAACATTTGGACATTGGAACAATTGAGACACGGGCACTGACGATCGTGCGCGATGAGAGTCACTACGTGATACAGAGCGGCGCAAAGATCCCAGAAAGGGAATACAGAGACCTTCGCCGCGATCGATGTATGGACAAGTCTGAACGACGGACATTTAAATCTTCGAAGAGAAAATAAATTTTTGTATTCCCCCGTCTATTTCCGGCGTTGGACGGATGCGATATGTGAGCATGCAAGCAAAGAAAAGGAGAAATACATGGTAAAGCCAAACTACCTTAACCCTAGATATAGGTGAGAGGGGGGGGGGGAAAGAAAAGCAGAAACACGAACACGAACACGCCGGATACCCGATGGGACAAGAAAAATAGAAACATTCCTAGATGAAGCTGTGTTGCACTGGACCGTAGTACAATCCGTCAACGATGGTGACGAGGATCAATCCTCATCTTCCGTCTCTGTGTCGGTGTCGCTGGCATCGCCTGCGTCGCCGTCGGTGTCACTGTCCTCGCTGGAGGAGTCGGAAGACTTCCTGGTCTTTTTCTTCGGGGGTTGGCCGGTCTTGAGTGCGTGCATCTGGCCAGCGATGGAGTCTAGAAGGGAGGTTAGCGGGGGAAAAGTACAGAGAGGCGAAAAAAAAGACTTACCCTCGTCGGGTTCGCTGATTTCGTCCTCCTCATCCACGGTTGCTGCCGTGGCAGGATCGTCAATATGCAGTGTAATCTCCATCTTGGTGTCTAGGCCTAGGTAGCTGTCGCAGACCATATGCATGACGAAGGTGAAGTCGCCCACTTGCGGAGGAGCCTGGAACTGCATCTTGAGGGTCTGAACGTTGAATGTGGGCTTGCCGGCCTCGTCGAGAATCGGCTTGTCGAATGTCGTAAATGTGAATGGTGGAACAGCCATTTTGCCCTGCTTGGCGTCGGCCAGGAAGATGTGCCAGCGGGGGGAGTGGTCACGGGCGAAGTACGGGGCGTGGGCGAGGGGGGTTGGATGGTTTCGACCTTGTTCTCGACCTTCTTGCCGTCGACGAGCTTGGTGGCGCGGTTCTTGGCCGGCTTGCGGCCCATCAAAGCGTCAAGATCATCCTCATCAGGGTCAATATCCTCGAGATCCAGCTCGTTCACGGCCGGCACCTCGGTGCAGCCAGGGGGAATGAAGCGAGCCTTCACAACCAGTTGTACCAGACTGCTAGGAGTGATGACCTTCTCGCCCATGACCTTGAAGAACGCCCTGGAAACATCCAGGACTGGCAATTGTTGTGCAACAGTGATGGCATCAGAGTACTGCTTCTCAGAAAGAAGACCAGCGCCCACGGTGAGGCCCAGCCGTTGTTGCTCGGGCATCTTCATGAACTGCTGAACTGTGATGTGTTCTTTGGTGTGCTCTCCTTCCACGGCCCTAACCACGGCGTCGTTGAAATTCGGGAGTTGCATAAGCGGGGACGCGCCAGGAGCCAGTGCCTGGATCAAGTTCTGAGAAGCCGTGAAAGAACCGATGATCGGTCGAAGGTTGCCGAAGGCCAGAGAGATCGCAGTAAAGGCCTCGCCCAAGGAGAGAGCAATAGGAGCGGCCTCGTACTTCTCCGCGTCAAGAGTAGCATCGCCAAGATCAATTCTGCCCAAGTAAGCCCACAACAAGGCCAGGGCCTTTCGTCGAGTGGTGTTGTCCATTTGCTTGATAGCCTCCCGATCCTGAGGAGAGAGGAAAGCCCATTTGTCTGACAGAACGTTCCTTTCTAGCTTCGCGAGACCAGCTTCAGCCTGAGCGCCCTTGAGCATATCCTTGAACTCCTCGCCAGAAGACAAGGCATTGATGATACCACCATCGGTAATATCCTCCTTGTATTCACGGAAGATGTTACCGGCACTGGCGACCAGAACACGCTCCTTGGTGTAGCGCTGAGAGCCATACCACCACTTGCCAACAATGTAAGGCAGAAGAACACCCAGAAGGGCTCCATAAACCAACAACACATACTTTCCATTGCCATCCATAACGATGAGCTTGGGGAGAGCAATGCCGATGCTGAAGCTCTGCTTGCCGTCGGGGTGGCCATATTGCAGATAGTTGTTGCGGATCTCTTCATCGGTCAGAGCCTTGTAAGCCTTGGTGAGCTCCACAAAGCGCTCGTTCAAATCCTCGATGGTCTCGTTCTTGGCGGGGTCGGGTCGGATTTTATCGGGGTGGTAGATGAGGGAAAGGCGCTTGTAGTGTCGGGAAATAGCTTTCTCGTCGGCGCTCTGTATGAGATCATTTGTTAGATTTGAATATTTCGAGGCTTTCCCACGCTCGTGCTCCAAAAAGCCAACGTACCCTTGAAACGCCCAAAATATCGTACGGGTCATAAAGTTTGGTGGTGGTCCGGGCCGTGACCATGATCAAATAGACCATCCAGGCCATGACCACGTATCCGAGAATCACGGTGATAATGCGCTTGATTCGGCGCTCCTTGCGCAGACGCTTGCGCTTCTGTGCCTCGACAAGTTCGGCATGTTGAGGTTTGAAATCGGATTTGATGCGGGGAGCGGTGTTTTCAAGCTCTGTCAGGGAGAGAGTTTAGCAGACGAACCTCCAAAATCAATGGATCCACGCAAGCTCACCTTTGCTGGGTCGGAGGAGGTTATAGGTGAGAGGAAGGGTGACCAGGCCGGTCAAGGTCAAGATGAAGAAGGGGAAGAATTGACCCTGGACGCGCACAAAGCACGGATGTCAGCGAATCTCTCCATGACACCATATCAGTTTCAAAGTCCCACCTGCTCATCATAGGTATAGTCTGACGACATGCTGCGGCGTGTTCAGGGCGACAGCGGTTGCCGCCGCGTAATTAAAAGATCGTAGAGTGCAGAGATGAGGGCTACTCGGACTGGGCACAAGTAGTCAAAAGAAAGCAAAAAGAATCTCAAACGGGAGCCAGAATCATGGCCCTGAAGCAACAAAGGAGCGAGGTAGGGAGCATTGCACTTCGTGATCTGGTGATGACCGTGTCCTCAAGAATACGCCACCGCCTTCCCGATGGGGAAATTTGTCTCTTTGTGCAGGAAAGCGGTGAGCAGAGGACAACTGTGCATTTGCCTGACTCTTCAGGGTTTCTAACTACGAACTAGTGGTAACCACTTATGCAGGGCATTCTATGGCTTTCTCCTGTCGTCTAAGTGGAAGATATTATTTGATATAATTGTATATATTCAAGCTCCGAGTGTTAAGCTATTAACAAGGTGTACCGAAGTGAATCGAACAAATGTGTCCGCCGAAGTCCTCGCTATGTACAGGAACAATCCACTTCCTCATCTGGTGAGGTTGTGACAGAACAGATTTGCGTGAATACAAGCAAGTCATGTTACTCACCGCGTGCATCCAGGGACACTCAAGCGCCAAACTAAAAGTTGCACGCGAACTCAACCTGGAGTCACGCGGGAGAGTCATGACTCATTCGCGGGTCGCGAAATCGCAGACCAAGATCCACATGGCCGGGTGTAAAGGACCAATCCAATGCAGGGCATCTTCATTGCTTCAAGTCGGGGACCCGGGTAGTCCATGTGATCTGGCGTTCAATGCGTCAGTCGGTTTGTGGTGCGGGTTGGCGTAGGATGCTGGGTCCTATGGCCAATTTCGGCGGTGTTTTTTGGTTGTTGATCGTGAATCATCGCAATCGGAAAAGGCGTTTCATGATTTTTTGATTTTTGTTAGGGTTGGAAAACACTGGAAACTGGGAAATCCAGACATATCCGAGCATTCAATCTCCAAGGGTGCAGTCTCGTCTCCTAATAAATTGTCAGAACGATTCAAAGACTGCAGAAAAAAGGGCTACTCACGAGTCGATGAAGTCGAGTCCACCAAAGTACTCCAGCATGCGATAGCAGAGGCTCAGATCGTCGCCCGGCTCGCCGCCAAACAGACGGTACTGTGCGGCCTCCATTCCACCAGTTTTCTGCTGAGTTTCACGGATCTGCCATGCGGTATACCCATATTGCCAGGTTGGGGCGAGGGTCGCTGGCGCCGGAGATCCAGGTGAAATGCATGCAACCGATGATTTGGCGTGTATGTTGGACTGGCTCAAGACAGGCGATGCAATTGCCGGTAAGCTAGTAGCTTGATTGACCGGTGTTTCTTGATTGGAGTGATGACGGGGGCGCGTTCGGCGTCGGTTGTGTCTCTGACCCATCCTCAAGCATTGAAAATAAAAGCAAGAACTTTTAAGGAGCGACCTTCACCCCTGGGAAGGATGAGATGGGGAGAGGAAGATCTACGGGGTGAGGCAGCTTTATATCTGGACTGACAACCACGGGGTATGAGTCGGTTGACGTGAGTCACGTAAGGAAAAAATAACGGACCCACAGTGGAACCTCGCAAAGTTCGGCAGATCACCAAATGGCCTTAAAAAATGGCGCCAAACCCTTGCACTAGTCCCCCTGAAAGGCGTGCTTCCATGCGTCAGATCATCGGCTCACTGACGCTCTAGCCATCGCGCGATTTAACCAAGCCATTTGGAATCTCGGCTCTACCGACCGAGTCCTCCCACATTCAATGAGGTGATTTTTGCGATTGGGCATTACGTTGCGGCCTGGAATGCGTCAGACTCGCTGCCTAAGCATCCAGGAATGACGCAAAATGTTCGATCGGCCAATTCGAAGTCCGACGCCGGCGGCTTTGCCGTGCGGACCGAAACGGAGCTCGCATCAGGCTATGGAGGCACGGGAATACGGGAATGCGTGGTCTCACCCGGCTGTGCCTTTTCAAGTAAAAGAAAAAAGGCAAAAAGAAGGGGAAAAAAAAGCATTGGCCATCAATCTCGGAGACACTCGCCAGACTCCGAGACCCAAATCACTGAAAATACATCGACACACTAACTCACTAGTCATTAGCTCAAAACGTAAAGTAGGTCGATTTATTTCAGATTTTCGCATTGAATTCCGAGAGTCTTCTCGAACCTTGAGCAAGGGATGAGCACACCACGCTGACCACGCAACCATGCAGTCCTTGCTGAAACATTCCTTGCCTGGCCAGTCCAGACTCTCCTGAAACTTGGTCGATTTCTACGGACTACACGTGGGTCGACAGGTAAACATTTCGGTCTCGACGCTCCCCCTTGCAGGCCCGCTGGAATAGGGGTGTTGAAAGGCGAGCGGCATGCCTATTCCGCCTCTGCCTGTCAAACTGAAGATCGGCGATACCCGGGGCCGCTGCCGCTCAGGAATATACCATTGACCAATACTTCGTCTCTAACCTTCTCAACCCTTTGGAATGGATGATTTCACCACTTTCCTCGCGCTGACTATGCGACTACCACGCTTAGAATGTTATTATAAATACTTGAAACTTGCAAGATCTGTTACTTGCGCTCCACATTATTAAGTCATTGCATGATCTGACAAATGAATGATTACCTATCCAAATATTAGGAGAAGGAGATGGGGCTCGCAGATCACACTCATTCAACGCCTTCATTACTGTAGGGCTGCGTATCAAAAAAGAGTCTAGATTTAAATGAAGAAAAGGCTGCTTCCGTATTCTGATTCGCCATAGGGCATCTAGAGTCAAAACCACAAACAGTAAACCATCTTGCAAATGTTCCCTCTTTGCCAACCCTTCGATACCCAGGACTGCACGTGGTCGGCAGGGTAGTGTACCGCTGCCCTCCAGTGTCTTGGAGCTAATAGGGGCTCAATGTTCGTTTGTGAATATAAATAGGAGACAGACAGGAAAATTTTGAATTAGTCCCCACAACACTCTCCAGTCTTACTCCACCAGAAGCCACGATGAACCACATGTGTCATGAAACACTCGTAATCATCCAGATCAGGTTCCCCTGAAACCAGGTCAATTTAACACGTGGGCCTACATGAAGGCAAACATCTTGATCTCAATGCTCTCCCTTGCAGGACCACTCGTCGAAGAAGGATCCACAAAAGCCGTGTGAGGCAACGTCATACCTCCCTGATCTTCCTGGCTATCAAACTGCCGGAAAATCGGCGCTTCTTGGGGCCGCTGTCCACCCACATAATACCACTTCTGTCTCGGGTTGAACGCGTACTTGCCCAACTCATTCCATCCCGTGGGGAGCACCAGACGGTTCTGCAATGCGGTCTTGTCGCCAGTCTAGACTCTCCCAGTCGCAGACGGCTAGCGGGTCTCTTTCGATGGTCTTCAGAGGTCGCCAGACATTGATAATTTGCACTCGGCCTTCAAGGAGACGCTGTCGCTCTTCAGCGTCCTGAACTACTGACCTGAGATGACACAGGGCACCGGCTGCCGTGAAGTCGGAATGTACGATGTGCGCTGGTGCGCGATTATTCGCCAGCATGGCTGAATCATCTGCGAAGCATCGCACTCGGTGGGTGAAGGTGATTGTCCTTGTTGCGTCAGTTCTGGCCTTTGGATCAGTGAGTGATCCACATCTCAGTATCTGAGGGCACCTACATTTGTTGAACCAATTTCTCCATCTCGGGAATGATGACTGATTCTACATGTGTCGAGTCTGAAGCCTTGTCAAACCCAAGTATGTCGTGGTGAACATATTGGAATCCGTTCTGGCCCAAGGTGAATCGGCCCTCCTGGCCTCGGATATCTTGCACCTGAACGGGATGCTTCTCGTCCAGCGCCTTCATAGCTGGCATACATTCCTCGGGCTTGTCCTTGGTAAAGTCCGAGACCACGCTCATATCTTCCGGCCGGTGCCAGAACACGAGTTCTGTATCCACATTCTTAACGGTGGACAGCGTGGTTGACTCCATGTTGATCATAGGCATGGCTGTGCAGCGATGGAATGCAAGTGTGCAAAGCAGCGGTCATGCAAAATACCGTGTTGTGTGGAAGTCGACCATTTCAAGGTGATCGACAAGATGGAGGCGTGTCGGCGAGTCTCAAATCTGGTGCGAGTGCACAACTCGGTGGGCCCTTAAGCACCACATGGAATTAACCACCAAGTGAGGAAATGATCACATTTCCTGTACGCACTAATCCCGAGTTTACTTGATCGGCATTGGTATACGAAGCCGAAGCCGAATTCGAATTTTAATCTGTGAAGAGGTCGACATTCGGCTTGTTAGTCCATTCCATTCCCCTAAGAGAAGTTATATGGCCAATCGACGCTACCATTCTATTTGAGGAGGCTGATCAACACCTCTACGGTGCAGACGGTAGTCTCAAAAATGACGAGAGGGCCATTACTGGAATCTATGAGTTTTGTCTCATTCCTTCTGCATATTTACTTTCATCACGTGGTTGGAAATCGGTATTCGGCCACAGTGAAAGACCGAAGTTCCCGAGGTATCCGACCGTAGGCCTTATATAATGAGGTTCCTAGTCTCTTTATTAAGTAAAAGTGTTTTGATAATTTCTGACTCCATTGGTTGCATGAAGTCTCTTCTAAATCGCCGAAATGATTACTCTTAACGTCGCCTATACCGAGCCAGTCAACTGCTCTGATCCTTGCATTCCAACCTTAACTCGAGAACAAATCTGGAAAGGCTTGGAATTGAAGGCTCGATGTCCTCAAGACTTTATTCCATCTTTCGATAACTCACGAGTTATTGAAGAACGGGACGATGGTTCCTATATTCTCAGAGAAGCCCATGTAGCATCTGATCTCCGCGAATCTCCTATGGCAGGAAAATGGATCAGAGAAGAGTGCAGATTGTATAGGCCAATCATGGTAGGGAGTTACAATCCTTGAATCTTTGAATAGCCATTCAAAGGGACCCTTCTCGTCGACTCTTAGCTAATTCAAGAACAGAGTCACTTCACTCTACCTGACGGGTCGATTATCCAGAATGCTTTGTCGGAGGGGCCTGGTCAGGATTTATACCTGACTTTTACGTATCAATGGAAGCTTTTTGATATTGAACCAAAGACAAAGGAGGCGGAAATGGCCCGGGATGACCATATGAAACTTGCGGTGTCTTCGGTTCAAGGAACAATCAGAGCGCTGAGAAAATTGGCAGAAGAGCATAGATTATGAGCGAGACAAGAGGAACTTATTGATGTTCTGGATTTGCAGTAACACTGAGCTAAACCTAGTACTATATTACCAAATTCTATTACCGCGGATGAGCTTCTTAAGTTCATCTCTCGTGGATATGCCACTTCTGTCTGCCTCATGGTCACGCCGGACTCTTTGGAATCGGTTCTTGACTCGCCTCTTCCGTCTTCAGCCCCTTAAAGGGAACGCAAAGAGCTCCCTTCTGTGATCGCGATCTCAAGGGTTGCTCATGAAACCCCAACCGAGCAGAACACAGAGGATCTGGAAAAAGATACCGACTGTAAGCCACGGGCGTAATTTAAAGTGGCCGTTGAATCACCCATGATTGATCTGTATGGTATTACGGCTTTGGATGTTATGGACCCCGCATTGACTAGTGGTATGAGACACGAGAAAAATATCTGGTGCTATGTCTAAAAGGATGGCATCCGGCAATACGTGGAAGCCCACTGATATTGAGCGAGTGTTTGGATACCTCGAGATGTTTAGCCCACGTTTTGGATGTCTGAATGCCATCTAACTTTACTTGTGCCCATCGCACCATAATGTAAAGTAGTAGAAGGTCAGTACGGCTTTCGGCTTTATAGCTAAGGTAATGACGAGAGGGAGTAAATTTGTAATGGTTAAATCTCTAAAGTAAGAGAGCCAGAGAATTGGCTATTCCTATAGATAACTCTACATCTCCATTGCATCAATATCGACGGTGATGCTCGAGACCCGCCCAAATGACTTGAGAGTATTCAAATAATTCAGGAAATCACCGTCCCAGGACGCTCGGTTGTGATCCTGCTTCGGTCAGCATAACGTCTACAGCTGGCAATTCGATTCCAGGTCTTACCTCCAGATTCAGCCATCCGATAATACCAACAATGGTGGTTTCTTCTAGATTCAAACTAGTGCCGAAGGTTGCACAAGCTCGGCCCCCTCCCTCACTGACGAGAAGACTATACATCTTCTTCCAGACTTGCAGTGAGGCCGCGGCATCTTCCAAGCTGGAGACTTGTGTACGAATGATCTGAACCACAGGCGCCGAGGCTGCATCCTTTGGAGAAAAGCTCGTTTCGAAGAGTTGCAGAGTGGGCGGTCCGGTCACCAAAGGTCTGACTGAGCTAGCGAATGCCGCAAATTGCTCAGAGCCGACGAAGTCATGAAATGAATTCGCCGCGTTCCATTCTTTACAGTATTAGAAATTTTCAGAGGTCAGCCAATATGTATGCTCACCAAAGAGAAGAAATTCATGATGTCTCTCTCTGACATCCTTCCCATCTTCCGTCAAAACCCATCCTCGAAATGCATGAAGTAGACCGGGATTCGGATGGGTCAATCCTTTACTCAAAGTTGGCCAGTCCTTCTCCAATGTTTCCAATGTCGCAGGATCGGTCTTCACGCGTGGAAATATAAGTTCAATGATCGCCATGGTCAAGGTAGGGTAAACATCTATGATTGTTGTGATCATGAGAAATTGGGGGATTTCAGAGGCCCTTATATAGGTCTTGATTGAATTATAGAGTATATAGAATTTCTGATAGAACTGCGGAGTAGGGACTGCGAATAATGGGGCGTTCCAAGGCATGCGGAGTTTGCGGAGTTTCCATGCGGACATTTTTCAGGATGGACGTTGAGGTATGGAGATACAATAAGGTGGTTTCGTATAAGATACGGTACTATTGCGGTCGCTCTGTATGTACGTAGAAGGCTAAGTGTGAGATATGATGCAAGACTTCTCATTGACATGTTCTTGTATCAGTGCGTCCGCTGCATTGTTCCTATATAGATAAGACTTTGTGGCGTAGGTCTGGTGTCAGTATATTCCGTTCCGAAGGCCTGATCCTTAGGGCTGACACATATCCTTCACCTGCGCCATTTGCCACTAAATATCGAGTTTTGTGGTGTCCCTAAAGGTTCCCTGGCCCTTCGAAAAGAACAGATTCTATAATCACATTGCGAGGAATCATAGGGATAAGGCGCATTTCCTAGTAAGGAAGTTCCGCCTCCGCAAATGCGGCGGGAGCCTGTTTGGATGATGTTCCGCCAAAGTGGATAAGGAACAATTTCACCTATTTAATGGCACCAAGTGTTGTTATTTACCCCTCCTGCAACGGACTTCGATCGCGTTGAAAGAAAGCCTTCTCGATCCCTCGCTTAGTTACAACAATCTTATCCAATGGCGGAATTACCAATTGTGAAGGGCAACTTTCGCCACGATAACAACACCTTTACAGGACAATCCAGCGTGATGGAGATGTTCTCATTGAAGGGTAAAACTGCTGTTGTCACTGGAGCAGCTTCTGGCATCGGACTTAGTGTAGCACATGCTCTCGCAGAAGCTGGCGCAGATGTTGCTATTTGGTACAACACAAACAAGAAGGCAATTGAAGAAGCCACGCAGATCGAGGAAAAGTATGGTGTTCAGTGTATGTCATGGCTTTCTTGCCACGTCAAGTATTTGCTAATCATGGTCCCTCAGGCCGAGCATACCAAGTCAATATCAAGGACAGCCGCAACGTTGAAGAGGCCCTAGAGCTATGCGTTCGCGAATTCAGAGGTCGTCTGGATATCCTCATCGCAAACTCCGGAATTCCATGGACCAAGGGCCCTATGGTGGACGCCCCTCTTGACCACTACGCGAATGTGACTCAGACAGATCTGGATGGGACTTACTATTGTGCAAGGGCTGCTGCTGCTCACTGGAAACGACAAAAAACCGAGAATACAGATATCTTCGGAAAGCCACTCACCGGCTTCACGTACGGCAGCTTCGTGGCCACTGCCTCAATGAGTGGTCATATTGTCAACGTTCCTCAACTTCAGGCTGCATATAATGCAGCTAAAGCCGGAGTCATCCACCTTTGTATGTTTTTATTGCCAATTTGCCAAGTTGAGATATGCCTGCTAACTACCCCATAGGCAAGTCTCTTGCCGTGGAATGGGTTCGATTTGCCCGCGCTAACACCGTTTCTCCGGGCTACATCGCGACCGAGATTTCCACGTTTGTGCCTGATGAGACCAAGAGTCTTTGGAAGGATAAAATCCCAATGGGTCGTGAAGGTCTGCCCCAGGAACTCAAGGGAGCCTATCTGTACCTTGCTTCCTCTGCCTCGAGCTATACAACTGGCGCCGATCTCATTGTTGATGGAGGTTATACCCTGCCTTGAATTCGCTAAGAAGCTCAGCTCTCGCTTTGAGATACCTGGAAAGCTGTGAGCTTGACATTGCACGGAAGAGTGATTTTCGAACAAATAGCTCGCATTAGATAGCCTTGCATTCAATGATTCCGAAGAATCACCTTCCTGGTGAATAGTTTCACATAAATAGAAGCCTCCGAAGTTTTCTCTGGTCTATTCATGATGTACGCAGTCGGGGATATCCTTGGAACATATGCGTTGTCTTCCAGAGTTGGGAGTTTACTTTATGGAGCTGTTTTGGGCCTATATAGCAATGGAGGGGCATTGGCTGATCTTTCCCCATAGACAAGCTTAGGTGCGGTCCAGCCTCCTAACTAGGAAGTTCCGCTAGGAGTGGGGCGGAATAGTCAAGTCCAGTCTCATCCCGAACTTTTCTGAGGAATACACAGTGGGATCAGACGTTGTATTCCGAAATGGCAGATCGAGAGAAGATTTTCACCTTTGTTGCGAATGATTCTGAGGGCCTTCCCTCCAATCGCAAACAAACCCGCCGAGCATGCGAGCATTGCCGCAAGCGCAAACGGCGCTGTGCCCATGGCCCTAGGCTCGCTCCCCGCGTGCCTGAGAAACAATCACCTCGGAACACGACAGTAAATGATACATCCTCTCCGGCTGCCGGACAAGAGGTCTCAGTTACCACAAGTTCTGGAAACACCAACGACACAGCTGGGGCCACGCAATCGAATAGCCAGCTACAAGGTCCAGGAGCTCGCGTCGATGGTGAATCTTGGTTCGTTGGTAATATGGATCCAGAAGGAGCTTTCTTGATTGCAGCAAGCCCTGATTCGAACCCTGGAGCAATTCGGCGGCATGATCTTGGCGTTTGGTTGCCAGCGAGGAATGCATATTCACAACTCGCGGTCAAGAAGCCAAGATCAAGCTTCATCTCTTGCCCTGACCCTTTGATATCTTCGGTCTTTCTACCATATCTAGAAGATCAATGCTTGAGTGTACTACCAGCTCCTCATGATATGGAGGGGCTCCTTCGGATATATATGGAGAACATACACCCTATATTTCCGGTTCTAGATCTCGACTCTTATCAAGCCATGCCCAGCAAGTCTCCGGAAAGGATCCTTCTATCGCAGACAGTTTGCATTGCTGCCAGTATTGACCGGAATTCAAAGCAGTATCTCAACCTACTCACGGTCGCGATTTCCCATGCCGACTTCTCTCGGAGTCTCTTGGATGCAATGAACACGTCAATCGCATTAGGCCTAGTGAGAGATAAATTGGTGTTGATTCAATCCTTATCATTGACATCACTCTTCACGCAATTTTCTGGAGACCGACAAGAATCAGCAGAACTTTTATCTCGTGCTATCTGCCACGCGCATACTATAGGTCTACACCATCGCTGTCATTCATCCATGCCCTCGCAGAAGGAGCAAATTTCTACCCGATTATTTTGCTGTCTCTATGCGCTTGATATACTCAACTCGGCATGTTTAGGAAGGCCTGTGCAGTTCCATCGGCAGGACTTTGGTCGCGACCTTTTATTATCTATAGCCGCCCAAGAAGGCTGCTTTCAACTTTTCCTACGCACAATCTTGCTCATGGAACGGGCCATTGAGATTTATCGACCCGCGGAAAATGGTGTTTGGAAAGGGGTGTTCCCTTCGTTCGAGGATTTGTTGCAGGAAGTTGGCACATCCACTGGCATACCCATGCATCTGACAGGCAAGGCCCTCCACCTCAGAACACTATTCATTGACCTTGGGATCTAATGACCGTTACAGCTACAATAGAGGTATTGTATCATGCCGCTGCTATTTTGTCTTGTCATTCCACAAACCTGCATGGTGTCTCCCGTCCATCGTCAGAGACAAATGTACGCCAAAGTCTCTCGGCATCTAGAGTCACATACATCGTCGGCGACGAGTTTCACAATCAATTATCATTATTTCCGATCATTCCATACGCGGTTGCCCTCTCTTTACGTGTGTCTTGGCACAGTCTCCAGCGAAGCAAAGCAGCTATCTTCCAGGCAAGGGCACGGAAGCAGTTAGTTGCAAACTGTGCGATCCTTCGAGAATTAGGAGAGGGTTTCTACTCTGCTTCACTTATGGCAGATCTAGGAGAACGTCTAATCAAAGACTTGGATAAGAAGCAAGAAGGGGAAGAGCGAGAGAAACAGGATCAAGTACCTCTACGAAATAACAAGTCTACAAATAATTCCACGGATTTTGTGAACCCAGGTAAGTTTTTCGACTCCTTCGATTGATGAATTTTATTAACTTCATGTTAAGTGGAACCATCCCTACAATCTATGCAACGCTCAGAGTCTGCCGAATCGACATATCAGTCGTATGATCCGAGTTCCTTTGATCCAATGTCGTTCCTGGGTATTTTTGATAATTTTGATCTCGAGATTGGGCCTATCGGAGGAATGACTGAAGGATCACCCTGAGCTCTAAAGCTGTTACCAAATAAAGACAAGATTCTGAAAAAAAAAAAAAAAGGTGAAAAGTAGCTCTCGATGGAAGGGTTTGGTAATATATGTTGTCTATTTTATAACTCGCTGTACCATCATAGGACGCTTGTGTAGTATATTGACTGCGAGTGGCTGAGAGGGTTATCGAGAGTTTGAAAGTACGAGAGCGGCTGAGCTCCACAAAACCGATACGTGATCATTGTGGTTGCTTGGATCTTTAGGTATTCCAGTTATGTCCTCGAATGGCCCTTGCTTGCATACGAAATCTACATTACCATGGAATGGACTTTCCAGCTCTATGCAGATCCCCGAATGATGGCAAGCATGTCTTCTCCCTTCGGCGCGGTCGTGAGGTTCTCATAACCGTCAGCGGTAACGAGAATATCATCCTCGATGCGCACTCCGCCAATGGAAACGTACTTATGGGCGATATCGAAGTCGATATATCGAGCAAAGGGCTGCTTGCGCGCATTGGCAAGAGCCAAAGGCGAGAAATAGATGCCAGGTTCCACTGTCACAATCATACCCTCTTCCAGGAGAGGAGCAGAAAGTGTACAAGGAGAACGGCTAATGGACTGGTTCAAGACTGGTCCGTACTGGGACTGGTCCAAGTAAGGATGAAGCGCTGTGATCTCTGACTCGGAGACGTCGTGGACTTCGAGACCGACGTGGTGACCGAGGCCGTGGGGGAAGAATATCTTGGATGCGCCGGATGCACGAATTTCAGAGTGCGTACCGTCTTTCAAGACGCCCAACTTGAGCAGGCCATCGATGGCGATTTCATGAGCTAGGTCGTGTAGAGAAAGGAACCGAGTGCCTCTTCGAATCCGCTTGATGCATTCTTCTTGCATACGCTCGACCAGGTGATAGATGTCCTTAGTGTATTGGTTGGGCCACTGGCCAGTAAGCGGGAAAGTCCTCGTCACGTCACTCGCGTAGCAGTTCCATTCAGCGCCGGCATCGAGACAGACAAGAGGTTTCTTGTGGAGAGATTCATTATTGCGGTCGTAATGGAGGACGGCAGCATTAGGCCCGGAAGCAGCGATAATCTGATATGCTTGATTCCGTGCACCGTGCGAGATGCAAGTGTCCAGAAACAGACCTTCGATCTCGGACTCATTCTTCATTCTAGATATGCGCTCTAGAATACTTCTATGGGCCAGTGCCGAGACCTTATTTGCCTGGCGGATCATCCGAATTTCATAGTTATCTTTGACGCCACGTGCTGCATCCATGGCGGGCAAGAGCTGCTCTGAGTCCAATGGCAACTCTTGCGGAAGACCTTCCGGTTTTTCTGAATCATGGACCATATAAAGAAGGCTGTTCGGGACCCGCTCACTCAGCCAGACTTTCAGCTCCGGTTGGAGGGAGGAGTAGTATTGAACCCGATCCACATCGTAGCGATCTTGCGCCTCTTCTCGATCAAGGGTCGGGCCCATCCAAATCGCCCGGTGGAGATCAAAGTCCGGCACGAAGAGGGTCAGCTTGTCCAAGCCGACATCGTAGGTAAGAGCGCAGTCGGGCTCGTCGACGCCGCTGAGGTAATAGAAATATCGTCGCTGTCGGAACGGGCGCGCTTGATCGGAGTCGCGCAGGTTTATTGTGGGTTGCCCGGCGAGGAAGATTAGGCCATGAGAGACACCGAGTTTGCGGGCGACATTGCGCGCGTGCTGCTTAGCTGTACACGGAAGGGCGCTTAGCTCGGGGTCGGTATGATGGCCGGGTTTCAGTAAACCGAAGGGCGCTCCGCGAGGTGTAGACTACAATGGGCATTTCGACCTTGCGGAGCTTCTCCTGGTTTCGTGACAAAGGAGACTGACCTGGGTATTTATCGCAGGAGGTGCCAGATACGGCTAGGCGGATGTGGTAGGAGTCGACGGAATTGATCATGACGGACTGCCCTGCCAAGGAGGGGAGCGGTGCAACGGGGGCCTTTGCACGCATTATGAGGGTAGGCGAAGCGATGGGAGGGGTCACTTTCTAGGGCCAAGTAAGGAGCCACGAGGGGAGCGAGAGGGGAAAGAGGAGCGTAGGAGAGAGAGGCTTATCCGGAGTAGGGATGGCCTCTACGGTCGGATACCGCCATTCGCAAACTTGACAGGTTCCTTTGCCCGAGAAGTTTAAAAGAGATAGTTCGTCGCGCAGAATAGACTGGAATTGAGACTCTAGACTCTAGAATCCGGAACCCAGCAGCCTGAACCCAGGAGTCAGGTACATAGGGCAGTGCGCAGTGCAGGCACCGGAAACGTCTTAGATAACCCAAGTCACTTGGACTTGCCGCCTTCGCCCACTTATCTCCTCTTCTTACATCTGCCCTCAGACAACCCACTTTGGTCTCTCACCGTTCTTTGATTTTTTTTCTCTTCCAGTTCTCTTCATTCCTGCTTCACCCATCGGTCAATGAACGATGCAGGGTCTTGAGGCATCGGGCCCCGGTGCGCTCGCAGACCTGCCCTCCACACTGAGAACGGTGATAGGCAACCCGACGACGTCACCGCTCGGCCTCGTCTCCCAGACCGTCCAAACCGCTCTACAAACCCCAGTATCCTTGTCTCAACAGCAGATCCAGGAAAACCTCCAGCATGTTATCTCAACTCTGTCCTCCGACTTCGATGCTGGCCGCGTGGTTACTACGAGTGGCGAATCTTCCGGCTCGACCGGCAAAGGCATCCTGATTGGAATCTTGTCCGCCTTTGGCTCGGCGGCTATCGCATTTGTCGTGCTAGCGATCTTCTTCTTTTTTAAGTATACTCGCCGCGGGCGGATTATGCTGGATCGTATTGGTCGTCCAGGTGAATATGACGACGAACAAGCATTTGCGCGGGAGGAGGAAGCGGCCCTGGAGTCCATGGACGATTTGTCGCGGTCGGAGTACCTAAGAGCGAAAGGTAATACCTAGGACACCGATGTTTATGCTTTCTGTACTGACATTCGACGCAGCCTGGGTTCAGTCAAATCCACCCGAGTCCATGTCAACCGATATCTCGCTGTCGCAGTTCCTCGCCATCCAAGAAAAAGGTGTCTCTGCCTGGGAATTCCAGCCCGAGCTGGAGATCGCAAACTGTTTTGTGGAAGGTCGTACCGAAATTGAGTTCTTCGATTCTGAGTGTAGCGTTCAAACGAACCTGCCCATTCCTAAGCAGAACGAAGTCTACTACTGGGAAGCCAAGATATATGATAAGCCCGATTCAACAATGATTGGAGTTGGCCTGTCCACGAAACCATACCCTCTTTTCCGCATGCCTGGTACGTCCCTTGTTAATTTTTTGATTCCACATCCGGCTAAATCTGTCTAGGCTTCCACAAAACGTCTGTTGCCTACGAGTCGACCGGCCACCGCAGACACAACCAACCCTTCATCCCGACCCCGTACGGCCCACCCCTGCTCCAAGGCGATGTCATCGGTGTTGGCTACCGGCCTCGATCAGGCGCCATTTTCTTTACTCGCAACGGCAAGAAGCTCGAGGATGTCGTCCACAACTATCGCTCACAAAATCTATTTCCCACCATCGGCGCCAATGGCCCCTGCAGTATCCATGTCAACTTTGGCCAAATGGGCTTCGTGTTCATTGAGGCTAATGTCAAGAAATGGGGGTTGGCCCCAATGACAGGTAGCCTTGCTCCGCCCCCGCCCTACGGAAGCGAACAAGGCAGCATTTTGCTTGAATCGGGCCGAGAGAGCGCCGCCCAGATTTCCCAACGCGTTTACCAGACTCACACTGCGAGAAGCTCCAGTATTGGACTTCCTCAGGCGGTCAGCCCCGGGCCAATTCGGTCTCCGACCGAAATCTCCCTTGCCCAGCTAGCCCACATCCCTTCTAATGAGGATGCGGGCGAGGGTTCTAGCCGTATTGGCACTGATGGAGAAGTCGACGGCCCTGCTGTGGCAGTTGGAGCTTCTGATGACGATGTTCTGCCTCCGGAGTATGAGAGCCCAGGAAGCAGTCGCCGAGGCAGTGATGCGTCCACATCTCTGATGTTCCCTGCAAGGACACGCCAAGATAACAGACAACGCCCGGATAGTCCCGACCCAGATGCTCGGGGCCTGCCGAGTTACCAAGCTGTGGTTGACCGGGAGTTCAGAGATCATGAGTGAGGGCACGTCCGATACGTCGACTTTCATACGTCCCTGCTTTTGAATATACGTTTCTCTTTCCGGATCCGACCACGGACGAACACAACATTATACCATATCTTTTTTTTGCCGTTTCAATTAGCGAGTTCACGGTTGGCGTTATAGCAACTTTGGAGGACCGGTTTATAGGACATCTCTTTTCTTTCTTTTTTTGGGGAGACACCTGTGGGACGAAATAGGGGTTTGAGTCATTGTTTTCCCAGGCGATCAAAAGGTGGATCTCATACGAAATCATGTTCTACAAGGGGCCATCGCTAGCCTTTCCTCTCGCTCTTGGTGTCTTTCTAGCCTTTCATACCCCTTGGAGGCAGCTCTGTACATTTTGTGATCTAACACCCTCAATACCCCGGGAAGCCCGTCCAAGCATTTACTGATAGCCGTTCATTGAATCTGGCTTAAATACTATCCATGATTCTTAACAAAAAGACTTTCAGTAGACGGTTTCAAACGACGCGTATCAATCTACATAGTATAAAACCATGAAGGTGCAATTATAGTCTTGGTGATAACCACCTTGAGATAGTTGTATAGTGCTGAACATGGTATTTAGTATTATCGGATTGCGTAGGCGACGTCATGGACCTCAAGGACAATATTATATCTCACCAGCACGTCTACAATATTCCTGGCCAAGCTTTGACTTATACAATGCCATGAAGAATAACGCGCTAGGGAAAGAATAGAAAGGCGACAACGAGATCGATTCAGATTGCTTTTGGTTAGTGTGGATCGATGCGCTAAGTTCCGCCCCCAAACCGCCCCGGAGCTCTGATCGCCCTCCGCATCTTTCCTTTTCTTCCAGGTCTCACCTCAAGCTCTCCCCCTTCTCTCTCTCTGTCTCACTGTCTCACCAGTCTCTGCGCCGTCCCGATAGCCAAGCCTATATCGCAATCATCTCTCAGTCGCACCTCAGCCAAACTTATTCGCAAGACATTGCCACACGGTACATCACACCGGTGATTCTGCAGGCGCTAGCGACCTCGCGAAACATAAGAGCCTTTACCAATTGGCGCCAGCCAGCTGGAGTTAGCTTGCATTAGTGCCTGTCCGACGCTGCACACGGCGTCCCCTCGCGGTGGTACAAGCTGGGGAAGGTCCACACTGGGCGGATTCTCTCCAGGCCGCAGCTTATCTGCGACTACGCTCTCGAACCTGCGCCAGGTGTATCACACGCATGGTCCGGAGCTAGCGACACGATAGCTCTGACGCTTGGTTCCTGACCGCAAATTTCTCTATTTCTGGCGCGCGGCAGCTATGCGATGAGGAACTAGCGTCTGCACTGCGACACCTCACAACAGTCCAATTCACAACTTTTCTTTTGCCCGTTTCAGCTCGGCCGCATCTTCCTCCGCCACATCTTGAGACTCTTCGACCAATCTTCTCGGAGACCCTGTGAGACCTGCATTCGACAAACTTGAGGATCAGGCTCCAAGGTACCTTTGCGCCCTCTTTACCGACTCTCTCGCGTGTCTCGCCGAACAAAGCGGCTATTCCTAACTCAGAACAATGCCAGATAAACCATCGTTTCAAGTCATTGTTTTGGTGAGTTTCACATACTAGCCACGAGTCACGTGTAGAGCCTGTTATCGGGGGTTTGCAATTCCGTCTCCCCGTCCTTTTGCGACGGGCGATGTGCAAGCCCATCTCGGGTTCTGACATATGAAACCCTGCCACTTGAGCCGCATGCTAACTTCCCTCAGGGTCCGACCGGTGGTCCTCGCGAAGACAACGTGACGGGTATTCTGGTGCGGTCAATATCAACAAAATGGACACCAAACTCGGTGGTCGCCGTCGACGCAGGTACAATGCTTGCCGGCATCATTCGACTTCTGGACAAATACATCCCCGGGTCGAAGGACGAAGAAGGCATTTTGCAAGATGGGCCCTTCAAAGGCCTAGAAATGCCACATGAAACGGCACAAGCTAATGCGGCATATGTCTTTCGGGAAATTATCGGGGCTGTTCTCATTACACATCCCCACCTGGACCACATCTCGGGTCTGGCGATCAACACGCCGATCCTGGAGGCGGGAAGTGGGCCGAAACCCGTCGCCGCTTTGCCGTCCGTATTATCGGCGCTTAAGAATCACATGTTTAACGATGTTATCTGGCCAAATTTGTCGGATGAAGATGGTGGTGCCGGTCTCCTCACTTACCAACGTCTGGTGGAGGGTGGAAACCCAAGATTCGGAAATGGAGAGGCGAGAGGCTACGTTCGCGCCTGTAACGGGCTGCTGACCAAGTGTTTGAGCGTCAGTCACGGGCGATGCAAGCAACGATTCCATCCAGAGAGCGCAGCTCACCATCGTGTTGGGAGTGCCGTCTTTGGCGATCAGTTGATGCTGCCCTCTCGTGCTATATCCGTCGATAATACGGATGGAAGGTCAGAGCTCCCAACTCCACAAATCGAAGTAACCAACTAACATCAAGCCAGCTTCTATTCACCCGCCCGGTCCCCTCGTATTCTCCCTAATAACCCAAAGGAATCTATTATGGCCACAGTCGAAAGCTCCGCCTTCTTTCTCCGCGACCACCGCACCGGACACGAGATTATCGTCTTCGGAGACGTCGAGCCAGACTCAGTAGCCCAAGAACCGCAAAACAAACGTGTCTGGGAAACAGCAGCTCCAAAAGTTGCCTCTGGGATCCTCCGTGCCATTTTCATCGAATGCTCCTACACAGACGCCGTCAACGACGCATACCTATACGGCCACTTATGTCCACGCCACCTAATCGCAGAACTCAAGGTTCTCGCTAAACAAGTTATGGACATCCGCGACGCAAACAACGCAGATCTAAAACGCAAACGAGACGGCACTGGCTTACCTGATTCCGGCACGGAAGTGAGCCCACGCACAAAACGAGTCCAGAGCATCGCTGGCCAAAAAGGTCGGAAAGCCGATGCAACTTCCGAGCCAAGGGCACACTCTAATCTACGTGATTCTGTTGATTATATTTCTGATGATCCTATGGGTCTAGGTTTCATTGAGGGCGTGGACCCTCTCACTGAATTTGAGATCCCCAATCCTGTCGGCTGGGTTGATGCAGATCCCCTTCCTCTAGCTGGGCTACCTGTGTACATTATCCACATCAAGGAAAGCATGACAGATGGTCCACCTATTAGGGATCAAATCCTGAAAGAGCTCCAAGCGCATAGCAAGGAGGCTCATTTGGGTTGTGAGTTCTTTATGCCGGATCCAGCTGAGGGGATTTGGATTTGAGATGGAGTTTATCTGGGTGGAAGCATTTGTTTAGGTTGTGATTTAGCGTAGCGTTGCTTTTTTTTCCCATCAATTGTTTTAGTATCTCCGGGTGAGCTATAGATGGGATTAGGTTTTGTGGTTCATGGTCGCTGATAAGTTTTATGAATTCTCGCGAATATACAATTTATACCATTTTACACCCACTGTTGCTCATCTACAAAAGAGAGGTGTAATCATTGATAGAACTGGGATGGTATCGGGACGATGATAGGATAATAGCTCGATTAGCCTGTCATACATAGCTATTTCCCACGTAGCGATCCGATATTGATCACATAGTCCCGAACGAGGGCAGTAACCCTTTCATGATATCGAAAAGAGCATAACTGGGCATAATGCCAAAATGCCAAAATGCCGATAAACAAGATGGGAAGCTCTAAGAAATACGCTTTCAGAGCGCTAGGGAAGCAACTTGTCAACGGGATCCTTAGAGTACACATGCCATTTGAGACCTTTTCAGCCAGGTACTCTGAGCGATAGCGATCGGGTCAATACGGTGATTCCTTTCTTCACAGGGCGTGGTTGCAGCTGTGAAAATGGCTTCTTGGAACTCCTCGTGAAGGGCATCGGTGAACAATCGCTCCTCTTCGAGCCAGAGACATGCCAGGATACGCTGGACAATTCTGGAGCAAGTTGAAATAGGGAGGTTTTCGGCAGCAAAGTTGATATTCGCGGTGAGAATCATTCGAAATGGTTTTATTCAGGTATTAAAGTACAGTCGAAGCCATTTAAGGTTCTGGAAATATAGACAAGAAACCTAACAAGGCACGGCCTTCACTGAGCATTAATTTCATGCCTTAGCCAGAGCAATGACATCCTCCCAATTCGACTCCTTCGATGACGGAGCACGGAGTCCCTTGGCTTCCGAGTCTTCCTCATTCTCACAAGAAGGCTGGTTGGCAGGCAAGTCCAAAACACCTTCGCCATCACGAGCAAAGTCGATCAAATCTTCCTCAGTACCCCATTCACTCATCGCCATCAAGCCAATAGGAACACCGCTCCTACGGTCATATCCTGCAGGGCAGTTGATAGATGGACAGCCGATGAAGTTTGCCAGCCAGACATACTCCATGTTCCGCACAGAGGTCTTGCCATCAGACAAGCCCCGAGCAAGGTCAGCTTCACCGCCATCAATGTGCCATCCAGGGAGAGGTGTTGTCGGAGAGAGAATCATCAGACCAGGATGGGTCTTGTAAAGGTACGCGACATGCGTCATCAACAGGTTACGCAGACGCTGTGCTGCAAGGAGGTCTTGGGCAGTGATTTGCCACATTCCCATGGAGACGAGGACCTTGTTCGGAGCTGTGAGCTGTTTAATCTGGCTCGCATCCAAACCGGACGCGATCTCGGCCATGATGGTCAGGATATGGGCACGTTGGCCTTCGGGTAGATAAGGGATAGTGATATCGATGACTTCGTAGCCGTTTTGACGGTAGTAATCCAGGGCAGTATCGAAAACAGCGCGAACTGGAGTCTCAGCGCGGTCGATCCAGTCGCGGACTATACCAATGGTCTTGGTTCTCTTACGATCGGATGGGAGGGGTACTGGCTTGGGGAATTGCGAGGAAATGGGATCTTGCGATGCTGGTGCCGGTGCTGCCATGACCCTATAAGCAAGGGCCAGGTCATCGATACTCGCGGCCATGGGCCCGAGGACGCCGACAGTGGGTGCAAGACTCATAGAAGGCGCTCCAGATACGCGAGCGTGAGTAGGCTTCAATCCCCAAATACCGCAGAAAGACGAAGGAATACGAATCGAGCCACCACCATCAGCACCAAGAGCAATGGGCACCAAACCGGCACCGACGGCGTAGCCAGATCCTCCAGAAGAGCCACCACAGTAGTATTGATTGTTATGAGGGTTCTTCGGCGTTCCATAGTTAGGATTGTTGTTGTTTGTGTCTATGTTCGAGAGTTAGTTATATCCAATCCTACGGGTCTGAGCTTTCATTTACCGAGACCCAATTCATGCATGGTGGTCTTTCCGATTACAATCGCACCAGCATCTTGCCATTGCTGGACACACCAGGAAGTAGCATCGCTGCCAGCTTTGAAATCAAGCTTGGTTCCTAGGGTACGCTTGTAACCAGTGATGTCCACTTCATCCTTGACCGCCACGGGAATGCCATCCAGCGGGCCAAGAGGCTGGCCCTTCTTATATCGCTCGGTGGAAGATTCTGCAGCTGCGCGGATAATTTCGGCTTGCGACTCGAGGAATGCCGTTGAGTGCTTTCCGGGCGGGTTGGCGTCGCGACGGATCAGAGGAAGCAGCGTCTCGACGACCGCTGTCGGGGTCAATTCGCCAGACGAATACAACGCGTAGTAGTCGGCGGAGGTGTAGTAGGTATTAGACCCCTTCCGCTTCTCCACGGTAGGAGTCGGCGCATCGCTGGAGGCATTCTCGACGGGAATCACGGTAGGATCGTAACGGCCGGGGTATTGATGAAGTTCCGGAATTTCGCGAATCACACCAAATCCAGCATTACGCCAGAAGTGGCTTTGGATGAAGCCAACATTGTGGATTCTACGTTGAGTTGTGGTGGTTAGCAATGGAGCTCTCTGAGCTAGCCGGGTTTGCGCAAACCTACAGAGTTGCGCCGATCGCAAGCGTAGTACCGCGGAAGACCGGGATGGATTGGGTTTCGTTCTTGTATGGAACTTTCGGACCCTCACGAGGTGGAGGGTAGTTCAAAAAAGAGTTACTTTCGGAGCTCATCTTGAGGGAATGGGTGAGAGTGAAGACATAATACGGAGTTCCAATGGAGCTGGAGTTGTTCGGAATGACATCATGAGCCGCGGCCCGCAGCCTGCACGTGGGAATCAGCGGATACAACTCCAAGATCTACAATGCTAAAATGGAGTTCAAAGAACAGTTCAGTTGACTTAAGTACATGGAAGCAAGTGTAATATTTTCAATTAACGCACGATTTATGGGACTTTGTACAACTTGAGTTTATTTTTAGAAACTTGATATGCGAACGATATGAACATACAGCTAGCTACAGTCGCAGCTTGATATTATACTTGTCCATTCCCAGAGCAAGAGCAGTCAAGATCACCGCATATCCGACGAGAATGACCATAGCTAATGGGTGGTCGACATCCAAGGTCGGGACACTCAGGTTTACTGCACCTGTGAGCAGGTTGGCAACAAGGAAAATTGCCAGCCCTCCGCGATTAAAGGCATGCAGAATACGGCTGGTCGCAAAGCTCTGTTCTTCTTCAGCTTCTTTACCACTCGATCGGTAGACGGTCGGGAAGAACACTGTTTCGATCAGGCAGAACAGCAGAAGCTGGACACTGTTGAAGGCAGCAACCCAGAGAACGTATGGCATATTGGCAAGACGACGAGAGACCATGATGTTCGCGCCGTAGCCAAATGCATAGGTGGAGTTGAAGAAGAACATGGTTGACCAAAAAGCCACCTGAAGTCCAAGGCTCATCAAAACGGAATTCCGTCCTTGCTGTGCAGTCTTGGTTGCCGAGGTTCCGCGGGGGATGATGCGGACTCCTATACCTCGGCCTGCCAAGAAGATCGCGAGATATCCCAGGAATGAAAAGATGCCTTCGCGATTTTTGGAGATCAGATCTGATCCGCGAGGGGAGATCAAAATCCAGGTCTTCAGGTCTGTCGATTCGAGAACGACCTGGTACGAAATACTGATGCCCATGGCCAGCACTTCATAGGACGGGATCAACACAGACAGAGTGTCGAAGATCTCCACAAATGGAGGCAAGAAGCCGAGTGTGAAGAAGAAGTTCCAATGGACTCCGTATTCCGTGACGTGCTCCGCATAATCCAATCCCTTGACACTCCAGAGGCGGATCAGACCAAGCACAAGCAAAGGGACCGAATGCCGCACAGAGCCAAGCAGTCTGGTCAAGAAGGCTTTTTTGGGCGATTTCGAGGCGCGTGTTTTCAAGACCGCACGCGCAGACACCACACCCGCCGAGAAAACGAATGAGCCCACGCCGAGGTCCATCAGCGATGTACCCCAATTCTCGACCTTTCCAAACCGGCGCGGGAACACACGGAAATCAACAGCAAGGATAGCCACGCAGGTAATCACCATCATGGCGGCACGATATGTTGTCAAGAATGGATGAACAGGCAGGGACTCTGCCTCCTTTGTGTCGGCATTCTTGGCCTTGGACTTGCGGGGAGGCTTGGCCTTTTGTGGGGAGCGCAAACGATGTTGGGTAAGGAAGAGGAGGACGGCGGGAGAGATGAGGAAGATGTTTAGGAGTACCGGCGCGGAGGAGTAGGCGGTAGTCGCAAATAAGATGGCCAGGACATTGAGGATGAAGTCCGTCAACAGGCCCGCGGGGCCATAGGGCGAGAAGAAGGATAGTCGTGATTGGAGGGCAGACCAGAGAAGAACAGACGCCTGGAAGCAGGAAAGTCAATCGCTATCACTTGTGAGGAGAGTTGTAAGAGCTTACCGGCGCGACCAAGGACACCGCGTTGATATCCCAGATATCACTGCCGGAGAGGTTCGACACGAACGCCTCCTTGCGAGCCTTGTAACTCGAGTCCATTTTGGGTTATAAAACGCGAGATCGAGATCGCTGATGGTCCATTGACAGATGTCCCGGATGAAGTAGGCGGAGGAGAAGATGCCGCGCTGGCCAACACGGTAATCAGGTGATTGCGCCCGGCCCGATTCCATGGACGGCCATTGTTTACTTCGACGACATGCTTTTTGACTCGATTGACTCACACATGTCTACAAGGGCTGGTTTAAAAAATACGAAGCCGTTAGGTAGCATTATTCTAGCACCTTAGGCTTGGTCCTCGGTATGTCGGTAGTATGTATGCAGGGCGAGGGCAGCCTGACAGGGGTTCCTTGGTTGATTATCGATCACAAACGCGGCACTAGAGACACTAGGGACACTAAAGACACTTAATGAATGGATGACCAGATTATGGAAGGTAGGGAGAAGGTAAACGGAAGCAAGACGTTTGAAGGGGTTGGATCGTAGAACCCGAGGCCGTCATTTTCAAGCTTTAAAGGCTCAACGGAGACGAGGTCAATCATGCCCGCCGTTGATCGCTAGGGAATAACCACCGATATTACATACCCTTGTGGACGTTAGACGGTATCCGGAAGGGCCAAGCAGAAGCCGCGAGAAGCGAGAATGTGACGTGCCCGGGGTCGGAGACAGCCAGCTGAACCACACTGGCTGTACGCGACCTCTGCAATTGGCTCAGCACACCCGGCTCTGGGGTCAGGCCGTGGCCGGTGCTTCGGCTACATCATTTGGCGCTTCTAGCTGCATGCCCCAAAGTCATTAGCCACATCGCACCCCTCGATGGCCGATAGGCAGACCCGCAGTGATCGGCCAGGGATGCGTGTCTAGAACCACGTTTTCCTCGATGTGGAGTGGAGGTCAGTGCTCGAGACCGTTGATCTCGATTTGGAATTTTCGCAAATGCGACACATCGCGGGGATCAAAGTACGAAGTACGGATTTTGGCTCGGTGTACGGGTTCCCCTTGATCCCCGACCTTGGAAAGAGGGGGCCAACCATCCTTGCACTGTTGCTGTTCTCTCACTGGTGGCTAACAGGTTCAATTGACCTGTCCTCGCCGAGAATGACGCTTGAGCACAGCGCCGGAAGTAAGAGTCGTGATTTTCAGCTGTTTGAAGAAAAGTCAAGAAGCTACGGGGTATCTATACCCAGAATCTCTCGACGAACCGTAGAGATAGATCAGTTGTTGCCGGATCACCTTTATCGACCCCTCGAACATCACTTTCGAGTCCATACATTTATGGCGTCAGGTTCTGATCATCTCGGTCGCTACTCCATTGACCCCAAGAAAGCGCGCTAAATCAGGATCCAGTTGGGTCCCTGGGGGCCAAAATCGAACATGCGGCCGTCCCGTGGTATGTGCCTGACGCCGTTCCCGAGTTATGCTAGATTACGGATACAGAGATGGCCCTGATATCTCGGCTTTGAACGTTTTGATCCCGTTAAGCGTTAAGAACCGTTCAAAGACCGTGTAGTGCCCAGGTGGATCAAAGAGGGATAAACTGGGAGGGATCTTGCTGGCATTAGAATTGAAGCCTTACCGCAGGCATCAATTTTACACCCCCACCCCCGAAAGCAGAGCAAAGAAGGTCGAACCTGACAAGCGGCGATCGACGACAGCAAAAGGTCCGATTAACTAGAAATAAGTACAGTAAGGTTAAGCCAGAAAGTGTATCGCGGCATTAAGTTTTCCTAGACGCGACTTCCCACAAAACTCGGCACGGGCTTCGCCGATGGCGCATCTCCAGAGACGCTATGTCCATAGCTTCTCTGTATCCACAGGGTTCGTGCGGATCCTCCCTGCCCATTGGCCCACTCAGAGCCAGTGATGGGCCGTTGGGAGCGCCGCATCTCCGGGAGATTGCCTGCCCTCGGGGTCTGGAATTTATGCTAGCGACGATCCGGAGAACGGGCACGTAATGGCGCTGTGCCCTTGACAGGAGACCTTATTTAAGGCTCTCCCCTCCATGGGGCCCGTGGCCCTGGGCGAGAGATTGTGCTTGGGTATCAGTTCCCCTTGCACTCGTACGACCTTCTCTTTTTGCCTCGGTTTTGCCCCTACTCAGCCCGGCGATACCAGGGGGCCGCCCGCACGAGGTAAAAAAAAAAGATAGCACACATTTCGAACCCGGGGAGGTCTGAAGCAAATCCCCGGGGTGTTGATAACCCTCCATGCTAAATCGGTATCTCCTTCCTTCGCTGCAGGACTCATGGTCACCAAGAACTCTATCTTTGTGCGAGAAAGCCGTGTCCAGGACGGCCGGGTCATCGTGCATGGTCTCGGGTCTAGCCTTGCAGCCCCAACGAGACAGACGATGAGCAGCAAGGACGAAGGGCCCCCCAAAAGGCGGGAATCCCGCTCCGGAACTCGGAAGGTCTCCCATCTTTCGGCCGAACAACTGGAGAGGAAACGTGCGAATGATCGTGAGGCTCAACGATCTATTCGACAACGGACAAAGGAACATATTGAGCAGCTCGAGCATCAGGTTTCCGTGCTGCAAGCCAGAGTGGCAGAGCTGCAGCCCCGAAGCGAACGATTCGATGCGTTGGTCCAACAGAATGTCGCTCTTCAGAACGAAGTCAATCGATTGAAGCAACAGCTGGGTATACCCATCGATCGTCCGGCCTTCCCGGCAGGTGGGGATCAGCCTGGTCCTTTTCGGCATGGATGGCACATGGATGAAGGGCCCAGCAATGCAGCCAACCCCGCGACCAGCATGCTATCGCCGTTTCCTGGATCATCGCACCCTCCAAACGCTCCTCGAGCACCATCGGCCGTGTCGGCTTCGAGTCGATCACCCCATCCCCATGACTGGCAGCAATACTCGAACACACGGTCGCCGTCGTTGGGTGACACATCAGAGTCAGACTACTCTTCTCAACCATACGTGATGGAAGGTCAGTTGCGAAGAGGTAGTCATTTGGTTCCTCCTTCTCTGCCTGTCGCCCCTCAACTCAGCTTCGGTGCTCCTGGTCCGAGGCAGCAGCCTTCCGAGTCGTCTTTTCCGCAGATTTATCCACGAGAAGGTCTTGAGTCTCCTGGTCAGCTGTCCATAGAACAGCCTTCACCTCCATTTCTTCCTAGCCAAGCAGCGGCAAGCGCTGGTGCTCAACCAGCGTCTGGGCAGCCATACCCGCCATCAGTGCGCCCGTACCAAAATCCCATGGGACCGCAAACACAAAGAGACCCGCCATATCCCTACCCATGGAATCAACAATCATGACCCTAGCTTGCTGGCGTGGGTATCGAAAAGCGTCAGCCACCTTCCAGGCCGCCGCTGCTCAAAGACCCATCATGCCACGTTGAATATAAGCAAGGACCAGCTAGGAGTCAAAGTAAGTGACTTATTTCGAAGCCATCTAACCAGAACATCAACGGCTAACAATTGGGGTACCTCTTGAAGATCGTTTCGATTCGAAAAAAAGCGGCCAGACAAGGCGCGACGTCTGGCAACAAAAAGTGTTCTCGCAAGGCACAATCTAATGGAAAAAGTACCCGGTCAGACGGACTAGCGCCTCCGATCTCCACAACGATGTCGATACATGCCGCACGGTCTACACAATTCCCATCAAAGCATGGCACGGCGCTGGAGTTTGATCCAAGTGGTCTTTGGTTTTGGGAAATAGAGGAGAAGGGTGGGATGTATGTGACACCGGAATGTTGCAATTGAGAGAAGTAGTCGGCACCTTTCACCATCTATCTCCCTTCAGTCAAAAGGAGTATGATGAAGAGGCATGCATGCAACTCATTTCCAGCCCCGAGGGCCTAGACTCAATGTTATAGACAGAGCTACGAATAATGAAGGACATGAAAGTCTTGATCAAGTTGAAACCTATACTCCCGAGCTGCAGCTATACATAGTGAAGATAAACAATACATCACCGAGGCGCATGCTTCAAATCCAAATTTATCGCCAACACAGCACTCTAAGGTACCGTGACTAATTTGTGTACTGCTTCTGCAGCAGCTTGGCAATGGTCTGCAGCTGGATGTTGCTGGTACCCTCGTAGATCGCGCCGATCTTGCTGTCACGGAACATCTTCTCCGCAATGCCCTCGCGCACGAAACCCATGCCACCCATCCACTCGACCGCGGAACCAGCCACGCGTCCTGCGACCTGCGAAGCGTACAACTTGGCCATGGCGGCGTCCTGCACGAAGTCCTGACCGGCTTCCTTCTTACGGGCGGCGTTGTAGACCAGCGCCCGAGCGGCGGCGATCTCGGTGTAGGCTTGCGCAATCTGGTGCTGCATGCCCTGGAATTCACCGACCAGCTGGCCGAACTGCTTGCGGTCGTTCCAGACGTAGCTGCATCTCTCTATTAGCGTTTCCCCCGTAGTTCGCGCACGGGGTGGAACCAACTTACCGCGCAGCATTCTCCCAAGCGCCGAGCGCCAGGCCGGTCATCTGGGCAGCGATACCAATACGGCCCTCATTCAGGATCTGAATGGCGTACTTGTAGCCCTGGCCCTCCTCTCCGAGAAGGTTGCTCTTGGGAATAACGACATCGTCGAAGTTGAGCACGCAGGTGCTGCTAGCTCGGATACCGAGCTTGTGCTCCTTCTTAGCGATCGAGAAGCCGGGAGTATCCCTCTCAATTACGAAAGCAGTAATTCCCTTGTACCCCTTGCTGAGGTCAAGGTTGGCGAAAACAAGGTAAAGACCGGCCTCCTGGGCGTTGGTGATCCACATCTTGGAGCCGTTGATCTTATAGCCGTCGGCGGTCTTCTCCGCCTTGGTCTGCAGAGCAAATGCGTCAGAGCCGGAGACAGGCTCCGACAAGCAGAAAGAGCCGACAGTGCCGGTAGCCAGCTTGGGCAGCCAGGCGCGGTGGGATGCGGCATCGCCATACTTCATGATGGCGGTGTTAACCAAGGTGTTGTGGACGTCGACCATGACGCTGACACTGGGGTCGACGCGAGCCAGCTCCTCGATCGCGACGATGGCCGCGGTGAAGTTCATGCCCGCACCGCCAAACTCCTCCGGGATCTCAATACCCATGATACCCTGCTCGAAGAGCTGCTCCACAACGGCGGGATCCATGGACTCGGCCTCATCCATATCCCGGACCTTCGGGCCGATCTGCTCCTGGGCGAACTTGGACACCATATCGGCCATCATCGTTTCGGTCTCGGACATCAGGGTGATCGGCGTCGGGGTAAGGTGGGAGAGGTCGACATCCCGACGGCGGGGCGTAGTCGAGAAGGCATATGTGCTAGGAGGACTTGTTAGTCTGAGTCTCGTCAGTTGTCGTGGGGCAGTACCTCTGGACGGGGTGGTAAGTAGCTAGGCGCTTGGAGGTCAGGCGAACCGAGGGAGTGCGAGACAGGGGTCGCAAGACGCGGGAAATAGAAGCCATTGCGACTAGAAGGAGGGGTTCAACAACACAGAGGCAAGGGTGCAAATGGGAGGAAGGAAAGATTGTGAGAAGATCGATAAATCACAAGGAAAGCCGCGAGCCTCGGTTATCGGCGGCGCTGGGATTCGCGGGGACTCCTTGTGGGGCTTATCCGCAACCTAGGTTATTCTCTTCTATGCACAGCTTTCTCTGTCTTGGACAGTGCCATAGCCCGATTATTTCCTGTGTTCTCGAATTGATACGCATACAAAAGCTCTGATTCGATAATTAGAGGTTCATTCACCCCCAAAACAAAAAAAAAAAAAAAAAAATATGTCGATCCTGTGACAATGGTTCTACTAGACTCGGTCGCACACGAGGCAAGCAGAAGAAATGTCTTCTCAAAGAATGAAAAGGCCATTTCTAAGGTCCTAATCCTAGTGTCTACATATGCCAAACGTAGCAGTCAAGGCCCGAGGAAGCTGTGCTGACGGGAGTCGACCTAGTCCGATCATCGGGATCTACAAACGCCTCAACGGGAAGCGCGATCCAAAATAAGCTTGATCGCTTAATTTCATCAATCATTATAATACCGCCTCAACCAACACAGGGGGGGGGGCAATTCTCGGGATTTCTTTGGCCACATGTGCAGGATCTATCGCGTGCCATGACAAGTAATTAAGCCCGGCTCTACAGCCCACCAGTGCGCTCCATTGGACCGTCGCCTCCGTGGTGGCTCGCTGCATACTCGCAAGCTAACACATCTTCGGCTACACCGTCTAGCTCGGGAGTAAGTGATGTACTAAACTACTATGTACTTGGCATGCGTTGGCGAGGGCATAGGGGACTTGGGCGATCATTTAACCCTCGTCCTGAGGTGCGAAAAGTTCCAATACATTTGAACAGAATGATCAAGGTGCGTAAAGATGTTAATACTTGGAGCATTCCTACTAGGTCTTGACATTTGCCTCTCTAAGTCTACTTCTGCAATTCGGACCTCTCCCCACCTCTCTGTCACCTGTGTAACGGCAACGGCTCGTGTAGTCATTGGCCACGCGAGCTTCGCGCCAGAAGCTTTAATCCGAGTTGATAATTACTTAATCAAACTTATTTAAAAACATCGGTCATATCTATGTGCAAGGACCCACAGCTATCTGACCGCACGCAAGAGTGACGCATCTATCAAAAATGGAAGAAATGTCAAGTCTGCCAAGGCGGACGCCCCGAATGATCGGAGGGGCAGTGCGCCCCGAGTGCTGCCAAGAGGCCGACTATTTAACTTTTGAACCTTTTAAACCTAACTTCAACCCTTCACACAATGGCGCCACTCGTAATCAACGTGTCCGGCGAGTCGATCATCAGTCGGCATCCCGAACGCGCCGTGCTACACCTTGCCGTGACATCGGACGGCCCGGAGCAGGAAACGGTATCCAAAGATGTGACCACCACATCCAACGAGCTCCACCAACTTTTCAAGGGTCTATCACCCAAGAACGACAACGGCTATTCAAATGTCGACGCACCCGTGACAACCTTTTCATCCACACTTCTCCGCACATGGTCCATAGTTCCGACAGACGAGAAGAACAAGCCTTTGGACCGAGTGCATCACGCCACATCATCTTTTGAAGTCATTTTCCGCGACTTTGGCAAATTAAGCGAAGTCGCTGGAAAGCTAGTGGCTCACCCCAAAGTCGAAATCGACTCAATCGACTGGCGTCTGACTGATGCCACCAAGAAGGCTCTTGGCAGTGAATCGCGCAAGTTGGCCATTCGTGATGCTATCCACAAGGCAACCGATTACGCCGAAGTTATTGGGCAGGAGGTCGTTGCAGTCGAGATCACCGATGGAGGATCTGCATCGCATGTTCGAGCTAGGTACATGGCTGCCGCTCCTGCGCCCGCAAGAGCGCGCGGTCTGTTCGGCGCATCTCCCCAGATGGAGGATGAAGCCGACACCGCCCTCGATCTGAATCCCCAGCAAATCGAGTTCACAGGCGTAGTAGATGTCAAATTTGAAGCGGTGCAGAAGTGAGACATACGTGGAGCTTTGCGATGATCTATCCGAGAGATTCTCGTTCATCTTAGCGCGATCGCGATTTTTCTGTGAAACGAGTTTTCATATGTGTGTAAAGAAAATCAATATCAAATATATTCTCAATAAAGAAAATTGATCCTAATGCAACAAACTACCATGCGCGCTGGAGAGCAGCTTTCGGGACATACAACTCATCCAGATACTTCACATCCTCATCAGACAGCAACCCATCCTTGAACAGCGCCACAGACTGTACAGCCTCATCAACCCTCGCAATACTTGACAATCCAACGATAGGATTGACTCCCTTCTTCAGACACCACACTATTCCGATCTGAGCCATACTGCAACTCTTCTTCTTCGCCAGCTCTTCCACGCGGTTGATTATAGCCACATCGACCTCAGTAGTTGCGCCAATCAGCATCTGAGCGTAGGCATCATTCACTTCACGCACAGTCTGCTGCGCTTTATCTACTTTGAAAGGCCGTGTGAGGAGACCGCGCGCCAAAGGCGACCAGGGGATAATGCCGATACCGACGTCGTGGCAATACGGGTGCATTTCGCGCTCCTCCTCTCGGTGCAAGAGAGAATAGTAGTCCTGCATGCTGATAAACTTATGCCACCCATTCTTCTCGGCGATATTGTTCAGTGCCTGGAATTCCCAAGCGAACATCTGTCCAATATTTCAGTCAAGGTGGTAGCCCACACGCAACAGAGCCACTTACCGAGCTTGCGCCAAGATAGCGCACCTTACCAGATTCCACGAGATCATTAAGTGCCCGCATGATCTCCTCCCGAGGAGTCTCACGATCAAGACGATGAATCTGGAGAACATCCAAATACGTGCCAAGTCTTTCGATGCTGGCATCCACAGCATCGAAGATATGCTTCCGAGACAGGCCAATGCGATTCACCATGATCCCATCATTGACAGCCATCAAGGCCAATTGCTCTTGATCCGACAGTCCATCCAGGTCACCTGGGTTTGGAAGCCCGCCATAGCATTTCGACAAGATGACGACTCGCTCGCGGGGGATGTTGTATTTCTTCAGAGCCTTGGCGATGATACGCTCGGACTCGCCAAAGGAATAGACATCGGCCTAAAGTGGTCAGTCTTTGAACTATGTTCTTAGGGGGTCTATTACTGTGTCCCATGTGTTCAAGCCGTTGTCGAATGCATGCTTGATAATTGGTAGTGCTTTTTCCTCGGAGATCATCCATTCGTCAGTACCGAATGACATGGCTCCCAGAATCACCTTGGAGACTTTGAGGCCGGATTTTCCAAGCCTATAGCAAATCTCGTTAGAAACATACCTTCCTTTCATGCAGAAGAATATCTCACCGAGTATATTCCATGGTACCCTTTTGGGCCTCGGGTCGAAGAGTTAGACGATCCATCTTTTCTATCCAGGAATATTGATTTATTTCTGGAAAGCTCTACGAAAGTGAACATTGGGCGTTAAATATTCGAGGCATCTTGTGGCTCTCGTCAGCCAGAAGTATACTGAGTTCAGCTGTGTTGAGCATCAGTGGGACGCTCTTAGCCGATTGGCCGGTGGCGGACGTGCTCAAACTCAAACTCCGCATGACATTTTGGCATTTGAGGGTCAATCCAGCGATTCAGACCAATTATGGACTCCCATCGTTCGATGGCCTATGGCTTACGGTGCCTGTTGCATTTCATGTGTGCCATGAGTCGACTAGCACTTCCATTTTGACTTCTTGGGCTCTTGAATATCTCTGCTACTTGTAAAATTACCTCTCAAAATCTATAGGAATGGTCGTCTCTAATTTCATGCCACCGCCTGCTCTGCTGAAAGAGCCCACCCTCTTGTCCACCCAAAACAAACCACGGCCGAGCTTCCCAACTCTTCATACCCCACGGTGCACCCGAACCATTGATATTATCTTTGTCTCCAATAAAGGTCTCTCAGCCTATGAGACTCCCATCCTCAAGATCAGTGCAGAATTTGCGTTTCTCTATCATCAGAGGATCCATGGTGGCGAGCTGGATGAATCGTCGACGATATATAGGATAAAGGATGGGGTAAAAATAGGCATGGTGAGAGCTCTGGAGTTGGAGGTCTGTTGGTTTTAGATGCGATATTGATTCCAGCAGCTTAAGAGAGCGATTTAGTGCCTTCTACCGAGACGGCATCTAGGTAAAGTGACTCAGTTACGAGGTCTATAAGTTCTTCAAATATGAGGCCGAATACTTAGCATTTTTCCTGATAGCGACAACTGAACTTATTTGAGTTGTAGTTAGTTAGTATATACGAACGGCAGCGTCGGACGAGGGCTCGTTAGAGGTCCCCACGGGCGGGAATATTAGAAGTAGAATACTATTCCGCGGCGATTAGAGTTATACTACACCTCCAAATTTACCTAGTGGTAGATGAGATGAAAGGGTAAAGATGGCAAGGTCCAGTCTAGTTGGGGCGAGCAGCCCGGTCAGGTCCAGACCGTTCGCGTACATCACTACATGGTCACTATGTACCGCTTTGATGCTGCCTAATAGGCGATACACTTGGCGAAAGAAGATCATATTAATGAGTTAAGTCAGAATCCTGGCAATGACTCATTTGCTTGGTCAACTTCAAAATCGAATCGAACGAGATCCTCCTTGAATGGAATAAAATAGGTACTCGTCACCCTAAATTATGTCAGCTAGTTCCAAAACTATACTGAAGAATTCATTTGTGTGACCATACCTATGATGCTCACTACTTGCTTGATATTCATCCAGGGCCGCCCGGTTTTCATGATAGCTCACTAACGCATACTGGAATCCTTTGCTCTTTTCGATCGGGGTTGTAATTGACGGGCCTCCAACGACAAGTTTTTGGCTCTTCACACATGATAGGTTCTTCAAGGTCTTTAGTTGTAAGAGAAACTCTTCTCTGGCAGTCTCGGTGACATCCGCACGAAACTTAAATAGGACTGCTCATCCATCGCGGATATTAGCGAGACTGAAGAAAGACTCGTGATAGTAGAACATACCAATATGGACGATTGTCATCTTGAATAATGGTAAAAGTAAACTAGGTGTGAACTTAGAGAATTAATGGAAATCTGTTGTTTTTAAGCCGACAGCGAAGCGGCGGAAGCCATCCGTCCTCGGCAGTATCAGGTCACATTCAATCTCGTTCCTCACCTCGAATCTTCGCGTCTCCGATCAAGACGAGCACTCGGAAAAAGATATTACAATCGCCTTTAGTCCATAAAAGATCTTTTGTAGAATTTTTCATCGGGCGCATGGAAATCTATAATTTGTGAAAGGATCTATATCCGCGCCATCAAACTACGCGGTTAGTCATCTCACGGATCCCCCCCCGGCGCTTGACGGAAGCTATCCGAGCATCGCTTTGCCGGGCAAGAATTTGCGAATTCACATATGGAAACAGTCCGAGCATCAATATTGGACTTGTCGTGTACGAATACGAATAATACGGCTAATGATGATGGATTCCCCACGTCGAAGTCGAAACCGTGCTGCCTGCCGACGCTGTCAACGACGGAAAATCCGATGTGATGGCGAGGTTCCTAAATGCACATCGTGCAAGAAGGCGAATACACCCTGTGTCAATGATGGTAAGCAGGAAGTAAGCCGCACGTAAGCTCTTGATATTCTGCGGGTTCTGTGCGTACACTGATGCGTGGTAGATACATTACAAGCCTGCAAAAACGCGTGCAATGGCTCGAATCAATGATTCGCGAACAAGGGACCAATATCGAAGATGGCCCACCCTTGGATTTTATGGATAATATGGATAATTCGCAACTTGACATCACTAATCATGAGGACGAAGCTGCCGAGTCTGCTATTACTGCTACTGCCGCCGCTATCTCTGGCTCATGCCAATCACCTACCCCGGTTCAACAAAGACAGGATATGCCACTTGCCGACTCGCAACTTTCTCGCGCACAGTCAAAACAGGCCCATGAGATTGGTCTAGTCTCACTTTCTTCTGGAGCTGAGCCGAGATATATCGGCCCCTCGAGCGGTTATTTCCTAGCAAATCTGGTCTTTTCCAACACTGGTCGAAGAGCAAGATCAGCAGGCAATCGAGGCAATGGAAGTGAGCCGATCTCACTCTCTGCTGATCTATTTAATAGCCCTGCATCTTTACCAACTCGCAAAGAAGATGCAGTCGAGCTTTCTTCAAAATACTTCGCTTCCGCTCATCTCATGTATCCGTTCCTGCATGAACCATCTCATATGCAACGGATGAACAAAATGTACATGGATGGAGAAGCCAACACTAACCCAGTGGTAGCCTTCCATGTATATATGGTCTTGGCCATAGCAGCTTCGGACCTCTCCCGTCGCTTCAGAATTCGCCTCCCCGCTGAAGGTTACTACACCGCAGCCACTCACTATTTTGAAGCCGCTTGTGCCGAGGGCTCCCTAGAGGGGCTTCAAAGTCTCCTTCTCCTCATGGTCTATGCTCTTCATAATCCATCATGTGGGGTCAATGTTTGGGGCTTAAATTATCAGTGTCTGGGAGCGCTTATCGACCTCGGTCTTCAACGCGATGTGCGTGCATCCTCCGCATTTCAAATATCGTTCTTAGAGCAGGAGATGAGGACTCGGATATTCTGGGTGGTTTACAGTTTTGATCGGACATTGGGCACCATAATGGGTCGACCCATTGGTGTCCGAGACGAAGCTTGCGAGCTTCGAGTATGTTTTGTCTCTTTCTATATCCCCTTTACTTCAACTGACGCATCTCCTAGCTTCCTTCTGATGTCGCCGATATATACCTCTCAGAAGTCACAGCAGAAACAATGAATGGCTCGCCATCACACATTACATACTCGATTCACCTATTCAGGCTGGCTCGGCTGAATTCAGAAATCAAATATGTCATGCACAGCATCTGCAGAGATCCTCCCCGCTATGCTTACCCCCCGATTATTGACATTCATCAATGGCAAAACGAGATGATAGACCGGCTTCAGACATGGCTATCAGAGATTCCTCGTGTCCTTGGAATGGAATCGATTGCCAAGATATGCGAGACTAGATATCACGAAATGATGATTCTAGTCCTCCGACCTAGTCCCAGTATTCCGGATCCTTCAGACGAGATACTCGCACGATGTTTCCGACATGCCGTGGATCTACTCCGCGGCTTCGGAGAGTTATATCGACAAGAGTCGCTTTTATATAGCAGACTCATAGTGCACTCCATTTTCTTGGGAACACTGATAATGCTGCACTGTCTATGGAGGCTACCGAATATTGCATCACAGATCCAAATCGACGACCTGGTAGCAGATAGCGGCATCAGTCTGAACATCCTCAGCAGCATCGGCGAGTACTGGATAGAAGCCAAGCGAGCGAGAGATTGCATCCATGAGCTTTCAGGCGCTACAATACAACGATTGATCAAAGCACGAAGGCTGGAGTCTTCTGCATCTCTGCCGACGCCACGACCAGGTACTTTTAGCGGGAGAAATTTGCGATCCCAACAAGCGAATGAAAATTTATTATCGCCCGATCGAATCGATTCCGCTATTGATGCTGGCCCGACAATGCTTGACGATTATGATTTCAATATGGATACTTCGACCTGGCTGAATGATACCATGCCAGGTGGGTTTATGGATCTGGCGGGCGCGCCAGACTGGGATAGCATGATGTGGGGGATCTTCAATAGCAATTGAAGCCTGTAAAATAATGCAAATTATGACTACGTAGTATGCACAGAGTCTAGTGGGCTGTAATCGGTTCCCTCTAGCTGAGTCCCGGAATTTATTTTATCACTTCAAGGTAAAACAGTCGCAAAAAAAAAGCTCCTTCGTTTGAATTTGAGGAGGAGCTAGTCAATCTAGTTTAGCTTGGATCCCAAGGGGGAAAAAAACAAAAAGAAATGGACGAACGGCGATTTGAACGCCGGACCTCCCGCATGCAAAGCGGGCGCTCGTACCCCTGAGCTACACGCCCTTGGATATCTGGAATTCTCTATTTAAGTTACTCGAAGACCCTACCGAGTATCCTCTTTCGAATAGCTGTACCGGAATTTGAAGGCTTCTCAACATTAGGTACCGTTGGCGTTCCTTTGAAGCGAATCCGCAAATATTTGGGAAAGTGTTAGCAATAGGTAATCCATTGATTTCCCACCGGATTCAAAATGCATTTGGTCAAAGTCAAGCAACCATGTCAGAACTAACCGAATGGGAAAGATAGGGCGAAAAGCTAGCAAATGCAAAGAATTATATAGACTCTATTATAATTAATTCATTCTAGATCCATCCCATCCCGCCGCGGAGACATATTTGAGCATTTTGCTTAGGTCTACACAGTACCTCTAAAGCTCTGGCTGGTACGCAGCCGCTCGCCATATTTCATGAAAGCCAGAGGAATAGGGACCATAGCTAGCGCAATGAATCCCAAAGCCGAATTACCCCATCCCAGTCCCAGCTTTTCATACATAGCCGGTCCAGCCAAGGGAATCAATGCACCGAAGAGCGACCGCAGGACAGTGTTCGCTGCGATTGCCGAAGCCGAATGCTTTCCGAAGGCATCGATGAGGTAGGTGGAGTTTGGAATCTGAGGACTTTAGAATTCAAATGCTCGTTAGTCAAGGGGAGGGGTTCAATCTCACAAAAGATCCAATGAGTCCAAGTCCGACCAAGCCAGTGCCGATAATAGGGACAATCCAATGAATTTTATACTGAGCAGTCCAACCATACAGAAATAGACCGATTGGCAGAATCAGACCTGCAATGACCATTGGTGGTAGGCGGTACTCAGGTTTGACTACCCCGTTGTTGGAAGCTGTCAACTTCTTCAGAAGTTTATCTGAAGATGCGCCGACCATGAATAAACCCAGGAACATTCCGATTCCAATGCCGAGGTAAGCCAAGCCGGCCAAACCTTGAGAGAAGCCATAGGTCTCGGTGAAAACGCTCGTGATGGTAGTAAACAGAAGGTACAGAATACCGTAGACAAAGGCAATGTAGATGGACAAGCATGACACGATCGGCGAGAAGAGGAGGAACTTGATGGGTCGGAGAATGGACACCTTAAATAGCTCCGCCGGTGATAGACCGAGATCTTCGGCTGATCTGAGCTTGGGATTGCCGGTTTCTTTACGCAATCGCTTGGCCTTTTTATTAAGCAAAGCGACTGTGTATGTCTCTCGAAGGAAGAGGAACATCGCAATGGTCAGGACGCCAGCCTAAAGAATGAGTGAGCATTAGTTGAATCTTCAATCCGAAGCAGCCATAATACGCACAGCCATTGCAATGATCCAGAACACCCATCGCCACCCAACATCCTCTGCAAGGAACCCTCCTGCAATGGGTCCAACAACTGGTCCCAACAAGGGTCCCATTGACCAGACAGCAACAGCAGCACCTCGCTCTTCAACTCTGAACATATCGCCAAAGGTGCCACCTCCGATGGAGAGAGGAGTCGATCCCATGACGCCCGCGAAGAATCGAAATACGATCAACATAGGCATACTGGTACTGACAGCACACGCGATCGTGAATATAACGAAAAGAACGTTCGAAACATGGTAGACAGGGACGCGGCCGTACATCTCTGAGAGGGGTGCGACAAGCAGCGGACCCACGCAGTATCCGAGAATATAGACAGAGACGACAAAGGATGCGAGCATTGTGCTGGTCGAATGAAACTCGATCATCACATCTTCTACGCCGGGGGCAAACATAGACGACGCGAGGGGACTATTGTTTTGTTAGTATAGTCGGACCCATGGATTACTTAAGAGTCCATACGTGATAAAAGTCATCGCAGCAAGAAGGCCTCCATTTGCCCATTTTTTCTTCAAGGTCCAGTTCACTGGGTTCTCGGGGTCATCTTCTCCGTCCCAGTTGACAAGGTCGGGGTCGGGCTCGGAAGCCGTCTTTTCGCTAACAGTGTCCGTGCTGATTGCATCATGAACGAGAGCGCTGTTAGCCTCGAGATCACGGCTAGCGCCGCCCGGCGACTTTCTTTCAACGTCTTCAACCATCAGGTAGATTAGAGGGATTGCATGAAGACAGAAAAGAGAAGCTTCGGTTTAAGAAGACGAAGAAACTCGGAAACTCGGTCGTACCTAAGAGGCCGCGTGACAAGCGTCGGGAAGGATACATGCCGTAATGCCTTCATACGTATCTATCCAGGGGCCCAAAAGACATAAAAGGGTCTCTGGCTTTTCAAGTTCCAAGTTATGCTCCTCTATGCCAGATGCAGCTCCACCACGCTCATCGTGTACGAGATTCTCGGATCATGTGATGATTGGCCACATCGTCGAAATGGTCCCACTTGTTCTCCCGTCATTGAGTTGTACAAGGAACAAGGAAGGAATAAGGAATAGTTGACTTTCATCCACGTGTGTTGATCTCATGTACCATAACAAAAGCTTTCTGTTTCCAGGCATACAGGTAGCCACTCTTCATCTCAACATTCGCCATCATCTCGAATGCTCCCAGCTTGGCCCTTGGCCATCTAGTACTGTCTCCAAAGGCCAGCCAAGCAACCAAATCCATTTGTCCTCAATTGTATCGCGAATAGATTCGAGAATAGAAAGAGGCCAGCCCTTGATAAACCATCTAGAGCTCATCAATTGCAGAAGAGCACAGTAGTATGCAAAGACGAGTAATGCCTCTGGTCTCTTATCTTCGAGAAGGACGAGATAGTCAGGAGTTGCCCTCATCGGCCATATAAATGCAAGAGCCGTGTCGTGCATCTGGGGAAGCTCCTCAACAACCTCATGAAGTGTCCTGAGTGATGACTGGCAAATCTCAACAGCATGCTGATCGCTAGATTGTTTCCCTAACGCTTCTGAAAGATCATGAAGCCGAGAGTATGCCAGTACATTCTTCCCTGAGGGAAAGTTATCTTTTTTGCACATGCTCTCCCGTGCTTTCATCAGAGGTGACATAGGTCCATGTCGAAGTACTGGCAAAAGCTCACTGTGATTGACAATAGAAGGCAATCCCTTGATGAGGATGATCCACTCTGATAGTTGGAAGTCGAGCCATATCCCAGTACCCATGGACACATCAGGCTGATCCGATGGAAATGGATTCTTCGATGGTCGGGAAAAAGAGGTGATGAACAAGAGACATGCGCAGCCGAAGATAGCATGACAGCTCTCCGAATTCAAGTTCGAGAGGCTACAGCGATAGCCTTTCAGTGCACTCTCATGATGATCATAGGCCGTCAGGAGGTATTCATCAGTTGCCCTTCCCATATCGATCGATGAGCTAGATTGAGCTGCCCCCTGTGGGCTCACTATATGGAAAGCAGACAATGCGAGAATGCAGTGCAACAAAAAGTCATGTTTCAAGGCAAGTTGCACAAAAGTCGTTGAGAAGAAAGTCTGGATCTCAGATGAATCTGATATTGACTTCGCCGTGTTGATTGTGAAGCTATGCAAGAGTTCCATGTCCAAAAGTGCAGTTGATGAGAGACCTTGGTTGAGTAATGGTGTGGGTGGAGCAAAGGAACAGGAGAGCCTACCTTTTGTGCATTGAGCACATGTAGACAAGCCGTTTTCATCGCATTTTATCTTCCGGTTCTTGCATTGAAGACAGCCATTACGCGACTTCAAGTGCTTGCGCCGTGTTGCCGTAGGCGCCATATGAACCATCAATCAGGTCGAGTCCATAGATGCCACTCTTAGCATCGACCTAAGAACGTTTTAAAAGAAGCTCGATGCCGAAAAGACCTCGTTGGCTAGACCTGGTGGGTCAGTGGTGGTTGACAGATTCCACTTGGAATAAGACGTTGTCGACTCTCGGTAGTGGCAATCACGTGGGGTATACAGCGAGTTTCTTGATACCATTCCTCACGTTCTGCGTTTACAACAAGTGAGTAATTCAGACTACCGTGAAGCTAACCAACATAGCCAGAAATATATCCAGGCCTTAAAACCGACTAGCCTCAATAGATGGAAAAGTGTAGAGTAGTACAAGTGGACGCCTCCACCATCGGGAGAACTCCGCGTCAACGGGAAACATCCGCCTTGCCCCAACATTCTCCACGTATAAAGTCAATCGCAACTACATCGCGGTCTCCACGATTCCAAAAATTCAAATTACTTCATCAACTCCTTCATCATGACCGACCTGAAAATGGCACAAAGTGACCAAAAACAACAAATGCACCACATCAACCACACAGACTTAGAGGACTTCGTTCGCCAAATCCTCATCGCCAACGGCACATCTTCACAAAACGCCACAATCGTCTCAAAATGCCTAGTCTCCGCCGACCTCCGCGGCGTCGACACTCACGGCAGCAACCGCATCCCCTCATACATGGAGCGTATTCGACAGAAATGCCTAGACCCATCCGCCACGCCAAGTCTCCGTCAAATCACACCCGTCGTGGCCCAAGTTGACGGGCACAACGGGTGGGGATTTGTAGCCGCGCACAAGGCAATGAGCCGAGCCATTGAAATGGCCCAGGAATTTGGAATGGGCATGGTCTCCGTCAAGCATTCGAATCACTTCGGGATGTCAGCTTGGTTGGTTAAGCAGGCTCTTGATGCGGGAATGATGTCTCTTGTGTTTACAAATTCTTCGCCTGCGCTTCCAGCTTGGGGCGGGAAGGAGAAGCTTATGGGTGTTTCACCTATTGCGTGTGGTGCGCCCTCGGGGAATGACAGTCGGTCTTTTATTCTTGATATGGCTCCTTCTGTTGCGGCGCGGGGGAAGATTTATAAGGCGCTCCGGAGAGGGGAGAAGATTCCGGTGGATTGGGCTTTGGATGGCGAGGGGAAGAGTACGGATGATCCGGCAAAGGCTTTGCAGGGTGTTATGTTGCCTATGGGGGGACCGAAGGGGTCGGCATTGTCAATTATGATGGATGTGTTTTCTGGGGTTTTCTCTGGGGCTGCGTTTGCGGGTCATGTCACGAATCCCTATGATCCATCTAAGCCGGCGGATGTGGGACATTTCCTTGTGGCTATTAAACCGGATTTGTTTATGACTATGGATGAGTTCAAGGGGCGCATGGATTATCTTTATAAGCGCGTTACGGAGTCTGAGAAGGCTGATGGGGTAGAGCAGATTTTTTTCCCTGGGGAGATTGAACAGATCATGGAAGAGCGGAGACTTGAAGAGGGTATTCCTTTGGCTGAGGCTGAGGTTGCGGGTTTGAACAAGGAGGCTGATTTAGTCCAGGTAGAGCACCTCAAGATACAACCTGCCTGATTTTCGATATCTCGTGAGGAAATGCCGCTTCCACTTGATATTCATAGGACTTCAGGTAAAACATCTAATTCTTATAGTTACATCCCCACTGTATGGCCATTTGAAGTTCTGGGCATGTTTGTATTCTGCTCCAGGCAGCGAATGATGAATTCTTCTACTATCTCATGAGACCAACATGGTTACAATTTGGAGTTTTTCTACAGGAAGTCATCTTGGCATGGCTGATTGGACACCATTTCATGCAACATTGCACGCTGCATGAGCAAGTGGCTTTTCCCAAGGTACAAGACCTATATAATCCAGTCCGACTGGCTAAAAATGATCACTACCAAGAAAGAATCCCTCCAACCGACCTATTTTTCGACAAAGGTCAAGAAGATACTGCTCTATAGGCAAGCAAACTCTGGAAAGAAAGGACGCAAAAAGCCCTCAAAATTTATGTCACACAACAATTCAATTATCGTCCACGAGACCTCCCGTATAAGACAGAAGCTAAGAAATAAGAGGGAAATGGGGGCAACGCAATGAGGGAAGAAATGGGGGATGATACTCTGAACAGGCCATGTCCCACTTTACAGTCAGAGATAATAATGACAGGAGAAAGGAAGAAGGGGGAAAAAAGTCAACATGAAAACAGGGCTGGGAGATGGGATGGGGGGCAAAAGAGACATTAAGCAAGATAAGGAAATGTATTCTGACAAAGGAAAAGAACATGCTAGATAATCAAACACCCGGCGGATGAAGAAGGCGCTTCACGCACGGAATGGGGAATAAAGCAGGGTATCATAGGTTTAATCCAAACAACCTCGCTGCTCTTTTGAATCGAAATGTGGGAAGGTATGAAACGTTGTCTGTGTCAATCTTCCGGGTTGGATGAGGTTTTGATCCTTCAGGTGCGTAATGCTGCTTCCTGGGTGGAATTTTGAAGGCCGATGGGTGGTTTACCGGTCGTCGCCGGCCCGAGACTTGGCACGCCTTCGGAAAAAGTCCATGACCTTTCGGGCGGCGCCTGAGCTTCCTGAGTGGTGAGAGGAGTCTCGCTCGTACTCGTATGCGTCAACAAACTTGCGATTATTCTTCTGCAAGACGCTTGGTCCTCGTCGGCCAGCTTGCATGGATTGTCTAGGCAAACTGTCGTAAGTGCCGTTGTAGTCGTCGTAGTAGTTCGGCTTCGAGGAGTACTTGTGATGAGAACCATTGTATTGGTCATCGTCATTCTGCCGGTAGACTTGCTCAGATGAGATGGCACCAAAGGAATCGTCGGTCTGGTCGAAGTGATTTCCAAGCTCGGCAAATTGTTGGTCAATTTGAGCCTCGTAGCTCAATGGCTCCGAATCTTTCTGCTCGTACACCGTGTCTGAAGGACCCTCATTCACCATACTCATAGCCTCCTGAGTTCCATAGCTGGTTGCGCGAGGGCGATTTGACATAGGACCAGTGGCTGGGCGCTGACTTTGAGGGTCGACTGTTCGTGGCGTTTGTGATGATTCTTCAGGAGTCTGAGCGCGTCCAGAGAAGTTGCGGAAAGAGAAGGAGGACGGAAGAAGGGAGAATCGACGAGGTCGGCCTTCCGCTTCGCTCGCCTTGCGGCTATGCGAGTATTGCATAGAGCGACGAGAATCCATAGACTGACGGGAATCTTCTCGCGGCAGTGGGTCCTTCATGCTGGTAGGGGGGTACCGTCTGTTTTGCCGGGCACGACTATTTTGAGCCTGGGAGTTTCGACCACCCAGAATAGATCCCGATCGGCCGAAAAGCTTCTCGCCAATGCTAGAAACAGTGCTCGATCGCTTGTGGCCGCTCTTGGGGGGCTCTTGTCGAGGAGTTGGGTTAAATGCCGAGGGGAGCTGTTGGGTGCTGGGGCGGCCAATGGATGCACTAGACGCTTGAGCGGGGTTCTGCACAAGAGAGAACTGTCCGCTCCTAGGCTGCGCTAGACGGCCTTCGGTGTTGGTAGCAGTGACCATGGGCGCCACGGGCTGTCCATAGGAGCCTCGCGAAGGGAGACGACCAGTGTGGATAGATGCCATTGAGCCACCCGTCTGGGGTCGCGTGTTCGAAGGCGCCGGGGCATAGGTATGTGAGCCAGTGAGGCCGGGGTTTTCCGATGTCGAACGGGGGAAGTGTCCTGGCAATGGCTTGTCCAGGTTGATAGGCGGCTTCGGAGCGGTTTTTGAGGTCGTGCGTGGCTTCTCGGGTGTCGCGCTCGCTTGTGGTTCCTCGCCAGTGTGAGGTCCCGGAGTGTCCTGGTATTCTCCTCGGGTTGTTTGCGATTGAGGAGCAACATACTCAACCTGAACAGTCCTCCGCTTCGCATCCTTCGAAGTCTTCGACTTTTCACTTGGCGAATCCTGGGAAATATCTCCAGCGTGGTGATTGAGCCCACCAACAGCCGCAACTGAACTTTGGTGTGCTGACTTGGGCGGCTCACGAACGGAGGCACTACGAACAAGGGCCGGTGCCTCTTGGTGCTCAGACGGTACCGTTGTGTTGGCAATATCCGCAACATTCGTTGTGCTGCTGGTGATATGCGAAACGATGTGAGAGTATTCACTCAACCAGCTGTGGCGAGCCACCTCAAACAAGTCGGCACGCTTCCGGGGGTCGGGGACCAGTATCCGCCTCAAAAGGTCACGAGCATGGGGTGTGACATATTCAGGGAAGGTGAGAGGGGTGGTCACGATGTATTTGTAAAGAAGGTTGATGTTGTCTCCGTCGGGGTTTGCGGGGTCGTCATCGAATGGGAGGTAACCAGCCAACATGGCATACTATACGATATTAGATCAAACTAACACGCAGCTGGTTAAAGAAACTTACCAAAATGACACCGCAGCTCCACACGTCCACTTTGCGTCCGGTGTACAGGGAGTCACTAACAACCAGCTCCGGAGCAGCATAGCAAGGACTTCCACAGCTTGTCTGCATCAGGTCACCCCGCCTGTATCCATCTGGACCCAGCTTATCCAGTCGCTTCCGCTTGACATATTCCTTATTGGTGAGGTTGTACTCGATCTCCTCGTCTAATGGGTCGGTTGGGTCGAAGGTGTTGGCGAAGCCGAAATCTGTAATGATAATGTTGCGATTCCTGTCCAGCAACAAGTTTTCCAGCTTCAGATCTCGGTGCACAATACCCTTCTTGTGCAGGTAGCCGACACCTGAAATTAATTGTGCAAATAGCCGACGTGCAGAGTTGTCTTTAAGGTACCGGTTGTTCAGAATGTAGTCGAAAAGTTCACCTCCTGATGCGTACTCCATGATGATACCTATGTGGCGGTCCGTTTCCACCATCTCGTGAAGACGGACGATGTTGGGGTGTGCGAGCTCACGCAAAATCGCGATCTCGCGATAGATCTTGGGCAATCGGCTAGGGTTGGATCCCAGAGATTCCCTGCGAATGAGCTTGATGGCTACCTGGATGCTGCCGTCGCGCTTCCAACCAAGCTTGACCTTGCCGAATTCACCCTCGCCGAGGGTTTGCCCAAGAATGTAAGTTCCAAATGTGGTCTCCTTTCGCTTGATGGTATTTCCGTTGTTGCTATAATCATGGCGGCTTCGATGGCCGGAGCGTGTTCCCTCCTCGACCGGTTCAGTTCCAGCCGTACCAAAGTTTTGCGCCGAGTCTTGTGGTGCGATTGCCGCTGGGGATGCGCCTTCTTGTCGCACCTGCTCTCTCGTCCGATCCACGACGGGATCGCTGACCTGCACCGAGTTGATCACCGCACTCGTCTCTTTCTCCAAAGGAGCTCCCTGGCCTGACATATTCTCTAGGCCGCGATCTTCTTCCGGGTATGAGACCGGAGGCGCACCTCTTGATGCCTCACGTGTAGTCTCCTCCAAGGGATCTGCCCGTCTTGATCGACTTTTACCGTTGCGGTCGTCGCGTGTTCGCTCTCGGTTTTCCTTGCGATCGGACCGGCTCTTTCCCTGTCGCGAGCCTTTCTCGGTCGATCCGTTAGGACTGCGGCGGCTATGATGCGTAGAAGAGCTCCTCGGGGGAGGGACTGGTGGCTGTCCTAACATGTCCGGGTAATTGGCGCGCGCATTATTCTGAACGGGAGGCGGAACTGCTTGAGTCGATACTGGTGATGCGTGGGCGGAGAATGCCGGCTGATGAGAAGTGCTCATAGCCGAAGAAGCTGATCGGGACCGGCCTCAGAAATGGCTACAGAAAAGAAGAGGATTAGCATGGTGGACTCAGTCGGTGGGGAGGGCGAGAGTGTTTGCATCACGACTGGTATCGTACCTTCTAGTGATGCGCGAAAAGTCCACCGAGGCTTTTCGTCGTATGACGGTCCGCGACGGCCTCGATCGGGCACTTGTCGAGGAATAGAAGCTCGTTCCAATTGCGAACGGCACAATTGGCGCGTAGAAGCACCACGCCCTCCCGAGGGTATTGGGCGAAGGATCGGGAGGTTGGGTGAACGGTCGCACTCGCTGAGTGGAGCACTTCAGCCTCAGAACTGTGAACATGAAACGATCGCGTCAGTTCGAAGCCCCTCGGCGGACAATTCTTATCGATAATGAGAAAGAATGTGGCACATCAAAAATCGAAGAGGGAACTGACAGGACGTCGATCGGAAGAATGGAGGAATGGGGGGGCAGGGGGAATGCCAGGCCAGTGGTCGCGAACAAAAGAACCGTCAGATCTTGAGTATTCACCCGGCACAGCAGGTCGCGACTCAATCGGACCAAAAAGACGCGTCGTAAAGGCAAAAAAAGGGCAGTAAACGAAAAGGAAGTTGAAGATACCTGCGCTGCAGTGTTCTGGAATCCCGCAACCCACGACCTGAGGGGGGCGCACGTTGTCCAAGAACTGGGGGAGAGAAACAAACGCGGAAGCGAGAGAATGTCTCAGGCGCGATTGAGTTTCCACGATCACTGAAATCAAACGTAGAACATCGTCTCGAAGCCAGGGTAAGAGGGGCGGACAGGGGGCGCGAGGGGAGAAGAGAGGCGGGAAGCACCGGTCGCCCCGAGTCAAGAGAAAAGGGGTGTTGAGAAGTTAAGAAGGGAAGGCGCAAACAAGACCCAGGAACAACACAAAAAGAGAGAGAGAGTCCTAAGGGAAAGGACCTCAAGGATAGAGAGGGTGGGAGGAGGGAGGAGAGAGCAGGCAGGTTAACTGGGTTGGTTTAGTTTCGTTTAGTCTGGGGGAGCGGGTCTTTGGTCTTTGGCCTGTCGGGCTGCAAAATAGTAATCCTGGAAATTTCTACTCTCCGTTCTTATCACCTTCGGTCGAAGGTATATGGCCTATGGTTTATGGTCTATGATCAATGATCTATGGTCGTGGAATTATACCGTAGTCTATCCTATACCGAGTACTGAAGAATGTGGACATCGGGCCTATCCTCCACTCCATCGGCCACTACTACAGTAACTACTACTATGATGCCGCGGGACACGCCAGATAGCTAGGACCAGATTAGCCTGCAGAGCTATCTCCAGCAGCTGCGTATATCAGTCCTGAATAAGGAAAACTCGCTGTTTTCCCCTTACCTCGCCTGTGATAGAACGAAACGGGTGCGAGGCCCGAGGGCTGATCCTCGCATGTGCCTCGTAAATGGGGGGTAAACATATGAAATAAACATAAATACAGGGAAACAGGAAGGTCAAAGGTCCAGTGGTCATAGCTTGTCAAGCGCGCAAATGAATCCAAAGTCCCGTTTCAAAAAGGGGGCTTCGCGCCGGTTGTTTCGAATTACTGAAAAGTGGGCTACTCGCTAGGACCGCCGATCGTCATTACGCCCACACGATCGCGACTTGACAAGATCTGGGAGCTGGAAGCTGTACGTTGACTTGATTTCTGTCCAATTGTTGTCGTGGTTGATCCCCCCCTGGAAAGGACAAGTGGATTGAAAGCAATGACAACATTTGATTACTATTACTCGGGGTCCCAAAGTGTCTTTGACCAAGCTCTAGCTTCGTTAGCCTCGAATCGAGCCGAGTTCTACGAGAGCTTCAAGCACTCAATTTCCCTGGGCGCATCGGATGAACCCACGGTTAGGGCCCGTGAGAACCAGGGTTGCGCCCCCGGATCGAGTAGATCCTTGTTGCTCCATCACTGCAAACGTTCCCAAGATTTCCACCGCGTAATCAATGAGCGAGTGGACTCGGTTCCTGGGCATTTCGGGGTCGGCGCTAAAAGCTGATTTCATTGCGCGCTCCACTTCGTATCCGGGTCTCCACCCAACGGCACGGCGCTACATCCCAATTCAAGGCTCGAGTCTCAAGCTCAGGTCTCACGTTTCAAGACCATCGAGACGAGACTCGAAAGTCTGCTGGAGTGGCGGTTGTCGGTGTGGAGGCTGACCTGGATGAGAACCCTTGATAAGCCCCAATTGGACATTCTGGGTGGGCCGGCCAACTGTCAAGCGGGTGATGCGTTGGCAGCTTTGCCATTGCGCCGGCGCTCATCCAATCGACACAATACCCTTTTCAATCATCCGACAAGATCATGAGAATTGTGGTCCAATGGGTGGAATCATCAAAAGGTTTTAACGCACGGTCAATGGCAGAACGGCCTCATCAGAACATATCGCCGAAAGGGCGCCACAGTCCCCGCCCCGGCCGAAACTTAGATCCCTAATGGTGTGCAGACTACGGAGTGCAGTCCTTGGCGGTGACGCATAACATGATAGACCGCAACTCTGTGTTTATTCGGGATCAACTATGGAACTAGCTATCTACATACTAGGTCACAAATTCGCAAGGAAGAACGCTTGTAAAGATCCGTGGATATCTTCATCTGTATCTCCAAACCCATTGCATAAAAATTAAAGGCTCAAATGCTGAAAAATATCAAGATCTAGCGCTTCCCCCCTGACATAGACGCACCACCCATTGACATCGTTCCTGATGCATCGTATGCAGGAGGTGGGGTGGGGTTCGGTGATGGGCCCCGGGCAACTGGATCCCGTCCGAGGCCAGAAGGGCCGGCGGCCTCGGTGGGAAGCTGGCCACCGTCGCCGCCGCCAACCACCACCTGCTGACCGTCGCGCATTTTACCCACGACCATGCCCTTCGCGACAGACTTGAGCAGTGCACGTCGGCTTACGCCAGTGGCATCAATGTACACCAATCCGACATTCTTAATACCACCTGTCAGATTGTTGGCGACTGTGCCGGCTTGGTCACCGTAGCGGTGGCTGACAACTGTACTGGCAGCCTGGGAACCGGTAAGAAGGATGTTTCGGGCACCCTCCTGAATGCCATCGGCAAGGGTTGAGAAAGCAATCATCGACTTGTTCAGCACGCCCGGCTTGTAGTCGGGTGGTGGGTTGCCTTTGCTGAAGCCCTTGGGTTTGCCCTCTTTGCGCGCCAACGATGCACCAATGCTCTGTGCAACCTTCTCTACCTGTCCAACTGTGCGCGAAGAAATATCAGCAGCACCATTGGAGTAGGTGCCAATCTTGCGGATGCGTGCGTGCGTGGCATCGGAGAAGGTCAGCGGCTTGGGGTTCGGCTTCGTCTTCTTGGTGAAGCCATCTGCTCCGCTAGTGATGTAATTGGCCAGAGAGGTTGATGTTGCAACAATCAAACGAGATGCTGTTGCCGATGTCTGAACGATTGTGGAGTTTTGATATGCCGGGTGGCGCGACATAGCCAGGTATTCTTCGGAAACATTGCTGACACTGACTCGGTTGCCCTCTCCTTCGCTAGGAAGCTCAATTCCCACGGGGCCTATTCACCATGAACATAAATGATTAGCTGCTAGACAAGAGGCGGGAACGACTGATCCATGCTCACGTTTAGATCCAGGCTTTACATCCGCATCCTCCACCACGTTGTACCCATCTCCCAATTCTCCGACGACGCTTCCATCCTCTTCGTCAATGAGTACTATCTTGCCGTGCAGATCGGACCGCTTGGTATCGGGCGACGTGACATAACCTTCACCGGGTGCATAGTCGGCGGGGTTGTACGCGGCGTAACCATCCGACTTTCCACTCGAAGCCGCACGGTCGTGGAATGCAGTGCATTGCGCAAGGATTGTTTCGAAAGTATCGATATCATCTTGCATCACCTTATTGGGCCCCGACCCAATACTGGGGAATTGAATTCGGATAAAGGCGCCAACATCGGGGGCCATATCCCAACGAGGGATCAGATAGCTATCCGGTGGTTGGTGGAAGATCTGTGTAGTGGCAGGAAGGGCAAGGTCCAATTCCGGAGGGAGATAAAGGTGAAGATAGAAGTCCTCCTCTGGTTCAGTGCTGGCGCCGGCAGCATATGGCGGCGTCGGCGCTGAAGTAGCCGTTGGGACCATTAGCAAGGACAGCGTCTGCGGACCGGAGGGAGTGAGCTCCTGCTCTTCGCCATCTTGAATGTGAAAAGCGCGAATGTTGTTGACGCTGTAGAGAAGGCGTGGGTCGTGCGAAGCACCAGACATCGTGACTCTTGATATGTGACTAGATAGAAACAGAACTGCCCGCTGATAACGCGGATAAGAACGATGACGTGTGATCCTCCGGGAGAGGTAAGGACGTAAATCCAAATAGTCGATGTTATCAAGGAGTTTAATAATACAGGATTCAAAAAGGAGGAGAAATGGCGCAGACCAAAACCAAGAACAGGGAGGGGCGCTTCTTAAGTGCAATGTCTGGGCGCTTAGATAACTGCGATGAGGTCAGTGCACAGCCACCCAGGAACACAAGACCCCGCGCACCGCCACAGCGCCACATCAAGTCCGTGGAATCGAGCCGTGGCGAGTCTTCCAACCTCCCAATCATGGCTCTTCAAATTGTGTCCGATCTACATTTAGAGAAACCACCTACCTACGATGTTTTCGAGATCATTCCAGAAGCACCCTACCTTGCCCTTCTAGGTGACATAGGACTTGTCCGGGATGATGGCTTTTTCACGTTTATTAAGGCCCAGCTGCAAAAATTCCAGATTGTTTTCCTATTACTTGGCAATCACGAGCCATGGCACTCGACCTGGGTAAAAACGAAGGAGCGCATCAAGCAATTCTCTGACTCTGTGAAGCAACAGTATTCCACCAAAGATTTGGGAGTATTCGTCTTCTTGGACCAAACACGATACGATCTATCCTCTGAAGTCACCATCCTCGGATGCACATTGTACTCCCAGATATCGGAGCAACACCGGGAAAGGATCAGTACTGGAGTAAATGATTTCTACCACATCGACAACTGGACAGTCGACGATCATAATGCTGCTCATCGCGCAGATCTAGATTGGCTTAATGGCCAAGTCTCAGAGATAGCTACCTCCGAACCGCAGCGAAAGATTGTTGTGTTTACACATTACAGCCCGGTTGCTCAGGATCCGCGTGCTGTTGATCCAAGGCATGTCGACAGTCCACTGTCATCGGGGTTTGCCACAGATCTTTCGATGCAAGAGTGTTGGAAAAACTCTCGAGTCTGCCTCTGGGCATTTGGTCATACCCATTACAATACCGAGTTTATGGAGGAAGGTACTGGCAAACTTGTGGTCAGTAATCAGCGTGGCTACTACTCGTCGCATTCCAAAGGCTTTGAGCCAAGAAAGGTAGTTAGGGGTTAATCATGTGGTTTGTGGCCCTGGCATAGCAGGGCTAGGTGCTTTTGGCGGTTAGGGTAGTTATAATTTCTTTTTTTCTTTTTTTCAAACAACTACCTAGTTTTTCTTAAAGCAATCTCGAGATAATTTTAGGCTTGGCACATAGTTCGCTGTCTCGTGCAACGTCTCTTTTAGAAAGACGTTTTGTTATTCATGATCCCGTTTCCCCCAGGTGCCGTCATACCGAGGCTTTACATATATTATCCATCTCCTCCCGACTCCTTTTGTCTCTGAATGATGACCCCTATCAGGATCCATCTTTTTCTTTCATCTGGCGTCTTCGTCGTGAAGCTGAATATGTATTGTATCACTGCTGCCTCATCGCCTCAGGCATCAACAGCGGGGGAACCGGACCACTCCTGCTTGTCGTATCCTTTTTTTACCGCGTGCAGCCGCATCCTCATCGCTAAGCTTGCCTTTTTCTCCCTTGGCTATGCATAAAGCCATATAACATGGGCTTTGATCACGATACCCAAGTCAGTCGTCGGTTAGGCGCTTCGAAATCCCGGGCTGGGTGCAAAACCTGCAAGTACGTTGTTCTTCGGTCTCTACCTTCAGGTAAATACCTTACACGTCCATCTGCTGATCATCGAATAGGATTCGAAGAGTGAAGTGCGACGAGATCAAGCCATGCTGTCGTCGCTGCTCGAGCACGGGACGACATTGCCAATATGAGGGTGCAAGATACCCCGCAGCTCCATCCACGCCCTCGCCTACGGGACTAATATTAAGCCGCAACCTGTCACAGTCACCCAATTCAGGACAACGAGAACGTCGTGCATTTGAATACTACTTTCAACACGCAGCTCATTATTTGTCTGGTGGCTTGGGGGTTAATTTCTGGACACTGGTTGTTCCACAAATTTGCCGCAGCGAGCCAGCTGTATGGGATGCTATGATTGCAATAAGTGCCCTATACGAATATCCAGATCAGTGTTTGGACTTTCACTTTTTAAGAAAGCAATATGACCAAACACAGTCGATGAACCGAAATTCACGAGAGGCTTTAAACTGGTACTCACGCTCTATGTCTAGTGTTCGTTCGCAGATCGAACGTGGCAATGCGGATCCATACATTTCGCTGATCAGCTGTGTGCTTTTTATCTGCATTGAGACGATTCAAGGGCGTGTTGAAGAGGCACTACAACTATACAGACAAGGTGTTCAACTGATACTTGATCTACGTGTTCAAGTTGCTCTTGATCGAGTCTCCGTCTCCAAAGCTGCGCTCCTGGAACATACCCTGATCCCTCTTTTCTTACGTCTGGGCAACGTCTCTCTTACTGTCTCAGGCACCCAGCCAAGTGAACTGTATCGGACTACTGAAAAGACGGTAAGCTCTAGCTTTTCGTCTGTTGACTCTGCAAGGGCTGCCATCGTTCTGCTATCTGCAGAAGCTATGATCTTTGAAGGGGAATCAACCATTTATCTCAGAAGTGTTGATGGAGACCATGCTATAAGCGCCGATATGATTGAAAAGAAGAAGTCTCTTTCAGGCCGACTTTCTCGTTGGCTCGTTGGCTACACAAGTTTATGTGACAGACTTCGCACAAAATATGCAATCCCAACGGCAACGGAACCCATTCTTCTGGCCTATCATGCTTCAGCCTCGATCGTTGTTACGGGATGCTTGACACAACTTCAAACTGTGTATGATGTTCATTCTGCAGACTTTTCGCTTATAATTGAGCAAACAAGTCTAACTCTCAATGCTTCAGCAGGGCCAGGTGGTTCCCAACCACCTTTTACCTTTGAAATGGGAACTGGTATACCATTGGCTGTTACTGTGATGAAATGCCGCGATCCAGTACTCCGTCGAAAGGCTTTGGCATTACTGAAAAAGGCGCCTCCAGTGCAAGGATTCTTCAAATGCACCCCAGTAGCTCTGCTAGCAGAGAATCTGATGAAGCTGGAAGAGGGCTATAGCCTGGACTCAAAAAAAGCGGCACAATCTAGCTTGCCAAATATTTCCCCGGGTAGCAATCAATTTGCGAGTCTTGCAGTCTCGCAACACGAAGTTACCCCAAACAATTCACCGTGTATCCCGGAAGAAGCACGGATATCCGGATATGCTATTTTCAAGCCTCGAAATGGACTTCTTCCGGGTATTAAAGAAGAACATATCACACGGTGGGGTCGCAGTTCCGATCATCTTTTTTTGCAATTTACGAGAAATCGTTTTGATAAGGCTTCCGTCACATGGAAATCATACTCCGAGTGCGTACCTTTGGGGTGATATGTGATGAACTTCGAGTGCAAAAAGGGCTTTCCATGCAGCCAGGCTGGCGATGCAGTCGTGCGTCGATCGCTATATGGGTACTTCCATAGTTCGCGTCGCGATCTGAAGCCCCGTTTTTACATGGCGTTTACACCCATTATTATGCCGATCTTTTCGCCTATCTTTACGCTCTTTGTTATGCTACCCATTTTCTCTTTCCCATATTCTCCCCTACTTCTCTTCTTATCAACTTCACCGCTAGGGGCTTCAAGCCATTACAGACCCCGCTCTAAAGAATACGAAGCATTTAAAGTTTCTCAAGAAGCAAGTGGAGACTTGCATGTTCGATCCTCGGCGCATGACAACCAGGGCTTTGGTTGGCCGCGGAGCTCAGTGGGGGCTGATTATACCAGTAGAGATTCGTGGTCATAATCGCGATGGTCGCAACGCTGATGGCAGAGGCAGTGATACTCATGGTCATTTGCGGCAGAAGGTGCGAGGGCAGGCAGTTGCGCACTTATGCCGACATGATGTTCATGGACGATGAGCTGCAGATGATGAATACCTCGAATAATTAGTTAACGGATTCTAATGCATCTTTATTCTGGATATCGAGACGCGTAGTCGAAATTAAGTGCGGCGGAAGGCTTCCGGGCTCATGAAAATGCCCGGCTGCACTTGGTCAGGTTACCCGGAAGCCATCTGGAAGGCCTTTAGACATATGAATCAGCACAACATTCTACATTAGTCATGTGGGTGCGCACCCCTGGGACTTGTTCGTGTTACAAAATGCTAGTTTCAGATCTTATCAGCCCCGCGCGCCTCCGCTCGGGTACATCCGTCCCTGGTCACCCTGCATCACGACATATTATATTTCAGAAGCTCTGGATTCATGACCATACATCTATTCAACTTATTCAGGCATCAGCCCAGCATGACAGCGAAAACTACAATTCAGCTCCCAGTGGGGCCCATTACCGCGCTGGCAACAGAGGGCATTATCCACGCTCGGGGCATTCCATACGCCAAAGCAAACAGATTTGAAGCCCCGCAGCCAGCCGATCAATGGACAGAAGCCCGCGATTGCACCGACCGGGCCTCAATATGCCCACAACTCTCATCGCGACTGGAGTCGGTTATGGGTCCGTTGACCGAAGGCCACAGTCTAAATGAGGACTGTCTACATTTAACCATTACCGCGCCAAATGATGCCACCAACGCACCTGTTATGATCTGGCTGCATGGTGGTGCTTACATCTCAGGCGGTGGAGACCTTGACTGTTACCAGCCGGCTGGTTTGACCAAGCGAGGAATCGTCTGTGTCACAGTTACTTACCGGCTAGGTGTTTTCGGATATCTAGGCTTGGAGGGCATCGCATCCGCGAACCTGGGTTTATTGGATCAACGAGCGGCGCTTCAGTGGATTCAGAACAATGTTACTGCATTCGGTGGAAACTCGGAAAATATCACTATAGTTGGGCAATCGGCGGGCGCGGATTCAATCATTTGTTTGATGGTTGCCGAGGGCACTGAGGGCCTGTTCCATCGCGCCATTCTTCTTAGTCCACCATTGCGAGAGCTGAAAGAACGCACACCCACAGCGGCTCTACTATCTAAGAAAGCGGAACAATTTTTCACGAAAGACCCAAGGGACATGTCTGTGGATGAACTGCTAGTAGTTCAAAAGAAGCTGCTCATGAATCCTGTAAAGACGCAGGTTATGCTATTTGCGCCCACCCTAGGATCTGACCCATTGCCTGCAGAGCAAGAATTTGACCAGAAGCTTTCGGAAATTATCAAGGATATCCCGATTCTCATAGGATGGACCGCTAATGACGGCCGTCCTTTCGCAAGCATGATGGGTCCACAGAGTCTTCTCAAGTTACCCATTATTGGACCTTACGTGGAGAGTCTAGGAACTTGGTACATTACCCAAAGTTACTTCAAATGGCCATCTCAAAGCTTCCATGAGCAGGTGTTGCAGGCAGGTGGGACGTCGACGAGCTATTCGTTTGGATGGGCAGGAGAGGGAAACCCTCTTGGCTCATGTCACTGTATAGACATTCCGTTCGTGTTGGGGAGAGAAGGTGCTTGGAAAAATGCGCCTATGCTAGCTGGGAAGAGCACAGAGGAATATTTGGCTCGGCTGGGGTCTGATATCAAAGACTTGTGGACAAGCTTTGCCAGCGGGAAGATGCTCAAGAGTGGGTTACATATTGAGTTCGATGGCGAGTTTGTCTTGTCTCAGGATGTCTTCTTTGACTGAGATGTTGTACATCTAGAACAATTTTACAAGCTCAACGAGCGAATTATGCTCCGTGGGAGTATTCAAATATCAAAATCACACGCACTTATTGTGGCTTCTCTTTGTTTTTTTATGTTCCAGGTGTGAGGTATAGTTAGTAGCTTGCAGTCTTCCCTTTGAACCCCTCCCTTGGCGTTAAGATAAATTCAAGTAGGCAAACTCTGTATCACCATTCATTGGAGTAGACGACCTTCCCCGCTGAAGTTCTTGGCATGTCTTATGCAAGTCGCCAGGCTTAGGCTAGATTCCACCTTGGTCGCTTCCAAGGTTCAGATTGCCCTCCAGCGTGTACTTAACAATCGTAAAACCTTTGTAATTTCTCAACACAAAATCTTTGGTAAATTAATCAACAAACCCGATTCTCTGAAGGAGACAGAGTAGTAGCCCACCAGGAACATCCGTAGTCTGTCACGATTGGAAGCTTTGTTTTAGGGTCTTGTGAGCCCAAATTGGTATGTAGGTCCCTTCCCTCCTTGTATGAAAATCTAAGTGATATCTTCAAGTGGTAACTTAATTCAGCAGAGGCAGAATTCTGAAATAAATTGGGTATATTACTATAGAACAAGCTGCTCTTCGCCTAACTCCAGAGTGGCCTCTCGGGAAATAAACCTTGGTGGACGAAATGCAAGAACTATATGACTTAGCAAGTCAGTGGGCGTGTAGCTCAGGGGTACGAGCGCCCGCTTTGCATGCGGGAGGTCCGGCGTTCAAATCGCCGTTCGTCCATTTCTTTTTGTATTTTTTTTTTAACCTTACCCTTTTTGATGTTGTGATTGGTGGGTATATTATATTGACAGACCCACATTAGGCCGTATCTATATACTCTGTCTCGACATTCTTTTTGGACCTTCGGTATCTTAGCACGCGAGAACGTTACTTATAAAATACTTTATCTAAATAATCTCGTAAAAAAATGGCTAGTCCAAACTTAAAATAGTTTGAAGAGCTGGATTCATATAGTCATTATCTATTTACTATCCAACACTTTCCTCACAATACCAAACTCACATTCGCCACAGCCTCAGATTCCAACTCTATCTATTCCCGACATGTATTGCAATCAGTACTCGGTCCAGGGCAAGAGCTGAATGCTAGCGCCTCCATCTCCGCACGCAAGTCCTAAAGCTTTCGCTTGATTTTTATCGAAATTCAGCAGTTCATCTCAAACGTGCAAATTGTACTTTCAGCCTCACTTTCATATATCACAAGTCTCCCAGGTCGATGTCATGGCGTCCACTGGTGATGAGTCGGAATACCAGGCTATGCAGTATCAGAATACGAAAGATTCCTCTGAGAGTGAATCTGAGTCCCAAGCTAATCCATCGGCATAATAAAGCTTCATCAGAAACCGCTCAATCTTCTCTCAATCTGCAAAAGATTTTCTCATTCGAAGAAGCCAGCAAATGCTTTCGACTTGCAAATTATTTCAGGTGCATGGATGATCACCTTCACAAGATACTACAAAATAAAGCAGCTGAAAGGGTTTATTGTTTGGACTTATATTCAGAAACGCTTGTTGTGATGAATTAGGCTCTCGCCCTGTCGCTAGTGGTTCTTGGAGTTCTGTGCCTTGTCAACTTAGAGACAGACCGAGGGGCCGTTCTCCAGCTAATAGAATACCTCATCGGGGTGGAAAATCTGGATCACCAGAGAGCAAAACTCCCCTGTAATGCACAAGAGGGGCTGGGTAAAGCCTAACGGGGGCTCCGCAGTGCTTATAATACCGAAGAGGATGGTTCTTGAGCCTATGAGTCTTTCATGCAGTATTACACTGCGCTCGGATTTCAGATCCATGGATATTGATATTTTTCGGCTTTTCTGTTCGTCTAGGCAGGTTATATTTCCTAACGGGTTCTGTTTACCGGTCTTGTGAGATGCGATCTTGACTCAACCAAAGATGCTTCGGTAACATTTCTTATATATTTCTCGTATGCAAGCGCATTTTTAGTCCGTATAATGTACCGAAATGCTCAAGATCATATTTCAAACCCTGCCCATACACGAGCAAGGATGTTCGAGAATAGGTCCAGTTCAGATGCCTCCTTTAGAATTACTGTTATTGAACAGCTTTAGAGATACGAAATGTGTAGCCTGAATAACAAGGCCACATAACGAAGCAATGGTACGCCAGTGCAAACATTGCAAACCACTCCGCGAATTTTTGAGAAAGATCGGAGGACGCCGCACCTTGTCTGGCTCAGTTGACTCAGGTCTTTTGTGCTTGAAACGAAGCTCAATCTCTGTGCAGGGTCTTGGTTACTACCATTGGACTTTGTTTTCCAAGATGACCAACATGGACTCAGCAGCGGCCCCTGCGCCACCTTCAGAGGCTCAAAATACTTCACCGGAGGTAGATGTCATCAAGCGCGACGCCAACGATGTTTCTGGCGGTGAAGAACCCCCGGCCAAGAAAGCGCGGCTCGATGAGAACCAAGCCACCGCGGAAGAAGATCCCCGGTCGAAGGGTATCGCGCCCATCAAGGCAGAGTACGCCTGTACTGCATTTCTACTTTTTTTGCCCCAGACTAACACTCGTAACCCTAACAGATATTTGATTCCCTCTAAGCCCAAACCTAAGATCGAGGCCGAAAACGATGATGCCGCCGAAGGTGCAGCCCACGCCGACCGTGAGGATGGCAAGAACGACAAGAAAAAGAAGAAGGCCAAGGGCCAGAATACCAACCGGAGATTTGGTTCGTCCAAGGATGTGAAGGGCCTGTGTACCTCGAGAATGTACAGCCCGGAGTTTTCGCCAACTGAGTGCAAGTTTGGCGACGAGAAGTGCCGTTTCGAGCACGACCTGCGACTTTACCTGAACGAACACAAGCGCGAGAATCTCACGACGATGGATGGAAAGTGCCCTGTTTGGGAGGCCCGCGGAAAATGTTTTGTTGGGTGGAGGTGCCGCTTTGTTGCGTCTCACTCAACTGAACGTGAGACCGCGGATGGGAAGAAAGAGTTGATCCTGCTGGAAGACGAAGAGCGCAAGGCGAAGCCTCTCGTGTCATTTGCAACGGAAGATGGCCAAGTCAACATCATTTCCAATGATGCCAAGATTGACCTTGCGCGCAAGCGAGAGACTACCCCTCGCTCCAATGCGTTCAATGATTGGCTCATCAAGTCCTCTACGGAGCTTGAGAAGCAATTGCACGGCCGACACAAGGAGGAGGAAGAAGTTGCTAAAGCCAATGGCGAGGGCGAGAATGATGAATCTAAGGTGGTGCCAGAGGAGAAGGCCAAGGAGGAGAGGGAAATCAACCGAGCCATGTTTACTGAGCCACCCTTCCTGCCTTCCGAGAAGAGGCGCATCTATTTCGGACCCGAGACTCCTACACTGGCTCCTCTGACAACTCAAGGCAATATGCCCTTCCGGAGATTGTGTACCGATCTGGGTGCGCAGTTCACTTATTCGGAGATGGCGATGAGTATGCCTCTGATCCAAGGTAACAAGTCCGAGTGGACTCTGTTGAAAGCACATGAGTCCGAAATGCTCCCCCCCCACTGTCATTCCGGGAGACAACATTGTCCAAGGTTACGACAACTCGAAGGATTTCAAGTTTGGAGCTCAAATCGCAGCCAACAAGCCGTGGCACGCCCTTAAGGCGACCGAAGTTCTCTCCAAGTTCACACCCAACCTGCGTGTTATTGACTTGAACTGTGGCTGCCCTATCGACCTGGTGTTCCGCGATGGAGCCGGTTCCGCGCTCTTGGACCACCACTCCAAGCTGGAGAAGATCATTCGTGGCATGAATGCTGTATCTCAGGAAATTCCTATTACCGTCAAGATTCGCATGGGCACCAGAGATAATCAGCCTACTGCACTGAAACTTGTGGAGCGCATGGTTCTTGGTGGTTACGAATCGGGTATCTTGAATGTCGGCCCCCCGGGCGCTGCCGCCATCACCCTCCACGGGCGTAGTAGACAGCAGAGATACACCAGACAGGCTGACTGGAGCTACATTGCCGACACTGCTGCTCTCATCAAACGCTTGAATGAGAAGAAGGACAGCCTCATCGACACTATCAACGAGCCCGACGCTCGTTACATGCCCAATGGCGGCAAGACATACTTCCTTGGCAACGGTGACTGCTACTCGCATGTTGACTATGATGATCACATCAACAATGCTGGCGTTGATTCCGTCATGCTAGGACGTGGTGCCCTGATCAAGCCCTGGCTCTTCGAGGAAATCCAGTCAGGCCAGTACCTTGACAAGTCTGCTTCCGAGCGTCTCGGTATGATTGAGAAGTTCGCCAAGTACGGTCTCGAGGCATGGGGCTCTGATGAACACGGTATTGGAACCACTCGCCGCTTCATGCTGGAGTGGCTTAGCTTCGCCTACCGCTACGTCCCGATTGGATTGCTGGAGCATCTTCCCCCTCACATTAATGACAGACCCCCTGCTTTCCGTGGCCGCAACGAGCTGGAGACTCTCATGGCCAGTGGCAACTACAAGGACTGGATCAAGATCTCGTAAGTGTCTCCTATGTTTGTAAGCCTGAAATATGTACTAACTTGTTTGATAGTGAGATGTTCCTCGGACCTGCACACCCCGACTTCAAGTTCGAGCCCAAGCACAAGTCGAACTCCTACGAGGCTGAGGGTTAGTGAAAGGATCTGGTCGAAGGGTAATAAAATACAGCAAAAAGCATAAAGCATTGTACATAGTAGATATGAATATGATCGGCACATGAAATGACATAGTTCTCCATCTCCACATTAGGGCCCTTGGTCACGTGGCGGGAAGATTGATGACGTATTTGGCCCGAGGCAGGAAAAGTTCCCCATAAGACCACCTCGCACCTGCACGCGTACCGCTGCAACCCCAATTCTCTCCTCTGCCCACCTTGACTACGCCGTCTCCTCATTTACCGGACTTTTTAAGCCCTTAACACCTCACCAACCAGTACTTTGTCCGGATCTGGCCTTTGTTTACACTAGCCAGCCGTCCCCGAAGCTGCCTTAGACCCCCACCCCCCTTTTGACCAGCACACATAGTCGATCTCTAGTCCGGTTATACCGACAAGATTCAGCAAGATGACTCTCTACTACAGCCTCGTATGTTCAAGCCAGAATTGATGGGTGTTTTGCTCTGTTGCTCCCCCGACCGAGCTAGGTGGGCGTGATTGCAGCCTAGCTACCCGGAATTGCCAGATCGGCCAAACATCCTCGCACTGCTTCGATACAGCAATCTAACCATGATATGATTAGGTTTTTCTTCTTCTCGTCTTTGAGATGGCCGTTTTCTTGGCCCTCATCGTCCCTCTGCCTTTCATCGTTAAGCGCAAGCTGTTTACCTTCATCTCCGAAAGCCCCATCATCGCCAAGCTCCAGTATGGGTTGAAGGTAAATGAAACCCATCAAATCTCTAAAGGAGCATATCTAATGAAATATAGATCACTTTCATCTTCATCCTGATTTTGTTCATTGACAGCGTCAACCGTGTGTATCGGGTGCAGCAGGAGCTGGCAGCCTTCACCAAGGATGGCAGCGCTGTCGGGTACGTACCCCGCAACCCAAAGAAAACACTTGTTGAACATGTCTAATTAGAAATCTCCAACGCAGAGCTGCTCACCTCGGCACCGACCGCATGGAGGTTCAAGCCCGCAAGTTCTACTCCCAGCGCAACATGTACTTGTGCGGCTTCACCCTGTTCCTCTCTCTGATCCTCAACCGCACCTACACCATGATCCTCGATGTTCTCCGTCTGGAAGACCGTGTCAAGTTCCTCGAGGGTGACAAGAAGGCTGGCGGCAAGGACTCCGCCCGTCTGGCTGAGGCCGGCTCCATTGGCGAGATTGGCGCTTTGAAGAAGGAGCTCGAGGCCAAGGACCGTGATATCGAGACCCTCAAGAAGCAGTGTGAGGGTTTGACCGCTGAGTACCATAAGCTTGGCGATGAGGTCTCCACCTCCAAGGCCGACAAGAATGACAAGAAGTCTTTGTAAAGAGTTGCCTTGTTTCGGAGACCCTATCTTGGTGAACAATTCAACTGAAGTCATGAGATAAGAGTCGTCTGTCACCTGAAAATCAGGATGAATCGCTTTATCAAACGTCTCTGCGCGCGATACCTACACTGATTCGAGAGCTGTTCATATTTCGTCTCCTTCATTACTGCCTCCCGTGGCTCTGGGGAGAGGTTCCAAGAACCCAATGACGCAGTACTTTGCTCCACAATGTCTCTTGTTGCCAGCAGATATTGCTGCAGGGCCAGAGAAGTGGTCCTGATCCATGGTGCTTACTTTGGAAACAAGCCTCAATTTACCTGATAACGATGTCTTTAAATTGGCCAAGAATAATCTTGCATTATGAGGATAGTGATTTCGGGTCATAAAATCATCTTTTCAATATCATGATAGTTATTCGTAAATGTACATGTATGGTTTAGCCATGGGCCAATGTAAATGCGATATCCACTAGACAAGGAAAGTCCAGAAGCTGGGGTAGACGAGTTCCTCCTCGAAGATACGGCGCACCTGCGCGAGAACAAAGCGCTCCACTTTGCCGACGTTCTTCAAGACCTGCTTCCCGTCTTCTTTGCGGCCAATCTCACTTTCCACGCGGATCTCTTGGAGCAGTCCGCCCTGTCGCTTCTGGTCCCCGCCAGATCGCGGCCGTCCATCATCACTTGGGTTCCGGCTTCCCTGACTCGCCTCGGAGCCAAGTAAAGCATCTGCATCTTCTGCGGACAAGAAGCAAAAGTGCACTCGCTTACGTATGTAAGCCACAACGGCTACACCGTCGAAGGTGATACCGGTGACATTGAGCTTGAGAGGAAGACCAACAAAGCTGGGCATTGGGTAGTCGAGGAGGATTTCAGCTGTCAGAGACATGCGGACGTCTCCGGCATATTTCATATGGCATAGAACCTGGACGTCTTCCGGGCGGCGTTCACGCATACGGGGTGGGATTGGGGCCGAGGGATCGATGACGGGCTCCGTTGATGGCTGGGGCACATCAGCAGGGTCGATGCTGTTACGGTTTGATCCGCTGCTACCAGTCTGGCCGATAGAGGGATGCGAGGGGATTGTGTTGGCCGTCGAAGGTCGTGAAGCCGAGTTGGTGGTATCTAGATCTGCTTCTGCACGATAGTGATGTGGCACTTGGCGCGGTGGACCACGCGGTCTGCCCGGTCCCATGCCCGCATCGGACCAAGGGCTTGTGAATGGTCTCCCGCCAGCAACATCTGCGAGAGGAGTTTGGGTGCCGGAGAGGCCACCCAATGACATCAAGTGGTAACCGAGTGTCGATGTGCCTCCAGGGATGCCAGGGGAGCCAGCGCGGGGCAGGAAATGCGGGTTCAGGTGGTCACCAAGGGGGAGCGGAGATCGAAGTGCAGACGGTTGAAATTCTTCGCCGGGGTATGGGTGGTGGGCAAGGTTGCGTCGGGCGTAGTTCAAGGGTATATCGTCCTCGTAGGGAGACTCTTGTAGGTCCGAATCCCATTGATCAGTGCCGAGCTCCTCAGAGGTCCCAGAAGTGTCGTCATCATCTTCTTCGTAGAAGTCCGCGAAAGGCTCGCAGAAGTCCTTGATCTCGAGGTCTGGGCCAATAGTGCCGAAGTCAAAGGAATGAACCTGGACAGAACGGATAAAGCGTGGCAATGCGATCTCCTGGAACTTGTCGTGGACAAATGATCGGATGCGCTCCGCTAAAGCTTCACCGTCCGGGCCAGAAGTGGCCGTTGCCCAGTCGACTTCGATGGACATCACATGTGCGAATTGACTGTGTCTTTCAAAGGTTCATGATACTGCGAAATGTGACCAGGAGAAGCTTCCGGGGAGCTTAAGGTCCCCATCGGCGCGGACCCACGTGACCCAGGAACGACATTGGAGTACGACGAGCCAGCTTCTCGTTTCTTTGTCATGAATCAAACTTTTATTATCAATGAGCATGTCTTGATCCAAGATTACCAACCTGTGATACTTCCTTGGTCATCACAGACATCATTTTCTTCGGTCTACCTACCTATCCCAGCAGTGTTTCGGCGCTACGATGCCTCCATATCTGGCTCCGGATATAGCGAGTGTTCAGGCATCACATCTAGTGTATTTCCTCCCGAAAGGTCCGCCAACACGTAACTTCTGGCAGCTTATGATATGTTGCCTTAAACAGATATGACACACCGTAGGAGCTGCGAGTCGGGGATGAAGCGGAGATGATATCTCTCAGCTTAGCCTATTCTTCGGTCCGCAAGCCCCAAATTGATACAACCGGGGGCCCCTATTTGGCAGGTCTAGCCACCGGCACTTGCTCTCCGTGAGCCCCCAGACCAATCTAAGGCCCCCGAGGATTTCGGCCTTCCCACCCTGCCTCTAAGCCCCGTCTTTGGGCAGCCCTCTCTTGACTAGGCCTCTTGTTAGGAGTGAGGGTAGAAGACGTGATGGCATTGCCCAAGATCTCTCTGCCATCTATTGTCCGTAAAACTGATCTGGCTCCCGCTAAATCTGGATTGGATGTTTCCACGGATAGTGTGCTTGCGTCAACACCTCCCATGGTTCTTGCCCCTAGCCCCCGAGAAGGCGGCCATCACATTATCATTTATTGGATGCTTCCCGCAGTAATAGATACAGCGCAGCCTCCAATATAATCTACGATAAATCTCATTTGTCAAGAGACAGACCCTTGAAATTCGAGTGGCCAAAATCCACCAGTAATCAGATGATCGAAGCGTATGCGGGCCTAATGCAACCCTCGACGTGTCTGCCCGTGGCTGACCATTTATCGTGGGCCTTAAGATCCACAAACGCGTTTACTGATTGTGTCCTTCAATTGCAAGCCAGGTGGCGCTGGCCTGTGCAAGACAAGTAGCAGCTTCGCCAATGACTAGGCCACCATCTCGCTCGACCTTTCCTTTTTGTCCCTGGCGCTTCGGTGTACCCTAGCAAGCCTGCATCACGGCTCAGGATGCGACGAGGCTAGCCCTTGGCCGGATGTCTTCGGCCGAACCGGTGCCGTCATGTTGTTTCGCGGACCCTAGACTTGGCAGTCTGTTTTGGGTGTCTTGGGCCCGTTTTGGGGCTGCGAACCACAAGAGAACCGAGGAGAGGATAGGCAGGCTTCATGTTTCAGATCTTGAGGCAGATGCGGATTTGGTTTCTTCCTTCGGTGGGTTGAGGCTTGACTAGAGGGCTTTGGATCGGCTCGTGCGCCGCGTCGGTCCTGCGACGTACGATCGATGGCTCCCCCACATGCACATCAACGTGCCCAATCTCCTTTGAAGTGGTCTATGCGAGCATGACCGGGCTTGATTTACACACATGGGTAAAAACTATCTCTTCCCGGGGACGTTCTCGAGTCATGAAGACCATGAAGACCATGAAGAGTCAGCTTGTCTCGCAGTCATGCGTTGATTCTATCGTGGACGTGGGGCTTAGAATAGTGAATGCATCTCCACTAGACTCAGATCTGATTTCAAATATATGAGCGAATACTAAAGGCCATCACCTCGGGATCAAAGCATAAAAGCATTTGCGTTTCTCCATCCCTGTAAGCGCCAGCGGTTGGTAAATCCACGCTCCACCACACCACTCCCCGCCAGAAATTCCCGACGCTGTCCAATCCCAGGATAGTTGGATTAACAATCTACCTAAATGATCCCAGGCGAGCCTCTCATAATGAAGATGCTTCCACATACGATAAGCGCGATGGGTATAGACCCGTTTTTTAGGGTCTTGGCTGAATCGGAATTCCAAATCAAATCAGTAGGGGTCGCTAATAAAGATCCAGGAATGGCCCGCTGTACTCATCACCATTAGTGTCACTGAGCAGGCTTCCTGGTGTGTTTCTTCAATGTCTTCTAGTGATAACAGAGAAACGCTCCCGGAAGACTATACTCGAAGGGAAGGGACGGGATTTGAGAGAATAGTGAGGCGTCTTAAGGTAAGTTGATTTGAATTACGGAATGATTTTCAGCACGAAAATATCAAACCGACAAAGTTTAACATTTAGTATTCAAATAGAAAAACGTGACAGTTTCAATTTCGCGGAAACGTGATATTTGAGGACGATGAACGCTAGGCCAAGGCATACAAATAGTCCAGAAACCCATCAAGGGAAGGAACGGAAGCGTTCAATCAGAAAAATGAAAAGAAAAAGATAGAAAGACCGAAAGTCTCATCAAAACCTGTACAAGGACAGCAAGAACACGAAAACAAAGGACAAAAAGAAAAGTCAGAGAGAAGGCCTCCAAAGCGCGGTACATGGATTTCAGATCCTCCTCCTTTTGGTGCGAAATGTCCATACAGAGCATCGAAGTTGAGTAGACACTCGGGATATATATGAAGATGTTTCATCTGGTTTTGTATTAGCAAAGCCCTATTCAAGCGAGATAGGAGATGCACAAGCCCACTAACCTTGGGTGAGCCTTTAGCCACCATGTTTCGGGCAGTTGTATTCCTTCCGAGAGCGGAAGTGTTCCTTCACGCCGTGGCAGGCAGTAGTGCCTCTCTTTGCGCATGGCACGTCTTCGCCTTCCTGGAGAGTGCATCCGCACCTGTAAAGGAAGATATAGCGAGAACACATTTTGATGGTGTATCGAGGTATTTGGAAGAGAGAAACGGTGGGATGAGAAAATTGCTCGAGGGCCTTAGAAGAGTGTCTATTGACTGGTGTTGTAGCGAAAAGAAGGGGATCATTGACAGGCTTTATATCTCTCCGTTCCCCAGTATCCAGAGACAATGACTGCGCCGAGTACCAGCAATAGACGAAGACATAGCCATCCTCGTCCAGGCGCTATCAATCCAAATGTGCCCTATGCATCTAATGATTGACTGATCACTCGGGAGGTGCCAGGAACATTGGTGGAGGGTACGAGTATAGGCCGACTAATATGACCAGGACGCCTGTATCCAACGGAAGGCAGAGTTGGCCGTTGTGTGGATCATAAGAGAGGGGGGCATGATGATTCGGGGTTTGTACACACCAATAGCAATGAGGGTGTACATCA